TTCCTGTCTGAAATGGTGTAAAGCACGTGACCTGAACTTACACCATTTGAATTGACATTCCTGTCTCAAATGGTGTAAAGTGTGTAATAATTCTGAATTCTCACAGAGAGCGCTGTTGTTCCACACGACTAGAGTCTCTGTGTTGCTCAACCTCAAATACTTGCGCTGATTGTAGTCCTTTGAGCAATTTTGGTAGGTACTTATAGGAAGTAGAAGATAAAGGAGACTAAGTAGGTAGTTAGGTTCCGTCAGGAAAAGACTTATGGGGAACATTATTTTATTCATGATCATTTCGCCACCATGGAGCTCCTCCTCTCACTTTCATCGTTACGAGCATCTTTTGCCTAGGAACTAGAAAAAGACCGATCGACGATCACCAAACATTGATCGGTCTTTACTTGCATACATCCGACATGCTGCAAGTACTACTGTATGCATGAATGGAAAACCAAAACCAAACTTTTGTACGAAAGCAGCCATCGCCTCGCGCTTCATTTCGTCCGAGATGCAAGATCCGAAATCCGAGGCGGAAATTCCGTTGGCGACCGTTTAGGCATAAGCAGACATTAATCTGGGAACTTATTAAATGAGTGAATTTTTTGTGCACTTGGTTTCCCCACCGGGAGCCCAAAGGCGCCGCCGCGGGTGTGTCCTGGCGTCCCTGGGTCCCTCCCCACCAGCCACCCGGGTTTCTGACTTGCTGCTGACCTTGGGCTTAGGTAGGTCGTACTCCGTGGTCTACTGTACTTTGTGTAATAAATTCAAGAGATGGGGGGGTGGGCCCATCGAGGTGGTTTATGACTGAAGAGGAAATCGAATCCAAATACGACTGGGACTGGGGCATTCTTCTCTACCATAACTATAAATATTACTACTACTGAACAACGCATGACTAATTCATGACCTCGAGTCATGGTTTGTTTCAGATGTACTCCAAGTACTCCGTAGTCAGGTCGTTTTCTGATCGGGTCGAAAGATCCACATTCCTGGGCATCGCAGCTTGACTACTACGGAGTACTACTGATCGTCTCGGTAAGCACTTTGTGGATACAAACTGGTACCGTCAAACCAAACTTTCTTAGAGCCTCATGAGCGATAGGGTATGGGATACGGTGGTGGAAGGAGACATATGTAGTAGTAATCACAATTATAGGTCATATTGAGGCATGCATAAGCGTCGTGTCCTGTGAGTAGGTAATGTTGATCCTAGGCGACTGGCACGACACTTTCTGAAGATTCAAACACGGTGTAAGGAAGGGATTGGTGAGGTGGTGCGTTGACAATGTGAGTTGAGAGCTGAGGTTCGCTAGAACCGACAAGCTATTGATGTTTACATGGTCTATGTACTACTTAGGAGCTGCGACGGAGCAACAGGTACTAATCGTCCTGATTAGTGCTTGCTAATAATGGGAATGGTCTGACAATGAGATCCTCTCCATCATTCAGATCGAGGTTGTGATGCTCCTTTGTCCTGCTAATTTATCAGGGTCGGGGTCCTTGTGTTCTCGCTTGAGCGTTCCTACTGATAAGGCGACACGCAATCCTCTGTCGGCAGTCCGGGGCAGTCACACATATAACTCGGTACCTACCAACTAGTCGAATCAGACTGTCAGGAAAGACCATGCACGGCTTAGTCTCTGCAGCTGACTGGGTAGAACGGCACATAACAGTCAGCAAGGGTTATCCGTATATGATTCTTGACATGCACATGTCCATACGGTGTACCACGTAGCCCCATGTACGGTACTGTGGATGGAGGACGAAATCTAGACGACCTCCACTAACATCATGCTTGATGAAATGACCTGAGTCTTGGTACGTGGTCTGAGGAGTCTAAGTCGAGCTCGAGGAGCTTGCAGCTCGCCAAGTTAAGCGAAGCACCAACCATGATTGCTTCTTGAAGCCGGTGCCACGGAGACATATGATTATGCTCGTACGTCATTCATTAGTGATGACCTGGGCGTTAAGGATGGCGAGATAGCGACGGCCTCACGATCGCAGCCATGCCAGATTGGAGAATGATTGACCGCTAACCAATTGCCTCACATGATGGATGGTCTGATGTTGGGTCTGTTGAAATGGTTAGAGGACCAGTCAACAGCAAGTCCATCCGGGAACCTTTGACCTGATTCATGAGTTGCCCCCGTGTGTATGTAAGTGCTCCCCGAAAGAGAGACTTGATTGGGGCTGTATTGGTGCTCGTAGCGCCCAAAGTCACCGAGAACCTAGAATTTAATACCCGAGCGAGAGCGAAAGGGAAGGAAACAGAACATGTGCAAAAAGTTTCTTGGGTTTGAGTCATGCGCGAACGCACCAAGGGCGGGGTCGGTCTGCAGCCTGGCACCTGTGCCTACACTATCGTATGCGCATAACGTACTATACGAGGGTTGATTGATGCACCAGCACGGGCACAAGCATAGGCAGACGCTGCAACGCACAAGGAAATCACTAATAGAGCTTGCGTGACTACTTTGAGAAGCCGACCATTAGTCATGGGGATGAGAAACAGAGAGGCTGGTTGGCCCTGGCAGATGTTTGGTGCCAAAGAGAGCAAATATGGATTTTAGGTGAATCTCGATCTCTGGAGGTGAGGCTGAACGGATGACTCGTTTCGGCAAGTGACTTGGTCTTGCTGCTGCCTAGGGCACGCTGGCACTCGCACCTTCCCTCTGGGCACTTTGCATACTGGGGTTAAGGCAGTCTCGACCCTTGAGTCTTGAGGACAGGAGCCTGTTCTTTCCTTGGTAGGTAAGAAGTAGGGTGAAGGTAGTCACGTAGGGCAGGCAGCCAAGTTTCAACGCGTCCAGGCTTCAACACAAGGAAGGAACGAGTTACTACAATTGTGTGAGATCAACTCCTACACACCCTTTCTTCATCACGCCTTTCTGTCCGAGACATGGATTTTTGTTCGAGGACAGTTCAAAGGGAAGGATAGATAGATCCACAATCCCATCACTCGAATTTGAAGAAAAGCCACATCGTAGGAGTGAGGATCAAACGTTGTGGCGCCCGGCGCCCTTCGACCGTCCAAGACGTAATAACAGTCAGCGCCAAAGTTTACGCGGTCAGAGGGGATCCAGAAGGGAACCGAGAGCATCCTACTCGTCCAAGTGGTGGTGGTGACTTCTCCGATGATTGTGTCAGCATAGTCAGAATTATACATGGCTTGGCCTCACCCAGGGAAGCGGAATGGGAATTCCCGGGCGGAGCCATACTCCGTAAGAGTCATGCATGGAATATTGTCGGTCAAGGCAAAAATTAATCATTATTGGACCCAGGACGACACGAGTCCACTAGTCAGTTGTCAATTGAGCGTGTGACCATGAGGTCAGGGCTTCGGGTCTTAGCATCAACTGACAAGTCCGAGTCGACTGGGAGGAATTCCCGTGGGTCTACGGGCTCTCGGGCCTAACATGGACGCCGCACGCAGATCGCGATGCCCAGGTGTTACCTAAACAACCAAGCGCTTGGAAAACTCGGCTCCAAGAGGAGCAAGAGGAGCAAGAAAAGTCGTTTTTTTCAGCGGAGACTTCGGATTATTGTGCCATCCTGCTCCGCAACGACAGCCTTGGTCTGGGTGGATCACTGTTGATGTGTAATGTACTATCGGTACCTGTTGTGCCTGTCTACCTTGGTGCTTGGGTACTAAGGGAGAACTGTAAGTACCTATTAGATACTCCGTAGGTTGATTCCAATAAGCCAAAGTATAAAGAATCTACTCGTGACTCAGAAGGTGCTCTAGGCATTATTAGGTGATCTGATCTCTTCTAGGCCACCTGTCTACGTCTCGATAGGGCGGCGGCAAAGATCGTATGCGTATAGTACGGAGAACAGAGGGATGGGCGCCTAACAGTCTCGAAGAGTGTTGCGGTCATTACCTACCTTACTAATTATTGATGGATCGCATAATAGTAAGGTAGGTACCTAGGTAATGACCAACTTAAATTTGCGGTGGTAGACCATACCTATCTTAGGTAGCGCAAGGCTTCACAGGCTAGCACGGCTGGCCCCTCGGCCCCTAGACCCCACCCGCGAGGCTCCCATTGCTATTTCCTAGGCTCGCACTCCTCCCTAGCTTTTCGGTCTGACAAAGTGGACTGCTCGGTCCCAGCTTAGTGCCCATTTTCGCCGCATGGTTCCGCCAATCAGCCTCCAAGAGCCCGACGAGGGAACGAGGCAACGACAAGAAAAGGTGGCTCTGCATTTCCAACACATGGACAACCTTTTGGCGCATCCGACAAATCCGGCCACCACTGACGAAACTCGTCCATGCCATCCATCCCATCCAGGCTGCCCGTAATGTCGCTCATACGGTCTTGTACCATTGCTGACCTATCCTGTCCCCATGCCGCTCTGACGCATCCCATCGTCCTTCTCCTCATGCATTGTGTGACCCCCCCTCCTCGGCGGAATTAAACAAAACTCCTCCGTCCATTTATTAATCCCAAATGCTGTCCGTTTCGTCCACTCCTCTCTCTTAATCCCGTGTTTGCAATCCGGTTCATACCAGTGAACCCTCTTTAATTCCTTGGGAAGGACTCTCACATCCCCCAACTCACCCTGTACCTTCACCCTATCCCCTGTCGTCCATCGCTTGCGAGGCCGGTATCCTGAGTCCTAAGGCGACGAGGAGTGAAGAAGCCGCGTTAGTTCGTCCCAATCGCCCTGCCCAACAGAGCGTTCCCAATGGCTGTCTTCAGAGTCCGCGTAGCAGTAGCGCTACTTCAGTTGGCGTCGGTCGCTCTCGCTCACGGCGATGACCACACGGAAGCCAAAGCCGGCGTCAGCCACGGTGACATGTCCAACATGCCTCAAGAGCATAGCCAGAACCAAACAAGTGGAAAGGAGATCAACAACTTCGATGCTCCGAGTTACTATGGACTGGAATCACATAGTAACTTGATGCTGGCTCACATCGTCCTTATGGTCAGCGCCTGGTTCTTCGTCCTCCCATTTGGTAAGTCAGGAGTATTTCCTTGCCATTTGCGCCTAAGTCTGGGTTGTGCTGACGGTTGACTCCTAGGTGTTGTCTTCAGTGTCGCAAAATCGAGATTTGCCCTTCCTACCCAATTCGTGTTTCTCGTCCTTAACGGCCTGGGTGTATTGTTTGGTACCGTGTACAACGTCAACACGCCAGACCTGTATGTGAATAATGCCCACCACAAGATGGGCTGGATAGCAACCTGGGTCATGACTGCTCAGGTCGTCATGGGCCTGCTCTTCACCTACGCAGGCCGTGGCCAAAAAGCTTCAGGGTCTGCAAGCGAGCGAGAGGTCTTTTTGCCTGGTTCCGTGGCAAGCGCAAAGCACTACACTGTCCGGCCCTATGCCGACCATCGTTGGTCAGGGGACAGTGGCCAGGGCACTGAGTGCTCTTCAAATTCGAACAGCAGAGATGTTTCTCCAACGGACCGGTACCGTAGAGATACTTTTGATGACTTTGAGAAGCCCGAACCAATAGATCCTGAAGATGATGACGCCTCATCGCATTCGGACTCACCTCGATTGACATCTCGGGCTAGCTGGTTTCGCTTTGCGCCCGCCGATAAGTGGCTCTCTGCGCGCATGCCCAACATGCTTTCGAAGAAGGCCCTTTCCCTCTTGAACTTTGGCTATGACGCCGTGGACCGGATCATCCTCCCATTTGGCTTCGTCGTGCTCACCTCTGGAGGAGTTACCTATGCTGGCATATTCGTAAGTCGGAACCCTCCCCCCTTTCCGGCTTTATGAGCCAACTTGCAGTCCAACTGACCATGAGCAGCGTGGCGAAAACATCTTTGGCGGTCTGGCGCACTTTATAAAAGGGGGGATCTTTTTCTGGTATGGCTTGTTGACTCTGGGTCGGTGGATGGGCTGCTTCGCTGAACTTGGCTGGGCCTGGAATGTCAAGCCAGGCCGTCACGAAGTCAGCCAGTGGAAGTTCAGCATGCCATCGGCAGAATTCGTCGAGTCCTCGGTCATTTTTGTGTACGGATGCACAAATGTTTTCCTTGAACATCTGGCGGCCTGGGGAGACGCGTGGACCGCTCAGGACCTCGAACATGTGTCTATCTCCATCATGTTCTTCGGTGGTGGCTTGGTAAGTGATGGCGTTGTGATGTGGAGAAATTCAGGTTTGACTGACTCGATTCCAGTGTGGTATGCTTGTCGAGTCCAAAGCCGTTCGACGATGCCTCAATTTTTCAGTGGAAACCTTACCTGCTCAGTACAACGTCGAGGCCAGCGAGGCTCATGAGTTGCGACCACAACCCCGAACATATGGCACATCTCTCAACCCATTGCCTGCGCTGATTATCATGCTGTTGGGGATCATGATGTCGGCACATCACCAAAGCTCCGTGGTTTCGACCATGGTCCACAAGCAATGGGGCAACCTGCTGGTGGGTTTCTCCTTTGCTCGTATGGCAACCTACCTCCTCACCTATATCTCACCGCCGACCTCCCTCTATGCCTCCCGCCCACCGACCGAGCTCGTCTCTGCGTTCTGTTTGATCTCTGGTGGACTCGTCTTCATGGCCAGCAACAAAGACATTGTCCATTATATTGAGAGCGCAGACCTGATGGCCATGTTTGTTTTCACCGTGGTAATGGGGTTGACGGCATTCATCATGTCCTACGAGATCATTGTGCTCAGCCTGAAAGGCTGGGCCGCACGAAAGGAGCAAAAGGCTGCTCCAAGTGCGATCCCGCAGTAAAATGAAGCTTGATGAGATGAACTTGGATAAGAGGAGGAAATGACACACATGGATATTCTCGCCATCATTCTACCGTGTGGCCTGCGTCATGGTTGCGCCGCCGCAACGGCAAGACAGTTGTTAACGACATTTTTCTCGTTGCTTCACAGAGCAACTGTACGCCATGCCTTTCTTTGCACGATACCCAGAGGCGTCGGTTCTCCTCAACTCTGCATGATACCCTTGGTTGGATCTGGTCACTTTTCATTCATAGACAGTAATGTTAATAGTCTGAACAATGCAAAGTTTCTGCTCAAAGATTGATTAGATTTGGAAGAAGGAGATGAGGAGGGAATTCGCCCCAGAGCTCCTATTATTGTCGGGTCGTTTAGCCCCTCGGCCCTCAAGTGTTCCCTTGGGACAGAGGCGGGGAAGGGTCACTCGGCAGGTTTTGGTGAAGACCGCAGTAGGTTGCCTAGGTAGGTAGATACCTTCCTACCTAGGGTACCTACTTACAGTACTTGATGTACTGAGAGCATCTGTAATTGGGGGTGCCCTGGGTTATCACTGCTTCAGTAGCCCAGTCAAGCCCATTCCAACTGTTGTTGGGCCTTGAGGGGCTGATGGCTGATGAATTGCGAACACGTATCCACGTCCTGTAGCCACACTTCCACATCCGCGCCATCCCCATGGAAATTCGGCATGAGCGGATCTCAGGGGCGCAGAAGGCGCGACCGCCACTCCGCTTTCTCGAGAGTGGCGTCCCCATTCAATCGCGTATGCGTCCATGATCGACTACAGTATTTTCTGTGACTTGTTCTTCGTTCTTCAATCCTCACTCAAACCATTTGGGCAAACCGTCCCTACTTTCAAATCATATCAGCCATACCGGACATGGCCTTCGAGACCATGGCGAGCCCGTGCATGTCTTAAGATCCCATTCGCACACATTTGCATACACTCAGCCGACCCTCGTCATCCCTCGCGCAACCCACAATTGTTGTCGACAGAATCGCAAGACATTTAAATTCCCGTGCAAAGACACACCCTCAGACGAGTCATAATTACCATCACGACCGCCAACATGGCACCTCCAGTCAGAATCTCCACCAATAACCTACCCTTCAAACCATCGTCCTTTAATCTTGCGCGAATACGAACCTACGTCTTCCGACTGCCCTTGTTCACCCGCCTTATTCTATTTGCAATCATTGCCTTTTGGATTCTAGAACTTCAGACAGTCTGGAGTGTGATACAATGGGGATCATTGATACCAAAAGAAGTAGGGCTGAGCAGCATGTACCGGCTCAACACATACCCCTTGATTCATCTCGGCTTCTTTCACATGCTTATGGACACACTGTGTCTTATTCCTCTATTGGAAAGATTTGAGGCGGAATGGGGCACATTGAACAGCGCTGCATTATTCATGGGCCGTGAGTTGAGCCCCTAGTCGAGCTAAAACATGTGCTGAATATTGACGCAACATCAGCACTGGGTCAGATCCCTGCCGCCTTGTATTTGCTTTTGGACTATGTTGTTTTAAGAGACAATACTCCCGTCCTGGGAGCCAGGTAAGCGGCTTTGTAGCCAATGCGCGGGCATCAAGTCTAACACCTTGCAGTATATGGGTCTTCCTGCTCCTCGCCTCCGAGTCAATCAAGACATACCGGGCCAATCCCTATCTCGAGTACGTGGTTCGATGGAGATCACAACCTCTAGAAAAGATGCTGACCATAACACAGAATTGCTGGACAAAAGATCCCTACCTGGATAACTCCACTCGCCTTGCTTCTGGTGATCTGGGTTTTGATTCCGAATACATCCTTCCTAGGCCACCTCAGCGGCGCCATTGCCGGATACCTGTGTAAGTGCCATGTCATCATGTCATTTGGCCCTTCTTTGCTCTAACAAGGTGACAGGGGGACTGGGATATATCAGGTTTCTGGCTCCACCAGAAAAAGTCTTGAGGTGGATAGAGGGCAAGCTGAACCTGCTGGGACGACTTCCTCATTATGTCTCTGTGGATCAGAAGACATACGGCCGCTACGGAGTTCTGCCATCGAGCTCGACGAGCGGCCCCGGTGAACACTTGAGCCCCATTGGGCTGGGATGGATGGGCAATGGGTCAGGGTCAGGTCAAAGACTTGGTCCATAGCCTGTAACTTGGGCGGAGGGACTGTTAGACCCAGACACGGGTCGCTGTGTGAGGCGCATGTTTGGACGACTCTATGATAGGAAGACGCATCTGCCTGGGCGTCATGAACCACCATCTACCACATCCATAGTCTGTATTGCGTTGAAGCATAAAAAGAAGTCTTTTTGCATCCAAATTTTCGACCTAATCATGTTGTGCTGTTGAAGGTGCTCTTGTCAACAATATATCTGGCCGGCCCGGATAAACTTCGGCAGAGCTCACTTCATCCATCTGTCTGATGCGGTTCCAAAGTACACATTTCCTGACCCACGGGGAAAGTGACCAAATCGACGGATGACTTGCTCTTGAACTTGGAGTGAGGCTGGAACTTACAGTCCAAGGTCAAGATGGGCCTTCTTAGTATGTCGCAGTCATTCATCCGCTATCTTCTGAGACTGACACCGTGATCAGAAAATGCCCTGACCAAACTCCGCAGGGACGACCCCCAACTCCTTCGAATCCCGCCTTACCTGTCTCTGCTCGCTGTAATAGGCGGCGTTATCTGGATTCTTTTGCTCCCATTGCAAGAGTATTCCCGCCGGACATATATCTCGGAAAATGCACTCCTTCCGGGACAGGTACATACTTATTTCGGTGGAAGCGAGCAACATATCTTTCGAGCTTACAAGCATGAATTGTCGACTGTGTTCGAAGCACCTCACAGCAATGGAACATCATCCCCTCAGGAAACACGCCTCGTCCAAGACTCCAAATCAGCCAAGATTCAACAATTGTTCCAAAGTGCTGGCTTGAAGACGGCCCGACAACGGTACTCGTATACTTCCTCCGGCAACACATATGAAGGGGAGAATGTCCACGCGATCCTGCATGCTCCACGAGGGGATGGGACTGAAGCAATTGTTCTATTAGCGGCGATGAGCAACATTGACGGGGCCAAGAACATCAACGGCGTAACGTTACTGATCTCGTTGGCACGTTACTTCAAGAGGTGGTCGCTTTGGTCGAAAGATATCATCTTCTTGGTTACTCCAGACTCGACGACTGGCCCGCAGGCTTGGATGGACGCATATCACTCCACGCACGATCCCACACATGTCCAGGCCATTTCTTTGAAATCTGGCGCCATACAAGGCGTGATTTGTATTGACTACCCGTTTGAACATCGCTTCGAGGACTTCCACATTGCGTATGATGGCATCAACGGGGCGCTTCCAAACCTCGATCTTTTCAACACTGCCGTCACAATTGCCTCCGGCCAAATGGGAATCGGCGCCTCGATCCAGTTTCAACATGAATACACTCAGAAGGAGAACCAAGCATCCTACCCCGCTCGCCTGCATACCCTGGTGAAGGGCATGTCGTCTCAAGCACTGGGCCATGCCACAGGCCCGCATTCAAGCTTCATGAGCTATCATATTGACGCAATCACTCTTACTGCCATTGGAAATGGATGGCAAGATGAAATGGCGTTTGGGAGGACGGTTGAAAGCATTTGTCGGAGTTTGAACAATCTCCTGGAAAAGCTACATCAAAGCTTCTTCTTCTATCTCCTGATGCAGACCAACCGCTTCGTGAGCATCGGCACTTATCTTCCTAGTGCCATGGCGATTGCAGCATCCTACACTATCATGGCAATCCACCTCTGGGTCGTGAGTGGCTATAAAAAAGTTCCACGGCCGATCGCTGCCCCCGGTACCGTCGCCAAAAAAGAGCAGACTCTACTTAAAGAGGCTTCAGATTCAGATGCAAAAAATGCTCCCAAGAGTTCTCCCACACCTGAACCCGTCGATCGAAAACTGATGCTGCCCATCACACTTGTCACGGCGGTCCAACTTGGATCACTGATACCACTCTACCTCCTAACCACACTCGGTGTGTCCTCGTTGCCAATCACATTTACGATCCTCTCATTGTGTACTCTTGTTCTTCCTGCTATTCTCGCGTCGATCATCACAAGCACCCCCTCGAATTCTCCGACGGTGGAAGAGTTCACTCTGATCAAATCATTGAGCCTCCTTGTTCTTGGTCTGTCACTAACGGTACTGGCCACGCTGAACTTCAGCCTGAGTATGGTACTGGGACTCATCTGCATACCACTGGCGTTTGTTGATAGGACGCCAAATAGACCACGACTTGCAACGCTGCAGTATCTCGTACTCGTCATCCTCAGCCCCGCAGGCGTGGCTGCGGGACTTTTGGGATATGCACATGTTGCTTTGGGAAAGGATGGGCTATTATTGGAATGGCTTGCGCGATTTGCCTTTGGCTTCAATATCTGGGGCAGCTGGGGTGTCCCCGTTGGAGTCTTGTGCATTTGGCTACCAGCCTGGGTGATCAACCTGACTGTTGTTGCCAGTACATGGTTTTCATAGAAGTATAGATGACTAACATACAGTCACAAGAAATGGCGGTCTATTCATATCCAGAATCGAATCCAACATCTATTTCACGTCCGCTCACGATGCGAGGCTGAAGCACTAAATGAAAACCACCTTCTCGGCGCTGACTTTAAGAAGTCAGAGGTGTACGTTACTCTATATTATTGACTCGGTGAGGGGGATTATCCTGAGTCAAGACTGTAGACCGAAGATCCTCGGTTACCACTTGCGGTGACCAGGTGAGATACAGACTTCAGACTCGTAAGTATCGACGGATCGAACAACATAATATAACCTCACCACACTCAAGCCTTCTGTCAACCACAGATTGAGCCATTCTCATTTGACGTTGGCCTCCAGCAAAGACTCTTAGAATTCAACGACCTCGGTAACCAGCATGGCAGAGTCAAATCCTATTGGGGTCGACACCAGCACCAAAGTCGACAAAGGTCGTTGTCTATGTGGAGCAGTCACATTCGAGATTCGCGGCGAGCCAATCTATAACGTCATCTGTCATTGTGTAAATTGCAAGTAAGTCTCTTCGTATGATCCTGTCGAGATTCGATTTCGCTAGAGAAGTATCCGACATGTGGCGACTATGAAAGATGAACGAAAATTGTATCTTGAGACACATGAAACATACCTACACTACGAACAGACGAACAATTTCTGACATGTGCTTTCTACCATTGATGTAGACGACAGGGCGGAAGTACATTACACACAGCGAGCATATTTCTAAAAAGCGTGAGTTTGGTTTAAAACTCACATCATCCATGGCCTTGACTTCACTCAATGCATTCATCTCAATGATCGGTTCCCAAGACTAACTGGGTACCTTACCACCAACCAGCAATATACAATACATACCGGCTCGTCCAACATCACCATCTACAATGACCCAGAGACCTTATCAGGACAACCTCTTCAGCGGGCTTTCTGCAAGATATGCGGCTCCAAGATCTCGGCCTCGACTCCTCTAAACAAGGACATCATTAGCATCCCTGCAGGCATACTCGAGACGGCTGGATTGGAATGGGTGCCTCATAAAGAGCAGTTTTGTAACACCAAGGCTATGTGGGTGCCTGATTTCGGAGATGGGATTGTTCAGAAGTTTAAGCATGGACCGGGTGGGGAGATTATTAAGGAGTGACGTGATTTGACGATCAGGAAGGGGGGAGGGGAGAAGGGTGAGTGGTCTTAGGTCATGGATAGATTTGGAATTTGAGGAATTGGTGAAGACTTGATCTTCATCATTGTTTCATGATATATCGTGACGTGGCGAGTAGGTGTGCTCTATTTACTGTACCAGCAGGTATCGCCACCAAAGATATTCGGACAAGATCAGATATTTCCCTAAACTTCGCATGCCATCTATAACTTGCTGTCCTTTTGCTGTTTGGTTTCTTGATCCCGTTTCAGCTCCTTCATCTTGATCAGGGCATAGAGAGTCTGTAACCGTGGCATCTCATACCCCTTATCTCGAGCAAGACGTAATGGATTTCCCAAAATGACCTCTACCTCCATTGCTTTTCCACTCTCCCAATCCTGAGCCATACTTGGCTTACTACCACTTGTGTTCTTTTGCGTCGACCGGAGTAATTGGTCTGAGGTGGCGAATTCGGCTGGAAACGGGGTCCCCACTACCTTGGGTGCAGTTGTGAGAACTTCATCCATGAGAGCCTTGAGATGTGTGTGCATTTCTGGGTCGAGTGACATTTCTTGATTGTTCGCCCCGCCTGAGAGGACCGATGAAGGGTTCATGGCGGCGTTGATGGCGATTTTGTGCCATCGCACTAATTGCAGTTTCTCATGGGTGTCGCATTTGGTGTCCTTGATCCCACCGTTCAGTAACAAATCGACAAAGGTCTGGTTCTGTGTGGTCGCGCGTGATTTCGCCGAGGTTGAGGTTGAGTCTGTAAAGTACGGTCCAATGTTGATTCTCGTCCAGCGATTATGCTTGATAAAGCCGTGTCTGGGCTGAGCACAAGTGGCAATGGTGACGGCTGACAGGATGGTCGATTGAGGGAATCGTCGAGCGTATGGTTCTTCAACACCAAGTCCATTCTGGATTAATACAACCGCCGTCGAGTCGTGTACCAGTCCCTCCAATAGCTTCGAGTCGTCTGACACATTTGGTAAGGCCTTGGTGCTTACAACGACGTAGTCCCAAGCCACTTTGCTCTTTCGCGCCGCATCCGGCGAGGGGAACACTCGCGTTGGTTTCCAGGTGTAATCACCGAATTGAGGCGAGGTGATTCTGAATCCATCGGCCTGGACGGCTGAGTAGTTGGACCGGCAAACTACCGAGACATTGATGCCGGATACCTGGGCCACGCGCGAGCCATAGAAGGCTCCGATGGCGCCAGCCCCGAAGAAGAGGACTTCTCGTGGCATGACTCTGAAGTGAAGGATTTCGAGATGATGCAGAAGATGTGAAGTGTCTAGAGCATGACGAATGGATCAATATCAATTGGATGTGGAGGTTACCCCATTGAAAAGGGAAATACCGAGGCCACAGCTACGCATAATTGTTTAAGCGGGGTGGCATCATCAGTCACAACCTGGCCCTCAACCTGATAATCTTATGAGATCCTAGGAATTGGTTGGGTCAAATACGCCATGATACCTTAGTAATGAGTACATGTAGTATAACTGTCTCAAGACAAACTAGCTATGTCCTTTGAATGTACTTCTTGACCTGATATTTCTGGTGAGGTTTGCCTCCACCATCTTGCACGGCCACACTCGCCAAGGTCACTATGACGCGTTGTGGCTGAAGCCATGTAGGCACTCACACCCACTGCAAGTCACCACCAACCAGTCCTGCAATCAACCATCAACTTCAACGCGGTCGACTTGCAAGGCTTTGACTGGACGAACCTGTGTGCACTCTTGCTTGGACGTCACTCTGCCCGGCTCAGGCAGACACATTTCCATTTTCTCGTTCATAACGAGACAGTAGCTGTGCCCTAGAAGGTGGAGGGCCATATTAACCCAACAAAAACGCTTACTTGCATCTCAGCCATTCAGGCCTGACGTGTTTGTTTGAGATTTGGCCCCAGAATTCTCCCCTGTGGTTTAGGTGATTATAACCCTCTTTCCCCTTTCCCTGAGAGTAGTATGACCGTGCAATTCATCATCTTAATCAACTTCATCATCTGTCTTCTAATCCAAGATTCGATCTCTCAATTTATTCCTTTGCCAGAATCTCCTTCACTCGATTCCATCATGGGTGGTGGTCGTGGTATTCGATCTGTTGTGTATTATGTCAACTGGGCACCCTACGGACGAAATCATCATCCTTTCGATCTTGCCCCCCAAAATTTGACCCACGTCCTGTACTCATTTGCAAACGTCCGTCCTGAGAGTGGAGAGGTCTATCTTACCGATCCCTGGTCTGACACGGACAAACACTACGACGGTGACCGGTGGGATGACGCTGGCACTAATGTCTATGGCTGTGTCAAGCAATTGTTCCTGCAGAAGAAGAAGAACCGTAACCTCAAGGTCTTGCTGAGTATTGGTGGCTGGACCTATTCTTCCAATTTTGCCCAGCCTGCCAGCACCGATGCTGGACGGAAGCGATTCGCTGAAAGCTCTGTCCACTTGTTGGAAGACTTGGGATTTGACGGCATCGACATCGACTGGGAGTACCCAAAAACCGAGGCCGAAGCCGATGATCTTGTTCGATTGCTGCTCGAGACCAGACGGGCTCTAGACCACGCCGCCTCAAAACGCCAGCAACCTACCAGATTCTACCTCACAGTCGCTTGCCCGGCAGGCCCATCCAATTTTCAAAAGCTCAAGATCCCCGAAATGGACCGACTGCTTGACTTCTGGAACCTGATGGCTTATGATTATGCTGGGTCTTGGGATCAGCGTGCTGGACACCAGGCAAACCTGTTTCCGTCCTTGACCAACCCTGAGACTACTCCGTTCAGCACCATCGCCGCCGTTGAGCATTACACCAGACACGGTGTTCATCCATCGAAACTGGTGCTGGGAATGCCGCTATATGGACGCACATTTTTAGCCACGCAGGGTCCTGGACAACCATACAGCGGGGTGGGAGAGGGAAGCTGGGAGCAAGGAGTATGGGACTATAAAGCTTTACCCAAGCCCGAGAGCACCGAACATCACGACCCCAACATTGGTGCCAGTTGGAGTTACTCCTCTGCTAGTCAAACCATGATCAGCTATGACACCCCAGCGGTTGTGGAACAGAAGGCTGCTTTTGTGCGGGATTACGGTCTTGGTGGTGGTATGTGGTGGGAATCTTCGGCAGACAAACCCGTTGATGGAGGGAGCCTCATCCAAATCTTCTTGAACCATGCTGGAGGATCTGTGCAATTGGACGAGACGCCCAATTGTCTTGACTATCCTGAGACCAAGTACGACAATTTGCGGAACAAGTTTGAGTGATCAGATGCAGTGCAGCGAAGAAACACAACCGAGAGCAATTGGGGCTACTGTGGTGCCCACTATCAATCAGTCAGAACCTCGCCGAAAACAACCATCTTTGTCATGGACATTCCACGAGAGGACAGATCATATCTGGTAGATCAAGTCGTTCGGCTATGTGGCCAAATGGGGTATTCATTCCGTAGAGGCATCATACGAGTACTCCGTAGGTACGTTGATGAACCTGGGGCTTCGTCTCACTTTGAGTCCACCTGATTGACCTACAGACAAGAAGAGATTGCAAGTGTGCCACTTCGAACTCTATGTACAGCACTATGCAAACAGTGTAGACAGTGCTGGAACAATACTACTGTTTTCAATCCTCGCCATGATCTTCTCGGCGGGAGAATGTGCTGGATCTTCCTGTATACGCAAGTACGGGAGATTGAAGTTCTCGAGAGTCAAGGTGGCCACTTTACGTATGATCTCGCCACCTCGTGACCCTCCGTAGGAAGCCACGTTCGATAGCCTTGGTCTCATGAAGCGCGCCGAGGAGCGAGCGATGATTGTGGTCTCGCTTAGGATCCTTCAGCGGACTCGAGTTACCCGCAGCCACAGAGGAGGGGCTACAGGCAACAACAAGTGTGAGAGCCGAGAGAATCAACTAAGAACCAAAACTCGAAAACGAGTATCAGGAATGTCGAGAAGTGGTTTTTGCTGTCTGACTTGGACATAGCGAAGTAGATACTATACATACCGTATCTGGATAGATGTTGTATCAAGAAATCCAGTTTTAGGGACGAGCAGGTGTGTTGGAGTTTGTCACTTTTTGTCACTTTGTCCAAGCATACGAAGTCTAGCTTCCTGGTAGTTCCAGACTTTCTAGGCCTGTCATTCTCGTAGACTCGGTCCAGTCTGAAACTCAAACCCTAAACTGAATGACTGATGAGTCCAGCTTGCGACGATCTGTGAAACTGACGCTGTGGCTCAAACAAAGCTCGGGTATAAACCAATGATGAGCCGGTGCCTGGGCAGCGAGCGCATGGGCCCTCGGGCCCCTCGGCCCTTGGCCTTAGGGGTCCTTGGGCCGATCCTTCCTCGGTTTGGGCATTCATCTTGTCCTCGTAGCTTGCTTAGCCCCCCAGAAGCACCCCCCATTGAACCCCGCCAGCCCGATGGCCTCAAGCGTTGATTCACCCCGCCACCAGCGACCTGCGCGTGGCTTGCAGAGGCCACATGTGTAGAGAGGAATGTACGTGCTACGCAAAAGGGCGAGTGGCACGAGTGGGGAGATTCCATTATCAATCCACACCCTCTTTTAGAACTACTGGACCCTCAGAATGGACTCTGAATGTACGTACAATGCACCAATTTGGGCATCGAGCAGAGGCAAGTGGCTCTTTGCAACCATGTGCCTGGCTCAATCACATACGTTGGCCATAAGGTAATGGCTGAAAGAAGTTATCGCCCAGCGTGGAGCTCGTTTATGTCGCCAGGGTTTAATTTATCATCATCCTTTAGCGAGGTCCTATTCTCTTCCAAAAATCACGATGAAAAGTGGACGAAAACGCACAAGGTTGTGCACAACGCCTCTTTGAATTCAATTTATGATTGAGAGTGGTGCTGAGTCCGGATTGGAATGTGTAGTTTGTTCTGGACTGCGCAGCATTGACCATGGTTGGCATTGGAATTGAAACTCATGTCGGTCGCCAAAATAAGCGACGATGACAGCAAATTGACACCGGCCGCGAACATGAATTTGACGCTCAGCAATGCGGTTTCTGCTGTACATCGAGAGATGCACCACATGTGCATAGGTTCCGTAGTGAAATCATCTCGCTCAATTCGAAAGCCAAGGTCATGTTCGCTATGCTTTTTGGTGCCAATTTTGAAGCCCTTCGAGCCGAGATGTCCCAGTGAAACTAGCTGATTCTTGCCACTTGTTTGTAGTACGAGTAGGTGGTGGTAGGCACAGTGGCACAGTAGCCTGAGGTACCTGCAGCATATTTCACCCTTTGCAGCATTACTGGTGCTCACAATGCTGCAGCCTCACGCAGGACGCAAGTTGCACGAGCCACTCGAGCTGATGCATATTTACTGTTGCAGAGTGCCAGATCAGTAAGTGCTAATGTCACTCATGAAGATCCAAGTTTCAGCACTACGGGTCAGAGGGGAATTTGCGGCATTCCAACACAGAAAAATAAAAGTACGAGATATGCATTATTGTAGCGTAGTCTGGTAGGTGGTTCTCGCCTGGGCCAAGGTGCAGTTTGACCGTGCGAGAATTGAGTTTGATACCCCTGATCTACTCAGGCCTACCCACCTCTGCAACGAATCAGCTCTTAGGTGCCCTCGAGGCGGCCGAAGGGCCCAAAGGGCCCCTCCGGCCTTCCTTCGTACGCTTATGCGTAGGTAGCGTGGTAGGAAAGGTAGGTAAGATCAGCCAACCTCGTTTCTTGGCATGACACTTTTCCACGGGGCGAGTCCTGAGTGCCACATACTTGATGGGTGGCAGATCCCCAATGATCTGTCCCTTCCAGCCTTGAGTTTGGTCATGACAGTGAATGCTCACAAAAATCTACAATAATGTGCATCGAGTTGGTACAGACCAGGCGTCTTCTTGACACTTGTGTGAGACCAGAGTTGTCGTCAGGTCATCACTTGTTAATTCTAGGCGACCTCGTTATTGGAGACGCCAACACTTTCGCCTATATATAGGCGGTAGGATGGTCGGCTACGCACACCGTCGAGGATAAGACGCATACTCGGATAGGCAGCTACTGGACAAGACTTGGTCTATAGGCTTCTTGGATGTGTTTGCAGTACATTGGCCCTCCGCTCGCCCATTTCAACGTCCGTTTGCGCCTTGCAAGATTGACTGTTGTCCATGCAGGCCCAAAAAGCCCACACTCCAGATTCCAAGCGGGCCTGTGGCACTGCGGGCCATCTTCCAAGAAACCATCCCGTTTGGCGCCCGGTCCACACCACCTAAAGTGACGCTCTCTTGACTTTAGCTGCCGTCCTAACTCTAGTGACCCCTTCCTATCAATCTAGCGTGACCCCACGCACTTCTGAATCAAAAGTCAAGACTCAAAGTGCACGCCGATCAACTCCTATGACTTTTAGCGGGAGACACCCTGGCAATGGGCACTGAGTCACTCATCTTGACAGCCATTCAGCCACGCATATTTCCGGACTGTGGGTGTGTCTGCCTCGCAGGGGTAAATGACACTTCCCCATACTCGGGAGCCTGAAGACCATTTGCACACACCCAATAAACTCCTTGACGCCCAAAGAGCCCGTGTGGCAGCTGCAGCTTACAGGGCAGCAAAGTGTCTGCAGTTTCCAACTGCTACTGATGAAGGGTTGCCTGTTGCATGCAGACACCCTCTCACACTGTAATCGTCCGTCCCCCGGTTCCATCCCCCCCAGTCTTCCAGTTCAGGTTCGCTCATGATCTTCTACCCTGCCGCGACCTCCTATTCTCTCACGTCGATTCGTTCCCGCCCTGTGGTTCCTGGTTCCTGGATTCTCACCTCTTCGATATCCTCGACTTCGGTTCGTGCAGTGCGCCTGTTCTTATCTGACTCCTCCTGCACTCTCTACACCAACCAGCATCGCCCACATCTCTCATCCCATCTCACCTGGCCTCCATCTTGATTCTTCACCCCCTCTCACGCGCTTCCTCGCCCACCCCTCCCTCCAAGCCTTCGGCCTTGGACCTGACCTTGGACCTTTGTCAACACCGTCAACCTTGCTGTCAACATTTCTGTTTCCTCGTCCCAAGCCTATACTAGCCACCTTCTACTACAGCCAATCTTCCATCTCTCTCTCGGGTGGGCCTCTTGCTACTTTGGTCCCAATTCAAACTGTCTGCAACTCTTCCTGCGCCGGTCGCATTGGTCCATATCTCTGATAATCCTTTCTTACCCAACTCGACTCCAGTCTCTCCTCGATCGACTCGAACTCTTCGCTATCTACCGACCGAGCCTCAGAATTGTGGTGTGCCGTCTTCGTCAAATCCCTCCTCGCCTATGCGCCGTATTTGATGTCTATAATCAATTCTGAAATCCCTCGCTCCTGACTCTGGTGTCAACCCTCCTGTTACCACTCCTTTACCACTCCTTGACCACCATCATTGCGAATAGATGAGCTTTTCAAGGCGGTCCGACGTCCCTCAAAGGATCTCGAGCGCCAAAGAACGATCCAGGACTCAACGTAGCAAGAACAGCGACATGTCTGTCGCTACCATGTTACAACCGGCCTCGCGGGCCTCCACCTCGACGAATTCCTCCTTCGAGCCCGTGAGCCGCCAGAATACATTCTCCAGTCACGATGGCTCTCGGTCATTGCGCCAGAGCAAACGCGTCAGTATGACGGCTTTGTACGTCAGCATGAGTGCCAAAGATAAAGACTTGGAGATCAGTGACGACCTCGCAAGGGCCCAACGCACCCTACGAGACCTTAAAGCCAAAATATCAAATCAATCCAAGAAAAACTTTGTCCTCGAAAAGGATGTACGCTATCTAGATTCTAGAATTGCCTTGTTGATCCAAAATCGCATGGCCTTGGAAGAGGTAAGATTCGATGATCTCCCACACGACCACCTGGCTAATCCATGTCCAGCAAAACGAAGTAGCGAGCCACCTCGATGACGCTGCTGAATTGCAAGAAGGTTCCTTTCCAAACGATGAAAAAACACAGAAATATGGCAACCTTCTCTTCTTGCTACAGTCCGAACCGCGGCACATTGCCCATTTGTGCCGCTTGGTCACCATGGCGGAGATTGACTCCCTCCTCCAGACAGTCATGTTCACAATCTATGGAAATCAGTACGAGAGCAGAGAAGAGCATCTGCTCCTGACCATGTTTCAGTCTGTTCTCACCCACCAATTCGAAACCACCCCCGAATATTCATCCCTCCTTCGCCAAAACACCCCAGTGTCGCGCATGATGACAACATATACACGAAGAGGTCCCGGCCAAAGCTTTCTGAAGGAGGTGCTGGCCGAGAAGATCAATGCTCTCACCGAGTTGAACGATGTCGACCTTGAGATCAACCCCTTGAAAGTGTACGAGGCCATGGTCAAACAGATCGAAGAGGATTCTGGCTCTCTCCCAGAAGATCTGCCTCGATCTGTGACCGCCGAATTCGCGGCGGAAAACTTTCAGGTCCAGGCCATCATTACTCCTCGGTTGAAGATGTTGACCGAGATCGCGGAAGGGTTTCTTTCCGCCATCATCGAGTGCCTGGAGGAAACACCCTATGGCATTCGATGGATCTGCAAGCAGATCCGAAATCTGTCGCGTCGTAAATATCCCGACGCGCAAGACCAGTCCATCTGTACGCTCATCGGCGGCTTTTTCTTCTTGCGCTTCATCAATCCAGCAATCGTCACCCCCAAATCTTATATGCTGATTGAGAGAGTTCCCGACGAAAAGCCCAAGCGAACATTGACCTACATTGCCAAGATGCTCCAAAATCTGGCCAACAAACCGTCCTATGCCAAGGAGCCCTACATGGCGAAACTACAGCCCTTTATCCAGAGGAACAAGGACAGGTGCAACAAGTTCATGCTTGATTTGTGTGAGGTCCAGGATTTCTATGAAAGCCTCGAGATGGATAACTACGTTGCCCTCTCCAAGCGTGACCTGGAGTTACAAATCAGTTTGAACGAGGTTTACGCGACCCACGCTCTTCTGGAGAAACACAGTACAGAATTGGCCAGTGATCCTTCTTCTCACTTGGGAATTCTCCTCCAGGAACTTGGTGTTGCACCGCCTCAATTGCCCAGGAAAGAGAATCGAGCTATCAATCTCCCCTTGTACAGTCGATGGGAGACCTCCTTTGACGATTTGACCCATGCATTGGATATCACACAGGAGGAAATCTTCTTCATGGAAGCCAAGAGCACATTTGTCCAGATCATGCGTAGTCTTCCACAGAACGCACATGTCATGAGACGCCCATTGCGTCTGGACCGCATCGCCGAGGCGGCAGGCACGTTGAAGAATGATGCTGTCATGGTCCGCAAAGGCATCAGATGCATGGAGCTTTTGACCCAACTGTCAGAATTGGGAGTCATGGATAGAGGAGATGACTATGCCGTGCTCCGTGATGAAGTTGAGCAAGAGCTTGCGCACTTGGGTTCGCTGCGGGAGAAGGTGGTAGAAGAGACGACCAAGCTGGAAGATGTGTACAAAACGATACGGGATCACAACGCGTATCTTTTGTCGCAACTCGACACCTACAAAAACTATCTGCACAATGTCCGCAGTCAGTCCGAAGGGACCCGGCGAGGCAAGGCAGAGAAAGTCCGCGAACTGGGTCCTTACAAGTTCACGCATGCGCAACTCGAAAAAGACGGCGTCATCACTAGGAGCAACGTGCCAGAGAACCGGCGAGGTAACATTTACTTTCTCTTCCGGAGCCCACTGGCGGGCACTTTCGTCATCAGTCTCCATTACAAAGGTATGTGATTTGGTCACCTTGAGGAAATGAGTTGATGACTAACAAACCTTGACAGGCCGCGCGAGGGGACTTCTGGAACTCGATCTCAAGTTAGACGATCTTTTGGAAATGCAAAAGGATGGCCAGGACGACCTCGATCTAGAATATGTGCAGTTTGATGTTTCCAAGGTGCTGACACTGCTCAACAAGAGATTTGCGCGGAAGAAATAGTGGCACCTTGGTATGACGGCATGGACACGCACACACGGTCGCCACCGAGAGCAACGACATCAGAGACGAACTGGGAATGAGACACAGATCCAAAGGGAAATTCCGGGCATGACTGGTGTGAGGAAGTGCTGAAAATGTTGGGCCATTTGCACATCGCAGATGATGGCCTTCTGAAGGGTTCTTTATATACGGGGGCACTCGTTCTGTTATCGTGTCACCGTATTGGAGCAAGCAGTAGGAGGTTGATATCGAAAACCTTGGGAGAGCCGGAGAAGAACCTGCTCTCACTTTGATGTAATGGCCCAAGAGCGGCTGAGGGTTTGGGAGTAATATTGCCAGGGCAGTGATTTGAGAGGACGAGTTGGACGAACTGGAAGGATACCACTGTACTAATAGGATTACCGTCTTGAGGTATTTTGGAATTGCATTGGACGTTTTGTCCTTTTTGATGCAACATTGATCTTTTGAATCTAGCAATTAGAGAGGGCGATTTGTTGGGAGGGACATGTGATTGCCACTAATAAGTTTTAGTGACCAAAGAGGGCATTTGTACTATTTACTCGGTGGATTTGCAGTACTGATCTTCTGGTAGTCTGCCGTTGGCGACCGAGTCATCTGGCTTATAGGTGTGTAATGCCTACCTATGGATGAACAGCCGGGGTCATTGCAGCTTGCGTTGACTTTTTCCTGTGCGTACCTACAATACGGAGTACCTATAGGTATCTCAAATGCGGGGCCGGGGCCGGGGCCGGATAGGCCTCCACGATTCTAGCCCCTCAGGGCCCGACGCGGCCGAGGAGCCCTCGAGATGTTAACTGGCATACCCATAGGGGACAGGCCTACCGTAGTTCTCCCAGACCCTGTTCAGACCCGCAGGCTCTACTACAGAGTACTGATAAGCCCTTCGGCCCCAAGTCCCCAGAGGCCGGACACATAGAGCCACAGAGCATACGGCATAGAAGCCAAGCTAAAATGATCAACGGTGACACCAATCCAATCGTATCACGAGTCTGCCACTCCTCATGGGATTATCCAGCGGCTGCCTGCGATTTGCCTCCCTGCCTTTCTGCCTGCCTACACGGATGGACAGGATACGGTACACTGTGGCTCCTCATCTCGTGGTCTTTTGCTCTTTCTGCCGCTGCTACGGACTCCTTACAGTGCTACGGACTTGATCCATCTTCCTTATCCCCACCTCATCCACTCGACGTTTGACGGCAGCCTTGTGAAACTGCACCTCATTCCATTCAACTTCACATTCTCGACTCAACTCGACAAACATCCCACTTTGATTGATCATCACTCATCACATCTCCTTCCTCTCTATCCAGATCTACATATGCATTGATCTACCTAATAGCCACAAAGCTACGGCGAAGTCATCATGGACGCCTCTCCACGCCCCAACTCTCCTCTCCTCCCTCCCTTCACCATCCGCGATCTGAATGGACCAGAGGTTCCTCCTGCTGTGATCCAAATCACCGGTGGCCAGTATAACTCTACCATCAATTCTGAGCCCGATGCCCGCCTTCAATATGTCGATCACACTGATGGTGAGATCATCACTGTTGGCAGTACCTTCGAACTCCAACAACGCCTTGACGAACCGGTTGATGAGCCTCGACGTGTTGTTCACTGCATCCCACATCGCGCTACACAACGCCGGGAAGAACATCTGATTCATATTTTTGACATCAAGAAGTCATCTGCCAGTCTGGCCATCTGGAGGGAGCATGAGGCTTATACAAGCAAGGCACTCAGACAGCCTAATACATCTGAGTCTACCACGACTTCCACTGCACCAGCCGTGTCTCCAGATCGTTCTTCGTCGGCCACTTTTGAGAATGTTTCGGCCGAGTCCACCATCAGTGCATCATCAGAATCCAAGCCGGAACCTGTCTTGACTTCAATGCCACCTACTCGACCGGCTGCCGCCTCTGAAGCGGACCTGGCTTTCACCGGATTGCTCGAAACCCTTCAGTCTCAATTGGTACCTCTAGCAAACATTCTCGACGCCACAGCAGACGGTCTTCGCAGGGCCGCAGAGAAAACCACCGAAGCTGATGCAACCGCTGCGGAGGATGTCTTGACTGGCTTCAAAGGCATCTTCGCCGAACTTGGTGCTATGGGCCGAGAGTTTCTGTCTTCTCTCGATGCAGAATTCCAAAAGACGAGGGATGCCGCGTCTAGCCCCGTGCCTCACGACCTCCCGGTCCCCGAACCCTCTCAGCCAGATTTCAACCCCACCATATCCCACGTCCAGACAAAGGTCGATCCTGCGTGGAAACGGGTCAGTTTCGCCGTCCCCAAGGTGAATAAGCCTTCGATGCAGAAGAGTTCCCTGGCAGAAACCAAGATTCCGAATGCAACTTCTGCAGACTCCATCCCTCGACCAGGCGATCACGTTGTCAATGCCAGGGCTCATGATGATGGTTCCAACCTTTCGCAGACCAAGAAAGAAACAGAGTCTACGGTCGATCGCCCTTATAGCTTCCTGGACAAAGTACCCAAAGCCGTGTTGACCTGGCCACCACCACCTCCGCCTAGATTGTCCAATAAGCCACTAAGCCACAACAACTCAACCTTCTTTCTGAACTCGATTCTTGATGCAGAGACCACAGATCCCGATTTTTCTGTTCGCTACCCCCCTCTGATGTCTGTTAGAAAGTCGAAGAGCGTGGGTGCCTTTCATGATACAACCAAAACCGATCAGGTTGGGGGTTCAGCTGGGCACACTACGTCCGCCTTGACTCGCTATCCCAGCATTCCCCAGTTTGAGGAGCAGAATCGGGCCAAGGTCGCCAGCACTCAAAATTCAAAGGCATATGGATTTTGGGAGCCTCTTCCTGGGAACAAGGCCAACATGCCTGTTCCTGCGGCTCGAGCTTCGGACAATGCATCGTTTTCTCGCACCAGCTTTTCCAGTGGCGCAGACACAATCTCCCTTCCGACGGAAGAACAGACTGAAAAGCAGAAGACGACTCCTAGCGTCGTACCGGAAGACAAACCGAAACCCTCCCAGCTTGTGAGAAACATCCCAGGATCATGGCCCGAGCCTCACTCGAATGACTGGTTCGCGCCCAAGCCCTGGCCCAGCTTCTCCTACGAGACGCCGCTTGCTACTTATGAGCCTGCGCATGACTTTTCTGCTAGAGTCAGCAGTCCCGGTGTTGAGTCGTACTACCGAGCTCCTATTTTCCCCAGAAGAAACCAAACAGTGTCAGGAACAAACCCTGCTGCCAGATTGAATGGTCCCTTTGACCCCTTGGCATCACTCCCAACCTTCCGCCCCAAGGCACAAAAGTCTCAGCCAAATCTGAAAATCGATGAACAGAAGTCAAAGACCGAAGTGTCAACCAGACTTCCTCAGCGTGGCCACACTGTGCACCATACAGACCGTGGCCGAGCGCCTTCTGCAATGAGCCCACCGCTTGCTTGGAAACCACCTACGCTATGGGATGGATTTGTCCAACGAGGTCTTGGCCATGCGAAGTCGTTTGATGAATCCCTCTCTTCGGGACACTGGGAATCCTCCTCTTCCGGAGGCTGGGGTCAAAATGCGACACAGAGCAGCCTCCCTGGAACCGCATCTCAAGATACTTCCATCGCTGACAAACCCAAGGCCTCGAAAATAGCCTGTCGCCCTTGTATCACGTCGAAGATCAAATGTAACGGGCAGCGTCCACTCTGTAATCGGTGTTCTCAATCTGGGAAGCAGTGCTCATACCTTTTCGACTTACTCAATGTCGAGACGGCTCATCAAGAAGCAGTGCGAGAGCACCCATCGGGTGCCCCTTTGGACTCAAAGGGGGAAAGCACTGCGCCCGCAAACACTCTGCCGGTCATTGGACGTCCCGTTTTCCGTTCATGGTCTGATAGAGAAACGCAAGAAGCTGCCAAACCTGAGAGACCTGCCCACCCCCAACCATTCTTCGGATACAACAGTCCTCCTAGTCCAGTCTTCACCCTTGCAACCTCATCGGCAGCACGACGTGCCGAAGGGCCGATGCCACCGAGACACAGCCCACCTTCCGCCGCCACCGTAATCGAAACCTGTGTTCAGATGCTCAAGGACATGGGATATGGCAAGTCTGATGCGAACGAGCTTGCTCGTTTGAACGTCTATGCTGGCGCAGCTGCGGGAAATGTCGAGGACGCTATTGAGATGATTGAGGAAGACCGAGAAGCTATGCGACATTATGCCGAAGCAGAGGATTTGGACGACTTTAGGAGCCAAGTTGAGGACTTTAGCGCCAATGGAGAAATCCGTCTTTGAAGACTCGCTGCAATAGGAGCTAATTTCGGCATTTGCTAGGATTTTGCTCAATCGATGGGGGAAAGTGCTTCCCAAACGAATTGTCAATTGAATTGGCGACAACATAACTTAGTCATGGATAAGCCAGGACAACGATAGGGAAAGTTAGGGCTAGTGCCCGGGTTTCTATGATGCTTACGACGCAGAGATTGATTATGAGGATTCGAGATAGTTCTTGGAGTTTTTTTTAAAGTGGTGATGATGAATGGGACGTGACAGCAACCAAGTAGCTTGAGGACATATGTTCACGATGCGAGGATCAGTGCTCATTTCTTTTACTCGCTCACAAAATCAATTGATATCTGATCTGAAAACCTTTTGACCTTGACTGCGGTGCACACCAACTTAATAAGTATGCATCGACTCATGAGAGTTGTAAGGCTCTCCACTCCCACAACCGAGTGGAAGGAAACCACCGATAAATAATGCTTTTTAGCTTGTGATCTCGATTCGCAACAACTTCTACGAGAGCCCTGGTGCGCGGAATCTTGAGACCCTTTAAATCTCCCACTCCAATCTGTCTAGTCTTTGCTTATTTGTCATTTCCTTCTCTTATAGGTCTGATCTCTTCATATGAATCGATTGCAGGCTCTGTCGACCACTTCTTCATCAGACCTTTCTCGGCATATATTCCTCATCCATTCACTACCACAATCAATCCTTTAGAATGATCCGAGGTTTTCGGCAACGGCGAATGGAGCTTCGGTCTTGGACTTGATCTCATCGACGGTGACTCCATCAGCGACTTCGATCAGGGTTAGTCCGTGAGTGAAGTCGACATCGAATACGGCCTATAAAAAAAGCGAAGAAAGGGTCTTGTCAGTACTTTGTCCTCTTCAAACGGAAATGACGAAACAAGGGATGGGGACGTTCAAACTTACCAATTCAGTAATGATTCTGCTGACACAAGCCCGTCCAGTCAAGGGGAATTCGCACTGTTTGAGGATCTTGGGATTTCCCTTCTTGTCGGTATGTTCCATGAGAGCCACGACCTTTGTCTTTTCCGGGTTGGAGACCAGATCCATCGCACCACCGAATCCCTTGACCTTACCCGGCAACATCCAGTTTGCCAAGTCGCCACGAGCCGAGACCTGCATGGCGCCGAGCATACTCATGTTGATGCGACCTGAACGGATCATGCCGAAGGATTCTTCCGAGCCAAAGCACGAGGCTCCAGGCAATAATGTGACGGTTTCTTTGCCGGCGTTGATCAGATCGGGGTCTTCTTCGCCCTTGGCTGGGTAGGGACCGAGGCCGAGAATGCCGTTTTCGGACTGGAGTTGCACTTCGACGGAGGCGTCGACGAAAGATGGGGCTAGCATAGGCATACCAATACCCAGGTTGGCGTACATGCCGTTCTTGAACTCCTTGGCCGCGCGCTTGACGATGCGTTCGCGTTTGGATGCGGCTTCGCCCTTGCCTAGGCTGTCGGTCACGGATCCTTCTTCCTTGCGGTTGACTACTTTTTCAATGTTCTTCTCCGCGGTGGACTGGATGACCTTGGAAACGTAGATGCCGGGTAGGTGGATAGCGACTGGGTCAAGTTCGCCAACCTCAACAATGTTTTCGGCTTCGACAATGGTGACTTTGGCGTTTCGGCCCATGGCACCGTTGAAGTTGTTGGCGGCGAGTCGGAATTGACAGTTGCCCAACTTGTCAGCCTTGTAGGCCTTAACGAAGGCGTAGTCACCGGGGATGGCCTCCTCCATAACATAGCTCTTGCCGTTGAAGACCTTGACGTCGCGAGGTTGGCTGTAGTGTTTGATGGATCCATCCGCGTTGTGTTGGAGAGGGAGCTCGCCAGTCTGGACAACGGTTCCAAAGGCTGCGGGTGTGTAGAAGGCTGGAATACCCTTGCCTCCGGCAGCACAGCGTTCGGCGAGGGTACCTTGAGGGGTGAGCTCGAGCTGAATCTCACCAGTCAGGTATTGCTTTTCGAGCACTTTGTTTTCGCCAACATAACTGGCAATCATCTTCTTAATCTGCTTCGATTCAAGCAGTTTACCCAACCCGGCCCCAACGATGCCGGCGTTGTTGGACACTGCCGTGAGGCCAGTGATGGAGGTATTCTTAGCGACCTCATTGATCAGGGTGTCAGGTACACCACAGAGACCGAATCCACCACAGAGAATGACGGAACCGGAGGGAAGGTCCTTGATGGCTTCAGCGGCCGAGGGGACAATCTTGTTGATCTCATTTCTCCGCAGAGTGGAGGAGAATGATCTGGCGAGAAGAAGGTTTTGCTAATGGTAGCATGTTAGTCAGGTCGAGTCGCGTTGAAAGAATTGGAGGGAAGTGTCGAGATTGTCGACCTACTTTTCTTGAATCACGAGTCAAGTATCTGGCAGTCCGCAGACCTCTGCAGGACGCTCTGTATGAGGAATCGAGAAAGGACGACATGGTTGCAAGGAAGGTAGGTGAGTTTTCCAATTCCCTACTCTACTCCACCTAGGTGCTCTGCCACGGAAAGAAAGGGTCGAGGGAGAGGAGATTCGACGACGACGACGACGACGATGATGACTACACCGACGATGTGCTTGAGGAAGCAGTCAATCTGAGGAGAATGAGGAGAAAGGAAATCGTTTAGACAAAGAACCGAGAATCCAAGAGTGACAATCAAAATCGGAGAAGCAGCTGTAGTAGCAGTTGCAGAAGCACGAGGGAAAAGCGGAGGTTACAAGGCGGTATCGGCAGGTACCCCGGAATCATTCCCGTGGGTCAATGTTTATGTGAGTGTGAGTGTGTCTACGGAGTAGAGAATAAGACAAAAATACTGGTTCTTGGAAGCTGGGAACCATGGCTGGCACCCATGTTGCTGATGGCTCAAGCATCGGTACGGATCCGATAACTGTTGGTGTGGGGAGGCATGGAGAGGGGGTGCAACACCATAAACACACCCTTTCGGATGATGGTCTTTAGGCCATTTCCCCCATTCTCTCGGGGGCAAGGCGGCGCAACGGAATCAGTGCGTTTGTTTCGGAAGCGAACTCGGCAGGAGAGAAGAAGACGGCCCATGCCCCGGTTTTGGTTTTGGGTTTGGTGAGTTTTCATTGGTTAAGATTTTCGCACTAACCATCTAACCATCGTGCCATCTAACCTGAAGTGTCTAACCGTTTGTATCAATCTCTCCAGTCATTGTCGTTGGAGATGGGCTGCCGGGTATCCACTTCTTTCAACAACGATTATTTCCTGGTTGATGAAATTCGACCGAGAAGTTCAAATCATTTCTATCCGGACAATAATCGAATCGTCGCTACAGTGAGAATTAGCCCGAGAACATGATTAGTACCTACACTATCACACTAAAGGGAGATGATGCCAGACACGACAAGACGCGGCGAGTATACTGAAATATCGCCGGTCCATCACCTCGGTGGACATTCGGAACTTTCCAAACTCAAATCATGTAGTGTACCTACCAGGCGTGCCTACGGAGTACCACGGAAAATCCGTAGGCGTGCCATGTGTGTCAGGTACGTGTACTTTGTACGGAGTAGGTTGTTTAGTTTAACGACCAGTGAGGGCTACTCCACTTTTGACTATTCATCAAAGATTGGCGTGAATGCCAATATTATTGTTTCCAATGCATGGAAATCTCTAGGCTCATAAAAAAAGGCCATAGGAATACATGATACATATAATTCCCAATCTCAATTCATAACTGCACGCATGCTCCCAATATCACACCGTCATGCATCCAAATATGATAATCATTCTTCGTCCTCAGGATCTGCTACCGATGCAGCACTCCAACTTGCACCAACCGTTGCTGCCAGACTTCCGCTGACTGCACGGCTAGTTTGTGTAACAGAATATTCAGGATGATGATGAGCTGCCTCTCCAGACGGATCATCTAATCTGATTCGGGCGGCTTGAAAGTCTTGCAGAGAAAGACTCGCGTCAGATTCATCCTGATCAACCCCCTCTTTGTCAGTTGAACTGGACGTCCACTGCCACAAGAGGTCTGCTGGGATGGGCGACTCATCTGGCGATGTCGATTCACTGTCACTGCTGTCGCCGCTATCTCCGCTGTTGCGCCAACTCATTCCGCTGGCGTCAGAGCTTGATGTAAAGAATCCGTAGCTTGGTGGAGGGAGTTTCGATGGTTGTAACGCCAATTGGACACATGAGTCGACCTCATAGTCAAAAATGGGTTGTTGCGGTCGAAGCCCGCCTGTTCGTGTGACCACTGGAGTCTCTTTGGTCGCAGGATTAGGCTTGGTGATTGCCGATCGTATCACTTTGACATCAACGGCAAAATTCTCCGCAGGACAGACTCCTCCAATTCCAGATGCAGGTAGCTCGATTGGCTGCGTTTCGTCTTCCCCAGAAAATGTGATTGGATCGAGAGATAATTCGAGATCGTCACAATCGCTTCCCCATTCAGGTTCAATGTCTTTACTTTGGCGGAAGAAATAGCAGGCATTGAGATCTCGTTGAAACTCTTGCAAGTCGACGGGTTCTGAGACGCCGATAATTTTTCGTGAATCGACCTCGACAGGGTGAATGTCTGCGAAAGACTGATCACCACTCAGGTCGACACAGTAATAAGGGTTGCTGTAGAACGTGACGAGCCCTTCTCGAGAGGCGAGGTTATTCTTATGCTTGTGCTTGAGATGTGACCAATTCTTGGCCTGCTGCGCATCGCTGGATTCAGGAGATATACTCCCTGACGATCCTGAGTCGAGGTACGATGGCTGGGAAAAAGGTCCTTGTCTTTGATACACGATCGGCTTGTAGTCGAACGACGACGACTTAGACTTTCCGGACGTCTGCGCTGTCTCTATGTTGGTTGAAGCTGATGTTGACTTGGGCACTTGCTGTGTAGTGTTTGTGCCCTGCCGCCCCTCTGATGTTGACATGGAGGGTGTGAGGTCGTTTCCAGTACTTGTAGCACTTCTCCCACTTCGTCGGCCAGTTTCATCGATACCATCTTCAGATGATTGCCCGATGGAACCGTCGGCATGTTCCAAGAGGCGGCACCACGCGGGTGTCTCCGTGCCCCCCTTAAATCGAACTTTATGTTGGTCCTTTGAAAGTTCGAACTTGTTGCTGTGTTCCTTGATGGCCCTTCGAACAAAAGACGGCGTGACATTCAGCGTGTGCAGCTGCGCCATACTGATCAAGAGATTGAGGTATATCCATGGTTGGCTTTTGCTAGACTGGTTAGAGTCAGGGGGAAATAGGCCTAGATGATGCATATAGCGAACATTCTCTTCAGCAACCTGAGCACGGTGAATGTCGAGATCCAAGGGCCGAGTAGGTCTCTGGTCCAGATGATCCGGAGTGGTCTCTGACGAATCATCCATAGTCTTGTTTGCTTGGGCCTGATCGGCGTCGACTTGGTCAAGGTTCAATTTGCTGTCCTGCGGTAGCATCTGGGCCTCTCTTGAGCCTTCCGTCTTGGTGGTTCGATTATGTTTCATGTCCTCTCGTCTGTCCTGTCTGGCCGCGGAATGGGATATCTTTTGTTGCTGTATCGGCTGGCTGTGTTCGCCAGGCGTCGCCAGCTTCCCGGTGAATAGTTGCTCCAACTTTTGGACGACTAGGACCATTTTGGCGTTCTCGCTAATCGTCAAGGGTTCGTGCGGAAGCAAAAAACTGGGGATGTCGTGCAAGTAATCCTTAATCTCCTTGTCCTGCTTACTGTGTTGTATCCGCTCTCGAGGCGTTGAAGAGGCTAGCTGAGAATTTGAGTTTCCCCCTGATGCGGATATCGACGCATATCCTGAGTCCTCTGCGCTGGCATCCTGCGGTGGCACCAACGTGCGGCGTTTGGAACTTCCCCGGCCAGGCGACGTTGGGTTGGCGTAAAGCGCCGTGGAGCTCGTTGGCTGAGAAGGCGAGTCATCACCTAAACCTAATGTAAATGTCTTCAACAAATGTTCCAATTCTCGCTTTTTTCCTGTTGGCAGACCATGCATCCGGATCTCAAGTACTTTGTCCTTGCTGGGCGAGGTGTTTGCGGATCGAGATTGCAAACTCCTCACGAGGTATTTCAGCTTTTTATTCTCGATTGTCAAATCATCGATGACGTCGCGAAGGTCGTCGTTTTCATCGTCGAGTCGATGACGGTGACCAAAGCTTTCGGCATTGATGGAACGTACGGGCGGGTGCGACTTGACGGTAGATTCTCGGGTAAGGAAGAAGGGGGACTCATCTAGAAGAGGTTGTTAAGAGACAGGAAGACACGGAGACATTGGGAATCGCTTACCTTCGTGTTTAGATGAACGTTTGCCGGCCTGTCCGACATTCTCATTGGCCTTATCGAACCATCGAGATGCGCTTTGATCGCTACTGGATTCCTGGCTTTTCTCTTGGGGAATAATCGAGGTCAAGGAGGGGATCGGGACGACAGAATCGTCAGCAGTCTCTGGACTTGTCGTCTGTGTGTTTTCCGGGCTATTCTGAATCTTGACTCTTTTACTTCGCGGAAGTGATTTGGACTCTGAGGGGTGACTGCGACGGGAGCTTGAGGAAATTGCCGAAAATGTCCGCTTTGGAGAGGTTTGAAGCAACTTCGTCTCAGGCATTGTGCGACATGGTAAGATAGGTTTGGTGGGTGCGACTGGCGTCGACTCCAGGACGGATTGATGGGTTGGTTTGCGTGTGATGGTATGTGCTGGACTAGACTTGAGGTGTGTGCGTGTCAGGGCAACATGTGGAGGCTTGGTCTCTGCCTCTTGGGAGTTTCAATGGTAGCAGGAAGCGACGATGAGGTCGAAGGGTATATTTCAGGAGTCGTAGGCTTCGTTGTGAGCAAAAGCGACCGTGTGTGTATGTGTACGAGTGGTTTGAATGTGTGGACCGACGTAGGCCTGGTGGAAGCGAGAGTCCCCGTGGGCGTGGCCATGATGAATCAGGTGGTGTGTGGGCAGTTCTAGCCACCATGGTGCTTGATGTTTGGTCCGATCTTCAGGGCCTTGGGAGCATGCGAGAAACGAGGCTCGCGATCGGGCGCCACTTGATAAATCTGGATCAAACAGCATAACCCAAAAACTTGCCAAGATCGGCTACCGGGGCTTTTGTTGGGTTTGGTCCGGGCAAGGGACCACCAAGGGATCACGGGCAGCTATGGGCAGCTGTGCCAGACTGCCAGCCGAAGCCTAAAAAGACGTGTTCTGGGTGGTCGAGGCATCACGATTACTCGCTTTGGCCTCCCAAATCGGCGGAACTGCGCCCCCGTCTGACCATTGCATCGACGATCCAGGCGTTTTTGTTCACTGTTGAACCCTGCAGGAGGGTCGTGGAGGGTCTGGCCTCCCCGGTTATGACGACCACTGACGACAACGGACGACTACTGGCTACTCCGTAGTCAGCTCTGAGGATTCTCAGTACTTGCTTGAATCGGAAGTTTGCATGTAGATCTCTAATTCTGGATTCTTTCTTTGTTTTGCAACCCGTGGCTCCTGAATACATGTTCATCACTTACTAATTCTCTTGATGTGCTGCCTCATCCCTTGCAGTGATCTTGACATTTATGATATGCTAAAGTTACACAAACCAGCGACGAAGGCTCCATCCCAATCTCGATTAACCGTTGAGTGCAGGGTATTGTGGCTCTGCAACTGCCATCCAAGTTTTGCTTCTGATCTCGATCGGCCAAGCCTGGGTCTTATTCGTTGACATAATTGTACGAGCCAAGACATGTATGTCCCATAAGGGATGAACCGGGAGATTGACGTCATCAGTACTTGAATCACGTGAAAGTTCGACCCGTGCGGATTTCATTTCCTTGATCTTGATCTTCATTGTCATCCTCGATTTGCACAGTATGCATGCCTTTGCATCGCATTTCATGCTCTGCTGCTGTTGAATAGCGATTGCGATAGCTTGGGATTCGTTTGGCTCTGTACCCACCCCCCGTCAACTTCATGAGTCGACTTTTCCACCAGTATGAATCATCGCATGTTCAAAATGCAACCCGTTCTCCGTTACAGTTGTGCAACAGATATGGGCGAAAATCGATGCTATGGAATCAAGAGCATATTGTACCTAGTGTTGCTACTGAGAACATTTTACTGCTGACGCCATACAATGAAAATCTCTAAAGCCCTGGCCTTGTAAAGCGAAGATTACCAGAGCAGTGGCTTTTATTAATCAAATCATGCTTTTATTAGTGTAGACAAGCAACAATTCATATTCAGATTGAATGGCCAAAGTAAATCGATGTTAGTAGGCGTCATCCCCCAGATTTCGTGGGCGGATTCGAGAAAAAATCTGACACCTTTTGGCTGCAAAGCATTACCAAGCTCCACCAAGCCGGAACAGGTCGAAGCTTATCTACCGCCACTCACAAGCCACTTGATTCAATGATCGAATTGTGATTCAGCCTTTTGAAAAGAATCCTACCCAGTACCTGGAACTGGGATTACGCCCGCAGTCACGCAATTGATGTGACACCAACCTGCCATTGCAGGTTAACCGTTACCCCAAAGCCTAACTATAGCCAGGCAGTGGACGCGGTGCGGCCAGTGAAATGATTCCAAGTAATCAGCTCCCTTGCCATCTTTACCCATCTATAATTCTCTCTCGTTCACATCCGCCGGATGTCATTGCTTGCTATACTCGCGCAGATCAGCGAATATACCTCGCCAGCCTCCTACAAATAGAGCTCAAACCCCCTCATATAGGATCCATGTGGGCCATTTCCGCAACAGTTCCAGTCAGTCGATTGGGCCCAGTGGAGGGGTCGTTGGTCCAATATGTCTGTCCCTAATGCAGGCATCGCAGCTGCAGCCACTTCGGCTGAAGCAGAAGATCCTAAAAGGGAATACAGCGTCCCTTCCAACCCCGAGGAAGAAGATGGGCCAATCGCTCCCGACCAATTCGATCCAAAATATGAAACCACCAAATGGGAACGCTGGTCATACTATTGTTACTATGTCGGGGATAATGGTCTTCCTCTATTCAATTTTGCACCGTATACCATCCGACTGAGCGATGATGTACTCGTAGCATGTGAGAACTGTACCCGCTGTATACTTCGAGTTCTGTATCTATTATCACACAGCAAGAGTGTATAGATAATTCAATACTATTATTACCATGCCTACCTATTTCCTATTTATTCCTGAGACCTTTGCATCTGTGTTTTGAGCTTTCATTCCAGTACCTCTGCAAGTCAGGGATCGTCGGTTGACTTGTCCTGAGGTATAGTCTTCCCATTTTATCTCCTGTTCGAGCTGGCGAAGGGATGACCAAACACTCTCTCGGCTTCGGCATGAGCGTCCTCCTTTGAATAATGATGTGATGCGATCAAATGTTGCTTCAAAGTGCCGGGTACTGTATGGGTCCGGCGATGAGTAGGGTCTAATGGACACTTTTGCGGCTCCCGAGCCTGCTTCTTCCTCATGGCTCTCGTCTGTATCTTCTTCCCAAACAGCTCCTCAGCCACCCTTGTTGCCTCTTCAACGTCAAGCTTATGAGAATTGGTCAAGTGCGTTCGAAGATCGCCAGCGCATTTGAATCCTTTTCCCGTTGATTTGCAGTCAGCTTGAGGGCATGGCGTCCTCGGAATCTCCTTTGCTGTTGCCGTGGGATCATAGTCTTCTGGCTTGGCCCGGAACTGGCCAGTTGGACCAACAGGAACAAGACTGTCAATATCACCTCTGGTCATTTTGTGGACGTGTCTCAAATGGTGACGTAAGTAGCATGGCTGCTTGAACACAGTAAGACAATTGCACCCTTCAATGATGCAACGTGTCTCACGATATGGCTCGTCTTGACTGCCAGCTTTGCCGGGAAGATGAATTTTGATTTGATCGGATGTCAAATGATGTTGAACAGTCAGGTGGGTCCTGAGAGATGTTCGACGCTTGAAAACTTGGTCAGAATGACAGTCGGTCATTAGCGGGCATTTGATCGGTTGATAGTCATCATGAACATTGATAAGATGTGCTTGCCACTCGGCAGCAGTGTTGAATATTTGACCATCTTCACATCCGTGTGTACAGGTCTTTGGTTGGAAGTGATGTATGAGCTTTAGATGTTTGCGGAGTGTGTCTTTGCTGTAGAGAATCGTAGCGCAATCCTCTTCGGGGCATGGAAAAGCTTCCGAGTCCTCCACAACGAGTTCCCCTTTGCAATTGACTTCATGCAATTTAAGCTCACTTTGCAAGAAACAAATTCTGCCACAGCCTCGTCGACAGAGCATCTCGAAAGGGTTTGGGGGAGCTCGACTGTTTCCACTGGCCACGTATCTCGAAACGACATCCTCATCGCTTCGGTCGAAGTGTGTTTCAATGCGGAAAACGTTGACTTTTGCCAGATGATCGACAAACGCATTGCCATCAATAGGCCATAAAGGGTGGTGATCTGTGTTGGAGTCATCCCATAAAGATTGCATGGCGAGAGAAGTTGCTGAGGCGTGAATTGAATGAGTACCGTCAGCATCTGTGGTGGTGACTTCGATATCATCATCTCCACTATCCTCTTCAAGGGGCCCTTGAGAATCTTCAGTGATGGCAGTGATTCCGGTCGACTGCTGTAAGATCTGTTGCAGTTCTGCGATGTCCTCATCTCGAACGTGATACTCGTTGTCGTCGTCGAGAGCTTTTTCCATTTCAAAGAGCATAGGGTCCAAGTTCGGGTCCAAGGGGAGTTCGATGGTCAACTCTGGGGGATGATCAATCAGCAGGCCATAATTTGGGATGCGTACAAACTCGACGCAAGGATGAACTCACTTGATGCTTTACTCGATGGCTGCAAATCATCAGAGGAACTCGCCGGGCGTTTGTTGCTGTGAGGACCTGTAGTTGCTTGATTCATCGAATCACCTGAGGTGATTTTGTGGCCGATATTGACAGACATGGCTTTGAGTGGTGGTCGAACCCCAGAGGAGCCGGCAAACTTGATCTTTGTAGGATCCATCGTCGGTGCCAGATCATCCTTGAAGTCGGATTCGGCTCTTCGATTGAAGAACCTGGTCTGGTTAGGTCCTACGTAATCTCCTGTGATTCCACCAGCAGTAGACTTCCGAGTATGCCCTAAGGCTTGTCGAGGTCCATCTCCATCGATACCCAAGATGGGCTCTGCCAAATTTGCAACATCACGAGCAACACCAGCTCGGATGTGATGAGATGTGACACGTTCGACGATCCCAGACACGAGCGCCATTGATCGAACAGCTTGATTGAAGAATCCTTTATGTGCGGGCTTTTCGAGGTTCAGAAAGCCTGGACGAGGCCAAGTCTGAGCAGAGATAATGGGCAAGTTTGGTTGCTTCCAGACCACTGTTCGATCTGGAGTTGCCAAGGTGTGTTCTAAGACTGCCTGAAGGTCTTGTCCGTGGCATAGACCATGGCGGAGAGCATGTATCAATAGTAATCGAATGGCGCATACTGGATAGTGTTCAGGTTCCGAGAGAGGTTCGAAGAAGACGGTACGATCACGGCCTCTGGTCAACCTATTGCGGAGAGCCAAGTTAGCCCAAGAATGACCCCAGGTGATTTGCCAATGTCATGTCCATTCACTTACTTGTACGATTTTTCATACTGAATGACGACCTTGCAGCGCAAATCTTGGAAACTGGCCTTGTCATGCGGCAAAGTAAGGGTGATGTCTTTCCACTGCATATACTCTTGACCTTGATAGTGACCTGCTCGACCAATGTCCCCTGATCGAGTACCACAAGCAGACTGAAGAGATAGAGCGAGTACTTTGAGAATGACAATGTCCCAGGAGCGACATCCATTGCGGAGAGCAGCGTCTAGGTATTTTGTCGTCATGACCTTCATGGTCATGAAACCCAGCCAAGCTTGTTGATACCATTTCCCGCGGTAGAGATTACCATTCTTGACTTCTTGATCAAGATAAGCCTTGATCTTCACATGTAATTGTACATCAACTTGCTGTTTGAATTCCTTTCCCCACTTGAAAGTTCCATAGGTAAGAAAACCTAGGATCCAAGCTTTGACTGAGTTGACTGAGGCAATCTTTTTACCACGAATCCGGGTCTTGACACGGGATGCTACAGTAACTGCAAAGCGAAGGAGGTCTTCCCCAGTAGGACATTTTTCGGGACTGAGTGACACGTTGGGTTAGGATCCGAAGTATCAATCACCAAAGGTCTTTTCTTACTCTTTGCCAATTCCTAGTAGGAATGATTTGGCTGTGTTCTCGATCCGTCTTTGGTTCACCAGAGAGGAAGCTGCTCCGTATTGATACTGAATGGCTCGTGCAGCTCGCTTCGAGTTCTTCCTGTCATATGCCAGATTCACAATCATATCATCAATCATTTTTTTCCCGGCATTTTTGTGCCGATCGGAGGGTTCTTCAATGGGTGGGAGATCCTCAAAGTCGGAGGAATCGTAGTTTTGGTCGTCCTCCATTGTCAGGAAAGGTAGAAAGGTCTGTCTGTGAGAGAGGCTGGCAAGGAAGTTTTGTTGATGGGGGCAAGATTCAAGGTGAAACAAGTAACGAGAAGAATCAAGTGACTCGATCGAGGTTCAAGGTGATTCCATCAAAGGTGACAAAGGTGATGAGAATCAAGAGAATTGATCAAGACAGTACCAGTGATTTGTCCTCTCATGAGTGTCCTCTCAGGCGGGAAGGAGCGACCTCCGAAAGAAGGAAGACGTCGAAGGACGACATTCGAGAGAAGGAGCGACCTCTTATGGCTGCCCTCGGGGAAGGAGTGAGCTGAACTAGGGAAGGAATGGGATGTCACAACTCGTTCTCCTTCTCGTTCGCGCCGTGATGTGATGTGAGATATTGCTCCATTCGGCAATACACTGGACCAATATCATCACAGGTCTTCATCCACTTGAATATGCGTATCTGTTCGCCTTGGACTCGGCCCATCGTCTTTAGCCTGATGACCTGAGCCTGAGGATTTAGTGGTAGGGGCACCATAGTTGGTGGAATCCCCAGCGATCCTCTTTCTTTTCTTGCTCCCATGGTACTGCTTTAAAGGAGTGAGACCGGTATTGATATTGTCAGCATTTTTCAGGACTTGTTGTACGAAGCTGCAGGTGACAGCGAGCGCCTGAATTTCCTGGGTGCATCACGCACCATCAACAGCATCGTTCTCCTTGCAAATGGAATTTCATTCGCCATCCAATCCGTTCTATTCCTCGTTCTGGGGTCAATGGCCGACTATGGGACCTGGAGACCGTGGATCTTGATATTCTGGAGCATTGTCGCCTTTGCACTGGGATTGGGTTGGTTGGGCGTTCACACCGAAGAGAAATGGCGTATCGCGACAGGGCTCTACATGGTCGGTTTGATTGCATACCAGATGTGCCTGACTTTCTGGACAGCGGCTTTCCCAGGCTTGGCGCGAAACACACCAGAGATGAGGAGTGTGGCCGAGAAGTATGAGGCCCGTGAGATCACTCGCGACGACTATGATTTTGCAGATATGATGCAACGAAATCGGATATACAACATGGCATTCATCATGAAAAGCTGTGCTGAGATTGTGATTTTGGCCGTCTTGGTAGGTATTTTGTTTGCATTGGACGTCAATGCAAGCACTGAGAAGAACCTGCGTTCTTTCTGTGCCAATCGGGTATGCAACTGGCATCTGGCTGGTGTTGGCGGTGCCATGGATTATTCTCGAGAAGCGTCGTCCCGGTCAAAAGCTTCCAGTGGGAATGAATATCGTCAGTGTCGGACTCTGGAATATTTATCGAGCAGTGGTCCAGATCTGGGAGTTGAAACAAACACTGTTATATCTTATTGGTAAGGACGGAGACCAGACCCGCGAATACTCAGCGCATGTAATTGACACTCAGCTAGGATACTTTCTACTTGGTGATAGCTTGAACACCACCGTGACCGTCATCGCGACCCTGCAAAACTCGGTGGTGGCCTATGATTCACTCAAACCGACATACTTGTTCATCGTCGGCATTACTGCCCAGTTGGTCGGAGTATACTCATTCTGGTTCGTCCAGAAGAAATTTGGGTTAAGCACCAAAGTCATGTTCGATGGCGTCATGACTGGCATATGGACACAATCCTTTGGCTTCCACAATGAATGGGAGTTTTGGCTGTATCAAGTTGTGTATGGGCTTTTTGTAAGTGTGCTCATGTCTTTTTGGGGTCGTCAGGAATTGACTTGGCAGGTTTGCCCATGGTATGCATACAGCCAAACGATGATCAGCGAGGTGACACCCCGAGGCAAAGAATTCTTGTTCTTCTCGCTCTTCAGTATCATGGGCAAGACATCAGCTTTCATCGGACCAATCGTGTCTAGCGCCATCATTGATGCAGATCCCAAGGGTAACGAATCGCTCCCCTTTTATTTCTTGTTTGGCTTAAGCTTGTTGAGTTTCGGACTGTTATGTTTCTTCGTGGATCTGAAGAAAAGTCGACAAGAGCAGGAAAGGTTCTTGGCACGGGAAAGTGCCGCCAAAGAACGACGAGCAAGTGTTGTTGGTCAAGAAGCCATCCTCGGGGGACAACCTTTGGGTGAGAGTATGGACAAAGCATGAGTTGTCTGATATATCGAGATGGAATTATTTCCCAGACTTGAGCGGCTGTTGTTCAGAGCAACTGTCAAATCATCGGCTGATCCTTTCACAAATTGGAGAAAAGTTAGAGGCTCAAGATGGCTTGTCAATACATAGGTACCTACCTACGTTGTTGTAGCCTCGACCAAAAACACAAACAACATGTCACATGATATTGGCCAAGAATGCCTTGGGGGGACAAATCATGGGGTTGTCCAGAAATGGTTCACCCTAGCGAGGTCGGGGTCTCGGCATTCGGTTCTGTATTGGGGCCAGACTTGCGACTCGGCGGTCTTTGGCAGGATGGGCGATGAGCCTCGGGCTTAAGGTGCTGGTGTCAAGGCACCCCTCGACCTACTCGAAGGCACCCAGGCAACCTTATTCGGAGACATGAGCGCCCGGTTATCCAGGTGCCAGAACTCCAGAGCCCGTACCGTTTATGATCACTGATCCAAATTCAAATATGATTTGGAACAGACCACGCCTTGACCAATGAATGTATACTTGAACAGTCATCAGATGCAGAACCTAATGGAACTCGGCACGGTAAGCACTTGAATATTCATTTGAAATCATCCGACTCCCGCAACATGCTCAACTCTGAGCCAACTGTCGCTTACTCTGGGGATAATTACGGAGTAATCTTTGTGGGTTGAGGGTGGCTCGAACACGCGTGTATCAGCCCATTGTGCATGTATTGGCAAGATAGAGTGGAACGATCAAGGAGTGCACTGCCCAGAATTAAAGCAGATGCCTAGGTGTTTTAAATCAGTCGGGCAAACATACCTCCAGCGACCTAAACCCCGTGACAGTCTGGCGTGCAGTGTTACAGTGCAGAATGAGAGTGCCTGGAAGCCACGGATGAATGTCAGATCATAAGCCATCGTATCCATCGTATCTCCGACACGCGGGCCATGGATCGTCCGTGGGCTGCCTGGACTCTCTTTCAGGCTCCCACAGGCATCAGCCATTCACCTGTCCGGCACCCTTGTGCCGATTGTGCACGCCAAGAGGTGCCATTTGTGCGTTGCGCCATCTCATCCCAGCCAATAACGGCGGTTGATATTTGCCTTAACTCCTAGGCGTGAGTCAGAATTGGCTTGCGATTCGACCGACGTACCCCTTAGGCCCAGATTGGCTTTAAGAGTCGGTGTCTGATGAGTATTGTATCTCTGTAGCCTGTAAGTACGAGAGTCACTCGGACTTGGGGGGTCCTTGTTCCCGATCACCGGCCGTCCGCGTCTTTCGTCCGCATACCTCGTAAGGCTTTGTTTCTAAGCCCCCGTTCGGCTGCCGGATTTTACACATAACGTTTAGTATGCGAGTACGAATTACAGGGCGCAGGGCGGAGGAAAGCACGATGCCACGGTGATAGCAATGCTTATGACTCAGGCACCCATGAAACTAGTCGCGTCTCTTTGATCGATTGATAATATAATATCCCCGCTCATTGTCCCTTTTATTCAGATCCATTCTGTACAAGAATACAAATTTTCAAAAGTGCAACCGTGGTCAGTGATTACCATCCACTTGATTACCCACCCGACACGCAATCGTCAACGACCACAACAAGGTTCACCCGGCATCTCCACTTCGCATGTGAACGCCGACCAGCCTTGACTCATATTCGCAGTACAACAATACTTTGTCATCCACATATTCTACACCTCCTTCTTTCACTCTCTCACTCACCGACATTCCCAATTCCTTAACCATGCCTCTAGCCATGATGCAGCCTCTGAGCAGACCGCCATCGCGCGATCTAGCACTCAGCACAGCACAACGATTATCACGAGAAGCGACATTCCAACTTGCCGAGACTGCTCGAAGAAAGTCACTCAACAAAGAAGTACACGACGATCTCCGCCTCAGACTCAGCCATGAACACCTGTTGGATGCATTATTACAAGACATTGCTCGATCAGAACGAGAACTCCAAACTTCACCAACCGAAGACAAATACCTGATGCAATCAGAACGCAAAAGACCCGAAGAATCCAAGAGGATACCGCAGCCAAAGTATGACGACTACGGCTTCCCAATGGAAGAGGACGATGGCGAGGAGGACATGGGTGGACTCTCATTAATGAGAACGCAATCAAGAAAACCGACAAGATGATTGATTCTCTTTGCTACATCCACCATGACCTGTCACGACTCTGAGCATTTGAACGAGATACCCAACTCTGCAGCATAAGCGCTTTTACCACGGCCCATTTTGGTCGAAATTGAACTGGGCCAGATTGCCCTCGATACCAACATTTAATACCACCGAGCAACAACCACTCGAAGACTTTCCAACATCCATGAGTATGAATCGTGCACTATGCAGCCATACTACAATCTGGATATCGAAACAATTGGTTGATACAAAAGGGACCAGAATTGAATTGATCAGACCGCGAAATATGGACTCGGACTCAAGGATAGGAATTGAACTTGCGGGAACAGCAATTGGCATAGGCAATTGGATGAGGCTCTGCACTCTACACCTATGTCTGCTCTTTCACCATGATCTTCCTCACCTTGAACCAAATCCTCGTCGACACGATCGACACGATCCAACATTCTGTCTCTACCCTTCTGACATTGTACTGGGCGCCAGCGCACCCTCTACATCTGATACATAGCCTATAGGATCAAATAGATCAGAAAAAAATCAGAAATTTTTCACTATGTGACTCTATCTTCTTCCGCTGATCTTCTAATCGTACATCGGTGACACTGTCCCACGCATCCGAAGCCTGTCAAACTTGATTGATCACAGGATCTCATGCAATAAGTCACTAATTGATTCACTTTTACTGTTCCTGCCATGTCAGCACCTCACAATGCCTGCGCCTCCATGTATGTGACAAGGGCATCCTTCACCGCCGTTCAGATTTCGCGGGTGCCAAAGCCCGAGGATATGGTACCTACTATTGTTGCCACTTTACTCTGGTAACCGCACGGGCCGGTCCAAACCTCCCAACAAGTGTCAAACCCAGGCAAAATTCGGTCTTTAGTTTTCATTTCAATCCACGTGGCACACTAGGCGAGGCTTTTTTCCCTCGATTCGTACCCATAGGGAGTAAAATCGGTGTTTTTTCTTCCCAAAATGGGTCTCCGAAAGTCTAAATCTAGCAATAATCTGAGTACCTTCAACGTGTCTGACACATGTGGCAACAATGTCGCCGAGACACCGATCCCAGGGGTAAGCAATAATAGTGGTACCAGTACCAGAAGCCTGGGACCATGTCTTGCATGTGATGGTGATGGCACTTCACAGGTGGCTTTGCTTGTTGTAACATGGGAAATTTTTGTTGTATAGGTAGCACTCAACAGTTTGTACCTGGCACGTGGACTGGACTTGCAGACTTTGTTGGTGACACAGCAAATTTCTTCGGCAAGTTCCCCCACTTGGTCTTATCGATAAGTAAATTTGAAACCCGTGACACGGCAGAATTTCCTCTTCAGGATTCAAGTTCCACTCTCTGAGTCATCTTGCCGTAGTTCTCCCATCTCCCCTCCATCAATGGACGGCGCTACGGGCGCTTGTGGCGGCACGGGCAGGCAATCCATTTTGTTTAGTCAGATTTCTCGTCCGCCAAGCTGTCCGGGCTGGCAGGTGTCTATAGAATGTAGTATACTCATTGATTCGGGTATGTTAGCGCGAGACGACATTCTAGATGCTTCCTAATAAAACCCGTGCACTGAAAAAGTGCCCCGACTTTGGCCTAACTGTTCCGGAAAGACAAAAGTTTGGGAATTCGTGATTCAAGGTACGTCGGGTGTTGAATTACCCGACTTGCGGCGAGTGTTTTCGTAGCGACGAGGTTGCTATTGTGGTACAGTAGTAGTAAACTAAGGTCAATATTATGATGCCACGACAAGACACAGCCAGTCTCATTGAGGAATGTCCTTCCTGTTTCTTGAGTTGTTATGTCTTTGACCAGGGCAAGCTCGATATTTTGAAAGTTGTTCGCGATGCATCGTATGCGCAGGCGTACGACTAGTCTGAGTGGCTGATCAGCTGACCAGGAAAGGCTGAAGGATTTTCCGATTTTATGGCGGAGAAGCAAAACGATCCTACGTCCATCCATGCACTCGTATGTCGTACAACCTCGGGTCACGAGAATATGTATTCCATCCGTCACCGTCTGACATTATTCTGGGATCACATCGAGCAACCAACCTCGGCTAGAATAGAATGAATAGTCGGGCTTCTCACGGAAATTGTGCTCTACGTGTTATGCGGCTAAAATATACGCATACGGAGCACGTCGCACACTTGATTCCCAGCGTCGGAGCCCGAGGCCTCCGAGCGACAAGTGAGCCGAACTCTCATGCATCTTCCTAGCAGGTGAGGACGCGATGACTACTGCTCGCTTGGTGTGCTGACTTCCATAATCGGTACAAGTAAACTCTTCTGGTCACGTGACACTCATTTGCTGGTTGAGCCATCACGCCTGATTCTCACTCAGATTGTTTCACAGTAAGATCGACCGATGTGGAAAGCATACATACATAGACTGCAATCCGAGATCCCTGGCTTTGAAATCTGTGACAATAACATGTTTATCTTCGAAGCGATTGTCGCTCATCAGCTGCCGGTGGACTCTGATGCCGAATGGTCCCCATCTGGCTTGGGCCTTAGGTGAGGAAGTTGACCATTATTCCAAGATCAGTCTCTCCGCTCCCACTATAGGAGCCGTGAGTGATGCGGATATGTGTATCCCGTATGTAGATGTAAATGCGGAAGAGGAGATGAGGAGACCAAGAGGAGCCTAGCACGTGCCTAGGCTGCTGGTGGCAGGTGCCAACACCGTGACCCCAGCCTCCAGGTGACACCATCCCCTACCAAGGTACTACTTACTAGCGCGCTGTGCTCAGATGCTTGGAATCACGACCACCATCAGATCAGCCAGACCGAGTGACAAACATTCCACCAGTGCTGCAGACCTCACTTCATTGCCATCCGACTTTCCTGGTGCCATTCAATCTTCCGATCTTATCAAGGCAGATTGGCGAGAACTCAACAACCCAAATCCATCAATTTGGATTCACCACGTGACATTATTGGAAAGCCGGACGGCCCCTTCCCCTTCCAACACCGCGTTGTCATCCGTGCCTTCCTGTGTCGAACATCTCCTTCCTGCCAGCTTTGGTCGCAACTTCCTCGTCTTCAGGCCAGACTAGGCAGCCGCATGTTCCTTCTATCTTACAAAAAGTAGAAATTGTCCTTTCCTTACCAGAAGCAAACTGCACCGACAATGTCCATCATCACCAAATTCCAGTCTTGGTCTCAGCAACTTACTCCTTTCTTCATCTACTTACTTCTGACTGCCACTCTTGGTCCCTTGCTCTTCGGCTATCACCTGGTAAGTCATACTGTCGTTGACCCGCAAACTGAATTATACCAATTCCCCCATAGGCCGAGCTCAACGCCCCTCAAGATGTCATCACCTGCGTGAGAAAGTCACTTGACACAACAGACTTTCCTATTACTTCATCCTCCCTCCCACAATGCATTCCAATGAATGCAACCCAGTTAGGGCTTGTGTCCTCCATCTTTACCCTCGGTGGACTCGTCGGCGCCTTGGCCTCTGGGTCTCTGTCAGCTCGATACGGCCGATTGCTCGTCATGCGTTACAACACCGCTTTCCTGATGTTGGGTCCTGTCGCCGAGGCACTTTCTCCCAATATACTTGTTCTGTCCATAGGTCGCTTTGTCTCCGGTCTCGGTGCTGGTACTGCTGTCGTTGTCGTCCCCATTTACATCTCCGAGATCGCACCGCCTAGGGAGAAAGGCTTTTTCGGCGCTTTTACCCAGATCATGACCAATATAGGCATTCTCATTACTCAAGTCTTGGGCTACTTCCTCAGTCGGGGCTCATTATGGCGCATCATTCTTGCCGTCGCCGGCTTAATTGGCTTGCTCCAGGCGGTCGGGCTCGCCGCCGCCGTCGATAGTCCAAAGTGGAACGCTGAGAACGGACACACAAGCAAGGCAAAGTTGGACCTGAGGAAGATCCGTGGTGCCCAAGCCAACATCGAAGAGGAAATCGCCGGCTGGGAGGCTGAAGACCATGATGGTCAGTATAATAGCACCCATGCCCTTCATTGCCGTTCAATCGTCACTAACTCTTGTTCATTTTACCTCCTAAACAGAAGAGCAGCAAACTCTTCTCTCCTCTCCGGACAACCCCCCCTCTGCCCAACCCTCCTCTGTCGGCATCATTGGAGTCTTGCGCTCTCCCGACCATAACCGTGCAATCCTGGCTGTCGTTGTCGTCATGATTGCTCAACAACTCTGTGGCATTAACAGCATCGTCATGTACGGAGTCTCTCTACTAGCAGACCTCCTGAAATCCAACTCGGCCCTGTTGAACATCCTCGTCTCGCTTCTCAACATCATCGCTACTACGGGATTCGCCCCATTGGCCGACACACTGGGTCGAAAGCCTGTACTTCTCACCAGCATCGCCGGCATGAGCATTTCCAGCGTCCTTTTGGCCATTGGCATTCGCGCTGCTCTGCCCCTGCTGTCTGCCATTGCCGTACTTTTGTTCGTTGCCAGCTTCGCCTTTGCCCTAGGCCCAATCCCCTTTATCCTCGCTTCCGAGCTCGTCGGGCCCGAAGCTGTCGGCGCTACCCAATCATGGGCTCTCGCCGCCAATTGGATTGCAACCTTCATCGTCGCTCAGTTCTTCCCACTTGTCAATCAAAAACTCGGCAAGGGCACCGTCTACTTTGTATTTGCCGCCATCGCCGCGGTATCCTTTGTCTTTGTTGGCTGGTATGTTCCCGAGACCAAAGGCAAGAAGGACGTCGATGAAGTCTGGGGTAGGCACCCACGCAGGGAGGATTAATGTCTCCCATCTATTTGCCACAATTGGTGGCTCGCCTAATCAGCAGGGCATTTGTTCTATGCTAAAAAGCATGCCAACGTCGGCCTCTGTCAAGCCTGGTGAACAATGGCACGCACTGTGGATTGTTCCTGGAGTTTTCGATGTCACGTCCTTTGCAACGCTATCCAGCGTTCACTAAGATATTATCCTGGATGAAAGCGAATATAATGTTGAAGCCAGCTATGTTTACAGCTAAACCAAAACTATGGACCTCGCGTGGCAAACACATTGCAATGAGTCTATGTGCAAGAATCTTGTCGCACACTCCAGCGCACTATATGTGCAGAGCCATGGCACTATGCCAAACCAAAGCAAAGACAAATCGCAAAAACCATTCGACGCCGTCGTTTCATGCTTCATAAACGTCACATGACATCATATACATCGTTCTGCCACTCAATTCCGGTATCTCAGGCTCACGGACTCGAACGTCTCATTCTGACACTATTGGGGTGACTGTGGTGGTGGAGGATTTGTCGGTGGAGCCAATGCCCTTGCTCGAGCTTGCGCTTCAGCCTGGGCTTGAGCTTGTCTCCCCATGGCCAAGTAATCACGATTCTCGACCGTCACACTCTTGGTCATGTGACTAACCTTGTAGATGCCGACGAGACGTTCCGCAAGTTCAAACATATTGTTCCGCAGACTGATGACAATGAATTGCGCGTTCTTCGTACGTTCCTTGATGTAACCGGCAACAATTGATACCTAAATTCGAGAGCATTAAGTCAGCATGACAATCTCGGCATTAATTTTGGAGTTAGTGTCAAAACAAGGGTTCACTTACATTTCTGAAGTCCAGAGCTGCGTCGATTTCATCCATGACGTACAGAGGCGTGGGACGATACACATGTAGAGCAAACACCAGGGCAAGAGAACTCAAGGTCTTTTCACCGCCGGACAGATTGCCAATGTTCTTCCAACTCTTCTTGGGAGGCATTACACTGAACAAGATGCCTTCAGAGAATGGATCGAGACTGTCAACCAACTCCAGCTCTGCATTACCACCAAGCGTGATGAGTTGATACATTGACTTCAAATGAGAAGAAATCGTTGTGAAACCCGTCATGAACTGAGTCAGGCGGAGGTTGCGAAGGTCCGTCAGTCGGGTTTTGGCCGTGTCTCTTGTCCTGACTGCGCTCTTGAGATCTGTTGTTCGTGAGGCAACTTCGTCGCATCGACGGCGATATTCAGCGATCACTGAAAGATCTATGCTAGAGGCATTAGATACTTTGTCTTCGAGCGCGGCAATTGATGCCACCAGGTGGTCTTTTGACTTGTCCAGGAGCTCATCCCGACTGAATATTTGCAATTGTCGCCGACCGCTTTGGGTCTGCTCCTCTTCCTTTGCAGGCTGCTCCTCGTCTTGCTCGACTTCGTCAACGTCCATGGCGTCTGGGTCATCTTCTGGAGGCGCGTCTGGCATCTCTTCGTTCCCGGGCTTTTGCTCGGACTCTTCCGATTGTTCTGCCGGAGGAGCCCCACCATCAAGGTCGGCAATGTCGTGTAATGTCAATTTGGACAACTTTTCTGACCAATACCTGCTCTTTTTGTTGTTGTCCGCTAGCATCTTTTGGTTTTCCTCCAGCTTATTACGCATCTCGATCTCATGTGCTCTCGTTGAATTCAAATCTGAGGTTTGTGAGTCGAGCTCTTTCTTCAATGCTGAAACTTCTTCTTTCTGGCCTGCTTGCTCCTCCTGCGCCTGCTCAGCCTTTGACCTCACCTCAGCCGCGCTGGCCTGGTGGGATTGTAGATCGCCGTCTAGCTTCTCAGAGTCCTTGGCTAGCGTTGCCAGCTCCTTGTCGGCTTCGAGCTTTGCCTTTTCGTGCTTGACGATCAGCTTCTCGTTCTTGGTCTTCGCAACCTCGGCGGTGGAAACATCCTCATTCAACAGATCTATTCTTTCCTTGAGACCATCGACGCGGGCCTTCTGACTTCGGAGTTGTATACCACCAACTTCCATTATCTTGTCTTGCAAAGCCTGAATCTCGGCCTCCACACTAGCTGTCTCGGAATGCAGCTTGCGCAGCTCCTCATTGAGCTTAGCAATGGTGTTTTCTAGCTTCTTAATGAGTGTGTCGTCGGCCGAAGTGTTAGCAAGCTCAGCGACCAGATCTTGGAGGCGCTTTTCCGCATCGACAAGATTTTTGGAGCAGTTTTCAACCTCGAGGCCGATCTTCTGGATGGCTGTCTCGATGCGCGGGATCTCTGCTTGCTTTTCCTCAAGGCTGGACTCAAGTTCGCGCTGCCTTCCTTGGAAGACGTCGAACTGCTTCTCCAACTGGTCACGCTCTGCCTCAAGTTTCTGGACTTGTTCTTTCGTCGTGTCAGAGACTAATTTTGAGGACATTGCTCCTCGGGCGACACGTGTGCCGCCACCACTCATAGTCCCGGACACATCGATCAATTGGCCGTCGAGCGTCACCACCCTCCATCTTCTAGCTCCGTATGCAATTCGATTCGCCTGTTCCAAATCCTTTGCAACGAGAGTATTTTGCATCACGCTGTAGAACGCCGGAGCAAACCGTGGGTCCTTGGGCCGGATCAGGTCAAACAAACGTGGAACGTTCTCCGGGGTTTGAATAGGAGAAAGGTCTCGATTCGCCAGTTTGTCGAGCAAGATGAAATTTGCTCTTCCAAGATTGTTTTTGCGTAAATACTCGATACATTGCTGACCAACGTCGACGTTGTCAACGACCATGTTTTCGAGAGAGGGGCATGCTGTTGATATTGCGACATCAAATTTTTCGTCGATGGTGCCTAGGTTACCGAGTCGACCATGGAAACCGTCAACTCGGCCGGAGTCTTTCAGTCGTAGCAAGCCTTTGAGGACATTGCCTTGATTCTGGCTCGAGGCAAGGCTCGCTCGCGCTTCTTCGGCCTTTTGTCGCGCGGTGGAAATCTGAGAGCGCACCTCGGGCTCACTGGCGGCAAGCTTTTGAAGTGCGTCTTGAATTTTTCTAACATCCTTGTCCAACCGTTTCTGTTCGTGCTTTCGCTGTTCAATTTCCCCGAGTTTCTCTTCCTTTGTGGCCTCGATCTGTTCGATCTTTTCAGTTGCCTGGTCGATGGCTTTCTGGCCACTGTTTGCCTTTTCCTTGAGGATGTCTAACTCAGACTGGGTCACGGCGATTGCCGACTGTTTCTGATTGATCTTCTCATTCCAAGGCTCTAGCGACTTTTGCTTCACTGCAATCTGTTCGGACAATCCCTGGGTCTTGCCTTTGAGGTCATCGCGAATCACCGCCAGTTGCTGTTCCTCACGCTGCATTTCTTGCTCGAGGTCGACCAACTCGCGACCCTTGCGCTCGATGTCATCAACATGCTTTTCAACAAGGCTGCGAGCTTCTGAGGCAGCTAATCTGCTGGTTGTTGCGGTCTTTTCTGCCTTTTTCTGCTTGCCAAGAATGTGCTTGCGCTTTTCCTCGAACTTGACGTTGTCCTTGTCATATTTTGCGAGTTCTTTGGTGAGTTCTTGCGCCTGCTTCTCGATGCGCTCATACTGCTTTACGGCTTTGGTGTAAGCTTTCTCAAGCTCTTTGATCGTGTCTTCACTGCCAGCATGCTTCTCAAGTTCAGCATTCAGTTGCTCCTGAATCTGCTGGATGGCTTCCTCGGTGACCTTTGTATTGTCTTCACACTCTGCAATGTAGATCTGGTAGAGAGCGGACTGTTTCTCGGCGAGTTCGTTCTCGTCCCGGATAAAGGCTAATGCTTTGTTCTTCTTGTCTTCCAACCCATTCTTTTCTTTCTCCACATGCTGGACGCGGCCCTGCTTCTCGATGCAGATCTCGTTGAGGCTTTCCAACTCGACAGCAGCTTCCTCAATCGGTGTCTTGTACTTTGATGTGCCAATGATGTCCTCTAAATATTCAAGCAGACCGTCATCGTGCTCACCAGCTGCTTTCGGTTTCATTTGAGCGATAGATTCGACTTCACCTTGCAAAATGAGGAAACGTTTGTGGTCCAAGTCTATTCCCTTATCCTTGAGAAGGGTGGTGACCGTGGTGAAGTTGGTGGTTTTCCCGTTTAGGTAGTAACTGCTGGAGTTGTTTTTGAACGCTTTTCGGGATACAATGAGCTGTGAATCTGGGATGACCTCGTGCTTTCCTCCCGGAAGGTCGATGACTTGTTGAAAATGGACTTCCACCTCGCAAAAATCCAGGTCTGAATATTGAGCGGAGTTGTGGATCAGCGCCGAGATCTTGCCCTGTCTCATTTTGCTTGCTCGAAATCCGAACACGAAAAGAAGTGAGTCAATGACATTTGACTTGCCCGAGCCATTGGGACCAACGACTGCTGTGAATGATGTATGAAAGGGCCCGACAACCTGGCGGCCTGCGTAACTTTTGAAATTGGTCATGACCAGCTGTCGAATGACCATTCTGGAAGGGGGAGCCGTAATCTCTTCAACCTGGTGCAAACCTTGCGAGCGTGCGCGGATAACAATGTCCATAGGTTTTTCCAGCTCCATTGGACGCGAATCATGTTCCTGTACCACGACTTGCGGCTGCTGAGCGTTGAGTGCTTTGTCGGTAATATCTTGCAGCGGCGCGCTCGCAGGCTGAGTTGACATTTGGGGAGATATCGACGGTGCTGTAGTAGGCAACGGAGGAACTGGTGGAACGGCTGACGACCGGCGGCCTTTCCTGGGAACGCTACTCTGCCGCTTTCGTGGAGATGGACTTTTGGTTGGGGAGGCGGGTTCACTAGGGCCCAGATCATTCTCCTGCTCATACATGTGAGGTGTTTCGGATGGCGCGACTGATGATCTCCTAGTTTTTCTAGGTGCTGTGCTTTGGCGTTTGCGTGGCGAGGCTCTCTTCGAAGGAGACGCAGGTTCGCTCGGAGGATTAGCGTCTTGAGGATCGAATATTTGTGACTGCTCAAGGTTATCCCCGGTCTTTGTTCTCCGAGCCCGCGTGGATTTCTCTGGGGAGGCTCTCTCGCTGGCCATTGTTTGCCGTCTCGTCGACTTTCGTGGGCTGCTTCGTCTGGGGGCAGGTGTGAATTCTTCATCTTTGTCCTCGTGGATTAGGCTTAATTCGTCGTCGGATTCATCAACAACCACGGGACGACGCGTCGCACGGCGCGACGGCCGGATTGGCGACTCTGCAGACATAATGCTAGCTGTGTGGAAGGGATGATTGGGTTGTCACCAACTGATTGTTGAGAAACGTTGAAAGGCGAAGTGGTTGTTGACATTGACGAAAAGGGAAGGAGCCGCCAAGAAGGTGCAGCGGCAAGTGGGGCAAATTGCTACGGTGGCTCAAAAGGATCCAAAGTGCAGCGCGCTTTGATACACACGTGAGAAGCCTTCTGAACAAGGGCTCTAATCCTAATGATACCTGGTAGAGACATGCATGCAATGGTCGACCGATCTGCAGAAGCAACAGTAATCACATTCCTGTTACAGCTGAATCTTGAAAAGCATGAACAGCCTGCTTATAAACCAAAACCTTGTTCGTTAACTAAGACAAAAGGCCAATGACGGATATGCTATAGCCTATCACTGCTTCCACCCATGCACCCCCTAGCTACCAAGGCTATCTCCATTTTCACCTGCTGTACGCCCGAGGGCCTGTCGTGGGCCATACAAACAGCATCTAGAGCGGCCAGATCCATTCCCTCAAACCCTTGGGGTCTATTCCCACCTCGAATGCATCGTTCTTGGTCTTGATTTGTTCGTTCAATAGCTTTTCGCGTGCACTGGCGCCCTTGTTTCCGAGCCCTGGAATTCGGTCTAAAGCATCCATGGCCAAGCTGAATCTATCTGTTTGATTTCTGATGGCCAGTTCGATGGGAGTGTCGATGTTTCCCTTTTCTTTGTAGCCGCGAACATGGATGTTGTGTTGGCCCTTTCTCTTGTAGGTGAGACGGTGAACCAGCCATGGGTATGAATGGAAGTTGAAGATGACGGGCTTGTCATCTGTGAAGATAGCGCTGAATTCGCGGTCAGTCGTGCCATGAGGATGCTCTCCATGAGGGATCAGTTTGAATAGGTCGACAACGTTGACAAAGCGGACTTTGATGTCTGGTACGTATTGGCGAAGAAGGGCGGTTGCGGCGAGGGCTTCCATGGTTGATACATCACCGCACGAAGCCATGACAACATCAGGTTCGAAGCCTTGGTCATTAGATGCCCAGTCCCAGATACCCAGGCCCTTGGTGCAGTGCTCAATGGCAGCTTCTTTGTCCAAATATTGCAGATGGTTCTGTTTATCTGCAACAATGACATTGACATAGTTGCTACTGCGCAAGCAATGATCGGTGACGGAGAGAAGGGTGTTGGCATCGGGTGGAAGATAGATACGGACAACATCGGGTGACTTGTTGGCGATAACGTCGAGGAATCCAGGATCCTGATGAGTGAATCCGTTGTGATCTTGTCTCCAGACCAGCGCTGTGAGGAGGATATTGAGTGATGCGATCTTGGCCCGCCATTCCACCTCCAAGGCCTTCTCGATCCATTTGCAGTGTTGGTTGACCATGGAATCGATGACGTGAATGAAGGGCTCGTAACTGTTGAGCAGACCGTGTCTTCCGGACAAGATGTAGCCTTCCAGCCAGCCTTCGACGGTATGTTCACTCAACATCTCCATCACACGGCCTTCAAAGGCAAGGTTACCACCGTCGGCATCCTCTTCGAAATGCTCGCCCAGCCACACTTTTTTGCCGGCCTTGTAGACCTCGCCCAGCTTGTTAGATTCAGTTTCGTCAGGGCCGAATAGGCGGAAGTTGGTGGGGTTTTTCTCAATGACATCACGCAGATAGATAGCCATGTTAGACATGCTAGGTCCTTCGGTGACACCTCCTTTCTTGACATCCATGGCATAATCACGGAAGTCGGGGAGCTGCAGCGGCTTCTTGATCAGGCCGCCATTGGCGACAGGTGCTGCACTGAGTCTCTTGTTGCCCGAGGGGACAAGTGCTTTCAATTCTGGAATCAATTTGCCATCTTCTCCAAAGTACTTTTCGGGGGTATAGCTCTTCATCCAGTCTTCCAGCACTTTGAGATGATCGGGGTTTGTTGCCACATCGGCGATTGGGACTTGATGCGACCTCCAGAAGCCCTCTAAGTAGTGGCCATCAACCGTACGTGGACCAGTCCAACCTTTAGGACTTCGGAGGACGATCATAGGCCACAGCGGCCGGAATGCCTTGCCGGAGTCGCGGGCCTTTTTCTGATAGCCGCGAATGTCCAACACGGCCTTCTCCAAAGTGGCCGCGAACGCCTGATGCATGGTCTCGGGATCACTTCCTTCGACAAAATAAGGGGTCCAGCCGTAGCCGATGAACAGTGATCTCAGCTCGTCATGGCTGATACGAGCAAGAATGGTAGGGTTGTTGATCTTATAGCCGTTAAGATGGAGGACTGGGAGAACAGCTCCATCCGTGATTGGGTTGAGGAACTTTGTGCCGTGCCAGGAGGTTGCGAGTGGGCCAGTTTCGGCTTCACCATCTCCAACAATGGTCAGGGCAATGAGATTTGGGTTGTCAAAGACGGTTCCAAAGGCGTGAGAAATCGAGTATCCGAGCTCGCCGCCTTCGTGAAGACTGCCCGGGGTTTCGGGGGTAGCGTGGCTGCCGATGCCTCCTGGGAAGGAGAATTGCTTGAAAAACTTGCGGAGACCTTCTTCGTCCTCTGACTTGTCAGGGTAGACTTCGCTGTAGACACCTTCGAGATAAGATTGGGAAATGACTGCAGGGGCACCGTGGCCCGGTCCAGAAATGAAGAGGCCGTCGATATCGTACTTTTTGATCAGACGATTGAAGTGAATATAGGCAAAGATTTGACCGGCGTCTGAGCCCCAATGACCGAGCAATCTCGCCTTGAGATGTTCGACTTTGAGAGGTTCCTTGAGGAGAGGGTTTTCTCGTAGATACAACATCCCAAGACAGAGATACAAGCTAGCTCGCATGTAGTCATCGGTCAATCTGAGTTCTTCTGCACTAAGCGGTTGACCCTCAACCGTTGAGCGAGCTTTGCCAAAAGGCGAGATGCTCTTTGGCTCGACATCTGTAGATGGTGCCATGTTGGAGCCTAGGTACTGTGGTAGGGGTTTATGGGCAAGTTTGAAATAAGTTCAAGGCGTGGAAAAGAGAGACAGGGAAGGTAGAGAGGATGAGAGGACAACTATATACGAATTGACAAGTGGATTTTCTCGACATGGTAGTCTGTCAATTGATTATGTACGCAGCATTTGGGCATGATGCCCGGGCTGGAAGGAGGCCGGACGGGCAAGGATCTACGAGGCATTGCAAGGGCCTGAGGTGACCATGACGCACGTGCTTTGGATGAGGACAAAAAGCTGGAGTTCACGATGAAGCAGCAGCCTCCAATGAGGGACATGAGTGGCTGTGAGAGCAATATGATACGGCCAAAGAACAACAAGTCTGATAACTACGTGGGGATTGTGTCGGCAGGGCCATGGGTGATTGGCGCATTCAAAGGGTACAAGCACCCAGTCCGGTCCAGACTGGGTTGAGTGTGAACATCAGGAGACCTGAGAGCATGTGGATTTTGTGACAGCTCTAGTGTTGGTTGTGGGAGAGGGAGCCAGGGCCGACTCAACTGGAGCGTGCGAGGGTGGTCTGAGACAGTCTGAAAGGGGATTAGCGCCATCTGCAGCTGCCGAATCAGCTGATGATCATCGCAAAATCTCGAGTTAAATTCAACCGTGAGCCAATTTATTGCTCGAGCCTCACAACCACAGTGCTTGTCTCTCCAATCTTTGCAATCTTTCCAATCTTTCCAATCTTTCCAATCTTTGCAACCTTGTAGCCGAATACAACATCTGGAGATTCATGCACAGGCACGACACGTCGCGATACCGGTATTCGGCGTCACCCATAATGGGCATCCACCGCATCCCACATGCATTGTCGGGGTTTTGAGTGGAGATGTAGGTTTGTCAACCTTGATTACGTGGGTGACACGGGAGCGTTCTCAGTCATTCGTATTTCGGCAACTCTATTGAAAAGCACGTTCAAGACGTTATGTGCACCAGTCGTGTCCAAGCAGCGCACCCAATGACATGAAGGCTGGCACCACCAAGACTGCAGTCATATCTCATCTCTAAAAATACACGTTCTTCCTGAGACCCAAAGACTCGACATGTATCTAGATATCCAAGATCCCCCACGTAATCATTGATACTAGATTCATGTGATGAGAGCTTGTCAATCCATAGATGTTTGTCAGCAAACCCATCATGAAAGCATTCGATATGCATCTGTGAGAAGACGAGTACTCCCCTGTTGAAAACTTACCTTAAAACAAGGCATGCATGAAGCGCAGGGAGCAGTGTATAATGGTGAGAATCAATGATACAGCCGCTGTAATGATCGGCGTAGGGCTGTACATGTGTCAATACAAGATGCATTCGTGTGAGCGCATCTCACTATTGGGTGATCAAGACCCAATGTAGCGTCTTCTTCGTTATCCGAGGTCGAATTTGAGGCTCCCATTGAGTTAGGGGGTGGTAGCCTTGCATAGAGTAGCGTTTGCCGTTAACTCATTCGACGTTCTCATTGGCCAACCCCCTTTCATCGAGTCTTTCCGTCGACATGGGCCCTCAGGCACATGGCGTGTCATGCGAGATGGCGGGTTGGAGCGAGAGATCGCACACAGATGCATGATCTGAACGGCAATCGTGATCCACACACAAATAATTTGGGCTAGGCGACATCTCGGCCCGGTCAGAAGTCACTAACTCTTTGGCTCACGTTGTTTGATCCTGGTGAGGTTAGAGCAAAGAGGTGAGACGCCATTCACCCTCACACACCATACTTCCAGTCCTAGGGTCTCAAGTGGGAGTATTCTGATGCATCAGCTCTTTGCTTTTGGCTGTCGACCATCAATCCCAAAGATTGCAGGCCACCAGATTGTTCTGAGGCCCAAATTTGGGGACGTGGTCAGGGCGCGATTTCTGCCGTTGGCCTGAGGAAGTCACGTCACCGAAGTCGTGGTTAAGATAAGACCTGCCTGGCTGTCTTTGCGTCAAAGGCTATTTCAATCGACAAACCTGGTAACTTCATGCCTGAATTTGTTTCACCTTGCTGCTCTTCGCATTGGTGTTTCAAACACTCAACAGAGCTATTTCGGCCTTGATATAGCATGTGCCAGACATCGTTGAGTTCGAAGGGTCCAACATGAGACCATCCTAAATGTTAAAGGTGAAAGGGCATCCACGTTTTGCGACAATGTCATTGCCCTGACATTATTTAGTATTGAGTTGACGATGCACTGAATATATCGAACTGGGTGAGCTGTAGGTGATAAGACGGATAGAGAGGCATGACGGAGGAAATGCCAAGACTTTGGTGCCCCTGCGTACATATGAGTACTACGGCAGAGCATATATAGCATCTCCCGGTACCCTATTGTAGAGCAGAGCTTAGAGACACGAAGCGTCGCGCATGCTCGCTTTACCTGCCATACGATGCAACAGCTAATCTTACCTTCCTCTTCAGGTAATATTGAAGGTTGACCAATCAACTTGAGGAAGAGTGACACTTTCCGGGCATTTACGCAGATAGAGACAACGACAGCGGAGATCCCTGACAAGCTACAAAACAACTGGTCGATATCAAGAATATGTCAGGGCATACCATTCCCCAATTGACATGGACCAGTCGGTTGGCTCCAAGATGCTTATCACACTCGCTTGGGCAGACTTGACTACTGTACATGCTTGTCCCACGTAGAGGATCGACATCGGTCGTTAGGCTGATTTACGACGTTTATCAACAGCCTCCAAACATCTCTTGCCATATGTTGATGACTTCTCACTCACCAAACACTCTCTCTTCCTGAAGATCACGTTTGTGCCTGCGACCCTGGGTGATCACATCACTGACTGCCTCGCCCTTCCTCCCGTCCAACAAGATGAGCACCATTACCACCGCCACTGAAGTCATCCCTTCCCAACCATTATCTCCATCACAATACTATGGCAAACTACGATTCATCCCGGAGGGCAAAACCCCCCAACCAAGTCCCCATAATTTCCATTTACCCGAGATCTCCGAGTTTGGTGATGTACGCATGCAACCATTGATTGACATGCGTCCCGTTCCAACCATCGATGAATTGAATCGTGATCATGCTCCTGAAGGAACGGCAAAGCTTTCAACCCACGGGTTCACGGCAGTCAAACACCCCACGACATTGAACTCGGCACCTTACTCTCGAGCTAGTTGGGATGATCCAGCAATTCTGAAATCGATATATGTTCCCGAGACGGAAGATATGGTCAAGAAGATCACCGGTGCTAAAACGGTGATTACAGAATCACTATTGATCCGCAGCGCCGTCTGGTCTGAAAAGGATGCTTTGGCCACACATGGCGGTCATGGTCAAGATGGTCAAGCGGACGCTGAAATCATCTCGCAGCAACGAGAACCATCACCAGAAGAGACAGACTTGGAACTGGGTTTTCCTCAATTCATCGGCTTCTCCGCTGCCAGTGGAGGTGTGAGTCCAGCGCCCAAGGTTCACCTCGACTATGCTCCCAATGGTGCAAGAACTCATATCCGCAAATTTCATCCTCGCATGGCGGAATTCGCTAAAGATGTCATCAAGGCGGAAGACCAACTCCTTTCCCAGGGCAAGTCCCTCAGAGAAGAATATACTTCCTCTCAAACAGGGCCACGCTGGGCGTTATATTCCATTTGGCGGCCGTTGAAACCCGTCAAGCGAGATCCACTAGCATTAGGCGATGCTCGGACTTTTCGCGAGTCCGACTATGTTCCTGTAATGATCAAGAATCCTAACCTCGGGATTCCAGGTGATAAATCCACCCACGACAGTGAAAGTTACTTGGCACATTGGTCAGAGGGGCAGAAATGGTATTTTATTTCTCAACAGGAGCCAGAGGAGGTATTGGTGGTGGGACTTTTTGACTCGGATAGAGATAAAGAGACGGTGGCGGCTGGAGGGACATTGCATAGTAGCGTTGATCTTCCGGGAACTGAGAATGAGCCAGCTAGAGAGAGTCTGGAGCTGAGATGCCTGGCGATTTGGTGATTGTTAGTCTTGGTTTGACAGGGTCTTGTTACCACAGTCCTTGTTAGGGGAGGCCTTCATGGTCAAACCGCACATTCATGTATTCATCTAACATCTATCATTGCGATTGTGGAGTTAGTCAAAGAAAATTCTTGATATAGCTGATGGACCGTGTAAATGTTTCGTCGACAACAGCGTTTTCATGCTTCATGAATAGATAGGACCAGGGTAAATTCACGAGTCCTATTGCTGGATTTTGGCACCAATACTTTTGAAATAATCACATCTAGACGCCAGATCTTGATCGACAGTCTCCATGCCCGTCGATTCTCTCGACTCGAACAGAAACCTGTGTTTAGTCGACTCGGACGCTGCTTCAGGATTTTCATTTTGATCGACAAAAGGTTTCCACTCCGGAGAGTCCCCCAACCGGTGGACGTTTGGATTTAAAGTACGGATGAAACTGGTCCAATATGCCTGAATCCAAGGCACGACCCAAGCATTGGGGTGATTTGGCCAGAAGCTAGCCGGCGTGCCACCGCGGACATTTTCTGGACCCCAAATAGCAGAGATCTCCATGGTATGTGGCGCACCCAGGCCGGCGGCGACGAGACCTGGGTCCTGGACGTTGAATCTATAGTTCCACATGCCCACTCCGGCGGCATAACGAACAAACATGGATGAGATGAAGAGGTTGGGACACATATATCGAATGTCGCCGTAGGCGTTGCTGGCCTGTCGCCACCAGGGTCCTGAGTTGGGGAATTGAGGGCCTCGGTTGGGGTATAGTTCGGCGATGCGCTCTAGGTGTTCATGATGCAAGAATGGAAGCTGTGCTTGAAGAAATGTGCTCGACTCGTCCCAGTTCGAGGTCCCCCGCGGTACAAAGACTGTTCCGCCGTTGGTGTCGTCGCCGAAAATGACGGTCACCTTGATGAATCTGCCCTCTTCGAACGCCGAATATGTGTAGTTCTGAATTAGCTCGCCGTCCACGACGGGATTCCACATAAAAAGTGGCGGGCGGGCTAATCCGGGATACGGGATGTTGTGGTTCTGGGCCTGCATCTCAGCGGAAGTCTTGGATCTGAGACATGCCAAAGTGGTGGAAGAGGTGGATGTGGTGGAATGGCATCCCAGTCTTTCCACCATGTTATCGTATTGATATTGGCTCTGATCTACCGTGAGGACGGGCCCGAAACTGACGGATTCAGCCGCTGCACCATGGAACAGGCCTTTGTCTTGTCCGCCATCGGCGCTCAGATGAATGGCGATTGATGCTGCCCCAGCAGAGTCACCACCAAGTACCACATGGTTGGGATCTCCGCCGAACCGAGAGATATGCTTCTGGGCCCATTCTAATGCTTTGCGCTGATCTCGAAGGCCGTTGTTGAGGGTTGCAGATGGGGAATCGACGATTTCCTTGCTGGCGATGAAGCCGTATGGACCCACGCGATAATTGACCGTGACAACGACGATTTGATGATCGGCTGCGGTGATCAGACCGCTGCCGTTGTAGTTGGGATTTGACAGGCTGTTGAAACCACCTCCCTGAATGAAGAAATAGACTGGAAGTTTTGAGTCATTCGTCGCAGCCGACGGGGCATAGACATTCAGGAACAGGCAATCCTCTGAAGTTGAGGGATTGTTTGGGGCAGCTCCGGTTGCCAAACAGAGCGGTCCATGCTAGTAGTCATAGTGGTCAGCATCCAATTTCAGCATGTCGCATGGAGCAAAGGAACTGTCGACTTACCTGGTCTGCGGGTTGCACTTGGTCAACAGGGGGCGGATCTTGTGGAGCAGCAAACCTCAAAGGACCCAACGGTGCAGCCGCATATCGTATACCTAGCCATTGGGTGATGGCGTTGGACAAAGGTACGCCTCTGTATGTGGCGTAGCCGAGACCAACCTCAGGGTCGACAGCAGCAACCAGCGCCGTCAGTGAGGCAAAGAGGAATTGAAGTTTCATTTTTTGGTTTGACCTTTTTTCGGTCTTGGTCTTCAAGGGAAGGAGCGATCTGCTCCTTTGAGATGTCACCGAACGCAGAGAATCTGTTTCTCCATAACGGCGGCCGCAAATATCAGGATCTGGGGTTGAGGAGGAGGCTCTGTGCTACCTCTCGTTCAACTCTCAGTTGTTTAAATTGTCCAAGCCCTGGCGAATCCGAAGAGTGAAGTTGCCTAATCGATGATTCAAGAGAAGTAGTTCGCTCTACCCTATTTGTGGATTTGTGTGGATATAGAACTGACTCTATTCTTGAACATGATCTCGCATGGACACAAATTGAGGCTTTTTCACGAACAGACAGACGGCCAGCACCAAATGGGAGAGAATCACAGGGTTTTAGGTGGCGGGCCAGATCATTGTGGGGATGAAAGGGGGGTGGCCGAGAGCTTACATTGTCTGACCCTGCTTGTCTTTCTTTAGAGAAGCAGAGAGCTTTTATTAGAGCAACCTTGCTTATCAGACTTGAGCAGGCTTCTTGGTTTTGGTGGAGCTTAGTCGATGGGACATGTCACTTGACGACTTTGACAGGCCAACAAGATTGATATACTATCACCTCTGTCCAATAAGTCAGGTTTCAGTAGCCCACTCGAAAGTTATATGGCCTAATGATATTTTTGCCATCCCTCTAAAGTACAGTAGTTACCGCTCAGTGGCGTCCTGCGAGTTGCATGCTTGCAACGGTCTCACATCTCATTCTATGATTGAGCACCATGGAGACATAATGTGGCCGTAGACTTAATTATCTGACACAGGCTGATGGTCACGTTGGAACGGCATCCTGAATGGATTGCCGCACATTCTCCCAATTAACCCCGTCAATCTTCTCACCCTTTAATCGGCCAATTGCTTCCCCGTCCTCTGCGGATAGCTTACCAGTAGCTATCCGGCGTACCAACACGGTATCGCTCGCACCAGGAAGTTTGGAGGCGGGGCCAGACAGTAGACATTGCTCTAGCCATTCTTCTTCCTGCTTGGTCAAGGCCATTCCCACTAGTAATGTGGCCTGCTCTGCTCGACGATTGGGGGTCTTTTCCTGAAGAATCTTGACCACGAGTTTGTCCAACAGTCTCTTGTGATTTGTTTGGTCCTGCCTGCGGGCTAAATAGACAGCCTGGATGGGGTCTTTAGACGATAAAAGATCGGAGTATGCATCCAAGGCTTTGGGGTCTTCCAAGGGCGGAGAGACACAGATGTAGAATGCAGTGGCTAATGATGGGTCGGATTTGGGGTGTTTCAAAAGGGCGACGAGGATTTGGTCGGCAAACGGGAGGGTCAACGTAGGGTCGGTGAGGTGTTCGAGGGCTCGGGCAAATTGAGCATGATCTAATTCCCATAGTCCTAGAATGAGGAGTTCGTATTTCTGAGGGAGATGTGTTTTGCGGATAAATGTGTCTGCTGGACTCGTCTTGAGTGTCTGCCGACTGTCGAGGAGGATATAGTATAGAAGAGCAAGTTTCTGCTCATCAGGGGCTGGAGACTGGACAACTTTGGTCCATAGTGATCGAAGGTCTTGGTTGGATCTGGGAGGATAGGTCTTTTTTGAGGCTGTTGAGTGTCAGTTGCGGTTCTCTTGGGACAGATCCAAGATCTGACTCACGCTGGGTCAATCCTATCGATTTCCATATCCGATCAAAGAACAACTCGTCTCCAAACTCCTTGCGATGTCTCACAATGTTGTCAATGGCCTTCTGTTCGAGACTGAAGTCACTGGCATCCCTCCAAACGGTGTTGAACTCTTGCCAATTGAAAGCCATGGTGGTTAGGAGCGAAACATATGGGGCATCAGCCCATTCGGGGAAGGGTAATTGCTTTGTATGAATTAACACCCTTGCGTCGGTTAAGATCTTTGCTTCAGTGGATGATGGTGTGGTAGGGTATGCATGGTGCGCGTTTCTTCGCCAACAATGACGCGGGTTTGTACGTGTCTGGGCACATAGTCGACCGTAGTAGATGCAGCTACTAATACGGAGGAGTATGAGATCCTTCCCCGCAGCCTCGGTTATCAAGAATGACTCGTGACTTGTGATGACTTCATCTTCCCTTTTTGGCCAGTAAAGTATCAGAAAGTCTAACCTCGTCTCTTTGTCCGACACTTGATCAACTCTCTCAGCCTGACTTGATGTATTTACTGCCATGCCATGCCATGCCATGCCATGCCGCTAATGAGAGAAACTACGGCCTTCCACCGGATTTATCGAGTCATTCGATCTGCAACTCCACCGGGCACCTTACCCGTTGTCATTGACCAACACGAGCTGGTCTCCAGTGAATCCATAGAATAAAGGCCGTGACAACCCCGCCTTTTGGGGCAAAACTCCAAGCTCCACGTTCCAAGCTGAACGGTCTCGGACACTATAGCCAGTGGTCGCCAGTGGTGCCAGTGCTTTGTTAGCATTTCGTATCGCCTTGTAGTGCTAAGGTTGAAAGGTGGATTTATCATTCCCACTATCAATCCAGGCCTTAGCCGAGGGTTATGCTCGAGAAGGGGATGTCTCCGGGGTTTTGGTTGCTCTTCAGTTCTGACATGTTGATTACATATATTGACATTGTCTCCCCTTCCACAACCCCCTGTCCATAGCGCAAACCCGTGGGCCTCCTCAAACATTTCTAGAGTGTAGTTTCTTAATCAAGTCCTCGTCGTGTCCGTGTCGGTCTATATACATCCAATCATGGGTTCGGCAGCCTATCCAGTGCAACAAAAAGGTATTTACCATAACCTTCCCACCTTTGATCCCTCCATCACAGGGTTGACGGCCATCGTGACTGGCGCAAATGGCATCTCTGGCTTTCACACCATGCGGGTGCTCCTCGAGAGCCCCAAACGGTGGTCCAAGGTCTATGCATTGTCGCGACGTCCACCTCCCAAGTCGATGATGGCTCTCCTGACCGAGGATCAACGATCTCGAGTCCAACACGTGGCGGCCGACTTCCTCGAGGACCCTCAAAAGCTTGCCGATGCCATGTCTGGGGCTGGCATCAAAGCCGACTATATTTTCTTCTACTCGTATCTTCAACCGAAGCCCCCACCGGGAGCCGCCGTGTGGTCCAACGTCGACGAACTCGTCAAGGTCAACAGTGCCTTGTTGGATAACTTCTTAAAGGCCCTAACCATTTCCAATATCATCCCCAAGCGCTTCCTGCTACAAACCGGGGCCAAAAACTATGGCATTCACATTGGCAGAGCCCGCGCTCCCGCGATTGAGTCTGACCCGCAACCATCCCACCTCGAGCCGAACTTCTACTATTTCCAGGAGAAATTGCTCTTTGAATGGTGCAAGGCTCACAACACAAAGTGGAATGTCGTGATGCCGGCATGGATCCTGGGTGCCGTCAACAACGCTCAGATGAATGCCATCCTCCCTTATGCATACTATGCCGCTGTGCAAGCTCAAAAGGGTGAGCCGCTCCATTTCGCCGGCGATTTCAACACTTGGACCTTTGAGCAGCACCATTCATCTGCCATGTTGACGGGCTATCTATCTGAGTGGATCGTGCTGGAGGACAAGTGCCAAAACGAGAGGTTCAACTCTCAAGACACCGGACCAGTGACCTGGGACCGCTTCTTCCATGAATTGGTCCGGTGGTTCGGCGTTGAAAAGGGCATTGTTCTTCCCGAAGAGGATCTCAGCAAATTCCAAATCATCAAGGGCAAGGCCGGCAAGGATACTCCCATGGGGTAAGTTGTTTTGTTGTTTGACATTTGCCCTTGAAGAGCCAGACCATGACTGACCTTTGACGTTGGAAATCGATAGATATGGACCCCCCACAGAACTCCGTGTGCGATTTAGCTTGGTGGAGTGGGCTTCACAGCCGGAGAATAAGAAGGCATGGGAAGAAATTATGGCTTCCTCGGGAGGCCAATTGGTAGACAATCCATTTGAAGATACCGTCGCCAATTTCTCCTTTGGGGATGCTGCTTTGATGCAGCTACTCAGCCTCAATATGAACAAAGCCAGACGTCTAGGATGGACGGGCTTCGTGGACAGCATTGAAGTGAGTTCTTTTTGACGCTAGATCCCACAGGATTCGCGTTGTGTTGTGACACACCAGCTAATCATCCTCCTTAGTGCCTGTTCCACATGTATTCCGAGATGGGTGACTTGGGAATGCTCCCAAGGTTGAAAGTTGACAAGGCCAATCCTTTGGTATAGAGGGATCACAGCTTGAAGGATGATGGGCCAGGCCCCTGATACTTAAGCCACAATATTACAGTAGCACGTTGAACCAACCTCGAGGTAATTGCACAGAAGTCATGACCTGCAAAGGGCACAATGAGTGATCAACACCAAAGCAATCTTGCTGAAATTTATCTTCTATAACCTAGAAGCAGACTTGGGCCGTAGCTCTTACATTAGGTAAACGTACACTTGTACTGTCACACCTGTGGGAAAGTACGAGACCCATTGAAACGCCACGTCCATGCATGGTAGCAAGGCTGGACCACCTGCAAAAATCAATGCCAGAGACCCCGAGGAATTGGTGTATACAGAAGTCTGGTCCGTCTCATCTTCCGATGTAGCCCTCGGCCGACTCAAAGTATATAGTCCCAGGACAATGCAAAATAGCATGCAATAAATCTTCATGTTCTCGTCAAATGTCGCAACACCTTGAGAGTTGATTGCCGGATGACTGCACCTTCTTAATTGGGACGGTAAGGGTTGTGTCCATTCTCCTGGTTGTAGTCTCTCCACCATTCTCGATCCCAATATCCACTTTCTTGCTTCTCACTCATCTCCGTCCGTCCTCGGCGCTCTCGTGCGGTGTTGGTCTCTCCACCATCTGGTGTTTCTCCCGAGTGTGGTCAATCGTACCCGGCACCTCGTTGCCAAGGGCTGGAATTGTTTTGTGACCGATATCCTCCTTGCTGGGGATGTCCCGAGTGTGCAGATCGAGGTGGACCATAGTTGTCTCCGAGGCTGCTGGTGCTTCGATCGTACTGTTGTTGGGGGGCGTACGTATATGAAGGGTTGTTGTAGCCTTGCTGAGGGCCACGTCTGCCAGTATCCTCACTAGGGTACATCTGAGACATGGGCTGCTGAGAAACAGCTGGTTGTTGCTTCAATGATCCGCTGGAGAAGGAGTCAGTCTCATCATAAATCTTCTTGTCGTTGGTGTATGTCTCTTGTCCATCGCCTCTGGCGGTTGCGCCAAGAGCATCGAGTTCGGTGGTGAGAGCGGTTTGAGACTTGATGAAACTGCCTCGATCGTCACGCATGGGTTGATATCGAACCTCTGGGTTCTTGGAGACGATGGCGTAAATGGACGCGATCAGGACCAGAATCAGCAGGACGATAGCAAAGATGACATTGACCAGGGCGAAAATAACACCCATGATACTTGGCACCATGCGAGGAGTACCAAAGACATCAGAGAAGAACAGCAGCAGGATGGTGTTGAAGAAGTTGACGGCGGCGATAGAGATGTTGAAGATGTTCGTCTTCTTGTCCATATAAGGCTTGAGAATGCTGACGGCGATCAGTGCGACGGCTTCGACGACAAGAAGGCCAATAGCCTGGGCAATGGGTGAGGCCTGAGCAAAGGCGATGAAGATGGCCTTGACCAGGATGTAGCCGAGAAGAGGGATGACGAAGTAGTATGAGGTGGCACGATATTGAACGTAGAGGAAACCCCACTTGTTGAGACATTCAGGATCTGAGTACAGAATGTAGGCAGGGTTCTTGTGCATCTCCACGGATTTCTTTGCGAGGGAGACGACTTTCCACGAGGCCCACCCCAGGGCGCCGGCCATTGACAAGAAGACGACCAGGGCCAGAACGACCTCAGCGGCGGAATCGCGCTCAACAAGCTGCCACAAGCAAAGAATCGACATTTGGACAAAGCCGAGAAGGACCTAGGAGCGTGTTAGTGAGGTTATTACAGAGGTTGAAGAATACTTGTTACTAACCAATCGGAACAAGATGCCCTTGATGACGATTTTCCATCCATTTCGGAACTCAGAGAACCTGTCCTGCTTCATCCAGCCGGCTCTGGCGCAGCCATCGAGGATGACTTTTGTGAGAGCGACCAGAATAGCAGCCAAGAAAAGAATGAAGATGAAGAAAATGAGACCGGTCATGAAAATGTTGGTTTGCTCAATGCCGGCTCTGAACCCGACTCTATCAATTCCGCGGACGACTTTGACGTTATCAGCAGCAGTCTCTGCGCGTTTGACGTAGTTGCGTAGTCCTTGTGTGGCATAGTCCACCATGCTATCGAGAGACCGCGTGAGGGCACGCTTCTGGACTTGCACAGAGTAATGGCTCAAAGTAGACAGATATGTGGTGGGAGTGCCACCGGTGGCACGTTGATACCAGGTTGCAATCGACTGAAGAAAGCCGACTCTAATGATTCCCATGCTCCACTGGAAGTTTTGAGTCCAGGACTGGACAATTGGAGGCATTGCAACTGAGGTCATGCCGATGACAGCCTGAGCCTGGAAGAAGCCAAATAGAGAGACGGCGTTGGCAGCAACGTGAGCGGCAGTGTTGGGGTGGCCTAGACCAGAAGTGATGCCAGCTGCAACCAGGCCTAAACCTGCGATGATGGCAGTGGCCCACCCCACAGCTGCATGATACACGCTCTTTGTGTTGGATAAAGAAGCCTCCAAGCAAGCAAGGACCTCGTTGGTGTCGGAGGAGATGATCGTAGCACGAACAAGGCCATCAAGGTCTGGTACGAGATACGCAGCTCCTGGGACCTGATCTCCAAGATCACCGACGTCGAAGTTTGTGAGAATCGTAAGATCACCAGATCTCATTGGACAGAAACCGGGCAAATCCATGTCACAGGGGTTCACGGTGAGATTGACGATGGTGAAACCATAGGCAAATGCTTCGACGTGAGCAACGACATTGCCGACGATGGTAGACACACCCTTGATGTTGAGGCCAATGCTGCCGTTTCCAGGAGTGTAGGCAACTTGGAACAGAGACGCTGTGAATTTGGAACCCTTTTGGCATGAATTTAGGGAGTTGGACACAATTACATCTTCGGCAGCGCTCAATAAAGGGAGAGAGAGGACGGCGAGAAGGGAGACGAAGGATGAGAAGGATGAGGGCACCTTCATTTTGGTGGTGGTTGCTCGAGATAATGGGTAGAAGGCGGATAGGGTTGTCCCGTCAAGGGATGGTGTTATCGAAGTCGAGAGCCAACCAGAGTGATGGTGGTCGAGTGAGGGTAGGAGAAAGTTATGAGGGTATATTCAGATCTGATCGGCCGAGATTTTATGTGGCTCAAAGTGTTGTAGGCATCGACTTTGGACGTGATGGTGGTGAGTTATGAGCAGGCGAACAAAAGGGAAAAGGCGAGGGATTTCGAAGCGATGGTGATGCTCGACGAACGAGACGACGTCAAAGAACAAAGAGAGGGCGATATGGCCGCCGTCAGTGGATGTGCAGGAGAATAACGAATGTTGAAAGCGAGTGAAAGGTCGAAGTCGGCACGATCCCAGTGCCTTGGTTAGGGTGAAGCTGGACAGGAAGTGGTGACGGACGGGGCTGGAACGAGAGATACAGGTTTTGACAGATTGTAAGAGAAAGGAACCACTTCTGCAGCTCCTGGGGGGGCAGGGGAGAGGCCTGGGCGACTGGGCGGATGAGACGAGCTTGGATCTCTGTGGGCACCAAGGAACCGCGTGTTGAGTCTCAATGAGCGAAGGATGTCTTAGGATCTGGGGCGGTTGTGGGTAGCAGACTAACAGAGAATGACACCAAACACAATGTGGTTGGTGGATGGTGTAGAGTTTGACAGGGATTGATCGAAAACAGCGAAGAAGGGCAGGGGAGTGTAAAAAGACAGTCAAAAGACAGAGAGAAAATCTGAACAACCAGGTAGAATATTGTGACATGCAAGCAGAAGCGAGTGACGCATTAATGGTGTCTGACAGATGGAGATGCAAAACAAACTAAGAGACACTAGGAGTCCGCGGAGCCAGTGGATGTCTTGGAAATTTTGGACTAATCTCAAAATTGCTTAGCCAGATCACAACAATCGGTCATTCCAACGGGCCTGCGCCGACCAAAGTGAGGGTAGCAGAGTGGCAGAGTCAAGGCCTGCCCACCTGCCCCAGGCGTTGTTCCATTTCTGGGCACCTGGGACGAACCGCTAGTTAAAGGTGGCACCGGTGGTGGGTAGCATTGGTGATATTGGTGGCCAGGTGGGCTCGACGAGCGAGACGCGTGGCAATCCAGCGAGGCGCAGTCATCAAGTCTGGAAATTACCTGTTACAACACCCTTCACCATTTTTCTTCAGGTCACAGATGGGAATTGTTTGATACTCCGGGGCTCATCCTATCCGGTCTCCTCTTTGATCCCATTTTGACATCCTTGGATTCTCTTGGGCTAGTTTCCCTGACCCGGATTTGTTATTGCCGTGATCTTGGAACCCGTGACTGTTGCATCCATCTGCCCCGGCTTTTGAGTTCAAATCTCTCTGTACTCGTCACACGGGCCACAACAAAGAGCTTGACCTGTAGAGAAGAAGAGACTGCGGAATTATTTTGTTGGCGCTACTGTCATTTTCTAACCTCGGACTCCTTGGGAAGTCATATACCTGTATTGTAAATAGACACACCTCTTACATTTTGCCATACCTGTGTCTTTCGTCATCCTCACATTTGGCCTCTGCTGTATGAGTAGATCTGCAGATCTAAGCGTACAGTAATATGCGACATCGGTGTCACTGGTGTCCAGTCCGGAAACTCCAGGTGGGGAGAGATGAGTCGCAAGCATCCACCGACTTCGGCTAACTCTTTAGCACCACCAACTCCAATCAACGTCATTTCGTGATTCCAAGACAGTGTCGTAATGACCCAGGGACTTTATTTTAGTCCGACGTTATTTGACTGAGAATTTTCGCATGAACAGGCTACCCAACCGCCGGGTATCAGCCAGCCATCTACTCCTTGTCAACATTAGTCTATCGCATAATTGTACAATACTTACCATAGCTTTAAGTACCCGAAAGGAAAGCTTTGAAAAACTGGCCCTGAAATCCGTGTTTCTACTGAGCGAGGATCAAGCCAAGAGCCAGGTGGAGGCGGACGAGATTCTCTATCCCTCTACTACGCACTTCCTTCGAATACACCGCTACTTCTAAATTCACCACGCATAACAACATGAAAAAACTTATCTGCGGCGGTCGTGAACTACTGAATCGATGTTGGGATCCGGTGTCGGAAGCCCTGACGCTCGCAGTTCTTGCATGCCAAAAGAATTAGTTCCACTACTACCGTGGGTAGAAGGACGTCCAAAGGGAAACTTGAATAATTGTTGTTTGTCGTCCTTCCTACTGTCTCGACAAGTCATGCGAGAGTTTGTCGTTTGAGAGCCAGAGTGTCTTTCTCCTCGGTCTGCATCGGGATTCTGTATGTTGAGCCATGCTGTGGAGTTGCAGCGTCATTCAAGTCCCCGTTGTTGGAGCAGCATTAGCAACTTGCCAGCTCAAATCATGATTTTGATACTGCGTCAATTGATATCCTCCTTTTCTAGCTCACTTGCCAGGTCCTGGGCCGAGGTGAATTGTTGGGTCCAGCATTACTCGATGATCGACCCTAGCCATAGACCGTCGGTTGACGGAAGTGTTTCTCGTCGCGGCCAAGTGGTAGGGTCTCCCACCTCCTCCCACTCTTGGTAGATGTCAAAACTGCAACGTTGGCCGGTGATGATCTCAAACATTACTGCCCCAAATTGTCCGATATCGCTGTAGATAGAGAAGCCGGCATCATCGCAGCCTTCCAAATCCCAATCTAGCGGCATCAGCGTCGACTCGGAAAAGTCAAGCAGTTTAATTCTCATTTCGTGGTCAACAACAACATTGTCGAGGCGAAAGTCGGCAACAATAACTCGCCGAGAATGAATGTAGGCCATCGTATGCGCTAACTGAGTCAACCAGGACAGTTGTGTGGCTTTATCTGGTCGATTGTCGGCTAAAAAATGGAGAAGGTCACCATCCATTAGTGGCATTTGGATGGATGGTTCGTCTGAGAAGGTGTTGTGACAACGAATGATGCCTGTATAAATTGCTTTTTCACGTTTGAATGTCCTGATGGCAGCAGCACACTCGGTATGCCCGCCTTCTAGGTCGGTGAGTATTCCATCCTCAAAAGGCACTCCATCGATCTCAACGATCTTGGAGATCCGAGGGATCTTGAACGCATATCCATCTCGAATGACGACAATGCCGACCCCGCCAACGCCAATCACACGCTCCTTCACAATTGTTCCGTCTAGATAAAGGTAATTTGCGACACAAGACGTCATGGGCGGTAGAATTCTGAACTTGAGAGTATGTTGAACGACAGTAGAGGTCTGCACGTGACTCGGAGGATCTAAGGCCTGACGATTGAATCACAAGAACATGGCCTCGAATGGGGTCGACAAGGTTTTGCTTGCGATCACAGTCAACGCCGAACCAAAAAGGAGTGAAGAGCGCCCGATGCAAAAACCACAGGCGTGTAACTTCGTACAGTACTCCATCCATACATATGAAGAAGCCACAGGGGTTTGCGCTCAGGGCCCCTTAGATCTTTCATTGCCTTGGGGCCGCGCCGGGTCGCTGCGACCCAGAAGCTTGGCGTTGATTAGGACGATATTCTATTCTTGTCGCTGATCGTTGCCCACAGCGAGTTGTTGAAGAACCTGACATGGTGTTTTGTTGCTTCCAACGCTATTCAAAAAGTCCGGCGAATATCTCAATCCTCAACACCGCTGAGCCTTCATTCGAAACTTCAACATTGGCTATCCTCAGCTTCACAGGCACACTACAATGGCTGTGAAATACATCGCAGGAGAACAATAACTCCACAGCCAAGAAAGTGGGACACCGGCTCCTTTTCAAGGAGAGTAGGCATTACTTCTCAGCGCTCCATTGATCCAGCTGTAGGGGCTAGGGCAGAAGACTTAGCAGCTTAGCAAATAAGAAGTCCCCGCTGATGACAATTCTGGTCATGATTACCTACCTATGCGCCGTACTTCGCTGATATCTCGTCGCTAGACTTTGTTATAATTCGGTTGAACCATCAACCTTTCATTCCTTGCGGGCTTGCAACCGCAACCAATACAATATTCATGCACCAAGCCTCTTATGTGGCAGCTATCTGCTGTTCAGATCTTGGATTCATCGGCTTTTCCGTCTCCATTCGTTGGGCTTGCGCCTCGAGCTCCTTCCTTTCCTGAGCCCGCCTTCGTTGAATGAGGTCTCCCTTGATCATCCTCAGGTATTTGGTCGCCTGGTCAATCAATTCTTTGCTCTCCGTGCTCTCCTTCAGCGTCTGCAGCAGCATCTTGACGTGACTTTCCTGAGTCAGTTGTGGACACGTTCTCCCATGCCCGAGATGTGCCAGTCCGCAAAGCCCGCAGTGCTCTACTCCAGCCACTTTCAGTCGACACCATCCCATCGCATGCACCTCGTCGCACGCTGAGCATGCATGCATTGGTGGCATTTGATCCATCGGTCCAAAGTCAAAGTTGACGTCGCCATTGAACATCGGGGCTTGTCCAAGGGGAACTCTCACGCGTTTAAACGGACGTGCTACCTGCCGTCAGCTTCATTGCCATTCCTGGAGATTTGGCGACTGTACCTGTCACCCTTGGGCGTTTCCGCTCCATCACGTCTGTATCCTCACCACTGATGATCTCGTCGTCAGGCGATTCTGCTTCATTGTCGTCATTGTATTCTCCGTCAATTCTTCCGCCTTTGCCTCGGCGTTTGGTCTCGACGTTGTCTCCATCATCGACTCCGTAATCGACGTTCTGGAATGCTATCAATGATCTCGGCATTCCCATTAGTCATGGTGCTCTTACCTCACGTTTCCGTTTGCCTCTGCCGTAAGCCTGTGCCTTCCTAGCCTCTTCCTCTCGGAATATCTTTTCCCTCTCCGATAAGATCTTATCCCAAATGCCAGGACGTGGCGTGTTTGTGTCACTCTTGACCTCGAGGTCTTCTTCAAGGGAGTCCTTCTCATTGGCCCAGATTCGAGCGAAACTGAACTGCGACTCCGCCGACTTGTCATCGCTGATTTTGGTGTCTTCGATTTGTGATCGATCTAGCAGTCGGTCCACGGATCCAGAGTCATAAACAATATCGGCTACGTTCGGATCATCTTCGAACAATTCCTGTGCACCGTGGCGGAGAATCGTCTCTAGGTCGGAGCCAGCATCGTCCTCGCGATCCATCCTCTCAATCAAGACGTGATCGAGCGCCATTTTCTTTCTCCCAATCTGCATGATTTTCTCCTCCACACTGTCCCTGGTCATCAACTGGAAGACCAGCACCTTTTCCTTCTGGCCAATGCGGTGGGCTCGAGAAAGTGCCTGAATGTCCTGATGTGGATTGAAATCAGGGTCCAAAATAATGACAGTATCTGCAGTGGCAAGATTGATGCCCACTCCTCCCGCTCGTGTAGAAAGTAGGAACGCAAAAAAAGGCGAATCGGGAGCATTAAACTCATCTATTCTCTTTTGCTTCTCCATGGAAGTGATTGTCCCATCGACACGGCGATGTTGGAATCCTAGCCCGTCAAGAAAGTCCTCCATGACGTCCAGATTGTCGAGAAATTGGCTGAACATCAGCACACGATGGCCACGCTCTTGCAGTTTGGGAAGCATCAGAGACAACAATTGTAACTTCGAGGACGCCTCGATCAGGTTGCGGTCGGACACGTCGGCTTCCACAGTCCTTTCTTCGATCTCACGGCTGTACACGAACGGATGGCACAGGACCTTTCTGAGGTGCATCAAAATGTTGTTCAGGTTTTGACGATCTTTGACTCCCAGATTAGGATCACGAGAGAAGATCGACTTCATGAGCTGTGGGTTCTTTGCCAGAATGGACTTGTAGACTTTCTTTTGCACCGTTGACATCGTAACTGGCACGATTATTTGTGCCATCGGAGGTAAAAAGGTCAAAACCTGCGCTTTTGTCCGCCGAAGAAAAAACCTTCTCAGTGTCTCGTGAAGTTCGCCAACACTCTCGGGAGTCAGATTGGCGTACTTGACTTCCAATTCAGCAGCACTGAGACTTTTGTCCAGGAATTGGAGGAGGTTGAAGAGCTCTCGGGCGTTGTTTTGAAGGGGCGTTCCGGTCAAGAGAACTTTGAAGGGAAAGCGAAACTTTGAGAGGATTTCATAGATCTGGGTGCGATCACTTTTTAATCGCTGCCCCTCGTCTACGACGAGGCCCTGCCATGGCACTTTCATCAAGCTGTTCCGAGTCTTCTCCTCAATGATGGATTCATACGAGGTGATGACGATGTGAGCTTTGATGTCTTTGACTTCTTGAGATCTCTTCTTTGGTTCGTGGTGCTTTTCGTCTTCCTTGTTCTTGTTCTTGGGGAAAAGCTCGTAGTCATGGACAATTCTCCTCTCTGCAGAGCTTCCGTAATAAGCGACGGCTCGGAGTGTAGGGGCCCATTTCTGTATCTCCCTACGCCAATTGGGACAGGTCGAGTTTGGTACAACAACGAGGAATGGCCAGCATTTATGGTCCTGAACAAGAGTTGCGAAGAAGGCAACAAGCTGGATGGTCTTGCCCAAGCCCATCTCGTCGGCCAAGATGGCATTCTGGCTCTTGAACCATTGATAAGTCAGCCAATTTAGACCCTCAAGCTGATATGCCATCATTTCTCCACCGGTGAGATTCGGAGGTTGTTGTTTTCGGTGGAGTGCGCTGAAGTCCAGGGTTCGAATGTGTGCGAGGTGACGCTGCAACGACGTTCTCGGCGGGATAGACAGGTGTAGCTTGCGCACATAGTCTTCGTATGCTGTCTGGAAATCGTTCCAGCGGTCTGAATCAGCGTAGGACGGAGGCTTCTCCCAAATAGCATCTTCGTAGCCAAGGGCGCGAAATTTGACAAAGGCCATATCAACTTCCTTGGCTCTGGCAAGGTCAATTTCCTTAGTACTGTTGCGAACGACACTTGAGTACCTCACGTCTAGAACGGCGTCAACGCGAAAGAAGTCCTCCGGAATCGCATCAGCCGTCGTCATCTTCGGGAGTTGGTTCTCTGGCTTTTTGGCGAAGGATGCACGCGTGCCGGCGGCTACTATGCCCCAGACCCAAAGACCAGGCATCCAAGTGGTGCGAAAATAGGACTGGGCTCGCCACTTGACCAGATACTCTTTCTCATTCTCCTGCATCCGATCGACCGTGGTGCCAGGAACGTAGGCATCGATATTGACGGGTCGCCATGCTACTAGGGTGTCGATCTGATGTTGATTCTCAATGCAGTCTTTACATTTCCAAGACCGATGATAATAGTCAAAGCGTTTCTGACCAAGATGGAAATCATCAAAGGCCTCATCCTCCTCGTCCTCATCATCATCCACAACTGTCTGAGCCGTCTTGCGCTCGGGCAAATGATGCATGTGCCAGACCCGGACACATTGGGAGCAACGGAAGAGAACATTCGCAGGGTTGTTGATGGTATTGGCGTCAACAATCGTGATGGGATCCTGACCACCATTCTCTTCTCGTTGTGCTTGTTCTTGCTTGGTTGTCAGTCGGTTCCGGAGAGGTTTGGAGAGTTCGCCATAATGGTTGCACTTTACGCAGATGCCTTGATGAGGCACGGCTCTGTCCCTCTCGTGGGAAAGACCGATGCAGCGACGACACTGGAGGACGAATAGGGCTTGGCCGACCTTTGTGACCAAATGGTCTCGGCTGCCTCGTGGGCCGAGGCAAGCTTTGTGGTACGAGTTGGTGCAGCCCTGACAAAAGACCAGGGGGCCTTTGATTGTGTCATCTCCTTTGTAATAACAAGTGTCACAATCCTGTCGATGCCTCCTTCTAAAAGGGTCAGACTCTGGGATTTTGGCAAAGTGTTCCTTTGCTGCGACAGCCTTTGTACCAATCTTTTCCTCTTCATGACTCGAGATGTCGTCTTCGTCTCTTTCACGCATTGACTGGCGGGGCTTTGCTCTCGATCTTTCTGATCTTCTTGTGCCGATCTCTAGCTCCGGAGACGAGGAAAGAACAGGACGCCGGGGACGACGCGGCTGCTGGCGACTCGAGCGGCGGGATGTTGCCGAGGGCAGGATGACATTTCTGGCTCTCGTACTTCGTCTAGGGCGACGGTCTGAATCATCTAACAAGTCGTCCAGATCTTGTACGTAGGCATTGGGTTTCGGCTTGCTGCGTAGTCTAGCCGATCTCCTGCCATGGGTTTGAGTATCGTCTTCAGAGCCATCATGGTCGTCCAGGATTGAACTTTGGTCTGAGACATAGACTTCACTATCATCACCTAGGTCGTTTGCTTTGGAAGGCACATCATCCTCGGAATTGGAGGTTTCTATGGTTGTCCAGTCGACCATTTGAGAATGTTGCAGCGGTCGAGTCTGACGCTTGTTGGACAACGAACGGGAATTTTCTTGGATCTCTTCAAGGATACGACCACCGTTCTCTAAGAGGCGTAGCCCATGTGAGGAGACCTGTTAATGTCTAGAGTCAGCGTAATCGGGTGGGTTTCTCAAAGATTGTGCATTACTCACTATAGTCTTTTCGCCGCTGGCCAATTTGATAATGTAACGATCTGGAGAGTGTTGAGACAAGAACTTGCGAGCTGTGAAGTGACCTGGTAGGAAGTCATAACATTCTTTGTCTCTGGCAGAGAGCCGGGGCAGATCAATATAGAAACTCTGCATTTTTGGCTTGGTGGTAGTGACACGCCGGGATGCAGGCACTTCCTCCAGGTCCGAGCTGTCAGAGATCATGTTTTGAGGACTTTTGAATCTTGCTTTGGGAACAGAGGGGCGAGGATTTTCGTCATGGTAGATATCGCCCAGGTCAGTCGAGGAAGTTGAGGACGACGCCGGGGAAGATCGTTCCACAGGTTTGGAGGAGGCGCGAGACCCTAGTTTGGCATTTAGGTCTTTGGCCGCGATGGGAGAAGCGGCGACGGGGGAAGGGGGACTCGGTGGAAGATTCTTGGTCCATTCTGAAAGATCGATCTCATCCATGGTATATTATCTGCCGGCTCGAACTGGATGCATTGTTGTTACACTGGGCGCTCGTCAAGCTCAAGGTGTCGCACCCAGAGCAAGGAGTGAGACTGAGGAAAGTGGTTGTTCAGGTCATTGAAGAAAAAAGAATCTAAGCAGGAAGGCACCCAACCAACGGAAAAGGGGTCAAGACATTGTTGCATATCACAATTAGTACTGGGAGGTGATGAGTGGATGTATCATAAGAATTGATTACCCCAATATTGTCGAGGAACAGGTCAGGACGCGGTTCGCGTTCCCCACTTGCGTTATAGAGCATGCGTACCTGGCCAGGGTGATGTCACGTGAATGTAGATATAGGAATGGATATGAGATGCATACACATGCGGCACATTGTAGAATACTTATGGCCTTCAGGAGTCAAATAAACAGCTCTTTTGCTCCAGAAACTCTTCTCTTCTCTTCTCTTCTCATCTCACTTCACTTCACTCAATGGACGACGTGGCAATTAGAATATTGGAATCGAGAGGCAGGTGCAGACAGACGGTGGAGTCTCCAATTCTGGCAGGAGCGATCCCCATTTATCCTCAAATTTTATTTCTCCAATTTAGAGAAACATGCATCAATTGATCAATAATACAACACATATTCTATTGTCACTCCTTCACCCACACCAGGCGATAACTTGTCACAGCATCTCTATACTGCTGTTGACAAGCCTCGCCATCTTGAATGAAGCGACTCTCTCAAAATGTCTTGAACAGAGGCTCGGTCCAGCCATGCCTTCCCCTTCGCATCTCCATCGGTCGCGGCACCGTTCGCAAGATCTCTCTAACCCAGGCCATTGAAAAGGGCAAGCGAAGAAGCAAGCAATCTTTCCTCAAACACGATGATCGATATCGTGAGAATCCCTCTCCCGACTCACGAGACCGTGTCGAGGCACCGAGGCATCCGCCTGCGGACCGCAAGTCTGGTCGCGCCCCCCACTACAATTTTGACGACTCAGCAGCCTCCAGGCCTCCCTCAGAATACTCTAGCTTCGAGTCCCCAGTACCCATCGTCGACAAGATTCCCTTCTCCTCTGCGAGCTCCGAATTCCTCTTTGGTGCATTCTCCATCCTTTCCGCTCTCAGAGCAAGGAGAAGACGTCATCTATATAACCTCTACCGACTGCCATTAGCAGCCTCAGTCGATAGCAAACGGCCCGCCCATAACGACCAAACAGAGGAGAGTGTTCCTGCTGGACAGGACAAGAATAGCGATCAACAGACTCTGAGGCGGAAGATTTTCGACCTTGCGCAAGATCTTAGCATTGAAATCAAGGAACTCGATGCTTTTCAGGGCAAAAGAATCTTTGACAGGCTCGCCAATGGTAGGCCTCATTCTGGTCTCATCCTCGAGGCAGCCCCGCTTCCAAGACTGCAAGTCACTGGTTTGAACGCCTTGACAGAATCAGGGAGTTCTCTGACTGTCACAGCCTCATCGACCTCACGAGAAGATCGGGAAATCAATCATGTCTTCAATGTTTCCGGCGGCCAGGCCACCATACCATCTGTACGCCCCCGTGGACAATTCCCATTTCTACTCTTTTTGGATGGTGTCACCAACCCGGGTAACTTTGGAGCAATCGTGAGATCTGCATGGTTTCTCGGCGTTGACGCCATTGTTATTCCAGACCACGGAGTCTCTCCCGTGTCAGCCGTGTCTCTAAAGGCATCGGCTGGTGCGCTTGAGTACATGCCGATCCTGCTCGTGTCCGATGAAAAGGGATTCTTCGTTCGATCCCGTGAGGCTGGTTGGAAGTTCTTTGCTGCGACCTTACCGGCCCGACAAGAGTCGCCATTACCGCCCCATGTTTTGCAGGATAGGGGAGCTTTACTGAAACATCCCTGTGTCTTGGTTCTAGGAAACGAGCACCAAGGACCCCGGCCTTTCATTCACCGATATATGGACGGCACGTCCTCAATAACAAATGCTCGCTCTCATGTTGCCGATATTGACAGCTTGAATGTTGGCACGGCCGCAGCCCTTCTAGCCCAACGATTCCTCGACTCTGCCCAGGTCGACAGTCTCCCGGTCCAGACAGGGTCAAAATCCGAGGAAAAGCTTTTCTGAATGTCAATTGCCATGTCTGACCCAGGAAGAGACCATTTTGTATACATGATATTTGAAGTACACCCCGGCCCTAGTGTTTACTATCTTGATCGGTTATAAACATCACTGCTCTCCTTTACGTGTGGGACTAGATGACTATGGTCAAATCCAAACGTGCAAATGACTGGATACGGGAATTTCAGTATATTCATTCACACTTGGCGAGTTTTGTCTTACTCGAGCGGTTGAGGTTTGACCTATGCTATGATAAATTACAGCGACCTTCTTTGTGGTCCTTTCTTTCATTCAATTTCTGATTTCCATCGATTTTCCAAGACATCGCATCACAGCCCGTCAATCGTATTCACCATTCAATGTCGTGCATCTGCGCGGCCAAAGAACCCCCGAGGACCCCGCCGTTCAGCCAATAATTATGTTACCCCCCCACAGGTGAGATATGTTTGAGGCCGTCGCCATCCCCATCCCAGTCGAATTGGTTCGACAGCCTGCCGTGAAAATGCGCACAAGGAAAGGAAAAAGGGGTGACAATCTAGGTCGAAAACGCCGGTTAATGGTGCTATGTGCCTCCATGTGTCCACAATCCAAAACCCATTTATTCATTCTTGCCATCGTACCGAGGATGCAAAACATACGAGACCTTTGGTCGATTCAAGTTCGATTTCAAGTCACACTTGATACCAAATGTTTTGTTTAGTCCTAGAAGAAGATCATCGTTAGTTGTCATCAAATACACATAAAGAGAGTGGAGTTTCATACCTCATCTGTTAATCGATCAAGGAGTTGAATACTGAGAATCATCACGAGGAGACCCAGCGTGACGACCACCAGAAGGCCAAATCCGAACCAGCCCAGAACCATTGCTGCTGTTCCAATTCCGGCCTTGACACTGCCATTTCCAAGATCTTGAGCCACAGCGGTCGCTGCCACTGCAGCAGTGTGCTGCCACATGACTGACACTAGGATAAAGACCGAGGCAATGAAGATGGTAGCTAAGGCGACCTGGGACACCGCCCTGGGTGGAAACGGTCGGACTTCCTGTTCAGAGCCATCATGGCCGACGGTGGTATGCCAGCCTGGGAATGTGGCGAGAAGTAGAAAGGTGAGGAAGGCCAGGACAATGGCAATGATGATGAGGTAGGGGAAGACGATGGCGTTCTTGAAGGTGCTTGCAACCCAAACAAGGTTGAGAGGATCTTGGTCGATGCTGACAAGATCGGCCAGAGCAGTGGAGTTCTGGTTACACATCCACGCACCCTGGTCTACCCTGATACATATCCCAAAGTATCCCACCCTGACGTTGAGGTCGGCATTTCCAACAATGTTGGCGATGGCCGTCGACACACTGGGGTTGACCTGGACCGGTGAGAACACTGGCGGGTATTGTTGATAGTAGAGAGATATGAGGTAGATTCCCGGGATCAGGGGTGACGTTGATGAGCATCCTGCTAGTAAAAGTGCTTTGTAGACATGTCAGTCTTGTCTCTCCCAATTCTCTTCAGTGGATGGTTGTACTTACAAAGTAAGATGATTGCAACGGCGACAAATAACATCAACACATGGTGATACCCAATGAATGGCACAAATCTTCTCCAACCCACGGCGAATTGTGCCATATCTTGAGGTGGGTGGGAGTCCTGTACACTGGGTGCGGTGCCAATGGACTACTGGACAGTGACCGTCCGTGCGGACGGAAAAGTGGAAGATTCGTCAGCACGGGCACAGTGTTGAGGTCAAAGATGGGCTTGTGCACTTGTCGAGGTCGATATGAGGGTGCACGACCGGGGAAAAGTATCAGGAGTATTCGATGGAGGAGGAAGATGAAGTCTGTAGAAGTCACTGATATTTGAACTGTCAGCTGCCTGCGTCTTTTACACAGAGGAGGGAATAGATGGAGATGGAGATGGAGATGGAGAGGGAGAAAGGGAAGAGAAGCGTAGCTTGATTTTGTTCTGGCAATATTCGAGACTGGAAACGGCAGACACCAATCGCCATGTTGGTTCAATACGTGGCCATTGGAAATTCGTGAGGTTGGTTTGTGAGGGAATAGTGTTGCAGTGATAATGGCGGTGGCAGGAAATGCACTTGAGAGCCAAAGATTCCAGAAAATGTCGCTGGGGCGCAGGTGCCAAGTCTGTTTATGTTTATCCATTTACGGTTTAGCGTTAACGGATACTCCCTCCAGACGCCGGATTGGCAGATCCTCACCGCCCAGTGCCCAGACTCCAGGGCCCAGCTCCCCTAATAAACGCCCGAAGACCTTCACCCGTAAGAACCCCGGCCAATGACGTACCTTCACGTTGTCATGTTCGATTGTCCCCTGCAAAGAAAAATCATCGCAGGATTGTGAGACTAGCAGGAAGAATAATCAAGACCATGATATTCTGGCCTTAACAATGAGTTGTTTCTACAGTGATTGTGAGAGCTGTTGAGGAGAGGTGTCTGCTGTCATTTGACTGCTTTCCTGCGAAGAGAATATTCATACTTAGGTGCCTACCCAATAATCGTCAATCATTACTGCGCCTTCCTGCCCAACTTCAAATAATGAGGCTATCCTGCACCAATTCAAACATTCCACATTGCGCGCATCCAAACCAGCCTCCAACCGTAACAAAATGCTACTGTCGTTATCCATACCTCGAGTTGCTAATGTCGGTCCCTCGGATCAGGGCGCGTAGATGTATGAACTTAGGTCAAGTTTTCTGTTCCGAATAGGAGATCCACGGTCTGAGAGCTCATCCTCACTGTTCGGTATCAGGGCATCCTCGCTTCCACTCACCCGCACTTCAGGACGTGGTGAAATCGAGGGGGTTTCTTCCTCTGCCTCAACGGGTGGGCCACACTCCTTGACCGACTTATTCGAAGCACCGAGGGTTTTCAAAGCCGCACGTTGTATGGCGGCAGGCTGATCACCAAACGTAGTGCATGATTTGACAATGTCGCAGAAATCGTCAACACGGGGGGATTTTGGAAGCGTCCCCAGTGCATCGCGTTGCGATTCTGAGGAAAGTGCCGAGAAAAGCTCGTCTCGTCCTTGCCGTGGTGCGAGGAATTTAAGCGCCGATGCTCGCTGTTCTTCTGGTTGGAACGCAAATGTCCGTAGAAGCGACGCATTCTGCTTGCGGACATGGAACTCGAGAAGGTCGTGAAAGGCGTCGGGGTCCTTGTCCGGGTCAACGAGGACAGGTGATGGCGGTAGCGGCGATTGTTGCTCAAGGACATGCGATGGTAGGGGGGAGGCTGGCATAGGTAATTTCTGTGGAGTGGACTCGACAATGGCGGCTTTCCCTTCTTGGGCAGAGGCATGAGTCGGTGTCTCCTTATCGCCCACAGCATCTCTTACCAGTCGGTCGAGCTCAGCCTCAACCAACAGGTGATCTGGAATAGATTCATCCGAGAACACCTCGAATGAAGAATGTCGCCCTTTCTTGTCCCTTTTCTTCTTCTGAGCTAATGGGCTAGCATGGTCCCCGCCAGTCTTGAAGAAGGGGCTTTCATCGATCCCTAGGGATGGCGAGCAGGCTGTCAACTCTGCGCAAAGCCGCTGGCGCTTCGGGGCTTTGTAGTTGGATAAAGCGGATGCTCGAGCGACAAAGATCGTTTGATCTTCCCGGCTGACCGATTGCTGTCTCGAAGTGTCTGAGAATGCAGTGACAGTGCGATTGAGAGGTGGAGCAGAGGAGGCTAGTCTTGGCTCCCAAGATGCATTCCTGTTCCTATCGAGGAGGCGTTGCTGTGAAGGCGAGGGGGTAAGGCTGTTCGGATCCAATTCGGCGAGCGGCTGTCGGTGGGGCTTGAAGAAGGTTTCGATAGACTTTCCTATTTTCATGCCAGGATCTGAAGCATACGACTGTCGTCTAGCATCAGCCAAAACTGGACGTCCAGCTTTGTGCGTGTCCAGATGGATTGGTTTCTTGGAAAAGGGGTCCAGGTCGCCGCAAGCAACACCGATTGCAATATCGGGCTCCACATACGCCCCAAGGAAGGGCAGATCGGAGTCTTTCAACCCAGGGCCCAACTCATTCAAGTGCATCATTCTCTTCTGAAGCGGACAAAAGACACGATGATGCAGGAATGTCAGTTCCGCATTCCGAAAATTCTGCGAGTAGTCTTCTGGAACCACGTGTTTGCCCTCGAATTTTATGACTTTGATGACTTTATCCACCGATTTGTGGCGTCGAATGTGAGCATGAGCTGTCTTCAAGCCGATCTTGCCAATGTTGGGTAGGTAATCACAGCCGCTAAGGATAGCCATTTGTCTGAACATGGTGTCGGTCCAGCCAGCAAAGCTGACCTCCTTGCAGACAGGGAGCTCAGATCGGTTAATCTCGACTAGTTCACCATACTGGTTCAGTTTGGTCAACAGCCGCTTCGCACCAAACACCAGGAGGTCGGAATCTTCTGATAGAATGCCATCAATGATGCCCTTTTGTTCGAGATATACCAGTTGAGCATCAGCCTCGTAAGGAGCAACGATATATTGAACGTTCAGTTTTTTAAGCTCGTTGATGAGTTGACGAGCCATCAAAGGAGTGACATCAACGGCCTTGGAGAACTCTTGGTGTGCCAGGGAGGTTTTTCCGGCCTTTTGTAATTCCATTCCTTTAGTTTTGGCATCTTGCCGTCTTTTCTGTCTTTCAAGGTTTGTACCAGCTTTTGAAGGTAAATCATCCCCGTCAAAGACCAAGTATGGGACGACGCCAAAGTCTAGAAGCATACGGACCCGACTGAGAACAAAATCGATGTGAATGGTGGTGGGCTTTCCGGACGCCAGGGCGAAGGCACAACCCGTCACTCCCCGATGTAGCCACCCATAAGCGTCGATGCCCAGGGTCTGCCCTGAGAAGTGCTTGAGGTTGGAATGCTTTTGGATGGACTTGATGAGTCCCAGGAGGCCTAAAGATGTCAGCAAGTTATGGACCAAACCCAAAGTCCACGTTCAACGACCAACCTTTGATGCCCATATTGAAGGCACCCACGCTTTTGGTCTTCACCGCCAATTGCCCATCCTAGGTTATCGTCGTTGTTGAGGGTCCGGGGCTCCAGCTAGGACTTTGGAGAGGAGATCCTTGATGTGTACTTTAGTCTGCCCGTGGTGAATGCTTGTCTTAGAGGGTCGAAGAATGTGACTGTGGGACAAACATTGGAAGGAAGATGTGGTTCAGATCTGCGGTACGCGCCTGTAAGGCTGATGGGGCAGGCGCGCGGTTCTGTGGTCGCGTCTCTGTATCCGAGGTTTACCCGCTCCACACTTTGCGCCGCATAATTTTCCTGGGAGTGGTCAGAACTTCACCATCACTGTCCGGTCATTTACATGCTACATTCCGATAACACTCCCAATGGCTAGATCGCTAGACAAAGTCCACAAGAAGATTTCGAAGAAGAGAGGTGGAAAACCCAACAGTTTGCACGAGAACAGTCGAGATGCCCAAAGATTACGAACGGCCAGTGCACGAGAGGATAAACTCTCCCGCATGATGGATGCAGCGGCCAAGTCAAACCAGGTCTATGGTAGGAATTTACTCTATTCCCAGGGGATATCTAACTAATCACTTCTTTCCAGTGGATAGGGTGGAATGGTTTAAATCTGCCCTGCAAGGATCAAGCGGACCACTGACGGAGGAGGAATTGAGATTATTAACTCAAAGGTATATACATGTCAAATTTTTATGGTGTACCCAGCTCAATAAGTGTTCCAGTTTCATTGACCGCGAAGATGTCGAGTTGGAGGAAGCGCGACAACAAAGAAGACCTGGACGACCAAAACTCAAAGCTGAAGAACAGATCATGCAACGCAAGGATACGGAAGAGCGAGAATTCAAAGCAGGATTCTGGGTACCCGAGCTCCGAGACGAGGAGAGTCGCATCAAGGTGGAAAGATGGAGTGGGGACTGGGCAGGCTTGAACACACTTGCATTCGTTCGCATTGTGAGAAATGGCCCCGTCAAACCGTCGAGCTTTCCTCCAAAAGGCCTATCATGATTCCATGCAGATTGAATGGGAGTTATGGCGTTGTGTGTCTAAAAGCATTGGTGTTCCTGTCGAATGCTAAAGTTTTCACGAGCGACACTTGGTATAGCAGAAGAGCCTCTTGAGCAACCCCCCGGCTTGGCCACATAACCGCATGGAGTTCTACTGTAGATATACATATAAATTTGAACGAAAGCATGTCTCTTAGTTTGACCTGATGAATTGATTGTTGCACTATATTTTTCGAAGAGATCTGACACATGCTGCACGTGGCGATACGAGTCATTGTTTCAGATATCACATCGACACATGACTCGAGGCGAATGGATGTACCAAAAATTATCTGGCTTTGAACCACCAGACTTTGACTGCTTCAATCATCTCACGTCTACGCACCGTTTTACACTCTACATCTCCTGACCCATTGAACATTCCTCGTATCATTTTTCAGCGTTTGCTCAATCTATCACACAACATGTTGGCCCTGCGATCACTCGTGCGGGCGTTGCCCAAATCCTCACTGCGCCAGTCAGCTGCTGGTTCCCTGCGCTCCAACACCAGATCTGGCATTCAGAGAGCAGCCTGGCAATCGAAATGGCAGTCATCCTATTCGGCATTCTCTACCTCGGCGATCAAACGAGAGTCAGCTGGACAGTGTTAGTCGTTCTCAACCCACCCGAAAGGTCATTTATTTCTCTAACGAATTCTGTAGTCGATCAAGAACTCTCTGCGAAAATCGCGCAGGAGCATTCACTCGAACTCGAGAGTCACGATGATTCGAAGGATGAATCCGTCAATGAATACCTCAAGTCTAGCCCTTTCACGGTGACCGAGAAGCCGGGGTCCCACGAAATCGTTCTGACCCGCGAATTCGGCAACGAACAGTAAGCGTCGACTGCAGGATGGGTTCAGGCATAATGAAACTGATTAATGGCTTTAGGATCAAGGTCGAGCTAAGCATCTCCGATATCAATAACATGTCCGAGGAAGAATTCGATCAAAACGACGAGGATGATGCCTTCGATGATGAGCCCGAGTACGAGCAGGAGAAGAGAACGATCAATCAATCCAAGGGCGGCAAGATTGATGTGATGCCCGAGGACAGCATCGCTCCAGCTGATCGGGAAGGTGACTTGGACTATTCCAGTGGCCCCAGCTATCCTATCCGCATTCTCGTCACCATCACCAAACCTGGAAACAAAGCCATCCAGGTGGCGGCGGTCGTGGTAGACGGCACGATTGACATCGAAAACCTCACAATTTATGAAAAGGCATCACTGGTAGATGCCGAGGGCAACAAGGAGGCGCGGGAAGCACAATCATTGTACGAGGGCCCACCAATCCGCAACCTCGACCCGGAATTGCAGATGCACTTGGAGAGATATCTCGAAGAGCGAGGAATCAACGCCGAGCTGGCGGTGTTCTTGCCTGATTACGTCGACCAGAAGGAGCAGAAAGAATACGTGTCATGGTTGGATAGTAAGTCTAAATGCTCGATGGCTGTGGTGAGGACCAGCTAACGTCTGTGTGTGCAGATCTCCGGAAATTCATTGACGCGTAAGGAAACTTTCGACAAGTCATGTTCAAAGCACGACTGGGCTCCGTCCCCTTGTGACACCAACTACAGCCACTTGAAAGCAATGTAAAATAATACCACTACTGTTGTTCCTCGGCGTTCTTCTGAAAGCAATGGACAGGATGTACTTGGGACAAGCAAAGACGGTCTAGTCAAATGTGACATAACACCGGCTCAAAATTGCTCCGAGTCTTCAAGTGCCGTCCTGGGCATGACAATATTACCCCGTTCATGATGGTCCAGTTTTTGACGGGACAAGGAAATTGTGTAGATAGCTTGGCTGAGACCTTCTCCTCTCCTCAAAGATATCAACATCGTTCATTGAGATGCAAACTTGTAACAGGCTTGGGAGCGCATTTGGCCGCCTTATTCAAGGTTAATATGAACGCACGAGTATCGGTTACATCAGGTACACCTTGGCTTATATTCAGGCGTCTCGCGCAGCATATGATAGCGGGGGTGTGGGTTGAACACCAAGTGTAAGGCCTTCCTTCTGATTTCGCGATCTCGATATCGTTGTACAAGTCTCAAGCGCGTCACTGGAGCTGTGCAATGGCCCAAAGTAGTCTCTGTAGAATTCCTCATATCTGTGCACATTCACAAGAGCCGAGGCATGTTCAAAATCTGCAACCTACAAGTACACCACATGGCGTGCCTGGCCAAGTCTGTAATACCGTAGAGACGCCAAAGTAACGCAGATGCAACAGGTGCATAAGGAGTATGCGTATACCTGACTCAGGCTGTCCGTCACTGAGTGTCGATTAGGGGGGGGGATGAGGCGGTCGCTGCCAATCATGGGCTTGCGAATGTCCACTAAGTGCTCTTAGGGTTCTCCAGATTCGCCAACTTGACCCCAGACAAGCCTTGAGCTTCAGGCGGCAGGAGCTATAGTTCTGCAACTCCTCGGTTCCAGACCGCGTATGTTCGTATTCCCCCGTATTATCTCATTTTTCATTACGACCTCGACCTCAAGCATTCACCACACCTCAGTCCAGAACGGGTGACCCACTGTTGCGAGGTCTAATTCAACCCTCCACCCCCTTCCACTCCACGACCCTACCTCGGTACCATGAGGTAGGCTGGATTGTGGGCGGGGTCGCCCCGGTCAATCACAGGTCGATGAGTTCTGGCACATCGCACCGAGGAAGCATGAGGGAGACTGAAACAGACACTGGCGGCGCCCAAGGGGAGCACGAGGAGCCAAACTCTCTTTCGGAAATAGCTTTTTTCATGCCTTAAGTCGAACAAACCCCGTCATCATCTCAGCCCACTTTATGATCTGAGTGTTGTGTGGGCCTGGATCAACGAATGCCCACCCACCTGCAACCCTGATTCTCCATGCTCTTGTTATCATAGAGGAGGATTGGTAGGCTCGTACGGTTACGCACGACTTATAAGGCATTCGACAGACCCCCGGTTTGTTTATAGGTACCTACATGATAACCTGTCTGGCTAGGTATCAAGTTCTCTTGTCTCTGCAGAATCACTTCATCATTGTCAGGTTCATTTGTCAGCTTTGACCTACGTCCACCTTCAGATAACGATGATCGACCTGGGTCGATACGTCGCCGCGGCCTGTGGGCTTCTAGCCACTTACGTGGCCTACTGGATTGTCTCGCGTTTCCTTACCAACCGCCGTCATGCTAGAAGGGCCCAACAACTGGGCTGCCAGGAGCCATGGGACCGACCGTACCGCCTCCCGTTAGCTTACGACCTCATCCAGGAGATTCAGAAAGCCGACGCCGAAAATGTTGTCCCTGATTACTTCATGGAAATGTATGATATGGTTGGCAAGCGCGCCACCTGGCGCCAGAATTTCTTAGGAGTAAGAAACATCATCACAACTGACCCCAAGAACATTCAAGCCGTCCTGGCTACACAATTCACTGATTTCTCAATCGGCTCAACGAGAAGAAATAATTTTTACCCTATGTTTGGCAATGGCGTCTTCACAGTCGATGGCAAATCATGGTATGACCTGACCCATGGTCTCTATTTTCCCTTGAGGCTAACCTTTCTGTCACCAGGGAACATGCACGCGGAATGCTTCGCCCACAATTCGCCCGCCAGCAGGTTTCTGATCTTCAGCTCGAAGAAATCCACGTCTCAGACATGTTCAAACAGCTGCCGGCAGGCGCGGACGGATGGACTGAGTTCACTGATCTCGTCCCCCTGTTCTTCCGCTTGACACTCGACTCGGCCACCGAGTTTCTATTCGGCCAGAGTGTGGCTTCGCAGAATGCGGCTGGCAAGTACGGAGAGAAGCGAGTCGTTGAGAAGGGAGGCCTCGACTGGGCATCCTTTGCTAAGTGCTTTGATGCCGGCACAATGACCATCACGCACAGAAGTCGGCTGGGCGAGCTCTATTGGCTCCATAATCCGGCAGACTTCAAAGTCAACTGTCGAGAAGTGCACAAATTTGCCGACTATTATGTCAATTTGGCGCTGACCGATCCTGCCTCCCTCGGAGGCCACAATTCGGAATTGGGAGACAAGGAGAGGTACATTTTCCTGAAGGAGCTCGTTCAACAGACACGCGACCCCATTGAGTTGAGGAGCCAACTTCTCAACATCCTGCTCGCAGGCCGTGACACCACTGCTGGTCTCCTTGGATGGGTCTTCTATAGTCTCGTCCGACATCCTCACGTCTTCAAAAAGCTCCGCAAAATCCTGCTCGACGAATTCGGCACTTATCAGAACCCCAAGAACCTCAGCTTCGAAAATCTCAAAGCATGCACGTACCTCCAACACATCCTCTCCGAGACACTGAGATTATACCCTACTGTCCCGATCAATTCACGACGCGCTGTTCGTGACACCACCATCCCTCGCGGCGGGGGACCAGACGGTACAGCACCCCTCTACATTAAAGAAGGTCAAGAAGTCAACTACGTTGTCCATATAATGCATCATCGTAAAGATATCTGGGGTCCCGACGCCGACGAATTCAACCCTGAACGCTGGGTCGGTCGGAAAGTTGGTTGGGAATTCCTGCCCTTCAACGGTGGACCTCGGATCTGTCTGGGCCAGCAGTTCGCTCTGACTGAGGCTGGATATGTGATTACGCGCATAATGCAGAAGTTTGATGCCATTGAAACAAACGAAACCGATCCGATCGTCAGACATCAGTTCAGCCTCACGACCTCACCATACCGTCTCCCTCTGCGCCTTCACGAGGCTAAGGAGTAGATTCTGGGTGTCTTGAGTCAACCAAGGACTGATGCACGAGGATGCGAGTATATGGCTAGGAGGGGGTAAGGCTCTGTTGTTTTCATATCAAATGAACGAATGAACGAGGGAATGAACAGGAATCATGGTCGATGGCTGTAGGTTTGGGCGGGCCCAGAGACGATCTCTTTCTGGATGAGCCATTCCCCACAACTGCAGAGGACGTCTGTTCTTCTAGAAGATTATTCCAATACAGCATCTCTATTGATCCATCCCTTTTATCTCAGAAAAAGTCTGCAAACAAGGCCACGCGACCCTGCAAAAGCCTAGTACCGGACGATCATTTCTTCGACCTTGGTGGTTGGTGGTCTGTCCGTTTATCGTTTATCGGCAGGTCGGGGGATGATGCCATAAGCAAACACGGTCAGCCCAATGATTCGTGAGGCTCCATGTCGCTACAGCCGCATATTGATTACTGTACTACATACCAAGTCTGCTATTCTGTTCGTCTTACGCGGCTTGCCAATGTTGTACTTCGAAGCTGTAGATATATATTGTGACTGGCTAGAAGTGCAGAGACCTGACATCTGCGATGGTACTTTTGGTTTCCATCCATCTCGAAAATAATTACCAGTCTTCACCATCCTTACTCAGTAAGGTTGACTATAACCTTCTTTGGCAACTACAATCGAATCACCATTATCATCATAATCATCGACTTCGTTGTCATTGGTGACCATACCAAACACTGTCGCCTCAATGGCTAGTCAACGTCTGCTGTCCGACTCTATAACACCAACACCTGCTGCAACATCGATATTCGCCGCAAGGCTCCCAACATTTTGGGGCGTTTTCCTGACACTGACCTCTTTGGTCACGTTATTTGCTCTCATCCTGACTATCGTCTGGATCGCCGGATATGCCAATGACTTGGCTGGATTTGCCGCCCATCGCTATTCCAAGGCTGGGAAGGGAAACGACAAGGCCAAAGTCGTGGGGGATGTCAGTCGCGGGCAAAAAGAGTCCGTTCCGCATCGGTGATGATGAGCTGTGGTCTTCAAGCACCTGAGGTTGAATGAATGAGAGACTTTGTTCCCTGGTTTAGATGGAGATATCACGGAGGCTTTGTAACGTGTTTGCGGTCGCCAGCACCCTCGTCAACAAGGCGGGATAATCCCAACTCAGACCCGAGGCGGCCAGTGCTGTCAAGCTTGCCTGATTTTCTCGGCCGGGTCTGCCTGGACCTGTCATATTCTGGTGCCCGTGGTGAGTAGTAAAATACAAATATGAGCACCAGCTTCGGCTTACCGATTTCATGTTGATATCAAATGCGGCAAACCTACTCTTGGGGAGATTTTCGAGTCTTCTGACATCCACTCTGATTGGTGCTGTCACATGCAGGCAACTAGCAATCTCCTCACATTCTTCCATAATCTGAGCATATGTGGGATCCAACGACATTTCGTCTGATGATAGCACTCGTGAATTGGCAGTCACGGCAACAACCCCGCTGTACGGCGCTATGCCGTCCTGGTGATTAAAACGTTCAACAAATGGCAACGAATGGTAGTAACTCTGTTCTTGGGTCGGGGGCATGACGGTCACAGTACCTTCCTGACCATCGAGAAATTGCTCGAGCATGATTTTCGGACTTTCTTTCAAGAGGGACGAGATGTGGTTTTTGAGCTCGGCTTCGCTTCGGCAAACCTTGACACCGTGGCTTCCCCGGCCACGAATAGGTTTGCCAACGATAGGATAGGGCAGATTCTTCATATTAAGGGGACTGTCGTTGGACTCAATAATCCAGCATCTTGGTAGGGTGAAGCGGCCCTTGGTTCGTAGGAGCTCGTTGACGTGGTTCTTATCATCAAAGTGCTCGACGAGTTTTGGAGGTTGACCGACAACTCGAAGGCGTGACGCATGTTCATTCAGGATGGACGAGGTCTGTAAAGGGTGTGAAGCGAACAGAATGGTGTTGGCCCAGAGGACTGTTGCACCATCTTCAATGGCATGGAGAATACCAGCTTCAGTATCCGGATAGCACCAGCCATGATCCTGCTTGGGGTCTGGAGAATGATTGGGGGTGGCTACTTGTACACCAGCTTGCCTCAATACGTAGGCTATATCAGCACCGGAATCTTGATATCCACCTGGCTTTTTCGGTTTCTGAACCCCATTGATGATGGGAACCTCGCAAGCTTGATACAACACAGCCACTTTGCAATCATGTGTCATAGTGCGTCGAAATTGGAGAGACTGAGACTGATATGTAGGGCGTGGAGGTTTTAGAATGACTGAGAGGCCCCTCCAGCGCATGGGTGTCATGGCGAGAAGTAGGTCCTAAAGGCAGCCATTCCTTTGGTGTGGAAAACAATAGACGTCAGCAAGATGGAGTAGGGAATACGGAACAAGGAATAGGAGCAAGAGAGTCCAGTGGTAAGTCACGTGATGGTGGAGTGACATTGTCAACGTGAACTGAGAAGGAGCGACCGTACTAGTATGGATCATCAGGCAGGAGGGACTAAGGGAAGGGCGGGGCGCCTTCGGGTGCACCCACCTTGCCTTGAAGCCCCTGCATCTTGAAGGCTCTTGCCATCTCTTCACTACTACAGACACACTCCGGAACTTGTTCAACAAACATCCGGTACACAAGACTGCATGCACCTCAATCAATTCACAACCAGGCAGCAAAATTACTCTCCTCTTCACGACCAGGCACCAAAATTACTTTCGACCCCTAATTCGACCTACCAGGAACTGTGATTTGTACAAATTACTCCCACTCTCTCGATCCAATACTTGCAACGACTCTCCAAGGCTCGCCCAACAGCCACCAATAAGCACACACCTAACCCCTCCCTGTCTACCTTCCCTACCAAAACTACCAGCTTGATCAACTCAGCTCATTGCCCGTTCCCTTTACAAATTGGGGAAAGGACCTCCACTATGAGTGGTCGACCTGTTCCCAGAGACCGGATCTGGTCTCGTCGAGAAATCGAGGGACTTATAGCAGAAGGGCGAAAGATCTTCATCCTCGACGATCAGGTTATCAAAGCTGATGCTTGGCTTCCATTCCACCCAGGAGGTGAAAAGGCCATTTTGCACATGATTGGAAGAGATGGCACAGATGAGATCAGAGCCCTTCACTCTCTGGAAGCGCAGGCTCAGATGCAAAGATACGTGATTGGAAAGATCAAAGGAAGATGGGAAAACTTCTTGCCTCCCATCCAAGGCGGTGTATTCAGACCCAACTTTCACATCGAGGCAGACGGTCCTTCTCAACCCCGTCCTCAATCCGAAACAGGCTCTTCTTCGACCACCAGCAGCGTCCCACCATCACCTGTCTTTGATCCCGTCGAACCTTTGAATACTGGCACAAAATCCTCCACGTCATCGGCATCATCAGTCTTCGATAACGACCTCGATGTCAAATCCGACCCGATCGAAACTCGACTCGCTGCCGAGAGAACCTCCGATCTTCTCAAGTACCCTTCCATCGATCATGTTTCACAAGATAGTATCGTCGAAAAGTACCGCGAGACTGAGAGACTCATCCGTGCCGCCGGACTTTACCGCTGCCCATATGGGTCTTATGCTATCGAATGCACTCGCTATTTGCTATTGCTGGCCGGTTTCCTCATCACGCTTCACTACTCCTACTTTGCCTTGTCAGGCGCTTTTCTAGGGGCATTGTGGCATCAGCTCGTCTTCACCGTGCACGATGCTGGCCATATGGGAATCACTCACGATTTTCACACCGATACATGCATCGGAATACTCATTGCCGATTTCATTGGCGGACTTTCGATTGGATGGTGGAAACGAAATCACAACGTTCACCACATCGTCACCAATTCCCCTGAACATGACCCGGACATCGAACACTTGCCATTCTTCGCTATTACTCCCCGCTTCTTCTCATCCCTTCGCTCCACCTACTACGACCGTGTTCTAAAGTTCGATGCCCTTTCTAAATGGGCGGTTTCCAAGCAGAATTGGCTTTACTATCCCATCTTGCTTTTTGGACGCTTTAACCTCTACCGTTTGTCCTGGGAGTACCTCTTACTGGGCCAAGCTCCCAAACGCGGCCCTGCTTGGTGGCATCGATATTTCGAATTAGTCGGTCACGTCTTCTTCTGGACGTGGTTTGGTTACGGCGTTTTATATAAATCAATCCCAACAGCTTGGGATCGCTTCGTCTTTGTCATGATCAGCCACATGTTGACGGCGCCACTCCATGTTCAGATCACCCTATCCCACTTTGCCATGTCGACCGCTGATCTCGGCGTGCACGAGTCTTTTCCGCAAAAAATGCTTCGCACCACCATGGATGTCGACTGTCCAACCTGGCTTGATTTCTTCCATGGAGGCCTACAATTCCAGGCTGTTCATCATCTCTACCCTCGAATCCCGAGGCACAACCTGCGTGAAGCTCAGAAATATGTCAGGAAATTTTGTGCCGAAACTGGCATTCCATACGTCATTTATGGGTTTGGCCAGGGAAATCAAGAGGTCATTTCGAGACTGGGTGAAGTTGCAAAGCAGGTCAGAGTGTACGAGGAATGTCGAAAGGTATGCGCCAAGGAGCTCGTTGAGGGCCACGGATTTGGGCATTAGAATAGTTTGATGATCAACATGATTACCATTCATCTGCCAGCTGTGATGATTCTCCCACACATGGCAGGCGGCCCTTTACGACGAAATGAGAGAAGACATGTATATATTGTAATAAATTAGACCATGGAGAATTTAGATTAGAGCATTATCTGCATCTATGATGACCATGCAATGCACAAGGACGCAGGGTCCAATCAACAAATAAACCTCTTCCGAGATGTCACTATTACTCTTCAACAAAAACACCGTCCTTGCTAATCCTCATCACAAACCCTGCTAAATTCCCTCCGTCGCCCCCGCCAGCAATGTTCCCATCTCTAGATCTATCTCCCCCTGTCCTAATAGAATGTACTGTATGATGTGCAACGGAAACACTGAACCGACTCCTCCTCACAACCTCTAGACGCCGATCAGCGTCATGCAGACATTGCTCAAGAGACATCTGCGGCGCAAACTGAGGAACGGACACCCGTCTCAGCTGCAGCGTCAGGGTAGCCAAGGTGTTCCAGGGTGACAGCGGTGGTGCCGCTGAGTTCTTAGAAGCCGTGTTGGTGGAAGTATTGTGCACCGTCATGGTAGTATACATTACTGTACACCCGAAACGAGCTTGAAGAGCCTTCAACTGCGTGATAACTTGGGCAGTCTTGGAGGGTTGATTAGGAAGTGGAGGCACACCGGTCTGGAATGAAGTCGAAGCTTCAAGCTGCGCCATATCAGCCTCGAAGCGGTCTTGCCAGTAGAATGCCGTAGCCGGGTCTAGCACAATCATGCCTAGAGGACGGTGGATTGATGCATGTTTGGTCCTGTCTAGGAGATATGATGGAAGATCCGTGAGTGTCGATAAGAGCTGGGCTGATGACTGAGGTCGGAAGACGTGAACATGTGACAATGCCTGTTGCGACATGGATCGGACTTCAGATTCAGCAAGATTGGGATATGTTTTCTCGAGATGGCGACATAAGATCTGCGCCAGTCGAGCTGCAGAGAACCGTCCGTCGTTGTCGAACCATACTACAGCCGATTCACGGCCGTGGAAGCTCTCTGGGAGAATGACTAGGCTCGCTAGGAAATAGAGGAGCTGAGTCTTTCCTGAAGCTGCTTGCTGGCTTGATAGCTCGATTGTCGCGGGCTTGTCGTTGATGTTGATCGTAGACACGGTATTGTTAGTGCGATGCAAATTATAAGACGCATCAAGCACGGCTCCGTCGTCAACCCGTCCCTCTATCGGACTGCCAATGATAGAAGATGTCCATGGCTGTCGCGCAGGACTTGGTTGGATAGGATATCGTACGGTTTCGAGAAGTCGATCGAATTCTGGAATCCCTAGCACGCCTCTTGGGCGAGGCTCAAGTATAGCCCTGACTTCCGACAGTAGCTGTAGATATTAGAAGACATTAGCTGTCATGTTATGCAGACACGAGGCTCTGGTCGAAGGGGGTTGGTATGGATGGATGGTGGATAGACAAGGCGTGGAGAAACCGAGGAAAGTCTGGCGGAGGATGGAAAGTAATGATCTGGAGCAACTCACCTCTTCTAGACTCTCTTCATGCACTTCCTCTAGTAACCTGGTTCCGTATTGCTCTGCCGACATGACCTCGCCATGATCGCATCAGCGAAACAATCCCCTTCCGAGATTCTGTGACTGTTCGAAGAGTGGACTGTTGAAGAAAGAAACTTGAAAGAGGTGGTTGTTGATTGACAGATTCCCCCCCATCAACCTCGACCTCGACCTCGAGTGATCCTCTCCACAATCGCAATAATGGCACCGCCGGAACACCCCTTTCCTGTCAGCAAGCTGGAACAAAGAATTCATACTTATTCAGTGGACATGAAAGAGAAGAATCGAAAACTAGGCGACTTCGACCTGAAAAGAGATTGTGAGCTGTTTGAGTTGATTCAATATAGCTGCACTACTCCGGACCAGATGTATCAGCAGAGGGTAAATAGTCCGGATGGAAAGGGACAGATGGAATGTTATCCGTTTGCAAGATTGTTTAGAAGGTGAGACTCTTGTTCTTGCTTCTGTGTGCTGTCACCGCACTGCGACCAAGTATACTGACCTGACGATGGCAAAGGTGCAAGAAGGGTAACCAAGAGTTCAACGTCGAGACCACGGCATGGGAGGGTGAACTTGCATGGAAGCCTCCGAAAATAGCTGCATCTGCTACAAGCATAACAAACAACATGGACAGTCTCGAGTCTCAGAATACTTTGCAGAAATACTGGAGTTACTTCTGGTCGCCAAAGTGAGATTGCAGTTGCAGCCCCTCAATCCTCATTACACGCCATCAACCGATACCAGCCAAGCGCCTACGCTGTTTAAAGCACCGATAGCAGCATGTCTCTATAACTCCGTCACTTCAGGCCGTGACGTCGTCGAAGTACCTGGCTGTGCAGCTGAGCCTCCCGCAGCAACACCCACCGGAGCACGTCTTTTGATCTGTGCATCATCCGGCATGCGGTACGCCTTCTCACAAGTCACAATCGGCCCCAGTTCGAAACCTCCTGGCTCTTTGGCCAATAGCTCTCGTAACGTCTCTTCGAAGACGGCTTCCTCCGACAGAGCCACTCCCTTTGTCCACCTTCGATTGATCTTGGACTGTCTCTTCTCCTTGACGCTATCCGAGTCGATCGGATGTGTGGCTTCCAGTTTGACAGCACCCGCTAGCTTGCGCAAAGCATGCTCCCCAAGTTTACCCTCTTGCGTCGCCAACTCTCGAATCTTCCTGGTGTCCTTCTCAAGGACGGGATACAGTGCCGTGTGTTTGAAGGTGTGCGCCGAAGGGAGAGCCGGCAGACCAGATGTATTGAACGCGAACTTTTTCAACTGCCCATGACCATCCAAGTCGGGGCCCAGGAAGTCGGGCGGTAGCTGTACTGTATTGTGGAATACATCATCGGGGGGAGGTGTTGGATATAACGGAGGATTGATGGTTGGTTGTGTCTTGTATGGAGCTAGCTGGTCGTCTGGTCTGGCTACATCAAGGGCATAGATTGCGGATTCAAAGTCATTTGGGATGGGTGCTGTGCGTCGCGCAGCCTGCATAGACCGTCGCACTTTGCTTAGAAAGCGAAGTATGACTGTAACAATATCAGTAAATCGTGCCGCGCAAGGATTGATTGAGATATGTGTACATTCATCTGCTGCGGCAGTAATGGATTCAAGTGCGACCGATTCAATCACTGGATTCTGAATGCCTTCCTTGGCTGCGACCTCTTCACAAATAGTCTTGACACTGTCGATGAGTAATTTGTCGACCACATGTTGATCGATCAAGGCAGGCTCTTTACTCGGGAAGGGTGCTTGTTTATGGTGTAGGACATGGTGATGGTGATAGGGAATCTTTCGCGGCCCAGAAGCGGAAGTCATCTGTCCGGTGGTCGGAGTCTGGTCTGGGGGAGAAGGGGATAAAAAGATGTAGTTGAAACTGCAAAGATAGGAATATGATGACAGTGCTATAACATTCTGTCCAAGTTAAGTAGCAACGTATACTGCATGGATTGATTGTTGAATGAGTGGGTAGGTATGTAAGTATGAAGAAGCAAGACTGGGGAAATGTTCCCAGTTGGCCTGGCCTGCGATGGAGGGACGAAGACTCACGCGAGTCGTGATTATCGTACAGCAGAGTATTACTACAGTTGATGCTGCTGCTAGCTCCGCGTGCTTCGACGTGCTCGAACTTGGTTCGAATACGGAAAAGTGGACTGACACTCAAAGTTGCACCTTCCTTACAGTCAAAGCGCAGGTGATTGGACGCCAAGCCTTTCCCTTGAACCTCATCTTTCTCTCTCACAGAGGTCTTTAACAGCTGTTACTCACCCACGACCGACCTCTACTCGTCTCCATCGAAGCTCAGATCAAATCTGACTTGACCCTCGAAGCTGCTGGTACCTATAATCCGTTCGAAACCGGCACACCAGAGCTCCTCCGGAGCTACGTCTTCACCATGCCTATCAAACCCATTGAAGGAGTACGCCCACCTCCCTCCCTCATACTGTGCTTCTGAGCACACCGCGCTGGATGCACACGTGGGAAACATCAAGAGATACGCTGACAATGGTTCTTTCTAGATGCTCCGAAGGGGGCTTGTCCTTGACTTGAGCATTGCTGGAGGTATGCCGCCCACCCTGAACCCGACCTTTCCGTATCACACCTACGCCCTCGTGTTTCCCGTGTTATACATTCTTCAGACGAAAACCCGCTGGTCTCTACGATAACACCACCTGCATGCACAATTCTAGATCGAAGTTGAGACTAATGGGATAATCACAGGCCTCGGAACGACCTTTGGATATCTGTTTTGGTACGGTACGTGAACACAAGAGCTTGTTCTGTATAGAAGACGAGCTTCAAACATCCCATTTTCTGGTCAGAAAACTCCACCGGGTTCGGCGACTGACATGGACCTGATCAGGCTACCACCTGCCCCGCGTTCGGGCCCGAGACACATACTACGCCAAGCTGGAAGACGAGCGAGCCAGAGAAGCTGGAATTAAATAAAGCAAACGCGAAATTCTGACGAGGGGCCGTCTAAAGGTGGATTTGAGTACAGAAGGTTGCAGGAAATCGATATCCAGAATACTGTACTGCCAGACCATACCCCGTGGGCAAAGCTTAGATACAACCGCAATTTGTACATATCGAAATAAGCAAAGTCCCAACATCCGAACGGACTACGAAACTTCCCCAGACATTACTGAATCATCAGCCATCGTTGTCGTAGAGTGCGAATCGGATCATGTTGGATTGACTCGCGAGAAAACCCGTGTCAGTTTGATCGTGTAGTTGAGTAAAGACCACCCATTTCGAGGACCCTGTCAGAATCATACAGATCTCTATACAAAAGGGCATAGACCTATCTATCGCCTAGTCGTTCTTCCGGTGGCTTGCTTACCCCACGCATCTTCAAACACCGTCCTCCTCCTCCCCTTCTCTTTTGGATCAATGTTCAAATATCTCACGACCTCAACACTGCCCGTACCAACCCTCATAGTCTTCCCCACAATGACACTTTCACTGACACCTTCGATCTTGTCCGTCTTGCCGACCTGACCTGCCTCGAAAACATGATCTGCCGTCTTCTCGAAACTGGCCAACTGTAGAACACTGTCGCGCATCTTGGCTAGACCAAATCGCGTGATCCCCAACACTTCGCCTTTGTATGTCATGACGTCGGCCAGTAGAGCCATGTGCCGTGGATCAATCGAAAGATCCTTGGTCACCTCTTGAATTTCCGTGATAATCTTGGACCGCGCCGCTTCAACTCCAAGGACTTGAAGAGTCTCAATGACGGAATTGGTTTGAGTGTGGTACGGATCAACCCCGTCGGTGTTCATGCAATACCGTAGTCCATATCCTTCTACCATGACCCTGTGCATTTGGATTGGCTTAGCTGGAGTCGCAATGACGGTGCTGGGGGCTAGTTTGGGCGATTCGACTTTCACCTCTTTGCCATCCGAGACGCCGGCATTTTCGGGCCCCCCTTCAGATTTGACTTCTGGCTCCGCAGTTGATTTTGCAGAAATTCTCGTTGCTTCGGCTTCTCTTTTGAGCATGACCTCTCGGTTGCGTTTGGCGCGAATCTCGTCGGAAAGGGGGTCGTCTTCAGCCATAACCACAGCACGAGTAGCCGAGGGGTGTCCAAGCACGTGGACGGTTGGAAGAATTCGGCTCAGTGTTTGAAGTTGGAGCAACCGTTCATTCTGACTTTCTTCGTCCAATTTGGCTGCAGCTCCTCGCCTGCTCGACTTGATGGGTTGGTCTGTGGAGATCTTGAGCTCATCCGCGCCACGGACCTGAATCTTGAGTTTAGCTGCCTTGAGTTGGCGGTGTTTGACAATCGCCTCGACGATTTCCGGCACTGTAATATCAAGGCCGAGGTCAATTATTGTGTCGAGGGAGATCTTGACAATAACACAGCTTCGTCGGTCAGGGGAGTGACTGATGTCGATGAATGACGTGATATCTTCAAGAAAAAGGGTCTCAATGCGACCTTTGACGATACGTGCAAGAGATTCGGGAATGGAAAGATCCCTTCTCCTCTCCAAGCGGCAGGTAATGACAGGAGTGCTGATCACTTTGGAAGCATTGATGATCTCTTTGATTCGAGGTACACCTGCTGTCAAACTCATGCCAGCAACACCAGCGAAATGGAAAGTTTTCAGCGTCATTTGAGTACCGGGCTCACCGATCGACTGGGCTCCGACCGCACCAACGGCATGGCCTGGCTCCACTCTGGCACGTTCATACTTCTCCAGACATTTGTTGACGAAGGCCTCGAGAGTAGTTCTGGACAACTTCGAGGTCAATTCGAATCTGTCCTTGGTAGATGGTCCAGCCTGTATCTTTGTCATACTCGGCTGGATCGGAATATCGCGCTTCTGCTTTTTGGAGGGTTTTGTTGGAGTCGGTTGGGCTATTGATACTCTGCCCGATCGCCGTTGAGGGCCTGCTTGACCATCCTCTTCGGTCGCGATGCCCGTCTCAGCCTTGCGTTTGGTCCCAGATCCCTCGCCTACCGAGGCCGGCGCTAGCGCAAATTGTTTCTTTTGCGCTCGAACATCGTTGAACGCATTTGACTTGTTCATGACAAAATCGTGAATAGATTTCAGAAACGCTCGGTGACTTTCGTGTTGGTCCACTAATCGGTCATCGTCAGTGTCGTAGGGCAATTCAACGCCATTGAGATCGATTCTTGTTAAAAGCGCTCGCTTATGGGAGAGGATTTCTTCCATCGTCGAGTAAATTTCGGTATCCGGGAGACCTTCTTCAGCAGTGTCATGAGTCGTTGCTTCAACATGGGCGTAGGTACGTTCGAAGTCCACCGGCTTAGCACTGGCTTCCATGTCAACCGGGTCCAGCTCATCATCACCGAAACGGAACTGCACGATATTCGAGGCCGAATTTCTCACGGTGCGGTCATATTGAGTTGATAAATCCTCCAGTGACTTCATCAGCCGCCGGGACATGTAACCGGTCTCTGCAGTCTTGACGGCGGTGTCAACCAGACCAACTCTTCCTCCCACGGCATGGAAAAGGAACTCGTAAGGCAGAAGGCCGCTGTAGAAACTGTTTGAGACGAATCCTTTCGATGGAGGAGAGCGCTCAAGTTTGGCGAAATGAGGCAAGGTACGATCTTGAAACCCATCTTGGACACGTTTGCCTTCGATATCCTGCTGCCCAAGGAGGGCAGCCATCTGCGTCACGTTGATGTTGGAGCCTTTGGACCCAGACGTTGCCATGACCATGGGCGTATTTCGTTTGCTGAGTTGCGTTGTCAAGACGCCTGCGATATTGGTTCGCACTGTACTGAGAACCCTGACTTGCTCGCCTTCGAGTGTTGCTGCGTCATCGAGTCCAGCTTTGCGCTTGAGTTTGCCAGCCTTTGACTCTCGTACAAAATTGCTGCAGTCCTCGAAGACTTTGTTGATCATGTCCTCTTTGACCTTGACCAAAATGTCTGTGGGAGTGACATCGCTGATCCCAACCGTGAATCCTTGGTTCCCGAGCCAACGAGCACACAATCTGGACAAGCGATTCATCGCCTTGGCCGACGCATCCGGACCGAAATCACGGTACAGAATGTAGAATAACGAGTTCTTTTTGCCGGCACCAACAGTTGCTTTGTCCATACGTCCACACAATACTTCAGAATTCCGGATGCACAAGTAGCTGTCGTCTTGCAAGTCTCGATGCAGCCCGGGATGGTATTGTTTGTGGTCTCGACAAGCAGCATCCAGGTTGACAAAGGTAGGATAATCGGGACTGGGCCGCATAAGAACGCTGAATACTTGCTTCCCTGTCCATAGCGCTTCGGGTTTGATGATGGAAGGAGGGGGGATTTCGAATTTGGTATCGGGCTCTAGCATTCCTATGCACAGCGTGACAAAGGTCTTCCGATCGTAAAACTGGTCGAGGCTGCTGAGGAGGAAAGAGGCCGTAATGAAATCTTGGATGGCAGAAATAATGGGCTCACCATTCTTTGGCGTCACAATATTGTGCTTAACGCCCATGAGCAACGTCGCCTCAGTTCGTGCTTCCTCAGTTTGAGGCACATGTAAGTTCATTTCATCACCATCGAAATCGGCGTTGTATGGATTGCATACACATTCGTTTAAGCGAAATGTCCGATGTGGCCGGACCTTGACATAATGACTGAGAATACTCAATTTGTGCAATGAAGGTTGGCGATTGAACAAAACAATATCGCCGTCCTCGAGATGACGTTCAACCGTGTCTCCAGGCTTCAGGTCTCTGGCAACGAGGGCTCGATCACCGTATTGTAGGGAAAAGCGAAAGGACCCGTCGTGTTTGTTGACGTGATTAGCACCAGGCCATTTGTGTGAGCCATTCTTAACACGCCTTCGAAGCTTTTCGATGTTGTTGTCGTTGACAACTTCGGGATAAGTCATGTTTTTGGCCACCAAGATGGGAACGGCCACCTCGTCAATGCTCAGATTTGGGTCCGGGGAAATGACAGTGCGTCCAGAAAAGTCGACACGCTTTCCGGAGAGATTGCCTCTGAATCTGCCCTGCTTTCCTTTCAGGCGCTGGACAAAACCTCGAATTGGTTTGCCAAATTCTCCCTTGGCCAAGCCAGGAACATCGCTGTTGATGTACATTGCCAGCTGGAGTGACAAATAGTCCCAGTGCTCGATGATGGATTGCACTGGAGCACCCTTTTCTATTGTTTCCCCGAGCTGAGAGTTTGCTGCAATGATATCGCCGAGTTTTGCAGTGATGTCGTCTTCGGTACTGGTACTGTCTTGGCTGACTGAGGGTCGAATGCATACGGGAGGTGCAGGGACATGGAGCCAGAGAAATGACTCTGGCTTGGCTGCACCGAGGCCTAAAAGTTCACGGTCGGCAAACTTGATGCGTCTGAATAGCTTCAAGGCACGCAGAGGGTTCAGGTCGTCCATGGCCTTTTTGAAGTGTTTGTCGAGTTCTGGATTGTGTTTCTTTGCAAAATCAAAGGACTGATCAAAGGCAATCTTCTCAGGCGGAGCGACTTTCTTGGCTGAAGTTGAAGCGTTGAAACTCTTGAACTTGTCATGAGTGATTTTCATGGACGCAGTGCCTGCTTTGCGCACAAGGCCATTGATGGCGCCGCATTCGAAGCAAACCTTGGTCTTTCGACATTGATCGGCAATTTTCCTGATGATTATGGCCTGTCTTAAAGTATCATCTCCGACTCGGCGCAGAGTGACGATGAATTTTCGGCGGTCGGCCTCAGAAAGCAGAATGCAGGAGCAATCCTAACTATCAGTCAGGACAAACGAGGATGCTTGGAGTAGTCGATGTATACCTTGCAGATACTCTGAAGTACCTGGATCACTTTCTTGAAATAGCCGACATGGAAGACTGGGAGGACAAGGTTGACATGACCAAAGTGACCATTACAGGTTTCCAGACGCTCGCCGCAGGTGGCACAAATATCCTTTTTGCCTGAGATTCCCATCCGCTTGTCAAGAGGTCCATATTCGGCATATTTTCGAAAGTTTCCTCCATCTTTTTCGAGGTCAAAGAGCCTGCGATCGACGAGTTCGACTTGAGATTGGTTGATTATATCTTGATCAGACCTAGGACAGAGTCAGAGGGTGGGTGAACAAAGGTGCTAGGGATGTCGCCTACAGAACACCGAACTGAAGTTCCTTGATGACCTTGGGAACACTGTGCACTACCAGTTCTTTGTTCAGAGTCCTTGCGGGCGCTTCAATCTCTGTTGCGGCAGGCATATTGAAGGTCACCGAAAACCTGATCGTCTGAGAGTAGGGGCGACCGAGACGACAGGTCTTTCCAAGTCTGCGAGCACCATGTAGAGGAGTAAAGGCAGGTTTTAGGACTGGATTGCTTCGGGAGACCACAGATACCACAGAATTGTAGAGGCTTCAATGAGGTGGTGGAGTGTCTAGGTATGAGCACTTCGTCCGCCCGTTGAAGCAATAATAAGTAGGGCGGTGGGCGACGCAAGTAATAATGGATGAGGAAGTCACGAAGTGTGAATCTGGTGGACGCGATAAATTTCTCCAAATGTCAAACCCCCACATGCAGCCTTGCGGCGGGCGGAGAGCCAATCACGTGCACCAAGGCTGAATAATGTCACAACCATAGTGCAAACACTCGATGATGCTCTTTCTATTATAGATCCAGATGGAGGACACATTACTAGAGGCCATGATGCGATTGCCTTGAAAAATTCACTTTGGGGTGTAAAATGTCTTGGTCTTATTTTCATGCCCGGCGGCTTACATCAAGTAGCCATCTGCCCCATCCCAACAGCAGTCCCAAACTCCACGCTAATAGATTCCAACAAAGTGCCCGACGAAGAATGCACTCAATCATTGCTCATGATTTCAGGTTGGCGAGTTGGGCCACAGACTCAAATAAGTCCGATACTGCTCTCATCTTCACCCAAACGCCACTGTTGCCTTCATGTACCGCCATCTTAGACTTGCTCCCTGAGCCTAGTCCAAGAGACGGTAGCTGACCAGCGTGTCGACTTTGTGATTGCTGGTACTGAAACTTCGTAGCTGGACTTTCTCTCCATTCTTGATCTCCTTTGCGTCACTATCTCCCCATTCGACAGGAACATCCGAGTCTGCATCGGCGTAGACGAGCACATTGAAGGTACAGTTTCCGTCGAGGACAGGCAAGAAAGTGACGGACGCGGTGATTTGCCGGAATATGGCTTGAATCTCCTCTTGAATCTGCGCCTCTGTTTTTTCTGGTTCAGCCTCGACTGGTGTTGATGAGGCGTCCCTGTTTCAATCGTCAGCTACAGGTCGTTATCAGACTCTCCTTTGCAAAGTACTCACTCAGGCGCTGTGTTCTCCTTGTCTGCAGACTTCTTCGTTGGTCGATGCTTTGCAGATTTGCTCGTCATGTGAACATCAAATTGCCATCTTTCAACGTGTTCGCCTGTTTCCTTGCTTGTGATGACGACCACCAGCTTCGAGATCTTGCCGCCAATCATCCATTTGTTTAGTTGTGACATGATTTTTTTGATGTAGGCTTTGACTTGGTCGTCCGAAGACACTATTGAATATCAGCATGGCGCATCACCCGTCGGTCCTCGCTGATAAGCATACCCAACATATTGAGCCCATATTTTTTAACCCTAGGCTGTATGTTAGCCATTGGCACACACATGCTAGACGTGTTCAACTCACGGGGTGAAATCTTCGGCCGGATAGACCCCTCTTTGGAATCTGCTGTATGTTAGCCTGTGCGCTTTTTTCTCCCCAACGTCGGTCGATCACGAAGGAAACTCACAATATTGTGTTGATAGAGTATTCGAACTTGTTCTGGTTAGCTTAGTTCTGTGTCAACACGTTGAATTAATCTCACAAATTCAGCGACGGTTTTCGATGATCCTAAGGGAGTGATTAGCACAATATCTTCTCGGTAATGGGCTCACAGAAATTACCTCTCAACGCAAGTTTGTGGACTTGGGACTTTTCTTTCTTTTCTGCTGCCATTTTGACTTGATTTCGTGTTATTGCAACCTTGAAATGCAGAGAATGATGTTTGATAAAGACGTTGCATGTAAGTTGTTGACATTTGGTTGCGCAGGGTGACGATCGCCCGGAGAATCTGATTTTCCACTTCCGACACCAGAATCCATCGGCATGTCGGATTAACTTGTTCCGCGTTCTATATGCGTCGAATGACTTGCAGGATGTTTTTCTACAGAATGAATTAATTAAATGTCGCCTTGTGCATAGACAATAACCTGGACAGCACAACCCTGACCCTCAGTGTTGTGACCCATGCGACAATGGCTGCAGGTCTTTGCAAGGCGAAGACCTGCATCATGCACTCCTTCTGCCACATTCTATAACTCAGCCAAACCTCTCATCTGGTCGCGGCCCTTTTCACTTTCTTACCGTCGAGAGGCCGTGTCCGTCAAACCGCAGACCGATCTTGAGCAGCGCATCGCCGCCATTCCTATCGATCGATACCGAAATTTCTGCATTGTTGCCCATGTTGACCATGGCAAAAGCACCCTTAGCGATCGTCTCCTCGAGCTTACCGGCACCATCCAACCGGGGTCGAATAAACAAGTCTTGGACAAGTTAGACGTTGAAAGAGAGCGGGGAATTACTGTCAAGGCCCAGACTTGTTCTATGATATACAATTACAAAAATCAAGACTATCTATTGCACCTGGTCGATACACCAGGTCATGTTGATTTTCGAGCCGAAGTGTCGAGGAGTTATGCGAGTTGCGGAGGCGCCCTACTCCTAGTTGATGCAAGTCAAGGTATTCAGGCTCAGACCGTCGCAAACTTCTACCAGGCTTTCGCATGGGGATTGACGTTGATACCGGTGATCAACAAGGTCGATCTACCACATGCAGACTCTCCAAGAGCCCTGGCGCAGATGAAGGAGAGCTTCGAATTGGACCCTGACAGCGCGGTACTAGTTTCGGCGAAGACGGGCCTCAATGTCGAAAGCATCCTACCAGCGGTCATTGAGCAAATACCTGCGTAAGACAATTCTGACCGACAACGCGACATCACCACTGACATTGGAGTAGACCTACTGGGGACGATAAAGCTCCTTTGAAACTTTTCCTGGTGGATTCGTGGTACTCAGCCTACAAAGGAGTGATTCTCCTGGTCAGAATTTTCGAAGGAAGTTTATCTGCTGGCGATCAGATTGTATCCTTTGCCACCGGCAACAAATACACTGTTGGTGAGGTCGGTATTATGTATCCGGATCAAACACCTCAGAAAGTTCTACGTGCTGGCCAAGTGGGCTATGTCTACTTCAATCCAAGCATGCGCAAGAGTCAGGAAGCTAAGATCGGCGATACATACACCATGGTTGGATCGGAAAAGTTAGTTCAGCCACTACCTGGGTTTGAAGAACCAAAGCCAATGGTGTTCGTGGCGGCCTTTCCTGTGGACCAAGGAGATTTTGAGCATCTAGAAGACAGCATCAACCAGCTGGTCTTGAATGATCGGAGTGTCACCGTTCAAAAGGAATCGTCCCAGGCACTCGGGGCTGGCTTCAGACTGGGCTTTCTCGGAACCCTGCATTGTTCGGTGTTTGAAGATCGCTTGCGACAAGAGCATGGAGCCAGTATCATCATCACCCCCCCAACAGTACCGTTCAAAGTCAAGTATCGGGATGGGACAGAAACTGTGGTCACCAATCCTAACGAGTTTCCTGAAGGTGACGCCGTTCGCCGAAACGTGGTCGAACTAAAGGAGCCTTATGTCTTATGCACCATGACTCTTCCAGAGGAATATCTGGGCAAAGTCATCGAGTTGTGTGAAGCAAATCGCGGAGAGCAGAAATCCATGGAGTATTTCACACAGACGCAGATTATTCTAAAGTATGAAATGCCGCTCGCCCAAATGGTGGACGACTTTTTCGGCAAATTGAAATCCGGCACCAAGGGATATGCAACGCTGGACTACGAGGAGTCAGAATGGCGGGCCAGCAACATTGTCAAACTACAGCTGCTAGTCAACAAGGAGCCCGTGGATGCAGTTTCTCGCGTGTTACACAAGTCACAGGTTCGCTACGTGGGCAAGGCCTGGGTGTCGAAGTTCAAGGAGCATGTGGATCGGCAGATGTTTGAAATCATTATTCAAGCAGCGGCCGGCAAAGAAATCGTGGCTCGCGAGACTATCAAGCCATACCGCAAAGATGTGCTGGCCAAGTTGCACGCCAGTGATCTCAGCCGGCGCAGAAAGTTGCTCGAGAGACAGAAGGAAGGTCGCAAGAAACTCAAAGCCGTGGGCAATGTGGTGATTGAACATAGCGCATTTCAAGCATTTCTGGCCAAATAAAACCATGATATAATGACAAACGATGGCCATAGGAGACTCGAGATGGCATCAACGGTTCTGGAAATCATCGTTCCTATCCAGCACATCTATTGTTCCCGTCTACTGTTACAGCCTGCGCAGCCAATTCATATGAGTGAGAGTGAGCCCAACATCGAGATATGATTTCACGAATCCCAGAACCAATACAACGAAGCTGCCAATTCTTCTGTGTCCCTCAGGCTGTTCCCAACGTTGAAATATCAGCCCAACAACACGTGGATCAGCAACAGCAACCTTGTGATTGGTGACAGCTATTTGCCCATTCTGTGATCTGAGAGCAATTACACTCTGAGTGAGGGGATCATCCTTGCAAAAGCTGCCACGGATCATGTCCCTATAGCATTGCTTCTGGGGATTCTGCTCCGGGCTCACGCACCATGACTTGACGCAGTGACACATTGAATGCCTGAACTCATTCATGTGACTCCAATAGTCTCTGACATTGGATCCTTGGCGAGCGTCGCTCATGTTTCTCATGCATGATACTAAGCGTGGGGTTCGAATTGAGTTGTCCTCAAACGACGGTCTTGTCCGTTCTGGGCCACTTAGAGGGAATGTTGTACCACGTTCTTGTCCTTGCGTCTGGATGTTACCACGTCTCTTCCTCCAGGGCTGACAATCGGATCCTCTCGGCCATATTCTTCAATTACGAGCACTCCCCAGTCTGCATCCGAACTTGGACGATAGCGTGCTACACTTTCTTCTTCTCGTCCAATCACTCAGTGGCCCTGGTATCAACATGTGATAGCCGGAATTTATGTTGCGACTTCGGCGACCCGTCAACCAGAGTCGGGCATGGCCTGATGGAGATTCCCAGAGCCTGTCACCAGACAATAGGACAGGTGATGGTGATCACGTTGATGATGATTCGAGACAGCCAGCAGAGGCGTCTCTACATGTGGATATGGATCCCCATCATCCATCCGGTGGTTGTTGAACCTTAGTTTCAATTGGGACCTGTCTACCAGGCGAGGTGAACACGCTGGTCTGGAGACACCAAGCTGCAGAATTGCGGTATTGTGATTGGGCCACGCTCAGTCAAGGACGCATCGCACCGCACCGAGGGGTTTGTGCTCGCTATCTACGGAGGAGGTAGTCGATGGTCAATGATAGGCGCTGGAACTTTCTGCGCCTTGGACGAATAGCGAAGAAGAACGCACCCATCCTGTCATGCATGGGCAACCCAAGGACCCACTTGATGTTGCTAGAAGATGTTTGTTTCGCATGGTCGATGCATGAACATTTCGCGGGATGCATGACACTCTCTGAGACACAGGTGGGGTGAGCGTAGTGTGGGACAGAAGTGATGGTTCCATCCATAGGTGTATATCAAGGCCCGAGGCACCTCCTCTTTTGTGACTCTCGCTCTCTTCCTTCCATTCAGGCAAGCAAGTCTTATTCTTCTGTCAAGCATCGAAATCTTGAGATCCCAATCAACTTTCAATCAACCCCAAACTCAATCCATTCCACCAACTTGATTCAACATGGGTCCTTGTGGAAGCTGCAACTGCTGCAACGGTTCCGCCTGTACGGGATCGTGCTCATGCAGCACCTGCGGTGTAAGTGACACCTGAACTCGTTCTGCTTCTCTTTTCTCTCCATTGTCCTTGTGGCGTGCCCGTTCCTCTGATTGACGGACTTGACTAACTTGGCTTCCCGTCGATAGCACTAAATATGAGCCGTCCGACACTCGGAGATCTCTCGTCGGTGACGACGCCGGGAAGTCGGCCTGTGTGGTGGTTGTGAAATACATCCTGTCTTGTCTGCTGCATCGATCGACGGCGATCCAAAAGGCCAGAAACTGCCAGCAAATCTCTCATCATTTGCGTGAAAAGGGATATCTGATGAGCAATATTCATTTCAGAGCTTCTCTCCCTGGGATGGACAAGTGAAGGACAAGGTCAGAAGGGATGCAACCAAACCTCATGGGCGGAATTTTGGAAATGAGAAACTCGGAGTAGAAGTAGAAACCACCATAGTTTCAACAAGAAAACTAGTTGATCGTCAAAGTCCATTGTATACTGGAATTCTAGAGACATTCGTGCTCTGTAGCCTTTTCCGCACAAGCATGAGCACCTTGCTAGGATAGCTTGACGCACAAGCATGAGCACCTTGCTAGGATAGCTTGACTTGCTCCATGCTCAGTCGGACAAAAGACTTGCAATGTCAGGCATATCTTCGTGAGATAGGTTCCTATGGGTAGCCGTTCCACCAGGACTAATTTATCAACTCGAAAAGACAGCATCGCTAATCGAACAAGGTCTTCTTTTCGGGGTATCTTTCGACATGACCAGCCTAAATCCCCTCTGTCATGATGGGGCGTAAACATTAACACCTGTCGTTTGCCAGGGAAACCAGCCAGGTGTATCATTCGTCTAGCTGTTACAAAGACATGCGAGAATCGATAAATGGAACTCCATCGCACGTATAAATCGACACAAACCAAATTGCCGCCGTGTAGGGGTATATTGTTGACAGTCCCAGTGCCTGTGGAGAAGAACCTCCAGTTTTATTGCATGACATTAAGCGGGACAGACATTCGCTAAGTCATGGAAAATTTATGAGATGCCTCGTGAGCTTCACACGACGACTTGCCTCATGGCAGTCGCTGAGTCGGCCTTCGGGGCACAATGTGGCTTAAGCTTGAAAGCCTTGTTCGCCCGCGTTTTGGCAACTTCCAAATCATCATCGACCTCAGCCGGAGAGGAGACTGCTTCCGGTGGATCAGGCAACTTAGACTTTGGCATTGGAGTTGGAGTGGCATCATCGTCACGAAGCCGCTCCAAATGTAGTGAATCGACGTCAAGTTTGACGGAGCCGTTTCTTCGTGAGTGTTGGTCGGGATATGCAGCACCAGGTGAGGCAAAGGTTGCCGTCTCTTGACCAACAGACTGGCCATTGGAGGCCATTGGCATTCCGCCAAATTGGTCTCCCAAACATTTGATGACGGCGACAAAGTATTGGTGTAGGATAGTGAAGATGTTTTCATCGCCTACAATTTCAGCCAGAGACCGAGGGGTAGCATGCCCTGTTCTGCGCGGATGGCCATCGGGATCATTTGAGCGCGAGGTCAGAAAGGAGGAGACAGGCGTGTAATTTCGCGGTTTGCCCTCAGACAGACTAGCCTCTTCCTTTTGCCGTTGGACTTCTTGATGCCTTTGTGCAGCTGATTCGATCCCTTTGGCCATGGCAGCGAAGGCTTCCCACAGCATGGGGCAAGCCCGGAACGCGCGACTGGCATCTTTTCCCGCAAGGGCAATAAAAGCATAGGCTCTCCGGCGTCCACGGGCTTTGGGGTCTGTGAGACGGAATACATAGGCGATCGTGTAGCCTGTATTGGAATCGCCAAAACAGAAGGGTCCGTCAGACATTCCACGCGGGAGTAATTCACACGAAAGGGTCCTGATAACGGATGCTCTCAGTTGAGCAAAAATCTCAGGGTTATCCGGAGCCTTTGTGGTCATATATGTGATTGTGTGATCGTGACAGTCGCCCAAATTTGAGTGAGATGGGAAGGGTGTTCGAGATGTGGAGGAGCTCAGAGAGGATCCCAGCGACGGGTTCTGGGTAGCATCATGTGATGCAGCCCGTCTTCTCTCGCGCAGACAGACGAATTCTCTTGAGCGCAAAACGGGTGCGCTCGCGCTATTACTCCTTCCGCTCTGGCTTCCCGGAGCTCCTTCAGGAAGTTGTTCAGCTACCTTTGTTGGGACACTGAAGCTGCAACTAGCGCATGTGTCACCTTGCGCTCTGCCATAGCGATATTGCGAGCCAATGACCCGCTTTGGAGGCTGAAACAATGGATGTTTCTCGATGGTAGGACTCTCTGAGTCGGTTCCTGAGTCGACAGTGGTAGATGCGCCGGAGAAGTCGGTTGGTAATGTGAGGTTGGTGTCGGTCTTGTGGAGATGTCGTGGGTTTGTACCCAGGTACGAATTCGAGTTGATGGAGGAGGCGGGTGCTTGAGGGGGGAGGGCTTCAGAGGATCGCCGCGTAGATACGGAGGGCGAAGGTGGCTGGCATTGGACGCATTTCAAGGGGAGGACCTGTGTGCTGAGGACGGACTTGGGGCCATGGGCCTCGCAGAAGTGGGTTAAAGCAAGCTATTAGGCATTAGTCAAGACTTGTCAACGGTGTAACAAGATCAAGCGCGAGGGCAATGTCGACACGCGAGGAGTAAAATAGAGGTCGAAAAGCGACCGGAGACTCTGGAGAATCAAGTGAGGGAGGACTCACAGTGAAATCCATCTTGCGATATGTTTTATGAGCTCAAAGCGACATGCTGGCCAGATGTTCTATAGTTTTCTCTGGATATGGGCGTTTCTCCGTGGCGGAAGGCATGAAGAGGTGGCGCGGCGCCGGTGGAAAGACATGAGGATGCGCAGGTTGATGGGAAGCAAATGTTGTGGATGAGCGTGCTTGGGGGAGATGAGAGGGAGGAAGTATTGCGATGATTGTAGTCGAGGAGCGTGTGGATGAAGAGAGAGTGGCCTTTGGGGTGACGGAAGTGTGGTTGAACCAAGGTCGTTGGTAAAAGCTTGGAGTGGTTTCAATAGTTCAAGCGGATGTCACCAAACTTTGATGGGTGGAGTTGCTCGGTTCGGATGAGCGTTGCGTTTAGGGGGAAATTCGGGGGTAAGGGACGAAAATGTTCACATAGGAGGAGATTCTGATAAAGACAAGAAGTCGTTGTAAGAAAGGAGGAGTTGGTGGGAGGTTGAAGTGTAAGTGCAGTCAATGGTTGATAATGACGATAGAAGGGAAATGGAAGTTGATGCAGTCATGTTCCAAAGTGGCAACTGCGACTGCAGTTGCAGTTTGATGTGTCGCTATGTTCCCATGTTCCCATGTTCCCGGGTGCCTGCCTCTCGGCAAATGATGGGACGCCGGGGGAAGGCAGTCGCAGACTCGCAGTCAGTCGCACTTGCCGTGGCACAAATGGCCGAGGGAGGCAGGCACGATTGGTGGCAGCGGTGACAAACTGCAGCCTAACTTGGAACAACCCTGGAACCCCTTCGCCGCTCGCTCTTGCCCTTGTTCTCCCTTTTGTCAACCCACTAATAAGGAGCCACGGAGCCTTGATTAAATGCCTAGGAAGGAATGGTCCTGTGAGTAATAAGTCCCTCTGGTCTCTCTATCCAACTCCCATAATCCATGTAAGTACATGCACATACTCGCACATACTTGCGCGACTCGCCAAATATGTCGAGCGGTCCGCATCTCTCCTGCCTGCGCCTACAAGATGACTGGCCAGAACACAATTGGCACACATGGCTAGATTCCCGAGACTGCTGACCGCCAGTTGACAGTCTTGCTCGCATCCATCGGAAACCAATCAACTCCCCAAGCACAAGTCAACCGCTCGCGTTGATATCTCCCTAGGTACCTTGGTTGACACTTTCTAAGCCAGTCGCTCTCAAAGGCCGGATCTGCGGAACCAAACTCTCGAGGATGCGGACAGCACGGAGTGAACCGTCACACCAAGCGAGACTCGACAAACCACAAACCTCGCTTTCAAGTCTTGAATGCCAGGGTGCGCCGTTATTCATGCACTCCATCCCTAGACCCCCGAACGATAATGCTATATACAATTCCCCTACAGGTGTTCGACAACGCCAGAGAGCCTCCTGCAGGTGGCAGGTCAGCCAATTCCCGCACTTGCATTAGAGACGCAGCCAGAGTCAGGCCACGTCCCACCAGCTCCATTGTCATTCACCCTGAGAGTCTTCCACTACCGTAGCCTCACCGAGGGTTCTTGATGCAAACGACATCTCTCTCTTCATCCATTCCGTCTTGTAGCGACCATCCGGAGTGGCTTTCGGCACGACCACCACTACTTGTTGCCCCTGCATCTGCGACTCCAACACACCAGTCCACAGTCCAGCACTCATCACAATCTGATCCCGGAACAAGTCTATCCGAGTAATGAATCCCAAACCAAGACATCTCGTCTCCGCCGCGGCTGCATAGCCATTCACTTGTTCTGAAGTTGCCCGGGGTATGTCCTCCTCGGTCCTGACTATTTCCGGCAAATATCGACCTTGTCGTGCCGCCAGATCGTCATTTACGATAGCTTTCCCATCGGAAGGTGCACCATCCAGGTCTCTGTCTCCATCTGTAACATTCACCGCCATAACAGCAGCAAGGCTTCCTTCCAACGCATCGTATGTGTCCTCCACCGCCACATGCCCTCCTTGGAGCACAACTGCTCGAATTTGCGCGTTTCTGCCTGCATAACTTAGAGCTACCTCGGCCTGACCGCCACACAAGACTGGCCGACTGTTCCAGGTCAAGGTTTGGTTGGGGAGCTCAACGGCATGAAAATATGATTGCATCCTCAAGTTGTGTTCTCGCAAAGCTGACAAGCCTTCCAGTGGCTGGGGAGAAATAAACACGGCAGTTGTCGCAGTCGAGCTTGCGAGGGCTATCCAAGGGTGTAAGTATGTTGACTGCGGACTGCTGTCAAAACAGACTACTGCGGTTGGGCTCATCTGCGTCCACAGTCTGGCAGCCACATCTGGGTCAATATCCTGCCACCATTTAGGTGCAATCACGATTAGAGGACTTTCCCCTGCTTCGTTTCGATGTAGGTGCTCAAGATCGAGGAGATTGGTGACTTGCTTCATGTGCCACTGTATCATTTCGCTGGGCTCCACTTCCCCAACAAAATGTTGCTTCAGAATTCGACTGCCACTTCCTCTAGCAGGAAGGGGATGGGTGAAAGGTGGTCCCAAGATGGTTTCGGACACGTGAACAAGACTGATCATCCCCGGTGCTGCAAACTCGGGAGCGCGTGAATCCAGGTCGACCACTGTCACACCCGGTGCTTGATTCTTCTCTCCTTTCGCACTCTGTGTAGTGATGATTCGGTTGACCAAACACCTTGTAAAAGTTGACAGGCCCGAGTTTCGCTTGCCACACAAGAGTACTCGAGGCAGACTCTTAGCCGTTGAACGAAACTCTGAAAGCTGCAGGAGAGTGCTCTTCCATGGATCTATATTGAGTTCTTTGAAGCGACCAGGGTTTCTGGGGTCATGGCTGAACGAGTGGCCCAAGATATGGAAAGAGGCGCGTGAGGGTTCGACATCAGGCGGGGCCCACAGATTTCGGGATCCTAGCTCGGGCAAATCGAGGAGAGTGTCATGCACCGAATTCAACTCGAATTCGCAAGTCTTGGTGAGAGCTTCGATCGAAACGAGAGCGTGAGTAATTGGAGAATAAATTCGATAGGTCCGAGTCGAAGCATGAACCGTGGCGCCGTATACGGAGAGTGATCCGTCCTTGACCCAAAGATCACCGATCCCCAGGACAAAGCATTTCTGCTAAGGTCAGAATATACAGCCCGCAATCGATCCAATACTTGCCTGAGATTTAGAGAGCCTGATTCTAACAGACGCCTCTCCGACCTGTTCGACTTCGCGGGTTGAGCTGAAATTGACTGCTGCAACGTCCACCAAAGGGGTGAACTGGTTTTCTATCCTGGGACCATCATCGGCCAGCTCTTCGGCTTTGCGCTTGGGCGTCGTCCTGCCGGATGTAGATGCAGGTGGAGTCAAGCCCTTCTCTGAGGAAGAGCCAGACACCGCAACGGGTGGAGTTGTCGATGCTGACTTTGCATCGCGTAGCCGACGCCGCGCGACAGCACTGAGGCGTGCACCATCTACTTGCGAGTTAGAGACTACATTATCTGGCCGACCTTAACTTACCAGTAGTCATAAAATAAATTCACCCACCCGGAGGTAATAAGTGTGGAGGAATCCCGCATATCTGGGCTATATGAGGAAAACCATCTGAGGGAGAGAAAAAGGATACTTATTCCCTTCTCTGATTAGCGCCGACACTAACTCACTAGCTCCGGCTACTCCCGAAATATTTTTATTTTTCCAGACTCAGAGTCTCTCCAATTTTCTGTCTGGATGTTTGAAGCGCCAGCAACACCAAGATAGAGACATGTCTATTTGACAGAACCTCTGAGGAAAGGCGGTCTTGGCCAAGACGATTCACTTTTTAGTATCTCACAACTTAACGAGACATGGCCAAATCCAAGGTCCAGGCTCGGCCTAGCCAGCTCAGTAATGAACGGATCGTGGACACGAGCGACGAGGAGAACGACATGGTCCAAGGTCATGGGACAGCCAAGAAGACAAAGAAATCAAAGCCATCTGCCAACTCCCCGAAGACGAATGGGATTGGGTCGAAGACGAACAAGTCCAAGCGGAAATCTCCAACTCCAGAGTCGACAACGTCCGATGCAGAATCGAGCTCCAGTCCTCTGGCTGAAGACGAAGCCCAAGAATCTTCAGGAGCCGAAAGTGACGATGGTTCGGATAGTGAGGGCGATTCAAGCTCCGCAACCAGTTCGACCTCGTCCGCTAATAAAAGGAAATCAAGACCAGAACCTCAAACAGCATCGAGAAAGAAGACAAAACCCAACACCAGTTCAAAGGTCCGAATTGCACCGGTGCCTTACAAAGCGCCATCTGGCTACGAGTCTTTTGCACTGTCAGCCTCTGACTCTGCCTCGCAATCAACTTCGCTGTTCGAGAATCTATCTGGGAAACAAATCTGGCACATATCAGCACCCGCCTCGTTGTCACTCCAACCCATCACAGAACTCGATATTCAGGCAGCCCTTCAGGGAAGGTCCATACTGACCAAGAATGGCATCGACTACAATATGCACCCGGCCCCGTCGCAACATGAAATCCTACTCTTGCCAGCCGGCCAGGACTCTACATATGAGCAAATTGAAGTTGGCGTCACTCGAACCTTTGATCTGCGAGAGATGAGCACGATCCCACGGGCCAAGGCGAAGGACAAGGCGCAGAGCTCAACAGCGTCGATTGTCTTCACTGCCACCAAAGAAGGCACCACAGGACAGCCACGAAAACAGCCGGAAGGACTGCGGCAACGGTATATTCCGTTCGGAGCGCAGGTTGGCAACCCCGATCAGGCGATTGGAAAGAGCCGCACTACGTTTCAAGTGCCTGATGAAATTCTGAGAGAAGAACCTGCCAACAAGGCTACGACTTCGAGCCTCAAAAAGATGCAGACAGACGGAGGGGATACACCCAAGAAACAGAAGAAAGACAAGTCTAAGGCATCCCCGGAAAAGAAGAAGAAGAGACGGCGCATAGTTGATGAAGAAGTGGTGTAGACGGTGGATGAGTGGGTGTGTTGTCAGTGACCGATGCGACGCTCTTATCGCTTGAGTTTGTCAATTGACGAGAGCATGTGGACCAATTTCGTGCTTTGGGTACAGTCCTGTTTTCAGTATCTATTGCCTAGAGTCATGATGGCCATAAGCAAGATGGAGACATGATAGCCAGTGGACATTCTACGGGCTACAGAGCCTATTCTGGGCATAAATGGAACTGGCACGACTGGTCGAGGGGCCTGCGCTTCCCAGCTTAGTTAACGAATCCATGGCGGTGCCTGGCAGAAGCAGATCGCGGGGAAAGGGTGGCGCCCCTCAAGCCCGAGGGCCCCAAAGAAGCCCTAGACTCTCTGTAGGCTTGGTATCATTGGCCCAAGATGGATGGGAAGGGGGATCAGCTTATAGGCCCTGAGGCCCCCTCGGCCCTGCAAATTCCTTCCTCCCGCGTTCTCAGTGACGGGACACGGAAAAAAAAGTTGATCTCGAGTTCCACTCAAAGATTCCCCTCCCCCTCCACTACATTTGACTGCGTCTTAACTGCAATTTTGCTCAATTAGTCTTACCACCGCAGTCTCGTCGTCCACGCCTCCAATTCCTCCTTTCTTTATCGCTTGACGCTGCACTCTCGAGCAACTTCCTCTTGACGTTACGCAGTTCCTTCCAATTGCAAATATGGGCTCCGTCGCTCAATCATCCAGCTATGCCTTGTCCAAGGCACACAAGGACGTGAGTCATTTCCCACGATATTGAGACCGCAACACGGCCGAATACCAGCCAGGCAATTGAAGCAAATAAGCTAATATGAATTCTCTAATAGATGCTCGAGACCTCTCTCGTCGACTCGGACCCAGAGATCGCAGAGATCATGGTATGACACACCCCTCCCCACCCACCGTCCGGATCGACAACACCCACTGACACCTGTTTTCCTCTTTAGAAAAAAGAAATCAAGCGTCAGCGAGAGTCCATCATCCTCATTGCCTCTGAGAATGTCACTTCCCGCGCCGTTTTTGATGCCCTTGGCAGCCCCATGTCCAACAAATACTCCGAGGGATATCCTGGTGCTCGATACTATGGTGGAAACCAGCACATTGACAGTGTCGAACTCACTTGCCAGGCCAGAGCCCTAAAGGCTTTCCATCTCGACCCTGAGAAGTGGGGCGTCAATGTCCAGTGCTTGAGCGGTTCTCCTGCCAATCTTCAGGTCTACCAGGCCATCATGAGACCCCATGATCGTCTGATGGGTTTGGATCTGCCCCATGGTGGACATTTGAGTCACGGATACCAGACACCACAGAAAAAGTAAGATTCACCTGAATATCAACCTGGCTCGAGAGTCTTTGGATTACTAACACCGTGCTACAGGATCTCTGCCGTGTCCACCTACTTCGAGACCTTCCCATATCGAGTCAACCTTGAGACCGGCATCATTGACTACGACCGCCTCGAAGAGAACGCTCTGATGTACCGACCCAAGACCATTGTGGCCGGAACCTCTGCCTACTGCCGTCTCATCGACTATGCTCGCATGCGCCAGATCGCAGACAAGGTCGGAGCATATCTTGTGGTCGACATGGCCCACATCTCTGGCTTGATCGCCGCTGGTGTCATCCCATCTCCCTTCGAACACGCCGACATTGTCACTACCACCACACACAAGTCCCTCCGCGGTCCTCGAGGAGCCATGATCTTTTTCCGCAAGGGTGTCCGCAGCACCGACGCCAAGACCGGCAAGCAAGTCCTGTACGACTTGGAAGGACCCATCAACTTCTCCGTCTTCCCTGGTCACCAAGGTGGCCCCCATAATCACACCATCACCGCGTTGGCCGTGGCCCTGAAGCAAGCCGCTTCCCCCGAATTCAAACAATACCAAGAACAAGTCGTCAAGAACGCCAAAGCACTCGAAAACGAGTTCAAGAGCCTAGGATACAAGCTGGTCGCCGACGGAACCGACTCACACATGGTCTTGTTGGATCTGCGCCCCCAATCCCTCGACGGCGCCCGCGTTGAAGCCGTCTTGGAGCAGATCAACATTGCCTGCAACAAGAACAGTATTCCCGGAGACAAGTCGGCCTTGACCCCATGCGGAATCCGTATCGGAACGCCAGCCATGACATCGCGAGGCTTTGGCGAGGAGGACTTCAAGCGCGTTGCCGGATACATTGATTCAAGCATCAAGTTGTGCAAGAAGATCCAATCCGAGCTGCCCAAGGAGGCCAACAAATTGAAGGATTTCAAGGCCGTGGTCGCAAATGATTCAGTCAAGGAGATCCTTGACTTGAGACAGGAGATTGCCCAATGGGCCTCCAGCTTCCCTCTCCCAGTTTAAATCAGTGGACGGGACTTGGGACATGGGACATGATTGTGTCGGAATGTCTTTGGTTATGAGGCGGCGTCCTCCGTGCTTTGCTGGCGGTCGAGGTGATTTGTTGGAGAAGGGGGGTTCAACGGAAATATTGTAGGCGTCTCAGACCTGTTGATGCACCCACAGGCTGGCGTAGGTATCTTCAACGATACAAAAAGCATATTCAATCCGGGATGGTGAATTGTGTGCGTGCATGTCCTTCTTCTCCATGGTTTAAATTCGTAATTGTATGACCGATTTAGAGGTCTGGGTATGATGGGTTGTCTTCAGCGTTCAGTCATAACCACATCATCATCTCGCGACCCATCTTTTCTCTCTTTCTCCTGCTCATGTCCTTCTTTCCCACCACTCCCCTCTTCATCTTGACCTCTACTCCCTTTCGCAATCGCCGCCAACTGCCTCTCTCTCGCCTTCAGCGCCAGAATCTTCCGTTCCAACTGACCAATCTCCGCTTCTTGATCATCCAAACTCCTAGCAACATCTGGAAGTGCCGTAACCGCCGCCCGCGCCTTTGCGAGTTTCTGCTTAATCGGATAGATTTGCGCAGCTAGGTCTTTCACCTCGAGAAGGGGGAGTGTCGGATGGAATCGGTCGACGGGTGTGGATGAGCCGCCTATGTTTGTTGCGCCGGGTCCTGAAGTGATGCCTGCCGATGTAGTGGTCGCGCCGGCTGCAGTCGGTGTGCTGGTAGGATTGGGTGTCTGGAGCATCGATAATCGAGATATCAGTTGGTATACGTCGGGTAGGATGCTGAATGTGCTGGGGGAGGGGAATGGTGGGATATCGGCATGTGTGGTGTTGGTGTGGTTTGCGGAGTTCGCGCCTGCGCCTGCGCCCATGCTCATGCCCACGTCAATGTCCATTGTAGACGATGGCATGATTGTGGGATGAGGACAGTACGGAGTAAGGTCAGAGGACCACAACCAACGCAGGTTACGATGATGAAGTGGCTGATCTGGCGCCGTGCGGAAAGAATTGAACAAGGGTGAATTCAACTTTAGATGAGATCCAAGGTTTGATATGTGGATGTGTACGGAGTAAGTAGTTGCGGGGCTGCGATTCAGAGCCTGCAGCGTTGGATACTCCCCCGAGTCATACATTTCTTTATCGAATTTAATGAATGGTGCAACCAGGTGGCAAGATCAATGAGTCTATTGATTGACGATCTATAAATCATTGAATCCTATGCAAGTCCTCTCGATTCCCTTCTCTGCGACAGCCCACAGCCAGGCTCTCCCGGCTTCGCCAATGAATAGCCCCACAAACTCATCATCCCAACCCGCTTCGGTCAGCCAGCCATGCTTTTCGAGACTCAGACTTGAAGTCAAGGACAGGAATCGCTCAAACTGTGCAGGATTATCCAGGGCCAGTGCATTCCCGGTGATCCCATGACATAAGCACGGGTCCTTGATGAGAATGCCTCGAGTCTGAATATCCGTCTGTGCTTTTGTGATGGCACTGTCGATTCGATCATGGAGGCCAGGGAGATAGGGTCGTAAGGATCTCAAACATAGTACAACACCAGGTGAGCCATGGCAGAATTGCACAAGTTTGTCATCTCTGGCGGGCAGAGAAGACGGGAAGTTGCCGCTGGGAAACTGTCTACTGAGCAAGTCAGATACCACGGGTTCAAGCGCCGGGGCCGAAGATGGTGAGGAGACGGCAATCTGGCAGAGGATGCCAAATGTCCCATGGACGGCACCAAGGTAGTTCTTGTCGTGCCAGAGCCAGGGCTGTTGGGCAGAAAGAATCCGTTGGACTGTCTTTTCTATGACTCTATTGATCAGATCCAATGTTCTGGCATCTTGCAGAAATGCCGATCGAGTCAGCCTGAGTAGATAGAGATAGCCGGCTCGACCATACAACCATTCGTTAGACCCTGTCGTGTCTTTGTCATTGATGACTCGCTCCCAAGCGCACAGCGACTGCGCCAGACTCGGGTCCTGTTCGACCGCGGCCCTCAGTGCGACTTGAGACAACACCTCACTTCCGATGCCGCAATGATTGGCGTCGACCTTCTCTCGAACACGCGAGGATCCAAGAGCAAGATATGCTTCTGCCCAGTCTTGCAGTGATTGGCCTTTGAACATTAAATCTGGGTACAACTGAGAGAGTCGGAAGAATAGATAAGCGACAGAAGTCGGGCCCGCGTAGAGACCGTGAAATGTCCAGCCGGTGGAACATGTCTGCACTGGGGGGTTGTATGCATTGATTCTTGTAAGGCTGGCAATCAGTTCGCCATGGGCGTCCAACGATCTGGAAGTGGTCGGTCCAGGATCGAAGAAGCGAGCGGATGATGTACTCATCATGATGACCCTCGTGTCGTTTTGGACAACATTATACGACTCGAATGATGGATATGACCCACCCAGAGATTGACTTTATGTGAATTCAGGATCCACGATGCTGAAGAATCGAGACTGAGTCCATTGGAGGGGCAGTGTGGTAACACAGGTTTGCACGCCCGAGACCGAAATGAGGGATGACATGACGCAGCCTCGCAGCCTCGAAGCCCAATTGATATGGAAGGCGGTGCTTGGTCACGTGAGTTTTCCAGTCCCACCTGCGTCTTTGACGCTTTTGTCGATCACGATTTTTGTCCAACACTCCATCTCCTTTCGCTCTTTTCACCCCTTTCGTTCCCCGGTATCTGTAAAGCGACTAGTGAGACTATCGTAGGGAGGCTTCAGCATCGATGCCCCCCTCCTTGCGAAAGGCCTGCCACGCATGCACTGCGGCTAAGCGACGATGTATCCCTCGTCTCCCAAATTGCCCTCGTTGCGCCGAGAAAGGTCTCCTCTGCCAATATGATCTCGAGCCTGTCAACAGCGATCCCAGTCATCGTGAGAATTTGGCGGTGCCAAGGATCTTCGACTCGATCGAAGCAGCCCATCTGCACGCCATATCGACCTACAAAGCTTCGGGTGAATTTGTCAACGGTATTCCTCTGATGGGCAACGAGGAAACTTTTGCAATTGCGATTGGCCATCTAGCCCAGATCCCGGCCCTCACTTTCCAATCCCGATCATCTCTATTCGTACATAAGAATATCTTCAGCCTTGCTGTCTTGCCGGCACTTGAATCATCCACAGCTACAAGCCTTTCTACCAAACAGCTACTTATCGAGCAAGATAGGCTCCTCTCACTGGATGTTCACGAGCTGTCTTTTGTCGAGTTCCTCGGTAACTTGCATCGTCTCATCGCTATAATTCTGGCCTATGCTCTGAAACCAAACCTGGAGATTGACAGACGACCTCTAAGCCCTGATTTCCAATCTGTACTAGATCTTCTCCATCAATGGTCCGCCCATTTTCAAACCACTCTACCTGAAGATCTCGGGAGTGACCTTTCCGCCTGGAATGCGTGGGCTACTGCAGAAACGACTCGGCGAACTATGATTGCAGTGGTTGTGGTTTCGGGTATAGTCCAAGTTCTTCAAACCGGGGTTTGCTCGTACCAACCCTTTGTCGAAGCTTTGTGCTTTGACTCCAGGACGGGGGTGTGGGAAGCGGAAAGGGAAGAAGCATGGCAGAGAGCTGTCGATCATCACGGGACTGGCGTCGGAGAGGCCAGTCTCGTTTCATGGTCCGAATTCATCGAGTGTGGTGGAGCAGCACCAAGACAACAGCATGATGGTATGCTCCAACGATTTTTGCTGGCTTGTTACTTTGGCAAGGAGACTCAACTCCCATCAGAGATGCAAACTTCCGTTCCTTTCAACACTCATTGGCTCCCCAACCCCGGCTAGAATCAAGCGGGACCCTGCGTTCTGCAAGGCTGCGACTCGTCTCCACACCGCTTGTCTCAACTGAGTTTAACTTCCACCAGGGTGGATCTCAGTTTCGAGAACGAGGATGACATGACATGACCTGCACTTGATACCGTGCTCCAGAAGAGCATTGGAACTCCAAATTGGTGGATACCCAGGCTGCAACTGGTCACAATGGATGGATATATATGTATCTGCGATGGTCAACCTTGCAGACTTCTGCTGCAGCTTGTACGACCTGCTGCGAGACACGATCGCTCCCATCACCATGGAGTATAATGAGAACCTCCCCAAAGGCTTAGGCAGGTACGTCAATGATGGTCTCCTCCACCACACAACTCCTTGTATCTGGACCATGGAACCAAAACGAACCAAAACGAACAAATACTGACGCTATTCCTCTCCCCGCTCTCCACAGACGCCCTGTCTACTGCTGGGGCCATAAAGCGATCCCTAAACAAACTGGCATCGTGACCTATGCACTATCACCGAACCGCCAACGACCCCTTGCGAATGCATTCTACAACGCCTTTTTCAACACTTTCCGTCGGTCGCGAGCACAGTTCTGGTATGTGGTTCCGCCATTTGTGGCTGCTTGGTGGTTGTTGGAATGGGCAGAGCACGAGTATGTTGTCCTCCTGGTGGCGGGGTATGGTTGTCGCACACGACCATGTCACGATAAATCGATGATGATGACGATGATGATTCTGGTCCTGATCCTGGCTGACTGTCCACTTTTTTCGCTCACTCCTGTAGGGCTCATTTTGCAAGCTCCAAGGAAGGGAGAAGACAGGCGCAAGAACGTGCTGGTGAAAGCACGTGACAAGAGTTGTGACAAGAGTTATAACGGGAAGATAAAGACCCCTGTTCTGGATTGCATGGCAAGACTAGACTGAGCGTGCATGTTCAAAGATATATAGAAATCCTGTTAGAACGGTCTGGTAGCATGATAGACCATGTAAAGTTCACTCGCACGAATGAGATTGACTGTCAGGATTGCTGAGGTTACTGAGGTATATTGATTGCTTCTTAAAGATACGCAGTAGCCATGAAAAGATTCCTCGCGAAATCAAGGAATCCTTACACATGCGGCCCCGGAAAGAGCCACGGCATGACTTCAATAGACGGGCAATTTCCCACTTTGTACATTCCCTCCCGGTCTACCGCATTCAATTCCCCATGTTTGACCAACACCAAGCTTCGGGTTGAGGATGGCGCTAAGTGATTCATTGCTTGCATAGGAAGCATGCTCGCCGGAGTTGGCCTTCAATAAATTAGCAGGCTGGTGAAGATGGTGGCCCCCAACACGAGATGTCATTCGGACCAGTCCCGCGTTCGGGTCAAATCCACGTACAATTCCACTCCATTTGTTCTTGTTCCTCTTTTCTTCGGCGATGAGCCTTTTCCTCTGTTCACGATGTTTCTTTGCTCTCGCTTGGTCCGCCCTTTGGATCCGGACCCGTGATTTTGAAGCTGCATCTTCCCGTGCTTTCTGAGCTTTCGCTGCTTGATATTTGCGCATACGCTCCAAACGCCTCTTGTCTTCGATCATTAGCTGGCGTAAGGTCTTTGATCGAGTAAATTGGATTCTTCTCAAAAGGCGGCGAGCCCTTCCGCTGGAGATAGAGGCGGAGTCCGGGCCTTTGAATGATCGGTCCGACGTGTGAGCTTTGGTGTTAATCATACTTGTGATGCGAATCGTTCTGATGATGACCAAAGGAGACTTCTTCGGGGCGTGATGATAGAATCCTCGCGTGTTGCACGTTCCTCGTGCTCGCGCTTTAGAGATAGGATACAATTGATGAAGACGGCGAATCCTAGGACGATGAAAAATGGAATGATCAGGTACCCTGCGACTGTGAAGACTGTGTCGAAATCCATATATCGAAAATCGGCAAACCAGTCGGGGCGATCCTTACAAGTGAGAAGAAGAGGTGTGGCCAGATTTATGGCAGCGAAGCAGGATGAAGGGAGCCTTCCATGTAGGCGTTTTCGTGCTTGCCGAAACATAGTAAGGAAGGCGGTACCGTTCCCAGACAAATCGGCCACACCCCCCCCCATCGAAGTGATTTGCATGCTGCTGTCAAGGCGACGGCACCTCCAAAGTTTGCGTTCATCTCCTGGGATCATTCAGCCCAGGTGGGGGTGGTGGTCCTCCAGCAACGAACCCTGGCGGGGCTGCTGCTCCACTTTGATCTTGTCCTGGGCCGGGACTTGGGCCTCCTGGTAGGCCAGGCTGATTGTGTTGACCGGGAGGAGGGAAGGCTCCAGGAGCGCCGGGAGGAGGAAATTGAAAGTTTGGTGGAAAGCCACCAGGAGGAGGGAATGGGAGGCCATTAGGAAGATTTGGCGGAGGAAGTCCATTTGGGGGGAATGGAGGGAAAGGGGCACCTCGACCACCAGGGGGAGGGATCATGCCAGGACCTGGAGGAGGAACACCTGGCAGACCGAAAGGTGGCGGCGGCATGCCTAGAGACAGGTGGTCAACATGAGTGGGAGGATAGAGAGGGAGACCATCTTACCTGGAAATCCAGGAAGCGAAGGGGGGAAAGCCGGGTTGGGTTGCTGCAGCATAGGATTTGCCTGGCCTTCAGCAGCATAGGATGATGTGATCGAGTCAATCACCAATTGGGCCTTTTCATGTCCGATTTCTGTGGGTGATGATTTAGTGCTGAGGCATTCATGGCTTTGTTTCCATCTAACATACGCTGGTAATAATCAACAACATTTCGAATGTGATTTCTTCCACTGTTGTGATCTTTGCGAACTGACATGGAGTCATGAGTGAGGTAGACATCACAGTAATCGCAGAAGAGTGCTAGGTAGGTTAGCAAGGCGCAAGCAAGATTGAGGAGGGTATACTTATATTTAGGCATGGTGAAGTAGATAAGCAGGTGATCGTGGCAGTCAGAAGCGCGAATCAACACAATGAGACTGTAAGATGGCAGAGGCGGTGGTGGTGAGAAGCAACCGAGTGTTGACAATGTCCTTTGCTTTGAAGATGAAGAGGAAGAATGAGAGACGTCGAAGGCCAGGGCAAAGTGCAAAGGCGGTGTGGAGTGGCAGAATTAATTTGGCGCGTGAAATGTCCAAGTCACGCTTTGGTTGCGTGTGGCAGGCGAAGTGTAGCGCAGTCAGACGCGACTCTTGTTGAGAGCCAGAGGCTAAACTGGAATGCACAATCGAAATCCACGATAAAAGATCGACCAGCACGCAAGTCAATGCTGTTGGCAGTCTATGCGTGCATCACAGCTACACTGGTGCCTTCATGATGAGGTGAAGCCCATCGCAATAACATCACAACAGTTGTTTCCATCGCCTGCGCAGCCTCTCCCTTGATCATGGCCGATGGGGGCAGTCTGCACAATGTCCCACTTGTGCTCGACAACGGAAGCGGGACAATTCGAGCAGGATTCGCCGGTGCAGATCTCCCCTCAGCCTATTTTCCATCCTATGTCGGTCGACCGAAACACACTCGAGCTCTGGCGGGAGCAGTCGAAGGAGACATCTTTATCGGACCCAAGGCTCAGGAGCTCAGGGGTCTCCTCAAGATCAAATATCCCCTCGAACATGGCATTGTCACAGATTGGGACGACATGGAAAAGATATGGACTTATGTCTACGAACAGGAGTTGAAGACTCTGAGCGAGGAACACCCCGTCCTATTGACCGAGGCCCCGTTGAACCCCCGATCGAATCGAGAAACCGCAGCTCAGATTCTATTCGAGCAATTCAATGTTCCAGCAGTCTACATGGCAATCCAAGCCGTTCTCAGCCTATACGCCAGTGGCCGCACCACAGGCATGGTCCTCGACAGTGGAGATGGGGTTTCACACGCAGTACCCGTATACGACGGGTTTTCCATCAACAGCGCAATTCGAAGGATTGATGTCGCTGGAAGAGATGTCACAGAACATATGCAACTCTTACTGAGGAAGGCTGGACATGTGTTCCACACGAGCTCGGAAAAGGAGATTGTGCGTACCATCAAAGAAAAGACGGCATACATTGCGTTGGATCCGAGGAAAGAGGAAAAAGAGTGGTCACAAGGGATATGGAAGAATGACAAAAAGGAGGTTGATTATGTCCTCCCCGATGGTCAGAAGATCAAGATTGGAGCCGAGAGATTCCGTGCGGCCGAGATTCTGTTCGAGCCAGAGCTCATCGGACTCGAGTATACAGGTCTTCATCAGATGGTGATTGATTCCATCAACCGCACCGACATGGATCTACGCAAGAACCTTTATGGCAATGTTGTCCTGAGCGGTGGGACAACGCTGTGCAAGGGGTTCCCGGACCGATTGCTGTATGAAATGCAACGGCTGGCGGTCAAGGACATGAGGATCAAGATCTTTGCTCCTCCAGAGCGCAAGTACACGACCTGGATAGGAGGGAGTATCCTAGCTGGGTTAAGCACCTTCAGAAAGGTAAGTGATGACGACCTCGAACCGCAGTCACGACTAACGGCCGAACAGATGTGGGTCAGTATCGACGACTGGCATGAGAATCCGGACATTATCAATACCAAGTTCTCCTGAGAAGTCGCACCGATGGCACGACCGGGCGGACGAGACCGAATTCATCGGTTCTACCATCCGACCATTGCCGGGGCTCTATTGGAATGATCCAAAGGTCCGTTCGGCGGTGAGGGTGGTGCGATCTCCAATGTCATGGCCAGACCAGTGTGACTTGCAGGGAAAGATACTTCCCACCAGTAGTAATAACTGTTCTGGCCATGGCAGCATGGCCAGTAGAACAGGGTTGCCAAAGACGGAAATGTGCTGATCATGGCACCAAGAATGGAACATGGGCCATGGGCCATGGGCAAGAAGTTGGGGATTTGTGGGGAAGACTAAAGGTTGCAAAAGCCGGGGTTTGTTGTCAAACTCATGAGGGAGGGTGTTGTGGTAGTCTGCCAGGACGCCAGGTTGACTTTGTTGTCAGATCCTAGTGTCCGTCAGGGGCTGGAGTCTCTCCACTAGGACGAGTAATACCTCAAGGGGAATGTGCCTGAGTCATGCCCAATGCAGTTACCAATAGATGAGGTGGTTATTGGATCGCAGGCACATACTCCGTACACTCAAGTGCATTGTATCACGACTGTCAATGTGCAAGAACACGTGGTCAATAGATTTGCGGTGGCAGGTGGATGGCAGGACGGGGCAGGTCACTGCGATCACGAGGCCCGAGGTAAAAAGGGTGCAAAAGGTGCAAAAGGTGTGCTAAAGGGTAGGAATGGCGGATAGATGTTCCCAAATTGCAACATATCCATCAGTCTCTCATAGAAGACTGTGTGAAAAATGAGGTTTCTATTACCCCCATAAAACTACCATGGCCTTGTCCAGTGCATGGCGATTACCCCATAGTTTGATGGGAGATGCGCTTGTGGCGTTGATGTCAAGCCCTCGTGATGCTCGGCATGACTAACGAAATGGCTCATATGCACCAATTTCAGTGTGTGCACCAGAACCCATGACAGGTTTATTTGTCGGGGGTGCCAATCAGATGCTCTGGGGCGAACCGCCTGGGCCAGGAAAGTGGCCAAGGCAGAGAGCAGCGGACTGGTTCTGGCGGCGTGTCGACGGAGCTGCCCAGTTGTCTCAGGTCTCAGCCTCCAAGGCCCTGCAACCTTTGTGCAACAGGTCGTACAGGTCTCGCAAATCCGGGGATCTAGCGCCTAATCCATCACCAAGCCGACGCCTTGAATGACGCCCAAGTCAATCTCCCAGGCCTCGAGTGCCCGCCATTGCCGCCCAAATTGGCCTGTCCTCGACCCATCGTGACCTGGAAAAATTTTCATCCAGCGTATTTCAAAGCTGCCATGCCTGTTTATGCTTTACACTTGGACTCGCTGCCATGGACACCCGCCGGGCACGCCTTGCAGTTAACGGCAACTCATTGAAACGCGCTTTGCAGTTAACGGCAGCGATTTGGTAACAAGTTGAAGAATGTGCCAGACAACTCTGCAAGTAAGAACTTTTCATCGAGTAATCCATTGTGGCCATCCCCCTGGTGGCGGATCCCGTCCTCCACACTTTGACACCCCTCTCGCCTCTTGGAAGACCTCGTGCTCTCTTGTTTGTCCACAGTTCACGCGCTGTCAAGTCATCATTTCGTCAATTGCCCTTGCAAATTTGCACAATGAGGAGAAAACCTTTCATCACATCATCAAGGTAAGGATGGTAGGAACCGCATGACCGCTCTTTTGACTCTGTATATAATCTCTTGGTTCCCGTCCCTATGTTGAATGCTTGCCCTTTTGCCATCATCCAACAAAGAACAACTCTGCCCTACAGACAGCCCTACTATACTCCTACTATACATCACTCATATACCTCTCACATCACCTGATTGGTGCTCAGTGCTCACCACATCTTCCATCCACGCATATTCAGCCAATCACGATCCCCCAAATTATTTGATTCCCCCCTTCCAGTTTCCAACCATGTCGACCATCTCATCATCATCATCACGAAAATATTCCATTGTGGAACCACATCCATCCGTCCCCTCAACTCAGTATTTCAGCACTGGACGGGGTGGCGCAGGAAACCGAGTCAGGGCTCCAGTCGAAGTGACTCGAGGATCTGATGCCTCGGGACCTGCCTCTCGCGTGGCTCTGACACAATCTCAGACCTCACGCAAGTCCTTCACCACCGGCCGTGGTGGTGCTGGCAACGTCCACCGATCTTCCGAGCGGGCAATCTTCTCATTCGACGAGGAATTGGAACGCCAACTCACCCAAGAAAGGCGTGCGGCTCCAGTCTACCACGTTGGACGTGGCGGTGCTGGTAACGTCTCAGTCTCTGGCAGTTCCCCATCCCCTGCAGCGTCGCGACACTTTGACGATGAACGACGTCGATCGGTCGACTCGAGGGGCAGTTTCGCATCAACAGCCTCGAGCGAGAGTGGCGCTGACTACCTCAACCGCAACTTGAAGAGGGGCATCAAGAAGATGTGGGGTCACTAGCGGACCGATGCATCTGATCACTTTCTTTTCTGTCCTTCGACTCTCACGATTTTCCTTGACACTGATTTCATTTTTTCACACACACCATCATCTGATTGTTTTTTTGGCCAGCATTTACTTCAACTCATTGGCGCGGCGTCATGGCACACAAACTGTTGAGCATTGTCAGTCCTTTTTACAGGACTTGACGGGGGGGCCGGGGATAAGGAAAAAAGCATCTTTACCTCGAGACACAAGGAAAGGAGACTCGGACAAGAGAGATAAAGGAGTATTGTCGACTACTCACGACCACAACCGTATGGTCCTCGATGGAAAATGTTGCAATAAAGGCATCGACACTCCAAGTACGGTGTTGGTGTAATAGCTGGAACAAGTCCCAAGTCCAAATTCTGCATCGGTCCGGACACTCATCTGTGATGCGGTATTCGATGATGATCATGATGACCACTGGTTGCCACTTAGGGGTGGCTGCCGGATGACTCTGCTTGTTGAAGCTACTTTCTTCTCTTTGATTCGATAATATGATGAATACGATATGAATGAACCAATAGCCTGAATCTGAACTTGAATCTGGCCTTTGGCTGCTCTGATCTCTTGCTTCTATTTTTCGCCTGTCGCATGTCTGTCGTTGATTTCGTGCCGCATCAGTTCTTCTCATCAATTGTACAAGAACAAATCTGCCGGGATATACAATCATGGATGATGATTCGGGCTCCTGTCGTCATATACTTCGTCAATTCAGAAGCATCTCCCTTTTCAGTGTTTGGATCGATCAACCGAACGATCGGCGAACTGACAGAAGGATCGCTTAGGAGATCTCTATATCGTTCTGCTTGGTTTTCGACATCAATGTGGTGTCGTGACTGCTGTGTGCTTCCGCTGTCTAGGACCCACCTAACCATTTGATTCAATCCACCCTCCTCTCAACCCCTCTCCGACTCACAGTGATATATTTGACCCCTTTGTACGGTCTGACGCCATCGCCCAGGCCCTTGGACTTCTTGGCGTCAACAAGCAATGCGTCCACTTTGATCCCGCTGGGGAGCCAGCCCTTGACGCTGAATGACACGGCGATTGAACGTGGCATCAAGGTTCGACTTGGATGGCGCTTTCGAGGTGTGTTGTGACCGTTCCTGACAGTTGTGCGTCGTGACTCGTCTTCTCCCTGGCTGTTGGACCTGTCTGCGTCCTCGGCGTCGCCTACATCAGACCCGTTGTCTCCGTCGGCCGCAGCTCCTTGGGCACCATTCACGTTCCCACCAAGCGGTCCCGTCACAGTCCCGGAAAGAACAGCTACACCGTTGACGGACGCGCCATCCTTGGTTGGGATCCGCCATTCCACCGTCTTGTCCATTGCATTGAAACTCGCCTCGCCTCTTGATGGCTTCAACTCCGTCACGGCACGAACAGCTTGGGGGAATGGGATGGTGACCACGACAGCTTCGAGTGTTGGTGCAGCTGAGCTGCCTGTGCTACCGGAAGCGCCTCCGAAAGAGAATGGGCCCGCGTTCAGTGAGGTTGAGCGTGAAGAACCAGATTTGCCCGAGGACGAGCCAGGCACGCCAGGGAAGTGGTTATTCAATATGGCTCGAGCTTCGAAATCCATGCCAGACGGACCAAGTCCGGCGCGCAGGTCAACGGTGGCAGGGAGGAAGATCTTCTCTGATGAAGATGAGGCCTGGTCTGGAGAGGCCCCGGAATCAAGTGGTAAAGGCATGAGATCCGTCTCGTAACCAGCGAGCATGAAACGGCCATCAGGAGGCACAAAGGAAATCTCTCCGGCATGCTCCTTCCAGCGCGCTAGGCGTACGCAGGGGTGAAAAACCGGCAGCTGCATCGTTCGTAAAATGCCCGAGGTTTTGGCTGTACTAGTGCCTCCAGGTGCTGAGAGGGTAAGTAAAAGGTCTGGCACGCCCGAGATCTTTGCGGTGAATGCAATGGAACCGTTGCAACGTGCAGAAATGGGTCTTCCGGAGGGAGCAAGAATGACGGATAGTGACTCAACGATATCGACGTAGAGTTCATTGGAGGTGTGTCGAACATTGGGCTTTCGCCAGGGGATTGCTGGTCCGTTGGATGGTATAGGCGAGGGTCGAATACTCGAGGCAAACGAGCTTTGGGGGCCTAGAGCCGGTGATGTTCTGCATGACATCTATGTTAGCATCCTGGATTTGTGGTTTTTTGGCAAGACGGATAGCATACCCAGGTAAACCGACTTGTGTGAATAGCTTCCCAATCAGAGATGACACCTCGACCGATTCTCTTAGAGCGTTGGGCTCGGTGTTGGATATGATCCCGCCATCGCACACCTCCCCCAGTAGTTGTGCCACTACTTCATAATTGTCTTCGATCTTGCCTCTCAACAAGGGGCTACCAAGGAAATCCTCTAGGATATCGACGAAACGGTTAAGAAAGTCGAGAACGGCTAGGGATTGTGGATCTCTGCTGGCAGCTGCAACGAAGGAGAGGTTTCCTGAGGTGATAGAGTATGTCGTCGTCGGTGGATGGAGGTCTGCAAGGTAGTTGACTGCAGGTCGCGGCGAAGGTCGACCTGCGAGGCTGGTTATGAGTTGATGGGCTTGAGGTGGACGGCCATGGTAGACGTGTTCGACCACACATTCACTAGGACTGTCAGTATCGATACAAGAGGGGCACAATTCCCAAAGTCTGGGCCTTACTTCTGATCATCAAGAACATAGAGAGCGTCGATTATGACGCTCATGTTGTGGATGAAGAGGACATCTAGTGAATCGATAGTGGGGGATGTTTGATGTCTACGCATACAGTCCTCCGTAAGTCCAGACGTCTATTTTGGTTCGAATCTTATCTTATCAGAATGACGCCAACTATTGCCCTACCATGCTTACCTAACTCACCTGTTTACCTCCCTCAGGTACCTAATTAATAGTTGTACCTAAAATAATATCCATATGTACCAATAATAATAACCAAAACACTCTGTAGATGATGGACGCCCACAGTCACCCGATGGAGTCCGTCTTCACAACAAGGACTTGGGGTTGAATGGCCAACGCGTTAACAGACCGAAATCTCCTCCTGCTGACTCCTTATCCGAGTTTGACTCCAACTATCCAGATTCTCAAATTGGGGATTCAAGTGATGCCCGCGTTGTAACCGGTTCAAGTGTGCGGGGGATTAGCAATGGATCCATATAATCCTCGGTTGATAGTTGTAGACCTCCGCCAGCGCATTGCCGAATGTATTGAAAATGGTACCTTTTCTACACGTCGTCAAGGAACCGTCGGATACATACATTGACTAGCGAGACTTTCTACAGGATATCTAGGCATACTATTACATGACCATGGCAGACTCTGCAATGAATCTGACCGACAAGGTCATTGCAATCACTGGAGCAGCATCAGGGATCGGCCTTCAACTCAGCAGATTTGCTGCCACGAGAGGCGCCAAATTGGCCCTGTCAGATGTCAACCAGGAGGCCCTGGACAAGGTGGTCTCTGAACTATCCGCAAAAGGTACTCAAGTGGTTGGAACTCGGGTCAATGTCACTTCAAACCAGGAGGTTGATGACTGGATCAATGCCACAGTCAAGCACTTTGGTGCGCTCCATGGAGCAGCCAACCTTGCCGGTGTGGAAGGAGGCAAGAAAGTTGTAGGCCCTTTATCGGAAATGACCAACGAGGACTGGGACTTTACCCTTTCAGTCAACTTGACTGGACTCATGTATTGCTTACGAGCCCAAGTCAGAGTCATGGGCCCAGGAAGCTCCATCGTCAATGCAGCAAGCACTGCCGGCTTGATGGGTCGACCAGGTCTCAGTGCCTATGCCACCAGCAAACATGCGGTGGTTGGCTTAACCAAAACCGTGGCCAAAGAAGTAGGCTCCAAGGGCATCAGGGTGAATGCCGTGGCTCCGTAAGTATATCGCTTGGTCTCTTGGTGGCTCGCCACACAACTGACATTTCCACTGCAGAGGTCCTATTGAGACCCCAATGATAGATCGACTTTTAGGTGGAACGGAAAAGAACATGCCTTTTGCCGCAAATTATTCCACCATCCCACTCGGAAGAATGGGCAAGCCTGACGAAGTCGCCAGATTGATCACCTTTTTATTGAGTGACGATGCAGGGTTCATGACGGGCGTCATTTGCCCTACAGATGGCGGAATGACTTCTTGAGAAGTCAGATGGTTTTTTTTTCTTCTGATCTGCATCGAATTGTTAGTAGTCAAGGATAATCGTGAGGCTGTCATGGATGCGAGGCTGGGAAAAAGCAGGTCCTCTCGCAACGTGCAACAGCGTCCTGACAAACAATTCGAAGATCATAATAGCAGCTCAATTAAGCATACCATGATACAATGGCAACATCACATGTGAATCCAAATGTTGCGGAGCGTGTGCATGGGAGTGATTGGGAAGAAAAGAGGAGAGGCATAGAAAATGCCAATGCTGATCTATCAAAGTCTCTATATTTACTTCGTCGCTAAATCTTCGGCAACTGTTATGCGTAACAGGCCCCACGCTCATGAACATCCTCCTATCCTAAACTTTTGACGATTGTCTAAACGAAATCTAAATCATCCAAACAGAATCATATCTGCGGTAACAAAAATCACAGTCGGGCCTGCGCCTCAAGGGCCACTCATCATGGGTTTAACCGACTTCCTTAACGCAAAGAGCGAAAAGTTTGACGAATTCGAGAACCCCAATTCGTTTGAGAAGGATGATTGTCTTTCATGCCGAATCATTGGTATGTCGCACAAAGACCAAGGGAGATCTCTCTGACTAACAACATCCACCTAGGCTCTACGGCTATGGTATCACTGGGTGGTTACACGTACTTTTCTGGCATGAACCAGCTCAAGGCGCAACGGCAGGTCATTGAATTGAGCAAATCAAAGTACAAATATGGCTCACGGCAGCTGGGAATCTTGTCATTGTCGGCCACCCTTGTGAGCCTGGGCATTTATCGAATGTTCAATTGAACAATTGTTCATCACATCATCATCCCATCATGGTCTCTGCTTCAAATCGTCAAGCTTGGATGCATTATTGAGCGTGTATATTATCAGCAAGAACATGTTTAATCATGGCCCTCTCATGTGAAATAGGCACTCTGTAAATCATCACTAGGATAACATGTTTAATCATGGCCCTCTCATGTGAAATAGGCACTCTGTAAATCATCACTAGGATAACGACAGTGAATATCCCGCGGCACTCTTGCCCGTCGATGCTATCTGCCACCAGGGCCATCTTCACTATAGAATACGTACAAACAACAAGATGCGCGCTATGCTGTGTCATGTCCGTCATACGAATGTCTGGCTGCTGCTCCAAAAGTCTATCTTGATCCATGGTGCAAAATGCTGGAACGCTGGAAGTCCACTCAATCACAACAATACGCATCCCTCACGTCATTCGCCCTCGCTTGCTGCTACCAAAGCCATCCCGTGCTCCTATGTTGGAGATGTCGAAAAAGTCGGGAAATTGCAGTTTGCGTTTCGTGCCGGCGGTAAAGGTAAATTCTCGATTATTCGACTTGGAGCCATGTCGTTGATTGTTGTGCCTGTGTGGAGTGCGACTGCCACGGTTGTTGACCACCTCTAGCCGAATTGGCGCTGTGCTCGAACTAGTTGGAGTTGAGTGTGGTTCCGGATAAGGAGTGTTGGCCGTCTCGTCAGTCTGCATATCGTCCGACGTAGAGTTGCCGGTGAATTGGAAGACTGGAGGAGGAGCTGTTTGATCTTGAGTAGGTAGTGTCTGTACGGGTTCTGTCTGAGTCGTGATCTCGATGCGAGGCGGTTCCGAGTGAGTTCTCGTCTGTTCTGGAGATCGAGCCCTAACGGGTGAGAGGCTTCGAGGTCTTGTGTCAGCGTCACTCTTGTCGTCGTCACTATCATTTTGCTGATGTGAAGATCCATCGTAGCGCTCTGTAGCCCACTGCCGCACACGCCATCCCTCTCCGTCTTGTAAGCCGAGGTTTTCTCGGTCAAGGAAACCGAGAAGATCTTCAAGAGCTTCTTGGTACCCGGCTTGTCGACTTTTTGCCTGATCTGTAACTGCTGATTTATAGAGGTTTGTAACGGACAGGGCAGCACTGCGGAAAGCTTGAAGTAATTGTTCTGGTGGTGGTTGACGAGAAGCGGAGGATGAGGAAGGTAAGGAGGTGTTGAGAGATCTCATCGAGTCCATGGTGAAGGACTCTGTGGCAGTATATCTCGGTCACTTGAGACTTCAAAGACCCACTGCCAATATTGAAGCCGAGTTGGCGGTGGGAGTCGGAATGGTGAAAATGGAGTTTGTTGTGTTGAGCCAGAGCTTTGGCAGGCGGGTGCAGAATGACAAATTGACTGCAAACGACAAATGAACAGAGTGGTTTCCTAGGTAGTAGTGGTAGTGAACGGCTGAGACCTGATCATAGAATTCTATGATCAGACTCTATGTTCCAAAAATGATGTTTCAGTGGAAGAGAACCGAGAAGAAAGAAAGACTCAAGGCAGTGAAGCCGCAGTTCATCACACAAACGAGGTCAAGTCAAGGTGGGGCGACAGAAGTTGATATGCGAAGGCGCAGGACCAGAGACTTTGAAGTCCCACGTGACAGCTTTCCACAGCGGGACAGATCAAGGAAGCTTGGCCGAACGACACGTCTGTCACGTGCACCACATGTCCATTCACCCATTCCCCAATGTCCCGTACGGCCTAAACTCCTTCAAGAGCCGTATGCCAAGATATGTCCCCTCTGGCGAATCATATCCATCTATCGCGGGACATGATCGCGTTCAAATGTGGTTTCCCTCCTCATCTTTTCCTCGACACCAGTCTGTCGACTTCTGATTGAGTATTCCAACGCCGCCCGTCATCTTCAGGTCTGCACGCGTCGACGACATCGCCTCATTACTGGACATTTTTCCTTTGGTCATCTGCACACCATCTCAACCAACGCGTCGCGGCTCTGAGAGAACTATTCTGATTAACGGCCGTGTAGGCCTTGATTGCCCTTCATGGCCCCTTCCAAGTTACGAGACCCCGACTCCGAAACCTCCTCCATTGCCGATGTCTCCATGCAGGACGTCCACCCTGCGGTGAACCCGCGAAGACCTTCCTTTGGTCACCTCAACCGCTACGTGGACGAAACTCCAGATTATACTGATTCCGATACAAACCCCAACACCACAGCGAGCAGCGTTGCTGGCGACACTTCACATCTCGATGGTCGAAAGAAGAGATCCGAGGCATTGCAGTTGCGCAAGAGCCTTCTGGGCAAGAAACACGGACAGCTGGACGAGTCTAAAGAGGATGACACGATCCGGAGATTCAAATACCTGTTGGGCCTAACGGACCTTTTCCGACATTTCATCGAAACCAACCCCAATCCTAAAATAAGAGAGGTTGTGGTCGAAATCGATCGACAGAATGCTGAGGAGGCGGCGCGCTTTAAGAAGGGAGTGTCCCGGAAAGGTGGCGCTACTGGCAATAAGAGAAAGACCGAGCAAGAAGAGGACGCAGAACTGCTACGTGATGAGAAACGTGGCGGAGCCTCTCAAACCATCTTTCGTGAATCCCCATCATACATTCAAGGAGGCGAGATGCGTGACTATCAAGTCGCTGGCCTGAATTGGTTGATTTCCCTCCATGAAAACGGTATCTCAGGAATTCTCGCAGATGAGATGGGTTTGGGCAAGACCTTGCAGACAATTTCCTTCCTCGGGTACCTTCGACACGTCTGTGATATTACCGGGCCTCATCTCATTGCTGTTCCCAAATCAACCTTGGACAATTGGGCCCGCGAATTCAAGAAGTGGACTCCAGAGGTCGATGTGCTGGTTTTGCAGGGAGCCAAAGATGACCGACACGCTTTGATCAATGAACGATTAATCGACGAAAAGTTCGATGTTTGCATTACATCGTATGAGATGATTTTAAGAGAAAAGTCTCATTTGAAGAAGTTTGCTTGGGAATACATCATTGTTGATGAGGCCCATCGAATCAAGAACGAGGAGTCCTCCCTTGCACAGATCATCCGCATGTTTAACTCACGCAACAGACTGTTGATCACGGGAACTCCACTGCAGAACAATCTACACGAACTATGGGCACTTCTCAACTTCTTGCTCCCTGACGTCTTTGGAGACTCTGAGGCATTCGATGCTTGGTTTTCCGGCCAGAATGAGGATCAAGATACCGTGGTCCAACAGCTGCACCGAGTTCTGAGACCCTTCTTACTTCGTCGAGTCAAAGCTGACGTCGAAAAGAGCCTCCTACCCAAAAAAGAGCTCAATCTTTATGTCGGAATGTCAGAAATGCAGGTCAAATGGTATCAGAAAATCCTCGAGAAAGATATCGACGCAGTTAATGGTGCTGGTGGTAAGCGCGAATCCAAGACCCGACTACTCAACATTGTGATGCAGCTGAGGAAATGTTGCAATCACCCTTATCTCTTCGAGGGCGCCGAGCCAGGCCCGCCATACACTACCGATGAGCATCTGATCACGACTTCGGGTAAAATGATCATTCTCGACAAGATTCTCACGAGAATGAAGGAAGAAGGCAGTCGTGTCCTCATCTTTTCTCAGATGAGCAGAGTCCTCGACATTCTCGAGGACTACTGCGTGTTCAGAGGTCACAAGTATTGTCGTATCGATGGTGGTACCGCTCACGAAGACCGTATCGCGGCCATTGACGATTACAACAAACCTGGTTCGGAGAAATTCGTCTTTCTCCTCACCACTCGGGCTGGTGGCCTTGGTATTAATCTGACTAGTGCCGACATTGTGGTATTGTATGACAGTGATTGGAATCCACAAGCAGATCTGCAAGCAATGGATCGTGCACATCGAATCGGCCAGACAAAGCAAGTCAAAGTCTTCCGCTTTGTGACTGAAGACGCCATCGAAGAGAAAGTCTTGGAGAGAGCCGCCCAGAAGTTGAGATTGGATCAACTAGTCATTCAACAGGGCCGAGCACAAATGCAAACCAAGCAAGCAGCCAACAAGGACGAGTTACTGAACATGATCCAGCATGGTGCAGAAAAGGTTTTTGAGACCAAAGGTTCCACGGGAGCTCTCGACGACATCGATGAGATTCTTCGACGCGGAGAAGAACGAACCGCTGAAATGAGTGCCAAGTACGAAAAGTTGGGCATCGACGACCTTCAGAAGTTTTCGTCCGAAAATGCATATGAGTGGAATGGAACCGATTTTACCTCGAAGCACAAGAAGGATATTGGCGTTTCGTGGATTAATCCAGCCAAACGAGAGAGAAAGGAGCAATTCTACTCAATCGACAAATACTACAAACAGGCCTTGTCGAGCGGTGGACGGCCTGCCGAGACCAAACCCAAGGTCCCACGTGCGCCGAAACAGGTCAATGTACACGATTGGCAATTTTTCCCTCCCGGTTTGCAAGAATTGCAGGACAAGGAAACGGCGTGGTATCACAAAGAGATCGGGTACAAGGCTCCGCTCAGCGAAGGCACAGAAGAGGACCAAAGCGACCGTGAAGCAGATCAGAGACTTGCCCAGGACGAGATTGACAATGCTGAGCCCCTAACCGAGGAAGAAAAACAACAAAAGGCCGAAATGCAGGAACACGGGTTTGGAAACTGGAACCGTCGAGACTTTCAACAATTTGTGAATGGATCAGCCAAGTTTGGCCGAACCAATTACGAAGGCATTGCAACAGAGGTTGACAGTAAAGAGCCCGATGAGATCGAAGAGTACGCCAAGGTGTTTTGGACGCGCTACACTGAGATTGCAGACTTTGACAAGCACATTAAAGCGATCGAGGCTGGCGAAGAGAAACTTCGAAAAGTGAACTTGCAGCGCAAGATGCTCCGCAAGAAGATTGAGATGTATAGAGTTCCACTACAACAACTCAAGGTCAACTATACTGTTTCGACCACCAACAAGAAGGTTTACACCGAGGAAGAAGATCGATTCTTACTGGTGATGCTGGACAAGTATGGCATTGATGAAGAAGGGCTCTATGAAAATATCAGAGATGAGGTACGGGATTCGCCGTTGTTCCGTTTCGATTGGTTTTTCCTCAGCCGCACCCCGGTCGAGCTCGGAAGAAGGTGCACCACACTCCTCAATACGGTGTCGAGGGAATTTGGAGAGCCCGATGAAAAGCTCACCAATGGTCATGGAACGGGCAAGGGGAGAGGACGAGATCGGGACGAGGATGAGGACGAAGAGGTTGAGAGCGAGGTTGCTCCTGCAAAGAAGAAGGCCAAAAACGGGATTGTGGTAAGTCGAGTCTCGACCAGCAACAGAAGACCCATGCCGCTAACATCCAGTGATTAGAATAAACAAGTCAAAGCCGTCAAGTCGGGTCGTGGGTCCAAGAACACTTCACCAGCGACATCACGAGCACAAAGCGTCTCATCAACGACAGCCACAGGCAGAGCAAAAGGAAAAAAGAAGTGAATGATTATAGATGGCGTATGGGGTTGAACGGTCTTTGAGGCCACGGCGGACTCCTCTAGCGATCTCCGACATAGGACCATGTTGGGCGTTTGTTGTGATTACGACACATTCTGACGAAAGGTGGCGCAGGGGAAATCTCCATGATGATCCTCAAGTATTGTTAATGCCCCAAGGTTAATAGACGTGGATGGCATTAAAAGGTTGGAGAGGTCGATTGTGAGAACGATGAGACACAGGAGTGAGAGTGTGAGACTGGGAACATGTACAACAGCAACGGCCAAAAATGAAGGACAATGACATGAGCATGGACACTTCCAGTCATGGCTAGTTTAGTAATTGAAACAATGCCCAAGCATGGCTATAATCGAGTGTCTCCGAGTCCAAAGTAACCGAAGTGGACAATTGAGATGAGAAGGGGGGCGATTCTTATCCTCGTGTTCAATATATGTCATGTTTAGTGGCTGGGCATAAGAACATGTCGTTATGCTGGGTCCATGGCGAGGGTCTTGATTCGCAAGGCCCATCAAAGTCCAAAAATGAGATGAGAATATGGAACGACGTAGGGATTGAGCATCCGAAGAGACTAGAGTCGAGATATATAAATACGGTTGTAATCGTTTCCGATTGACCTTGACCATTATTCCAGTACTTGGTCCCATCCAGCCGCAATTGAACTGCCTCATATCAACATTTCCTAGCCGACATTTACTAGAAACTACAAGTTCTCATCCAGCAAAATGTCTATCATCACTCTCCAAGGAATATCCATCATGCGCATGGCAGCGGGTGTGACGGCGCTGGTAGCCCCCCGACAAACCGTACCACTATTTGGACTGGCAATGAGTCCCGAATCAAGCCTACTCGCCCGTCTATTTGGATCTCGAGATCTAGTTCTAGGATACTACCTATGGAAAACAGTCAAAGATTGGCAACATATCCCTCGTAAGAGCATTATTGCCCCTTCTGGCAGTGAGAGGACACCATTGGTTGGGAATGCAGGCAAGAATAACACCGATGGCCAGGCTGGGACTTTGGTGTCGGTCGACACAGTGGCAAAACAGAATGTCATTACCGCAGTCTGGCTCGGTCTGGCTTGTGATGCCATTGACGTTGTCAGTGTCGCTGCATGTGCATTGGAAGGGAACCTTGACATGCCGGCAGTCGTGAGCATTGGGGCTGCGGGTGCTGTCTTGACTTCCCTGGCAGCATGGCAGGTATGGGCTCTACGAGCGAAGGATGGGGAAGAGGCTTAGAGAGATATGGCAGAATTGGGTGACTCGAGTCGAGACGATCAGGGCGAATTGTCTTTGTTATAGCTCGACTCATGAAGGAGTCATGGCGGCTAAAGTTCAGGGAATCTCACGCCGATAATTGAACAGCTTTTGAACCGTTGCATAGTCTCCACGCCAGTGTTCTAAATGAATGGAGCTGCACCGAGAAGAAAAGAGCGAAGATGTTGCATAGTAGCAAGCTCAAACCCGTCGTGAAGGTGAGTGTTTACAATCAGGTGGGATCCTCTCGTCCCAGAAAGCTGGATGGCTGCCTCTGCACTTTCTCGCGCCGCCAACATGCGGTCGAGCATGACGCGTGCCAATAACCAATACTCGGCGGCGTTCTTCCAAAAACCTGGTCTCTTCCATGAGTCAGAAGTGGGCTCTGCCTCAGGTTTGAGGGCCGCGGTTGCAATGATAGGGTCAAAGAATTCTTCATCATTTATCCGCAGCCTGTGAGTCCACGTCTCTTCCCAGGTATCGATGCCTACCCGCAGCCTGGTAAACTGCTGATCGCCACCAAGCAAGGGATCGAGATTGAACAGCACAACGTGAAATGCTGAAGTGACGCACCACAGGTTCATGAAGCTCTCGTGGGCGAGGTTGTTGAGGAGTTCATTGCTTCGACTTTCGTTGAAGAACATGTTGATCAGGCGGTACAGCGAAAAATCGGCGGGCCGTGCAGTGTGGCTTAGCCAGTCTCGTAGAATGGAAAAGCATTCTTCTGCCGAAGACGCTTGGAAACATGCTTCGCAAGATGCCGGACCCATGCGCAATTCGCGTAGGCCGAGACGTGGAGGCATGTTGTTGAAAATGACGAAGGATGTGTCGAGGAGGAACACCCACATCAATGTTCGAATCGACTCCTCAACTTGGATGAAGCTGATCCAGTCGAACTCTTTGAGGTCAGTGGGAACGTCATGTTTGATGGAGGCCATGTCGAGATCTCGACAGGCACTAATGAGTTCTTGAAATCGAGAGCGCCGGATACGTGTTCGAGCTGTCTCATCACCCTCCCAAGTCTGGTAGACACATGCAAGACATGCTGCTTGTATCTTCTGTATCTGGTAATGGGGCTGCTGCGATTTTGATGTCGAGTGTAATTCGTTGAACACAAGATCCTCCACGACGTCAAACCAGTAGCGAGCATCTTGGAGGTTTTCGTAACAAGACCCGATCACCGTCATGGCAGCAAGTAGAGGGTAGGCAACCTTTTCCGGGTTGAAAGAAGGCTTGTGTATCACTGGACAGTTTGGATGCCAGCCAATCCAGTACAAGTGAAGCGCAGAAACGATGCTCCCACTGGAGAAGAAATCGTAAAACCGTTCTTCAAGCACATCAGACCAATCTGAGAGCAATGTCCTCCGAAGTCCCGAGTATATCCCCCAAGTCATATTGAGTTTTGGCATAAAGGCCTGATGTGATGGTCGGACTTCTGGTTGAAGATTGATGTTGCAGATCAAGTTCTCCTGTCGTGGCTTCCCCATGTGCCATAGGTTTCTTTCGAAATCCCTCGAACTAGACCAAATGGTACTTGTCGGCCTGAGGGAATCGAAGAGTTCAGACGAAAGTTCCACGCACGCCTCGGTTGAGATTGACTCAGAGCTCCCTATCAAAGGGTACTGCATTCCAAGTTGACGCATCCCCAGAACAAAGCTTTGCAAGCTATAACGGGCAGTGTATTGGATCAAGAAGGTAAAAGACGATGTGGGAGGCAATGAGGGAAGAAACGATTGCAATGCCATGTCAATCGTCAATCCTTGATGAGTGGATGTCAGCGATGGAGGTTCGTTGTCCTGTATGTCGACAGGAACATCATGACGCGCCGGGATACCACGAGGCTCGAGTTCACAAGTCTCCTGCAACATTTGGCTTGTCCTAGGAGGTATTGTTACTAAGTCTCGCGAGGCAGTTGAGACACACGCGCCGTGTGATGTCGTCGGGTGTCTAGAAGTTAGCACTGGGTAAATACAAACATGACCCGCCCTTCGGCAAGCCGTGCAAGTAGGCTTTTCGTGACCGCATTTCCTTTTCTTGCTCGAACATCTCTGGCATGCCCGGCCATCTGCAGAGGTTGGAGAATAAGGAGAATATACGCCGGAGCACGTCATCGTATGTCTGCCGAGGACGTCTTTGCGTTTGAATAGTTTTCGACATTGTGGACATTCATGTATAGATTTTGAAGAGTGTGAGAGCAGGTGTCGCCTCAGATGTTCTGGTCGACTGTAAGTCCTGTCACAGGCATCGCAGGTCATCTTTTGGCCCACAAATGCCATTTTCCTACAGCGCACAAGACTTGGTCGTGTTCTATCACTTCATGGACGAATCTATGAGTCCGATACCACGAGTCGCAGCCCTCAGGAGTACAGCCAGTCTCGGTCAAAGAAAGATGTTGAATTACAGCCAACTGTAGACCTATCGAAAGGCCGAAACGCCATCTCCCGAGTCCGAGATGAAACCCCCTGCCCCCCGCTGCCCCCCGCTGTCCCCCCCCCTCGCCCCCCCCCTCCCCCACCCCCGCTCCGCCCCTCGGCCTCCATAACTTTAAAGGCACTTGTTGGAGTTACCGAGTCATCCAATCCCTTCTACTGCAATTCGGTCTTTTGTCATCCACAGAGCGATTTTGAGACATGTTCAAAGTTGTTAGTGCTGAGCGTTCGTCCTGTCAATGGACTGGCTGTCCCAAATGTTGTCATGTGGACCCTGGTGGCGCAAGTTTTCTCCTCGACAATGCTCAAACTCCCTACTTGGTCTCGTGAACAAGAAATGATGTTAATGGCTATGAAGGCCCATAAGCCAAGGCAATAAAATCTCCATTCTTGGACATTTGTGATAGACCGACCGGTGTTTGTTTGGATCATTTCGACCTTCATGTCCAAGAGAGTGGTCGAAATGATCCAAACAAACACCCTTCGGTCTATCACAACTGCCGAGCTTCGACTCAAGGGTAGAAAGCACTTCAAGAGCTGTGCCAGGTCCCATTGCCATCTGAGGGCCATTGTACGGCTTACCGTGCGATTGAAAAGTCTGGTAGATGCTCAGGGGCCTTGTGCCCTAGCGAAGTGCTGAAAATGCGATGAGATATTCCAAACTTGCTTCTGAAGCCATCATATGTCTCCAGCTCTCGAACCCACCCCCACAACTCCGAACCACCGCTGGTCCTGAACGCATATTAACCAAACAACATGTCGGCAATTCAGCTTCGGATGCAGTCAAGGACAAGGAACCTTGTCACGCTCTACGGCACTTGTCGATTCACATCGATATACCTCCTGAAGTGATGTTGGCCTATAGGTACTAGGTACTTATGAGTTGATCCAAATTCAATCTTGCCATCTCTCTCTCTCTCTCTTTACAGAGTAGTCCTTGAATTCATGTTCAGCCCGCAACGTTGACCATGAAGGAATTAGCACCTGACGTTCGCTCTTCAACAAAAGCAAGCACTGCCACAGAGATCCCTGGAGCCGGAGATCTTCATGGCCTCAAGTCCAAGTGGCCCATAGCGAAGGATCTCGCGGGATGCAATCTACCCTGTCGATTGGAAGGAGAGGTTCAGGACCTGGTAGTACTTGGGGATATTCCCCATGCGATCGACGGCACCTTCTATCGCGTCATGTGCGACCCATTTGTACCTCCTGATCCAGGAAATGTGCCAATAGATGGTGATGGAAACATATCTGCCTTTCGTTTCTATCAGGGGCGCGTCGACTTGAAGATGCGATACATAGAGACTGAACGATATAAGCTTGAGCGGAAAGCGAACAAAGCTCTCTTCGGCCTCTATCGCAACCCATTCACTCATCACCCCTGCGTTCGCGCAGCCGTTGATTCGACGGCAAACACCAATCTGGTGCTCTGGGCTGATAAACTACTGGCTCTAAAAGAAGTGGCTCTTCCTTATGCTGTGGATCCAGACACCTTGGAGACAATTGGCTACGATCCATTTCAGGGCCAGGTGAAATCCAAAACTTTCACCGCACATCCCAAGATCGATCCTTTCACAGATGAACTGGTGTGCTTTGGTTACGAGGCCAAAGGGCTTGCGACCCTGGACGTTGTTACCTATGCTTTGGACCAGGAGGGTAGCAAGACGGCCGAGTTCTGGCTGAAATCGCCCTGGTGCGCTTTCATCCACGACTGCGCCATTACTCCCAACTTCATCATTCTCTTCCTCTGGCCATTCGAGGCAAATGAAACACGCATGAAGGCCGGGAGGCAACACTGGGCCTGGAGTTACGACCGGCCTGCCACTTTCATCGTCGTACCGAGACGTCGAGGGGCTGCATCAAAGTATGGATGGAAGCCAGAGGAGCATCGTGTCTATTTCTGGAAAAATTGCATGCCCATTCATACAGCTGGCGCGTGGGAAACTGATCAAGGCAAGATCTACGTCGAAAGTTCGAGAGTCTCTGACAATGCCTTTCCTTTCTTCCCCTCGGAAGATGGTCGAAGTCCTTCGCCAGACACTAAAGCCGACTTTGTGCGCTGGGAGCTGGACTTGACCAAGCCCACCGACACTATGGTGCCAGACCCGGTCATCATACTCGATCTACCCTCTGAGTTTCCCCGGATCGACGAACGCTTCATGACGAAACAGTACGAGTGGGTCTTTCTCAATGTTGTCATACCTGAGGACTTTAACGGAAGCAAAAACTTTTTCGGTGGCCTCAACGGCCTGGCTATGCATAACAACAAGACAGGGAAGACGAGATACTTTCGTGCCGGTGACGACTCCCTCTGCCAGGAGCCCATCTTCATTCCCCGATCTACAGACGCACCAGAAGGTGATGGTTGGATCATGAGCTTGGTGGAGAGACGGGCGGCTGGGAGATGCGATGTTGTCATTATTGACACCGCCGAGTTTGAGAAACCCATAGCTATCGTCCAGCTGCCATTCCATGTCAAAGCACAGATTCACGGGAACTGGGTACCAGCTGCAAGTCTCCGAACAAGAAAGAGCCTGGTTCGCGAGATAGGTCAAGTCAAAATCAGCGGGATGGGTGCGCTCGAACCGCTCGTTTGAAAGTCGTTTGAAAGCCCTCTACGCATGGCTCGCCAGTTTGTTTATGTGTCAATGGCTCATTATCCCCTCTTGGTGATAGCAATCCCGTATCTAAAATTCTGCTGCCAAGGTCCTTGCTAACTATAGAACTCTTTTTCATTCGTTGTCGGTACAGGGATTCAGTGACTCATGATCCACAACTTCTCCGATTGATATGTCAGCGAGTGATTTCAATCGAGTATACTGTGTAGCACTCGTTGCTCTCGAGTCTTCAAAAGATTAGAGAGAGCATAATTTTGCAGCTTGGTCAAGTGGACGTTGGAGAATATAATATAAATATCTGAAAGAGCCGTCTTGACCAGGCATTGCAAGGAAATACTTGGAATACTTTATCAAAGCAGCCATTTCCTATTGTCACAACCACAATTCGAATTCGTTTCCTTACTCATATCTCATCATGGCTTGTCAATTCACCATCAACGTTGTACTGGCGCACGACCTCGATGCCGCACGACACGGCTACGAATCCATGATTCGACACCAACAACAACGACAACGATTGGAGAAACAGCTCAAGCCACAAGATTCCAAGACTTGTCTACTATCTGAGTCGGCTTCTGACGATACCTCATCTACCTTATCCAATGCTTCCACCCTCACAAGCCTCAAGTCGGCGTTGAAATGGAGAAGGAGGTCATCTAAGCACAGTGTTGGCTGTTAGCCTTGTGTTACGAGAAGCCTTGGGAATGAATGAATGAATGAATCAGTGATGATCTTGACTTTGGCTTCAAGTCTACTTTCTTGACGAAACTAAATCACATCCTTTGTTTGTACACGTTTGGCAGGCGTGGGGCATCAGACAATTGTCACCAAGTTCAATAAATGGGTTTGAATATGTTCCCGCCACTAAACTGATTGTGACTGCGTGAACCTGGATACACCACCGGGCATGTCTTGCGCATATACATCCCCCTTCTAACCCCTCCCTCTTATTTCTCTCCACATCTCCGATGCTCTTCAGAACTTTGCCTTTAATTCCTCGTGTAGTTTCTTCAGGGCATCCATATCTGTCTTTCCCGCAGGCCAACCCACTCCTAGACCCTCTGTCTGATTAGGTTTGGGGATGAAATGGAAATGGACATGGTCGACCTCCTGGTGTGCTAGACGGCCATTGTTCTGGAGGATATTGTAGTTCTCTGCGCCCGACGCCTTTGCGATCTTCTTAGCCACCGACAGGATCTCGACGAGTGAGTCGTCAGGGATATCGGTCAATTTGACGCCGTGGTGTTTGGGGATCACGAGCTAGACGTGCGAGAAGAAAAACGATTAGTCCGAAGTTGGACGATTTAGGGAATAGAAGGGAGCTGGTCCAGACGGAAATGGACTTTGGATCTGGACATGTCGGAGTGTCATATCATAAACGTACAGCATGCCCTCGACTCAGAGGCTGAATATCAAGAAACGCAAGAACTTTCTCCGACTCGAAGAGTTTGAACGCCGGGATGTCCCCTATACAGTGGATGGATCGACCATGTCAGCCTCAAAACTCATTGCTGTAGCAAAAGCACAATCCGTACTGCGAGTGTACATAGCTCATACGACCATGTCTGGTTCGATCAACTTGCGGAAGGGGTTGCTAGTGCTTCATACCTTTGATGATCTTGCAGAAAATACACGCTGCCATCTTGCTCATTAGGCTTGGGAATACTGCTTGCGGGTCCACGTCCAGGTCACCGAATATCACAGCTGCAATAAAGGCGTGGTGGTCGGTTAAAGATGGTTAATTAAATCCCAATGACGTTTCCTGCGAGGTTGCTTTCATCTGATGCTGGTAGTAAACAAGATGCGGGGAAGCAAGCACCCGAAGCTTTCACCCCTCACCACTGGGTTCGGACCGTTGCACGTGATCAACTCTCGAAATAAAATCAAGTCTATATATTTAATGTCGCGCCAAGACGAGTTGGAGTGGGACGAACTATTGCAGAATCCATTTCTTGCCTTTTACCAGAGATGGCCGTGGTTACGCCCAAAATACTCCATTCATCAATCTTTGGAATATTATCGTAAATCTCCTCAAGAGAGGCGTGTTTACCTTTTTGCTCTTTGTACTTCATGTCTGACCCCACCAACTCGCAGTTGGGAAAAGTACGACGACTGTTCGAGCCCGGCACAGGAAGAGTTTTTGCACCAATATTTTTGCTACTGCTACAATCCCAGAGTTTGATACACGGTTCGACCTTGGACCACCTGTCAATTCTATGCCCTTTCTCTGATCTTGATTCTTGCTCGTCCAAAATGTCAATCTCTGATGGCCCCAATTCGCTGACATGTAGTCCTTCCTTGCCTGAATTTCCCTGGATCATGGAGTCCTGGAAAAATTTCAAATTACGGATGCCATCCTGGTAGACCTTGGTCCCAATCCTCCCAAGAAGGTTGATTCCAAGGTGTTACACACTTGACCAACTGGGGCGGTTTCGACTTCCAAACAATCTTATTCTCCGCCGCATCTTGTCTTGTTACCCAGCTGGAAACCGTTCCGTGCTTGTCTTTTGCCGAACTCGCGTCTTCCATCTGATAGGCAACGTTGACACTCGGAATGACAGCAATCTTTCCATGTCCCAACTTCCAAAGGTCCTTGCAGAGATGAACCGGCTCCCCAAGTCGGCATTCGCCGTCGTGTTCCGATCGAAATCTGATCTTTTGCTCCAAGAAAGGGTTGGCTGTCATCACCACAGCACCATTCCAACATGAAAAGACTTGGAAAGGATACCCCAGACTGTATCTATCCTTAGTCTTTCTATCATTCCAAAACAGGTTGGATGAGAAATCCCACGAGCCAGATTGAGGGACCTCAAAGAACGTTTCGCCATTCATCATGCGACTGATCCAAACATCATAGAAGAGGCCTCCTCCATTGATCCAATCCATGGCGCAAGTCATGTCAGCTTCCAGGCTCTGTCGTTGATAGATCAACTCCAGGATATCCTCTGTGCACAGTGCCACGTCATTCAAAAACACAATGACTGTATCAGGATCGAACAAGCCCGGGTCCGAGGTGAGGTTGAGAAGGGCGTAATTTCGGAAAGAGGCAAGGGTTACAATGCGATCACGCCCTTCGCCAAACGGGTCATCTTCATTGCATTGGAGCTGATAATGTATTCCCAGATTGGGAAGTTGAGCCTTTAATTCTTCCAGAACCTCATATGTGCCGTCAGTTGATCGACCTTCAAGAATGGATAAGAAACAGTTTGCGGGCCCCAAGTAACGGATGGCGTCGACAACAGATCCGAGCAGTTGGTCGATTACATGGATTGACTGGTGTAGATCGAGGGCAAAGAAGTATTTTGGCATGGACTTTGAGTTATTGACATGTTGAAGGGCCGAATATCTCTCCTCATCCACGGATGGACATTGAAGTTCGGAATGAAAATGACCATGACTCATGATAGATTCGACTATCGCAGTCGACTTGTCGAACATCTCGGGGTCACCAGTTCTGTGGTCGCATGAAAATGGCTCTGTTCGGCCCTGCGTTTCGATGGTTTGACTGGCACCTTTTGAGCTCTTGACAATTTCGATTCGAGGCTCGTTACTATCATGTCCTGAGACACGGGATGCATCTAGCGGGAAGCTGACATCGTCGCTAGTACTAACATTAAGTGTCCTGATTGTCGAGATCAGAGGCTCTTGCCAGAAGTGGAGAGTGATGAAGATCGCGAAGATGGAGAGGATGAGTAAAGCACGTCCGAAGAACAAGCATACTCTTTTCATCGTTTGTGCTGGACGTAGTCCTAGGAGCAGTGGAAATTAGTAGTGGATGTGGGATGCAACAAGGAGTACGTTGAAAGAAGAAGAATGTGATATGCAATGTGGCGTCTGAAGGAACACTTTGATGTAGGGTAGGTGCGATCATGTCAAACATCCTAAGGTAATCACGACGGCCCTTTTCTTTCTGGGTTCGTGCTTTCCTCTGGACGAAGTGCAAACTAGCAAGAAGCAGTTCAGCCATGGCGACAGGTTGTGAGACTGTAACTTAGCTACTAATAAAAAGAACAGCTAATCATGACATGCGTGACTTAGGACTACTAGGCGACACGCCACCCATCAAGGCCATGAGCCACCTCCGTAGAGATTCAACTCCTTCTGGATGGTAACGGTAGCCACTTCTGCCAGACCCTTCACTGAGGGGGAAACGCAACATTGTCTGGAGTTGGATCTGCCCGCTGTACCACTCCAAACTGGAGGTTGCCAGCGTCGAAGATTGCATAGACGCACTTGAGAAAAGTGTCTCCCCAAATGTCAAACAGCAAATGACCTCGTGACTGGATGCCGCCATATATCATGGTCCCAGAATCATCGACTGCGGTGAAGCCGATGTGTTCCTTTTCAATGGTGAAGGGTTTGTCTCCAACGAGAAATTCCAGGACAGGAAAGTGCTCCGCAGGTGTGTCTGCTGGATAAACCCATGCGTCGATCTTGGTGTCAAAGTGCGCACCAGGTATGCTGGAATAGATTGCTTCACATACACTGTCGGCCACAAGCATCAACGTAGTGCCAGTGTCAGCAATGGCCGTATTTCCAGGAGTATTGATGACTTGGCCATTGACGATCAAGGATGGTGCTGCAAACGACCAGAATCCTTGGCTATTGTTAATAGGAACATAATGAATCTCCTGACCAGATGCTTCGATGACGGACTGATCAATTCCGCCAAATGTGTAGAAGGATTCGCCCTTGTCAGGATCGGCTACGTCCTTGAAAGAGCCAAGATAAGCGGTGAACAGAGGAAGAGGGATATCTTGTCTGGCAATCATGTTTTCCAAGGGGGTATTGACCTTGACCGGTCTTACTGTGTTGATGTGTCCAAAGGCGAGCCCGAGTAAACCGTGGCAATCTGGCTGAGTTTGCAAAGAAGAGGAAAGTCTGACTGCAAGCTCAATATGCTGACTGTCAACCACGATGTTGCCAATCTGAAGCCGATCTGTACCAACTGTTCCCGACGCTGAAGACTGATCTCCGTACGTGATGGTCCATGAAGCACCAGTGAGGGTTTCGAAGGTAGAAGATTGCGTAGGATCAAAGAAGACAGCACCATTGGCACGTCCTCTGTCCTGGACTCTCTGTGGCAAAAGAGTGCTCCAAACCTGTTGCGGTCAACTCCTTAACGATCATAGTAGGGTTTCAAGGGGATATTCTCACCCAGTAATCAGCCGAGCCGGAATCGAAATTTAGGTGGAGTGTTTGGGCCGGGTTACCAATTTGGACTGGACAGAGGTAGTAGGCATCTTGATGAGAGTCTTCGCTTGGGCTGGCACAAGCAGTCAGAGATTGAATTCCACTGCCAGTCAGAGCAGACTCACATTGGAGCTGTAGAACCATCATCTTGACGCCTCACAAGAGACTGACCTCGACGCTGGTATCGACCAATGGTTGGCTCAATTGAATATTTGTGCATCATGTGGACGAGAGACTTGGTTCCATTGGCGACATAGCTTGGATTTCGAACAACAGGGATTCGGATGAGTTGTGAGGCAGCCATGTTGATGATGAGCAGGTAAAAGAATATAGAGATACTAGATAAGTTGCAGAATCGAGTCAGAACCAAAGGCCGAATGGGCAAACCAGACTGGAGACAAGGAGATATTTGTAGATGGACATGTTGAATTGTTGGGCAACACAATGGGTTGCAGCCTACCTGAAAGACATCGTGCCTGCCATGTTGGAAATGAGTCATGGACCAGGAAAGGGCGACGAGCTTGACAACAGACGGGCTTGTTCTTGGGCTTTCGTCTTGGGAGGGTTTTGGAAGGGATGAGGCGGTGGCACAAAGAATGAATGAACCTTGCAATGGACTGCAACTGCAGTAGGTGGAAGATGAAAAGAGAGATTTGGAATCAGAGTTGATAACACTCCTGCCATGTAAGTCACTTGAGTCGTTTTTCTTACAGCCTGCGTTTCCACATGGCACTCATTAACCACCAACAGCTGCGTCTCACAGATTCACTTTCTCCGTTGACTCGATCTTGTCAGGGTACTTCAAGTCGTTCTGTTTCCTGACTTCGTCCATCACCTCCATGATGAGCACACTCTCGTCTAAGCCTTCGAACTTGCCTTCTTTTCGTCCCTCGATGACAGCACGTGCTGCTTCGTCTGCCTCCCAGAACATGCCATGCCCAACACCTTCGTCGTGATTGTCACCAGAAAATCCGTTATACCAACCACTGCCCTTGCCTGGGCCAGGTTGTGGCCATTCCTTGTCTTCCGTCTCTCCACTCGAGAGAATGAGTCGGGTCTTTGTTGGACGGTAGATAGGTGGCCAAACTTGGATCTCGCCCTTGGATCCCATGATTCGAACTGAAGCACCCGAAGTTCCTTTGTTATCAGTGTCTGTCGTTGCACGAAACCCTGTGGTAGCTATGCCATGAGCATCATAGCCCTGCTCCGCCGAGCGTGGAAATGTCAGAAGGATGGATGTGCGTTCGTCAACCCCAGTGGCTGGGTACTTGGTCATGGAAGAGACGACAGTGGGAGCTTTTCGATTTCCAACAGGTTGGGTTGTATACAGCGTCTGGAACACCCATGTTAGACTGTAAATGCCTAAATCGAGCAGCGCTCCGCCGGCCAGATCAGGGTTGACCATGCGATGTTTGCCATCTGCCCAAGCGCCCTCGGGATCGTTGGCCCGGGAGTTGTCTGCAAACACGCGGGTGACAGGCCCAATGCGCCCAGAAGTGATGGTGTCTCGAACGTAAATAGAAAGTGGAAAGTATCGAGTCCACACAGCTTCCATGAGAAATAGATTCTTTGAGCGTGCAAGTTGCACAAGCTGTTTGGCTTGTGCTGCATTAACCGTGAAGGCCTTTTCACAAAGAACATTGAGTCCTGCTTCCAATGCCAGCATTGCATTTTGATAGTGGTGAGAGTGGGGCGTCGCAATGTAGACGATATCAATCTCGGGGTTCTGAACCAGTTCTTGATATGAGCCATATGCTTGTGCTGACGCAGGAGCGCCGACCGTCTTCAGAAACTGCTCGGCTCGTTCTTTTGACGAGCTGCTTGCGGCTGCAACAACGGTATGAATAACATCATGTACATCTCGAGTGGCCGGGTCAAGTAGCAGATCTTTGGTGAACGTCTCGGCAATCAAGCCAGTGGCCAGGATCCCCCAGCGAACAGTCCTTGGGGCCATGACTTGACCGAGGATTTAGAAAGTGATTCAAGGCGAGTGACGGCGATTTAGTTCTTTGTGCAACAGTCTAAAGCTTACGAGTAGGCCGTATTCCAGGATAATACAAAAATATTTATCATTTCATTATCATTGACCTTTCCTGTGATGCAATGGCAAAAGTCAATCTTCCCTGGTAGTTCACCAATCGTTTTTGTCAGCGTGCCATAAGTTTTATTCTTGCCTGGAGAATTGCTGGGCCTGACGCGCCCAACAAAGCTGGCATTTCAGGTGGGGAGGTCTACTGGGCGGGGCTGAGGGGTGTCAGCCTCAGGGTGTGCTGGGGCCTTTAGAACCCAAGGACGCCTGTTAGAGCCTAAATACTGGCGGTGCCCAGTCAAATAGCCGGAGGCTATGCCGTTGAGCGTTCTCAGTGTGAGTATGTTCGCACACTGAATCAAGGGATCCATTCTCAGATCCAAATGCTCAATGGACTGTCTTTGACAAGATCTGGACATGTGTTGCCGTGGTTCTACGACCTTCAAGCGCCGAAAATGCAAAAACGACCTTGAGTGGTATCCTCGTCTTCTGCAATGATCCAGCGCCAGCTGACCAATCTTGCGACTTCTGACTGATTTTTTGTAGAAGGTGGCAATACTTTGGGCCCCATGTCGTGGTTTTGCCAGATATTGGTTAAAGCGTCTTGCTTAACGTCTACCTCACCAAAGCCATTCAACCCACAACCCCTGGGCTCAGAATCTCCAGCATGCCGCGAGTCGTGCCAGCTTGCTTAGTGCGGTCGACCTCTTCAAGAACTCGTTCGCGAAGCTTCATGACCAATTTAGCCAACAGCTCACTTTCCGCTAGGTGTTTGGAGTAGAGGTCCATGATGTTCATCGCCAGCTCAACGCAGAGTGGAACAAAGGTTGAGTTGGGAATGTTCTTCCAGAGCCAACTCATGATCGGTTGAAGAGTCTGTTCGGTGCGATTTTCCAAGGCTGCTTTCAAGGCAGACCGATATCGAAGATTGTTGAGAAGTGTGACCACGGTCATTTTGTCTCCGCTCCTCAAGGCGAGATCCAGGGCATCTCCGTAACTGCCCTTGTGCAAGGCCTTTTCCCATTGAGTCTGCTTCTTGACCTTTGGTCTGCTGTCCCCTTGCACAATAATGTCCGCATCCTCGCCTTGGTGGTCTCTGCCTCTTAATCTCTTCTCGATGCCCCGGGTCCTTTTCTTGGCTTGTTTCTTGTCGTATTCTTCGATTGTCCCTGCAATCAATGCATCCATTTGCCGTTGCCGTTCCCGCTCCTTAATTTTCTGTTCCCCGGATAACCTGGTTTTGATACTGAGCTGGCCACTGGCCATTCCGACCACGACATGCTTCTCCTCTCGTGGACTTCCAGAGCCAATAACTGCCAGAGACAGTATGGGCGATGGGTATTTTGAACCATACACAACGTTCCACCCAGAAGTCTCAAAGACTTTCATGTGTCCGTCAAGGCCGCCGCTCACAATTCGGGTCCCGTTTGAAGCGAGAGCCAGGGCAGTGACCGTTTTCTGGTGATTTTTGATGATGTGGCGTGGGCGGCCAGCCACAATATCCAACACAGCTACCTGGTTATCTGCCGCGGCCAGGATTGTCGTGCCAGAAGGCATGCATAATACATCTTCAACGGCAGCAATATGTTTGAAAGTCATCACGGCAGAAGATGGCGTCCGAGGGTCCCATAAACGCACTGTCTGGTCGTAGCTACCTGACACCAGTAGATTACCCGAGTTGCCAGGGAGAAACAACCCGGTGCGGACATAGTCTTGGTGGCCGCGGAAAGTCTCGACACTAGATTCGCTGGGAAGGTCCCATAATCTGACCGTTCGATCGTCACCGCAACTCATCAGGCTTGTAGGATCTCGTGGGCTCCATTTGACCGTCTGTACAGATTGTTTTTGCTCTTTCCACGTCTTGAGGATAGCTCTCGAGTTGACGTCAAAGACCTGTATGGCACCTGTCTCGTCACCTGCCGCCAGGACCCGTCCATCGTATCGAACCTCTCCACTGTAGGCAATGTCGTCGAATCGTGTAATTGACCGAACCACCTTACGGCTTTTTGTAGAATATAGCTGAACTCTAGCGCCAGTGGTTACTGCAAATGTATCGGATGTATTCTGGCTGGTGGCGCTGGGCGCTGGTTGAGAGATATGAACGACGGCATGCTTGGTTGGTGAGGGAACGCTAAGTGGTGACTTGAAACTCCTCCAGTAGATCTGTTCGGGGGTGAGAGAAGACAGCTGCGCAGGTAGTTTGACCTGGGCAATGGGCTGCACCTCAGCCGCCATTTTGAAAGTTGGATCACAAACCGATGGTGCTCATCAGACTTTGTTGTTTTATCCTCGGTGGAAAAATACTGGACGCAGCCTGGATGGACTGTAGTTGGAGTTCTCCAGGAAATTTTTCTCGGAGAAATCTAATCTCCGCACTCTGGTCTGATCTTACTACATTTAGCCAAATTTCAAATCAATCAGCGTCGAGACACGTTTTTCAAGAGATTCACTGGAGGTACATTCCATGTATGGTATCCCGAGCGTCTTGAGAGAGCGAGAGCGGTTATGATCTGATGATAGCCTTGCCATATTTCTCGATTGTGGCGTAATCCCGGCTACATTGACGAACGGGGAGATCATGTTCAGACTTCTAAAGGTATTATTGATTCAGAAGCAGGCAAATCTGCACACTGCAACTAGGTATATATTTTGTACAATGTGCATCGTCCATAACATTCATGGTAAATGGAGCTCGTCCAATTTACCACAACAAGTGCTGGCGCTGGGCAGTCACTTTACGATCGGGAAGCTGAACCCATAGGTTCTTCCCGGACAATCGCTTCCTCAAAGCCTTTGCTTCCTTTTCCGCCTTTTGTCGTATCCGCGTCTTCTCCTCTTTTAGAACCACACTGATACCGGTATATGGCGGTCGTAGCATATTAGTCCGGCCTCTGGCACGGAATTCAGGTTCCTGCCCATACGAGCCTCGATTGATCCAGGCTTCAGAAATATAAATAGTGGATGGATCGGGTGCGTGGCCAAATTTGTGAGATTTGATGGGGGTTTCGTGCGCAAGAGGGGGGGTTTGGGATGGGTCTTTTGTGAGTCTTCGGTCGATTTCCTCAGGTGAAGTAGGACTAAGGCCCATGCCTCTGCTGGTGATGGCCTCGTAGCGGGCTTGTAAAAGATGCTCCTTAACATCCTTGGCCACCTTCTTCCCCGAAAAGCGCATCTGAAGAATGGCTTCGTCCAAAGACTTTCCCGCGATTTGGCGAGCAAGTGGAGCCAGCTTCTTCATCGATGTCTTGAAGAAATGGGACTTTGACAGATGAGATTTTTCCGTGCGTGCAATTTCCATTTCTTTGGTGGGCCGGCCGCGACGTCGAATGTGACGGACGATCATTTTTCGTTGCCAAAGTCGGCGAGCTTTTGGGCGAGGATCGAGAGCGAAAGCCATGTTCTGTTGATTTCGTCCTTCGAGGCCGACTTCGAATGCTTTTTTGGTGGGGGAGGGGGTCGCTGAAGGAGTCGCCGAGGGTGCAACCGCGCCCCAGACGCTATTGGAGGCAAGACTACCCTGGACCAGAGCAGGTTCTTCTAGCTGTTCCACGGCTTGTGCATTCCCCTTTCTACGACCTTTGGGGGTACTTGACTGGGATGTGGCGGAGACTGATGTCGATTCTTGGGAAGACAGATCTTTCTTGCCCAAGAAGCGGCTAATGCGATCGGTCAGAGCTTTGCGAGGAAAACTAGCATGATAGGACCGAGTTAAGGGTGGGTAGAGGAACACAAGATTGTTCGGTTGAAGGACTAAGAATTGTTAGTTGACAAGATTCTTGATTGGGTACGGGAGCTGGAGGATGTCATACCTCTGCAGGCATGTCGCAGAGCGACCTGCTGCGAGTTCATGATTGGGATTGAGCACCGAAAGAGCTGAGTTGATGACGGTGGTGTCGAAGCAGCAATGGATTGAAGCTGTACAAATATGCAGTTTTACAAAACGGGAAACTATCAAGGTACAATGCGTGGCCGTAGTGATACGGCGAGATATTAAATCACCAAGCGCCGTCACCATTGTCAGTCACGGGACCCGTGACCCCCTCACTTTTCAGGCAGAACAGCTCCTCTAAAATTGGTATTAGACATCTTCTACTGCCTGGGATTTCGAACAAAAGTAATGTTTATCAAGATATTCGTTTCTTTCATGCGTCATCGATTCGGAACCCAGGCTAGGAAATACGAATGTACGGAGTACTCCAACTGAGGAATTGCCAAAGTCCAAGGATTGGGTGGGCCGAGGCCAAATACAGGAACCGGCTTTTATTTTAGCTAAAGGCCTGGAGGCCCTGAAGGCTTTCGACCCTGTCGCTAGCGCCTGAAAAGTGCCACCAGTTCCTTTAATGCCGTTCCTTAACCTAAAAATGGGCTTGAACTTGGATAATTTATCCGGCTTCAACTTCTCATAACCTAACTAGTACCTAGTAACTACGGAGTAGTAGTAAAACAACCGTGCCGTGCCGTTGTTGCCTCGAGGGAAATGCGAGAGCGCAGATGATTCTTCTACCCGCGTCAGCTATCATCAATTCAACGTCGACATCATCCCAACACCAAGACGTCTCTCTCGCGCGAGCGTAAGGAGCCTTCGAGTCTTCTTCCATTGTCAGATCCCTTCGCCGAGTGTATAGCATGGCCGGCGAATCCCTCGTTTCTTTTCCTCGATTTGTCGGAACAAAAGCATGGCCAGCCTGGATTGAAAGCATTTCACAACATCATTAGCCACTTCTCTCAACGACCCTCTATCTAACCCCTCAGCCCACGCGATCATGGACATCAACTCTCTACTGTCTCCTTCCGAGACCCCTCGCGCCTCCTCTCTCACCCCTACCATGGCAACCCCGCCAGTCGTCCCTTCTTTAAAACATGCCACCGTCCAGCGCGCAAGTTCTTCAACCTCACTCCCTCTTTCTACCAATTCTCCACTCTCAAGAGCCATACATCCTCCATCTAGCATCCCACCTCATGTTCGCAGTCCCTTGCAACAACCCGCCCACTCTTCTCCGCTCATCAGTCCAGTTCCTGCCGGCACTGTCGCTCAGCTCCTGCCCAGGACGTCCTCCACTCAGAGCATCGAGACTCTGGCCGATCTCTCCTCCTTGCAAACACACCAGACTGCAAGAGTGACTCCTCCAATCATGAACAGAGGGGACTCGACCGACAGCCAAAAGTCCTCTGCAGGACCATATCCCACTCTCCCTGCTGCGGCTGCCACTTCACAGCCTCGAACCTCTTTCGACATTGCCATGGTCGAGACTCCCAATAAAGAAGTCTTGCGGTCCGATTACTCCAATACCTCTCTAGGGCTGGACGCTCAGCAACGCCTGGCGGTCCTGGTCGCGTATATTCAAGAAACCCCATCCTCCTACGAGGCTCATACGGAAATCATCAAGATCCTCCATCACGGCTTTGTCGATTATATATATCCCTCCTCAGACCCCAACGCGCGCCGTAATCCGAAATCATACGATCTCTTACCCGAGCTGCGCCGCGCTCGTGAAAATTTGGATAAATTATTTGCGGTAGGAGAAGAACAATGGCTCGATTGGCTTCAAGACGAGAGCATTCTGGCAGAGACTGCAGACGAACGTGTTGCTGTTGTGGACAAGTGTCAGCGTGCTCTATCCGAAGAACTTGGTAGCGTAAGACTCTGGATAACATACGGCGAATGGGTTTTACACTGCTATAAATGGGCCCAGGATGCACTCGGTGATCCTCAAGCCGAAAATCTCGATCCTGAACGCTTAATTGGCCGTGAGGTCTTTGACTGGAAGACAGTCTTGGACATCTGGGCTGATGCCGTCCAGCACACAAAGACAGATATGAGCCGGAGCCACGAAGTCTGGAACAAATTTTTCCGCGTGCAATTTGGCGAGCCCGGCACCGAACTCGCCATCAACGATGCTACCGAAGCCCTCTCCCTCTTCCAAACAAGACTTCGTGTTCCCCATGCTCAATGGCAACATACTTTCTCTGCATTCTCTAGCTTTGTTTCAGCAAATGTACCGCCAGATGAGTATGAGGCAGTGATGGCATCTACCCTCAAGGACTCGGCCATGGCAAAGCAGATATTTGCAGACCGAGACCATCTAGAAACTGCTATCGAGCAAGCAAAGAATACCGGGGACCAAGCTGCTGAATTTCAAGCTTTCTCGGCCTACATAGAATGGGAGAGAGCCCAACGCGAAATCTCAAAAAATGGGAAGGCCAGAGGGAAGCGCAGCCAACTGGCCATTTCTACAGCCGACTTCGATATGATTGCTGCTCTCTTTCAACGAGCCGAGCTGCGTTTCCCATCGTCCTTGCCCATCTGGGAGGAACACATCGAACACATCCTGGCAAATTCAAAAGCCGACGCATTGCCTCTCCTTGCGAGGGCCACCAAACATTGCCCTTGGTCTGGTTCACTCTGGAAACAGTATTTGTTAACATCCGAACTCATGGAACAACCTTTCGACGCAACCGAGACGATCAAACACAAAGCCACTCAGACGGGATTGTTGGATGCCGCTGGAATTGAAGAAGCCCTGGTTGTCTACGATGCATGGTGTGGCTATCTTCTGCGTCGCACGAGACGTCCAGATGCCACCGAGGAAGATGCTGATGTTGCTGAGATGGGGATCCGGTCTTCAATAGAGGCCGTGCATAGCCTCGCTTCGAAGCTCGGTATGTCCTCCGATTTCGACTCCACTTTTCGCCTGCAGCGAAAACATGTTGAGTATCTCAAATCTCAACACCGCCTAGACAATGCAAGAGCTCAATTCGATGAGATGATTGCGGATTACGGCAAATACTACAAGTTTTGGCTACGTTTCTACGATTTTGAGCTCCAGAAGAACGTCCAGATGGCCTTTTCACACAGCAATGGCGCTGACAGACTCGCTGCAATCTCATCGGCCCCGTTCGCCGCTGCCATCCTCAAACAGGGGCTCCAACAGTCTCAACTTGACTTTCCAGAGCCCTTGATTGAGGCTTTGATCAATCACTGTGAAGACTATGAAGACGCTGAGGAGTTGCAAAGTGCACTGAGCCTCGCACGCAAGGTGCGGAAGACACTCGCAGTCAAAAGACATCAAGAGGCACTTGAAAATCCGGTACTCGTCACTGATGCACAGGCAGCAGAGGTGCAAGTGAAGGACGACTATGAGCTCACAAACGGGCTGTCAATTGGAAAGCGCAAGCGCGACAATGATGTCGATGACGTCGATGAAAAGACCAAGCGGCGGAGGAGCAATGATGATTCTGAACAGCCGCTAGAGTCAATCGATAAACCTGATCAACCTCTCAAACGTGACCGCGAGCATGCCAGTGTATTGGTTCGTGGTATACCGGCAAATCTAGCTGACTCTAAAATCAGGCAATTCTTTAGCGCTTGTGGCACAGTCAAAAGTCTTAGGCCGCTGCAGGACGAGGATGGCAGTGTCGTTGTCGAGTTTGAAGACGCCGATGCTGCTAACTATGCCCTTTCTCGCGATGGTCGGGATCTCGATGGATCAGCCTTGTCCGTCACTCTCAACACAGGCTCCACTCTTTATGTCACCAACTATATTGCAGCAGCAGACGAGACATATATCCGAGATCTTATGAGTCCGTACGGAGACATCATTAGCATCCGCTTCCCGTCGTTGCAGAAGAACAAGAGACGCAGATTTTGCTATGTGGACTTCAAGCGGCCCTCAGCTGCCCAAGCTGCTACCAAACTCGACGGAAAAGAGATTGATGGTCTGGCAATCACGGTCAAAATCTCAGATCCGTCGATCAGGCAGCCTCGTACAGAGCAAGCCGATGGACGAGAGCTCTTTGTGGGTCATCTGCCTTTCAAAGCCACGAAAGAGGATATTGAACAGGCTTTTTCGTCTTTTGGCACCGTCGAGCACGTGAAACTCCCTCAAGACCCCAAGTCGAGCTCACGAAACCGTGGCATCGCGTTTATCACGTTCGCGACGTCGGACGAGGCACAAGCGGCTTTGGCTATGCATCAGCAGGATATCCTCGGGAGAAAAATCACCGTCAGTCAGGCTACCGAAAAAGGACCCAGAGGTGCCCGGTCCGTCAACGGCAGATCAAAGTCACCGTCCGTCGCGGTCGATGACAATGATAAAGCCTCTGCAAAGGGTTCTCTCCAGGCTCAAGAAGAGTCAGAAATCGAAGACCGACGAAGTCGAACTATTGCCATATCCGGTCTTCCTGACACTATCAATGAGAGCCGGCTGCGTGTACTGGCCGAGAAATTTGCTCCTGTTCGCAAAGTGATACTCAAGACAAATCACCAAGGTGCTCTAATTGAGTTCGAGACGATCGCCGATGCCGGTCGTGCTTCGATTGAGCTTGAGGGGTTCGAGATCATTCCAGGTCGCAAGATCCGCATCACGACGGAAAAGGAGATGCTTCAACAGCAAGCCGAGCACAAGCAAGAACAGTTCGTCAAGAAGGCTACCGTTGGTCATGCACTTTCCAATGGACCTGTGAGAAGGCCCAACCAGCCGGGTACAAGAAAGGGTGGACACCTTGGACAGCGATCTAATATGGTGTTTGCGTCGGCCAAGAAGGAAGCTGAGGCTGCAACAGATGAGAAGCCAGGGGTCGGAAAAACCAACGACGATTTCAGGTCACTAATGAATAATAAGACATAGGAAAGGGGGGAAACATGGTGGTAATGGTGGAGCCAGAGACAACCGGACGGGAACAAAATGTGATTTATGCCATGTGGTAGGGGCAGGCCAAATGCGACGATGTCAGGGAGGGCCTACTAAGACGCATGGCGAAATTAGGGATATGCTTCCTTGTGCAGACCTGAAAAGGGGAGGGAAAGGTTCGATGACCTAGGAGTCTGATTGGTGTGATGTATGATAGATCAAAAAAATTCAGGTGGAGCTACGTGTCATCAAAGATGGTGAATCGTATATTGAAACTTGAGCTTTGCAGATGATCTTGTGGCAATACTGGGATCCCACATGAAGCTTCTTTTGTTTATTTCTCTATCGATACCCGACCCATGGTTAAAGGCTGGGGCCGCTCCCCAATATGTTATGGAATCCTCGAGACCCAAGTGTTCGTTCTCGTGATTCCTGTTGACTATAGATGTATCAAGGCTCAATTAGAATACTGACTGGGCGCATAGAGCTGTCTTGGAGCTAAGTAAATTTTCGCCTGCTTCAAGCAATAGAGACAATCTGCGAAATGGACCTGGCTCAATCAAAGACATCCACCGCGTATCTAGCGCCTCTGAGACCCTCCCACCATTTTTTGGCGTCCGCCTCGGAGACAGACTTGCCTTTCTTCTCTTCTCTTTCGATGACCATTTTGACCACCACATCAGAAATTCCCCGACCCAGTGCCGCACTACCGCAGATGTACGCTCTGGCGCCCTGGGCGAACAGGTCTCCCACCACTTCTCGCTCCACCCACAATCTATCCTGCGCGTACTTGGCACCCTTGGACTTTGCGGCGTCCCGGCTAAAGGCATAGAAAAGCTCGACTACGCCATCCTTTTCCCACTGTTCGAGTTGTTCACCGTAGAGGCGGTCGTGATCAGGGTGCCGACACCCGATGAAAAGGAGACTGGGCCCGATCTCGACGCTTGGATTGGTCTTTCGGGCGGCAGCGATGCGGGCAGCCCGCTCTTCTACAAAGCCGAGGAATGGTGCCAGACCTGTGCCGGCGCAAATCATCATGACGGGAGTCTTCAAGTCCGGTGGAAGGTGGAATGTTGCGTGGGATTTCTTGATCATCAACTGGACGGCAGTGCCTGCTGACAAGCCTTTGAGATAATTTGTTGCGACGCCTAGGTGAGGAGCGTCGGCGTCAGCACTGTTGGAATTTGTGACCACGGAGTACACGATCCGTGCTTTCGCCGGGTCGGTTAGCGGCGACGACGAGATGGAGTATTGTCGAATTCGCATTGGGGGTAGCATGGAGAGGAAGACGGGGAAGGGCAGCTTGATGTCGGGATGTTGTTCGAGAAGTTCGAGAACCGAGAGGACCGAGTTGGGACCCGGGGTCAAGGGTTCGTTGAATGTACCTTCTTTGCTGTAGTGGGCAAGCACCGTCAGGTTCTTGCGGCTGGCCGGACTGTTGAGCTCCAAGTATGCAGAAAGCACGTTTGCGACGGAAAGACTGACTTCGGTGGGGATGGTAGTATGAGCGCCCTTGGCGAGCTTCATCGTGGCATCCCAGGGAAGGCCAAAGTGGCGGAGGACTCTTGCTATGGTGCTCTGCGTATTGATGGGGAGGAGTGCGAGGTAGTCGCCAGCTTCATAAGTGAGGTTGCTTGGGAGCTTGAACTCTGTTAGACGCTTCTCGGGAGTGCCTGGTGCGCTGAGAACCTCATTTCGGAGGACGAGTGCATCGTAGACGGTCTGTCTGAGGTGTGAGGCACGAGCGCTGGTGTTGATTTCCACATCGAGACCATCAAAGGCTTGGTCTGGTGTCGAACCTGCAGCAAGAACCGGCCACAGCTTCTGGTCTTGCCAGGAGTCGAAGTCGTCGAATACTTGTCCTTGTGCAACATCTGATTGACCACGCTCGGCGATTTGCTTGGCGCCCTTCCTGGCGAGTTCTGAGTCAATGAGTTTGGGAACCTTTTGATAAGTGGCAACCCAGTCATGGTGCCCACAACCAAAGACGGCAAAATGAACGTTTTTGAGTGATTGGGCATCAACTTTCTCCAACCACTCAACGAAATCATTGGCGTTGTCTGGGGGATTGCCTTCGTAGCTGGCAGTAATGACGATGACAGGACGATCGGTGGGTAGTTTGTCGACAGCGTCATCTAGAGGTTTGATGGTTGCAGTAAATCCACGACTGGCGGCGGCCTTGGCCAAGTTTTGAGACAGGCCTTCACAAGTTCCTGAATTGGAGCCATATAGCACGAGCATCGGCTTTCCAGACGCCAGTGTGGGAGCAAAAGCTGTAGACCCCGATGGCTGTTTTGATGAGCTGCTGGTGCCATCGTAGAGTTTCCTCTCAATATTAAGCGCATCGATTCCCTCGCGGAGGGAAGCGTGCACGTAAAGTTCGTCTGGTTTGATGGTGAGAGTGCTCTTCAGATGCAGTTGATATGAAGGGTCATCAAGCTTGAGATCAAAGTTCTGCAAGATCAGGGCAAGAGCCATGAGGGCTTCTTGCCAGGCAAAAGGGCGACCTATACATGCTCTGACACCGTTTCCGAAAGGCTGCGAGTCTGTCAGTGGTGAGGCGGGCATACTAGTACATGAGACTCACCTTCCATGCGGCAGGGGGCAACTTGGTGAAGTTTTCACCATACATTCTCTCGGGCTTGAATTCCTTGGCATCATCTCCCCAGACCTTTGGATCTCGATGAATTGAAGGAAGATGGCATATGAATGACGCGTCTGGTGGGAGTAGATACTTACCTCCCCCAATCACCACGGGTTCGGTATTTCCAGGGAGCGGAATGCGTGAGAAGGCGGGAGCGGTTGGCATGAGTCTGAGAGATTCTCTCAGAACGGCCTCGAGATATGGGAATTTGGTCAGATGGTCGACTCTGATGGGGCCAGTACCCAGAACGGTATCAACCTCCTTTCGGGCTTTTTCGAGGGCGTCGGGGCTCCTGAGGAGGTAGAAAGTGGTGAAACTCAGGAGTCCCGAGGTGGTTTCGTGGCCGGCAATTAAAAATGTGATCATGTTGTTCATGATACTTTGATCTGTAAGCCGTTCCTTTGTTTTCGGATCTTTCCCAAACAGCATGGCGTTCAGAAGATCCTTCTTCTCGACTGGGTTGGCGCGGCGATGGTCGATGACCTCCTTGGCGACACCTTTCATGAATTCAATATCCCTCAGGAACTGGCGTTCGGGCTCTGGGTTCCACCATGACTCAAGGCGTGTGCGCGATCCCTGCTTTCCGGCTTCGACGAGAAATCGAACCATGGCATCGACGAAGGGATGCAGGGACTCAGAGTAGAAAGAATTGAAGCGCTTTCCCATTGCGCAAAGGGCAATGGAATCGAGGGTCAATCGCGTATAATCATCGGTGACATGAATCCTTGCTTCGGGGCCCACTCGAGCCCACTTTGAAATGAGTTGGGTTGCGATATCAAGCATTTCGTCAACTATGAGTGATCAAGGTCAGAGACTAGGAGGCAGGTAGAAAGACTGGGCGAACAAGCATACACATGTCATGGATGCCAATAGGGCCAAAGGCAGGGACTAATGTGCGATGAGCCACATCCCAATTGTGTTCTCCGAGGTAGGCTGTGAATAGTCCATCGCCGACGCCCTTACGAATTCGCTCGACGGGGCCAGCGACGGCTTTGCAAAAGCGTTTGTCGTCACATATCTCATCATTCAATTCGACCGAATTGATGACATATCTGTCTCTGCCAAAGAAGGATAGTTTGTAGATTTCACCTACAGAGTAAGGTTACTAGGGAGCCGTGGTGACGATGGGAGAAGGATAGTAATTACCATATGTATCTGTTAGACGTCCAAAGCTACCCTGGGGATCATTGGGATCAATATCTTTGACGTTCCCTAGCACCGGCAGGGGCGGGGGTTGTGGGATTGGGGTGGTCATGGTTTATGTGAGGTGTGGTGAATGAAGAGACCCGAAGTCAACACCCGTGGGGTGATGGAGAAAGAATGAATGTAATATAGAGTAAAGCACCAGGGTGGGCTGGGTTACTTCCCGAGAACTTTGAACGAGCCAGGCATACTCCGTATATGGCTTTCTTTTAAATGGTGGAGGTGCTATGGGTGCCCATTCAGAGGCAAGCTAATGAAAGCGAGATAAACGCCATGGCCTGATTTATTGGAAGTTGGGAAAAGGCGTTTTGACTTCCTGTTGACCTGAGCGTCGTTGCACATGTGCAGCCAAGGGCGGCCTGGACGGGTATCTTTGACGGCTGTGGCGTGTGTACGTACGGAGTACTACGTACTATACCGAGGAGGCATGGCACGACATGACGGTAGCTTTGCGAACACGAGGTGACATATCTCGGTAATCGGGCTCAATATCTTCATGACCGAGGCTGATCGTTGGATTGGGCATGAAGCATGATGTAGACACAGAGCAGAAGTGTCTCAAGTGTCTCATTTTTGAGGACAAAGACGCAAAACTGATTAAACGGACAAACTATTGGCCCGATGCATGACAATAAAGATGGCAGGAACCCTAGAGCCTCGGGACTTGGCAAGAGCCGTTGGCGCAAAGCCACTAACAGGACTAGCACGACTAGCACGACTAGCACGAACTAGCCACACTAAGAGCTTGTTGCTCCAGAATTTCTCCATATTCTGCGGATTCAAACGCCGTACAAGTGGCGAGTACTCTGTACAGAGTTGTTTCTTTTCTTAGTTAAGGTTTGCCATTTAAGCGAAGGTCCATTTACGATTAGTCTAGCGATTTTCTTTGCATGGCAGTGGACACTGGCCTGACACAACACCACGACCTCGAGCTGGCGCTGAAGGAGGCTGCAAGTACGGAGGAGTAGCACTCGTAGGTACTCGTACCTGATACGGAGTACTTGTGGTGGCTTTGTGGAGTTCCAAACCCTGAACCTGGCTTTGGGAAGGTGCATGCGGCGCGTACTCCGTACTCAGGATGCAGACTTGCCACCAATGCGATTCTCTCCATTCCTCAGCCACTTCCAAGTCGGTGACCATGTGGCACCGCCCCCCTAAGGTCACAAAGGTTACAGCAACGAGGTATTTCATCTTGATTGATGCTTCGTCATGAGTTCCAGTATTTCCATGTACTACAACCGAGATAGGCATACCTCAGGTATCAAGTTACCTAAGCACCTCCCAGGCCAATTATCGGTAGAGACACGTGGTGGGACATGACCAATCCTGGTGCTCTCATAACTTGCACAAGGCCTTTACCACAAGCGGTCGATAATTGATGTATTTGCCGAGAGTCCTTTTCAGTATTTCATTGCTTCTACTGACACGGCAGATCTGCTGCATGCCCCATACGCCAGCGACAGACAACTACCTAGTTGCCAATCATATGCGCCTTCCTAAAATTCATTGGTGAACCCAACCTCATTCGCTTGCCTCTATTACCTCAAGCATGGTCTGGAATCAACTCGTAACCTCCCTCACTAGGCAGGATGATTGCTGCCAATGTTATCGACACAGCACTCAAGGCTTCAAAACTCCACGAAATTGTACACATAGTCCAGCTCTTGTCCAGATACCAGCCGGAAAAGAATCGCTCATCGTTCTCGAATAGATATGCCTATCCAGGTCAGCCGGGGTCCAGTGCATCTCTGCCCCTTGTAAACAGAGCCATTACTCACCATCAGTGCCATGCCGATCGCTTGTACAACTGCAGATAACACAACCAAGATCGTGAGGACTCCCCACCCTTGTTCTCGTTTCTGCTTGCCCCCTATCAATAGTATTGCAAATGCTGCAATCGTCATGCCCTCGAGCACTACAGCAAATGACATGAGAAATCCAACCGACCTCCACATGCTGCAAAAGTAACGATCTTCGCCATGACAGTCGGTGTAACGAGGGAATGGTACGCATTGGAGGGATGACATGAGGTATGGGTCAGTAGCAGGAGGGAGGTTGGTGTTGGAACATCGGCGATGAAGCCCGTAGGTATAGTGTATCGAGGTCCCGTGGTTCTACTTCTTATCAGCTTAGGCCATGACCCAGACGCAACATGACCAACCGTGCTGCCATCGTAGGCAATCCAATTGGGAACAACAATGGAGGCAATAGTGAGCCCCGAGGCTGTTGAATAAGAGTTAGTCATCTCGTTCAAGCGGCAGATTCCAAGTCCAGCTTACAGGCTAGAAACACCAGCAGTGCGGCGGAGAAGACAATACTCCGCGTCAACATGCCGGTGTAATTATGTACACTCCCGCTGGGGACGAGTGAAAAGTCGGCCATCGTCCCCGCCACGCCAACAGGGGCGTTGCAACCACAAGTGTTGTGATTCTAATATGGTGGATTGAGGGTGGGGGTGATGGAAGAAGAGTTGCTTGCGTTTGGTGTCGGGCGGCGGCCAAAAGCGTGAGACCGCGATGCCTGGGGCAATCACTTAGTTCGACGATGAAAGGATCTCTGACGTCCTATCGCTAAGCAATCGCGTTTGATCGCAGTGTGCGGTCGGTGGAGGGGCGATTGCGTTGGAGAAGGCCTGTGCTTGTCAAACGCTCATATGCTGACTCACAGAACCTCGGTGCTGGTCAGTCGAGATGATAGATCGAATGCTGAAGATGGCTGCGACTGAAAACCTGGCGTCATGGCAATTTGGATAACAGCAGGCTGCACCACATCCTGCAACGAATGGCGGGTGGCAGCCAAGTTGGAGTTGGAGCTGGTCGAGGGCTGGCGTTGATTCCAGCTTAAACCCAATCTTGACTTGGAGGGGCTCCTCTTTGCCAAGGCCCTATGACGCTGGTTGTCCTCTCGTGCCTCTGCATCTCCAGCTCTATAACCTCGAGGTACCTCTGTAATAAGTACTTTGACAGTAGTAGTCCGTATGTAAATGTGTACAGAAGGCGTGAGTCTTCCTATAAAAGACATTGAAGACTTGAGTATCTGCTCTCTCGGCTTCATGTTCATGGAGCGCGGGCATAAAGAGAATAATAAGAAAGACTGTGCCGCATCACACATCTGGAAGTGCGACTACCTACCTACTCCGTAGGTAGCTAATACCAAATACCAACTTCCCTTTCTAGTTAATACCATCTACCTACTTCTCCTTCTAGCCACCTACATTTTTCCTCCCGTACTAAAATACAGGTCGAGTCTGGGGCACGGTAGGAGGTAGGTACCTCCCTAGGTAAGCATTTTTATGACTGCACCCCTGCGACCATACACGCGCATTCATTGTTGATTTTTCGAGGCTCGTCCACTCTGGAATGCCCGTATCTACAATGTCGGCATATTCCCACGCTCCACCGCAGTGACATCCAACAAGCTCACCGTTGTCCGCCTCCCGCCTCTTCATTCTTGATAGAAGCACAGCACCGGCCTTTACACCTCCAGTACCTCAACATCATGGTCAACACCACATCTAGCAGCTGAAGCCGACGGATACGGAACCAGGTCAGACGCCGCCAGTTAACACGAGTCATGCATGCGCCGAAGTCCTTGTCCAGATAGCTCTACAAGAACCAAGCTCTTTGGATCTTTGGCGCTCTCGCTTCGGCAGCTGCCACACTTTGATTGGCTCTACATTTTTGGGCGTAAAACAAACGGATCAAGTAGGCTGACAAAGCTTGCGTTGAATATACCTGAAGACAGTCGGTAGATCTCATGGGATCTGGCTGTGATGGGACTACGATGATGAGCCACTGCAATCAAACGCTCTAACGTCTAGGACGAACTATCTGATCCCGCGTTACTAGCTCCCTGTGTCTTTGCAGCCAGGGGTAAGGTTGAAACCGATCCATCATCAGCACCCGACATAAAACCAATTCTACCGCCAGAGACTGCTTGAACGACTTTATTAACCAGCTGATACAACACAACCAGAGCAGAGCACCAAAGGCAAGAGGAATGCAACACCAGCAAAATCAACTGCTATAAAGCGACATGGAGTTTTCCGATTATCGCTTCGTTATCCTGACTCCATCTAAAAAGCCCCGTAGTCAAAGGGCTATCGAGCTCGAAAGATCTTCGCTCCGGTCACATGCTGCCAGAGTGACATTTCGGAGGGCACGTTTGCAGAGACAAGTCTTGTACTCAAGTCAACAGCTGCACCCGGAATGCGGACAGTTATCTCTCGACAGGGAGCTCACGCGTGGAGCCGAATCAACATGTCGGCAGGAACTTGCCAACATGATTCCGGTGCGTACGCAACCACAGAGACACCAAGCAGACGAAGAGCCATCGCGTACGCCGACTGTACTCCCCATTCCCATCAGCACCAGCATGTTAGACCCATTTCTTCACCCTGCCATTGAGCTCACTGTGCCGGACAGACATTTGCTACATCACTGTATGTCGATTCAGCCAGTCTTATTCTCCACCGTAACTAACAAGTCATCCAGATATGACCCTGGTTCCGGACGGCGTCTTTGGCGTCGCGTCCAAAGAGCTCGCGCACATGATCAGAGAGGTTGTCATTAGAGACATCAGTACCAAGCCCTGTACTCTGGCCATGATCTTGTTCTCGGCAGAAAGCGGCGACCTGAGCTTCCAGCCAACCGATTGGGATCGCAGACAGTCAATCTTGAAACGACGTGGATATATCTATACATTGATTCGCCAGTTCCTGGCGGGGGTAGATGCGACGGGTATAGGTCTCAACGCCTTCACATTATCACTCGCAACTATGGCGGCGGCTGAGAAGCGTCTTGGGAATGTGGGTATATCCGAGATTCATATGCGTGCGGTCAAGAAAATCATCGACATGCATGGCGGACTCCACAAGATCCGTGAAATTGATTCGGCTCGAGCCATCATGTTGGTCAACATACTCATAGAAATTGGGACCCCTGATTTTCAGAACCAGCATATAATGCCCCAGACCTTGACCTGGCTTAAACAAAAGTTGCGCGCATTCCAAGCCTGGAATTATTGGCTCAGGCTGTGCGACATCTCGACTGCTGCACTGCCTGGTGACATTGAACCACTATCAACCGAAGCACACCGATGCCACGCCCGACACATGCAGCAATGGGCGTCTTTTTTCGACACCCCCGCGTTATCCCACTACATCACACCGCCACCTGGTTCCTTGACCACGGAGCAGTACCGCTCATACCTCGCCACCCTCTTCATCATCAACACTGCCTTCTGGGCCTTCCGCGACAGCTCTGCAACGAGTGCCGTTTACCTACGAGACATAGCCACCGCAGCGGCAAATAATCAAAGGAGAGAATCGGTCCTGCGTTGCTTTGGCACCAACTGTGCGACAGTGACGTTGCTGATTATGATGACTCATCACGCTGCCAACGTCCAAGGGCCAGACCAGACCACCGCGGATGTCTTCGCCGTCGAAGAGATTGTGGACTTTGTCGACCTCATGATGAGGGCATCGCCTAGGTCGAGAGATCTCGTCCTTCGTGCCCTGAGGTCGTATCTGTGTGAAACCGAGTTTACCGGTCTGACATATCTGAGCAATGCAACGATGGATGCACTAATGAATGAAATTCGTGTGACTGCTAACCAAGAGCCATAGAAGAAAGATGACATTCCTTGGAAAGACTTAAGGTGGGTGAGGATCGAGTTGACATGGTTGGTAGTATTTGCACGCTTGTCGTGCCCGTCTTGTCTGAACGATTTCGACTTTGTCTTGCGTTTTGCAATTTAATCATCCTTGACTTCGGTCCAAAGGGGAGGTCTATAATGGTGGAGGATTCTCAGAGTATGATCATAGCTCACGAACGGGGCTTCAGCCTTGTGATCCGTGCACCCAAATGAGTGCCCGTCTTCGTGTCGTGAGATTTGGTGTTCTTAGAGCCATGAGCCTTAATCTGTGAATGGGCATGACGGTCTTTGGCTGTTTCTGCAGTTACTGTCTTGGTGAACTCGGCTCGAGCTAGTTGTTCTTGTAGACTCTGGACAAAAGACAGAGTAGCTTCCTGGAGAGTTGGGTCTGGTGGTTGAATAGATACAAACGACATATTGTTGCGTAATGAGTACAAAAGAGTCGAAATCTGACGTCTAGTGGATATAAATCTATAAGATGATTGCAAAGGCGGTCAATGGATGATATGGACTATAAGTACTAATAAGCTGACCTATGGACTTGGGCGAGATAAAAATACATTATTTTACAGTAGTAATCACACATCACACACGCCGCCGAAACCCGCTCCTTGAGGACAGGATTCAGGCAACCAGCCACCAGAACTCTCCGGATATGCAAGTAAGTACTATGTAGTAATTCATCTGCAGCTCCAGCTCCAATCCCCGTCACTGAATAAGTAGATCCCCGAGGTCTCACATTGTTGTATTTATGTAAATCAATCCTGGTCCTGTTGCACTTGCACTTGCACTTGGCTTGCTAGGTTAGGCGATGCCCGGGCATATCCCTACGTACTTAAGTAGGTAGGTACCTAAGGTAGGTACCTAAGGTAGGTAGTATTGATAATTGCGAATACGACCAACACTGCACGACAGGAGTTTCAAAGAATTCCTCGGCTGCCTTAGGTACACAAGGGATGTAAGTAGATAGATAGGTATCTACAGCACTGTCGTACTTTGTCCTACCTCTACATAAGGTGTCTCCCCAGCCTGAAATCTGTTGTGTGTATGTACCAACATCCTAGAAGTAGGTATGTAGATCCGAATACGATGCCTGAATCTGACATTTATAATTCCTTAGAAACATGGGTGCCAGGCGGTCCCTGCATGGTCATCTTGGCGGATCATCTAATCGGCAGGTAGAAACAAAAATCATGACAGAAGTAATATGACATGTCATGATATTTACGGACCGTCCAGGATCAATCATCATGGTGGCTCATGCTGAGATGCAGTGCAACCTCACATGTCATCTGAACACTGTACTCGTGGAATCGAAGTCGATAGGTCTCATGCATACATGCTCGCCTTAACAAAGGATTAAGCTTTTGCTTCAACTTTCCCTCTACAGAAAAGGAAGCTGTATCTGTTGACACGTCTTATTCTTGTTCAGTCTACATCGTCGGGCGATGGTTCGACCTCCTTGTGTGTCGGTGCAGCAAGCGGTGTGACCTTTTCATTCGTCACTTCACTGACCACTGGAGTTGGAGGGTAGAAGTTGATCTTGCCATCCGTTGAGATCATGCCAATGCGGTCGTAATAGGCACGAGCTCGGATGTGTTTGTCCAATTTCCAGTAATTGTCGTTCAACCGCTTAGCAATCTCGTGTCGCTCCTCCTTGATCTTGCCTGCTTCGGGCCCAGATCCCGTGGCGATCCACTCAAACGTCTTACTTTGAAACTGCAGGACATCTGTGGTTCGTCGTTGCTGGAGGCTGGTTCGCGCAGCCTCATCTTTCATGGCGTCGTTCTCGCCGGGAACGGGCTCAACGTACTTATACTCCCATTCCTCAGCCCCACCGAGTTCCGTGATGATTTGCGATTTGGGAATAAACTCCTCTAGATCTTCCACGTTCGAGGTAAAGTGGACTTTGCCGGCGACCACCGGGTCCAACCATCCACGGATGATCTTCCAGATGCCTTGGAAGATCCACGGTGCCTTGTGTACCAGCACCGCGCCCAAAGATTCCGGATAGTTTGCTTCAAAGATCTTGATCATGAACTTGACTGGTGTGTAATCCATGTTGGCCATGGTGAATTGTGACATGTCGAACACTATGCACTGCAGACGAAAGTCAGTATCTTGCCAAGTCAAGTCCCGGCCTCAGCACGGTCAAGGAGATACTCACAGCAGTCTCTATTGGTGGCCTGAGGAGTAATCTGGCTGTTTCAATCACGTAGACGGTGTAACGTTCCAGGCTCTTCTCAGTCTGTTCCCCGCCCCTGTGCAGACGGACGCGAACAAAACACAGCGGTCTTCCCTCTTTGTCGGTTCCGTGCAAGAAGCTCTTGCCCAGTCTCAGCTGGGTGAGGAAATCGTCTCCTTCACGCTTGACAGCGGCATCAGATGACTTGGAGTCTTCCAAAGCGCCTCCTTCTCCTTTGAACATAATGTCGTCGTCGACGTGTTGGTCGTGGCTTCGCCATCTCATGGTAGCGATCAGCATAACCAAGGCCTTATCGACATCCCATTTCCGCGCTCTCAGGAATCGGAGTAGTAATCCATCAGGATGATCAGCTTTGAGCATACTCCAGAAGGCGGCGCGCAGCGACTCTGGATTCTGAGTCGCGAGAATCTCTTGAAACTCTCGGACCTGGCCATACTTGTCGTCTGACTCGATGTGGGAGCTCGGGTCTTTGGGCGTGACCGTGCCACTCGCAGGCTTATCATCGTGTCTTTTAAACAGCCCTAACCGCTTCTTGGGCTTCTTTTTATCCTTGTCAAGTTCCGAAACAGACTGCGAGTCTTCGGTTTGAGGAGTATCCGCCTCGGATGGTGGGTTGGGATTTTCCACGCCAAAGACCTTCAACGTGACGGCCCAGAACTCGCGCAACTTGGTCTCTTGCTCCGGGGTCAGATTGCCCACATGTCCGGCAGGGACAGGCATGTCTGTGTAAAAGGGGTCGAAAGCACCAGCGGGGGGAGATGTGACTGTTTGGCGGCGGGCAGACGAAGTCTGGATGTCGCGTGGGGGGGAAGAATTATTGCGCAGGAGATGGTCAACAAAGAGGACGCCTCCACATGCTAGGGTCAGAACCAGGAGGTGCCAGGATATAGATGCTTTGAAAGGTAGAGATCCAGGCGACGATTTTGCAGGAGAAGAAGTGGTCCACACGAGTCGTCGACTTTGTAGATGGACCTGAAAGTGGGAGGCCGGATGAGGTGGAGCGGGGAGGACTGGGAGAGTTGGAGGGGCTGTAAGAAACTGACGGGGAGGGACAACAGCTGGCAGTCGACGAGGATGCAACAGCTGGAATGGACGCAAGTAAAATGAGCGTCGCATATAGACAGTTAGGAAGGAAACAACAAGCAAGACGAGAGGATGATGACGAGGTGAATCTGTGTGGTCGCCAGAACCCAATCCAGTATACGTATGGAAGGAATGCTCATTCAGCCCGAGGAATCCGCCGTGGTTCAGTCAGCAGCGGATGACGGGAACTGCCATGCCCAGCATTGCCAGCATTGCCAGCACAAGTACGAGCACGGATGTGAGTAAAAGGGCAACCCTGAAGTTATGCAGTTACTCATGACGGTGGGGCGCCTTGGGCATCCAGGCAGCCAAGTAAACTCCCTAACACCACCTAAAAGTATATATCTAGGTACCTATGCTATCGTCCTAAATTATACTCCAACCGCCTCCCAGGGGGGCCCCTCGGGTGTCAAGTCGGTTTCTATGCGTTCTGCCCTTCACCGTGCCATGTAATCGTTCACCACTCAAGCACTGCAATCTATCTAGCAGGTATCCTGGAATTCCAAAGTCTATACCCCCCCATGCGCCGGGCTTTGCCAATAGTGTGGTTCTTCTCAAGCAATTCACTGCTTCTTGTTCACCACCTCATCTAAGAAATTCCGGGAAAACCTCGAGACCTGCTCAAAGACGACCTCGAATCCGTTATCGGCACCGTAGTACGGGTCCCCAACTTCCTCAGCCTGCTTCTTGCCTCCAAACTCACCAAATAGCATGAGGTTTGCCTTGCTCTTGGGACCTTTGTTGTTTACCTTGTTCTGTAATCTCTGAAGATCGCGCAGATTGTAATGATCCATGGCGAAGATATAGTCAAAATTGTGAAAGTCCTCCCCTCTGACCTGGCGGGCACCATGGTCGTAGTCTGTTATAGAATGTTTCCTCAGAGTGGCCATCGTTCGATAATCGGGAGGATCGAGGGTGTGATAAGCGCCCGTTCCGGCTGAATCTACCTCGCCGATGCGTGGATTGGATTTGGCTAGCGATCGAAACACGCCTTCTGCCATGGTCGATCGACCTAGTGTGTCATCAGTTGAGGCGTACTAGCAAAGGCATCTATGTCATACAGATATTTCCGAGGCAAACAAAAAGAACGGAAATATTGTTCGAGTCGGTCATGGTGGGGTGGACTAAGGGGGCGCAGTCTAGAAGACTTCTGGCGTCGGACAAGGCGGTCGAGTCTGATGACGAAATGCCTGGGGAAATGTCCTGGTTCGGAATTTCAAATGTCCAGGATTCACTCGGCACAACCGTTCGAGTTACGGATGATTGCGTAGCAATGACCGAAGCGCGGATCCTGTAAATCCTGCTGTATGTGTGTGGATTTTCGATGGGGGTAGATGACAAGGCTGGGAGATGCAAGGCGGGGATTTGTAAAGGTTGCAAACGGGCACAAGTCACAATAACCCAACTCCAACTACTTAGGCCGAGGGGCCTCGTGGCCATCCATCCTGTCACCCTCGCTGCCTTCCCAGATCTCTTGAGGCGACTTGTAGTAATTGTGGGACCCCCGCACCGCCACAATAGCCACAACATCAATCAACCCTAGAGGTTCTCTTTTGTCACAAAGTTCAATCTGGCAAAGACGCCACCTGATTAAAATATGCCTGCTAGGCCTTGAATCCAGCATGGAAGAGAATCAAATCAGAAAACAGTATTGCCATGGTGGCACAATGCACAACAGCTGGACATTCATGGCAAGAACTTGAAACAAAAAATAGTAACACTCAAGCTCAACAATGCCAAGGTTGGGATACGCAAGGGCCACGAGGTTCTGGAGGGGTGGGACTCTTGGTCAGCCTGCATTGCCTCAGTGACGCGCCTACCCACAGATGGCGGAGGGGTCCCCGGGCTTCCTCATCAGGTACAAGGCTAACTGAGGTAGGGACTCACAAGGGCGACATGACCAGCCGTTGCCAACTTCAGTAAAGAGCCCAGGTATGCGTATGCTTTTAGTACGGAGTAGGTACCTAGTTGGCTTGTCTGGACCCTCCCACCTGTTCTCCGTAATCTTGTCATGCCAGTCTGTCTGTCCTGTGCACCAATGCTCTTTAATGCCCGCTGCGCCGCAGATCGTGCCGGTTGCTTGGCCATCCGCTAGGTACAAAATACCGTCCTTGCCTCTTGTAGCCACACGGCTGAGCGCTGCAGCTGACGTTCAGAACCCAGACCAGTACCTAGTCGACCCGCAAACCCTGGCACCTCCGCGAACTCTTTTGTGCTTGTCCTGCGCCTATCCTGGAGGTAGCCTATACATCTTGCATGGCCAAAACACGAGATTTGTCCCCTTTCCACACCTGATACTACTCACGTAGAAACACTCTCTGACCTGTTTAACGACCGCTGGGCTTATTGCCGTTTGTTCTTTTTTCTCCAACATCACTCACTCCTTCTCTAATTCGATCCCTTACACACCACATTGCATCGAGGCTTCTTGACCTTTGCCTGCGCCCGGCCAACTCTCCCCTTATTGACGACGCTCTTTTTACTCGCCGTTGGTCTGGCCCGTAAAGCACCAACTCTGACGGACTGGGCTTCAGATAAACACACCAAAGTCCTTCTCCACCTCAGCTGAAACCGCTCCACCATCAACTTCAACTTCAACCATACCTCCTACACCCGCTGACTCCAACAGTTCGAGTTGGTCATTATACGGAGTACAGCATCCCACAATTCTCTTGCCTATATACCATCCCCGTCTAAGGTTGCATACTTGAAACCTGCTGGGGACATTCCAACCTACTGCTCACGGACCGTTATCCACTCCTCCTTAAACTCTTTGCCAGCCATGGCATACAACCGGCTCGGTAGGCTCTATCATACATCCCATTCCTTTCCTCTTTCAAGTTCCCATTGACTGACGTTTGCGATCAGGAACTCCCACACGGGATGGTCAATTCCCCGAGTCCAGATCTCCCTCGCCTGGTCGACCCCTCCAACCATATTCCAATCTTGACCAAGCCTACTCGAGACAAAATCTTCAGTTGCAACTGCCTTTGGCCTCTCAAGACCGACTAGCAATGCAACCAACATACTCGGTGGAAAATATCCACAACTCTCATGGTCACAATGCTCAGTACGAGCAACACCAAGGTCAGATGCCGACCGCAGGCGACATCAGTTATGGCAGGAATGATTACATTGTATCCCCTGAAGATCACCATGATCAATACTACACTCAGCCCTATTCACCTCATCCCCAAGGCGACTATGCCCTCGACCCTTATCCCACCCCAGACCAGGGCTACCGAAATGATAACGACCGCGTTCCCATTTTGCAGCCAGACAGTGCTTACGGACCGGATCCTCATTCCCAGCCTGCCCAAGGCGACTTTGATGGTTATCACGATAATGCGCGCCCGACGCCTTCGCCAGCCCCTATTCGTCGTTGGAAGACGGTCAAAGAAGTCCAACTATTCAACGGCAACCTCGTTCTGGACTGCCCAGTACCTCCTACCCTCCTGAGCCAGGTCCCCCATGCAACCCCTCCAGAACGTGACGAGTTCACCCATATGCGATACTCAGCTGCAACCTGCGACCCTTCCCAATTCTATGAGGAACGCTTTACCCTACGTCAACGCCTGTTTGCCAAACCCAGACAGACTGAGATCTTCATCGTCGTCACAATGTACAACGAGGACGATTTCCTGTTTGCTCGCACCATGATTGGTGTATTCAAGAACATCGAAGTTATGTGCAACAAAGGCTCAAGTCAGACCTGGGGCAAAGAGGCCTGGAAGAAGATAGTCGTCTGCATTGTGAGTGATGGCCGTGCTAAAATCAACCCCCGAACTCGAGCTGTACTTGCTGGTCTGGGCGTCTACCAGGATGGCATTGCCAAACAACAAGTCAACGGGAAAGATGTCACTGCCCACATCTACGAATACACTACCCAGTTGGGCATCGAGCTGAAAGGAAGCCAAGTGTCACTGAAGCCGAAAGGAGCTACTCCCGTCCAGCTCCTCTTCTGCCTCAAGGAGAAGAACCAGAAAAAGATCAATTCCCATCGTTGGTTTTTCCAAGCTTTTGGTCGCGTTCTGGATCCCAATATCTGCGTCCTGATCGATGCCGGGACCAAGCCAGGGAAAGATTCCATCTATCAACTATGGAAAGCATTTGATCTGGAGCCAATGATTGGTGGAGCTTGTGGCGAGATCAAGGTCATGCTGGAACACGGCAAGAAGTTGTACAATCCTTTGGTGGCCACGCAAAATTTCGAGTACAAAATGTCCAACATCTTGGACAAGCCTCTGGAGTCAGCCTTTGGCTTCATCTCTGTGCTTCCTGGTGCCTTTTCCGCCTACCGCTATGTGGCATTGCAAAATGACAAAAACGGCGAAGGTCCACTGGAAAAATACTTCAAGGGCGAAACGATGCATGCTGATGCCGGCGTTTTCACGGCAAACATGTATCTGGCGGAAGATCGAATTCTTTGTTTCGAGCTGGTGAGTAAGCGCAACTGCCGCTGGCTGTTGCAATACGTCAAGTCTGCCACTGGCGAGACCGACGTCCCAGATCGAATCGCCGAGTTTGTGTTGCAACGAAGACGCTGGCTCAATGGCTCCTTCTTTGCCGCCGTTTACGCCGTCACCCACGTCTATCAACTTTGGCGCAGCGACCACAGCGCCATTCGGAAGTTCATGTTTTTGATTGAGTTTACCTACCAAACCATCAACATGCTTTTTGCCTGGTTTGCTATTGGCAACTTCTTTCTGGTCTTCCGACTTCTCACCGCATCCCTGGGATCACCTGGACCTTTGGGTAGAGCTGGAACAATCTTGGGAGTCGTCTTTGAGTTTGTCTACCTCGGTACTCTGCTCTACTGCTTTATTCTCTCACTAGGCAACAGACCGCAAGGATCTAAAAAATCCTATCTGATGATGGTGATTTTTTGGTCGATTCTGATGGTGTGGCTGACGTTCGCTTCCATCTACCTCACGGTTCGGTCGATTCAAGCCCAAGTGGCGCAGAACGACTTTAGCATTTCCACCGTCTTCACCAACAGTACCTTCTTTGGACTCATCGTTTCATTGGCGAGCACCTACCTGCTCTGGTTTATCGCCAGTTTTCTGTTCTTTGACCCGTGGCACATGTTCACCTGTTTTATCCAATATGTCGTTCTCACGCCGACTTACATCAATGTGCTGAACATCTACGCGTTTTGCAATACGCACGACATTACTTGGGGCACTAAAGGCGATGACAAGGCTGAAAAACTGCCCAGTGCCAACGTCAAGCCAGGCGGCATGGTGGATGTTCTGATTCCACAGGATGACGGGGATCTTAACGCTCAATACGAAGCTGAACTCAAGAGATTTGCTACAAAGGCGGTGAAAGAGGTCCAGGTTCTCAGCGTGGCCGACAAGCAAGAAGATTACTACAAATCCTTCCGGAGCAATGTTGTTACGGTATGGATGCTAACAAATTTCATCCTCGTCGCCGCAGTTCTTAACGTGGCTGGGTTCCAAAGAATAGTTGTCGACAGCAACGATCCAGACCAGTCGGTACCCCAGCAGCAGAATTCGACAATCTATTTGGCGGTCATTTTGTGGTCGGTGGCTGGCTTGTCCCTTTTCCGCTTCATCGGAGCGTGTTGGTTCCTCGTTGTCAGATTGGTGAGTGTTTTTGTGCCAGGAAAGATGGTTATGTACTAATGTCACTTTTAGTTTCGAGGCGTTTGAGACTGATGCAAGAACCGGCCCGAATTGGGACGGAACATTGACGATGATTAATGAGCGACTTGGTCATAATGATACCCGTCACAGAAGAAATCCAAATGCGAGTAGCCATGAGCGATTCGGCGTATATGGGATGCAGCAGCGCATCCTCGGCATGTTTTGATAGTATATTGAATTGGATATCAGGATCCAGGGCGGAAGACACAGCGGTCGATGTATATATAGGTATATGTACGGTCTTGCTTAGCCTAACTTCCGCTGGGCGTTAATTGGATATGTAACCACCCCATCAACCAATCAGTGGAGTAGGTTGGGAACTAGACCTCATAGTTTGGAGTAGACACAGAGAGCAATTCCGGCACAGACCAAGAGCATGCCGGCCCAAGTGTCCCTTGTAATCAACTTGCCTTCGGCGTACCATTCCCCGAGCACCGTGAAGAGAAATGCCAAAGAGTTGGTGATGGGGACTGTCAAAGATAGTTCTGGGAGCCCGTCAGTTACTCGTCATATCCGCAAGGCTTGGAGAAAGGCCGAACGAACGACGCGAGGATTGATGGATTCGAGAAGGGGCATGGAAAGACGAGAAGGGTGCATAACTTGCCAGCTTGGCCCACCAGCAAGAAAAACCAAATGCTGCCGGTCAAATTCAAGATCAAAGGTACGGCATATCCAGGACTTCGGAGCAAGCCCAATACGGTGAAGAAAGCCTTCGCCAACTGTCGCGACAGCCACGACCGTCGAGGGTCGGTGATGGAGGAATGGGTTGGGGCCGTATAGTTGACTGCGGCTTTACGGATGAAGGGTGTGGTGAAGCCCCAGCAGATGCCGACGAGGAGGAATGAAAGAATGTAGTTGAAGGGAGAGGGAGTCGGGGCCGGGTCGGCAGGCGATTGGTCGGGGATCGATGACATATCACAGTGTTTGACCTGTGCGAGAAGGTTTTGTGGAATTAAGTTGCGGATGGTGGGCGTCAATACGCGTCGAATGGGTATGACTCAAAGGTGGTCAACGAATGAACAAAGCGCCATCGTGAGCAGGAGGGACGAAGGTTGGCGAGAATGTTGGAGATAGCACAAGGCTGGCATGGCTACGAGGCTGAGGCAGATCATCTTTGGCTCAAGTGTTCCGTCGTAGTCATCGCTTCTGTGGAGCATTCTATCATACATCGCTATCTCGCCCTTTCCGCCCACGAAAGTTGATGGTTGAAGAGCAAGCAACAGAAGACCTCACTACTGATAGCAAAGTTCTCCCCGTCCTCATCTGCAGGGAAAATGCATCATGATCTCATGAAGCAGGCGACAAACCCATAATGCATCTACAGTAGCACGGGTAGGTAGCAATGCATCGGTCAACCCGAAAGACCAACTCGTGGCATCCAGTCAAGTGGTCGATGGCTGCCAAGTTCGATCGTCACTCTCTTGGTTGTCTTGAGTGTCCCCATCATGCCAGACGTCAGCCCAGTAGGGCTTGCTGTTCTTAGTATCACAGGCCTCTGGGGCCTCCCAAAGCTACGATCATGCCTGCAATGGGCAGCGCCCCATCCCAAGTCAAGAAATCATGGCCCGCCTGTCTACATCAAATCCCAAACGGCCCCTACCAAGCCTCGGGCCAACGTGTCGAGATAAAAGTCCGGACATTCGAGCTATGCTGGCGACTTTCCCTTCCTCTTGAGAACAATAGTCGGTCAGTTCGTCTCTTTATTGCTTCTGTATCTCAACTTAGCTTCAATCATTCTAAGGCGGCAAAGGTGTGACCATGTCTTCCGATACAACTTCTGGTGATGCCGCCCTCGACATAAATACTGCTCATGATTTAAGCGTGCAGCCGGTGACGTCAAAGCCGAGACGGAAGAGACATGCCCCTAAGGTCAGGTCCGGCTGTGTCACATGCAAGTAAGATCTTGACATTCACGGGAGTATGTTCTTGACTAACCAACGCTCGCGCCACTTTCAAAGACAACGTCGGATCAAATGTGATGAGACCAAGCCGGTGTGTAAAAGATGTGCTGTAAGCGACCGCGAGTGCGCTGGCTATCAAGTTCCCAAAGCTCTGGTGTTTGGGCTAGTCAACGACAAGGAGGAACAATGGAGCTTCTACTATTTCCGAGATCGCACTTCGGCGGAGCTATTGACCTTCATGGACCACCGCTTCTGGAACACTCTGGTCATTCAAGCAGGCCATGTGCGACCCATTGTCAGACACGCTTTGATGGCCATCGGATCCTGGCATGAGGCTGTCGATCACGAGGATTATGCTCGACGACGAGACCGGCAACAATTCGCCCTCCAGCAGTACAACAAAGCCATTGGCTGTGCATTAAAGGCAGACGGCCAAGGCGAAATCGATGAACTCCTTTTGGCCATCATTCTATTCGCCTTTTTCGACAACATCCGCGGCGAATGGGCCACCTCGCTTACTCACCTACAATCCGGCCGGAGAATAATGTCCAATGCGAATAAGATGGCTCGACAAGTTGAATCTTCACGATCTTGGTCGAGCACCGTGCAAAGGCATGTAGCACCTATCTTTGACTCAGTTCACCAGGCCGTTGCCTGTTCAATGCCACTCTTGTCTCGATGTCTGCCAAGCGATGGGGTCGCTTTACCATCGAAGCTCAAAAGCTTGCGCGATGCTCGGTATCATCTGCACGAAATCCTTCACACAATCAGCGAGAAATTGGACGACACATACGAGAATTTCCCTTGGCCCACTTCCGACACGAAGACGATCCTTGAAGGTCGGCAAGTACTTTGCCAGTGGCATGACACATTCCAAACATATCTCTCTCAGGCCAAAAGGCACTGCTTGTGCTCGGGAGCTTCGTCCACATGTCATTTTGAGCTGGGCATGTATCACATACAAATGCAATATCTATTTGGCCGATTGAGACTCGAGTGCGAACCATTTCGACAAGAGACGTCGTTTGATGCACTGAATCATCGATTTGAAGAGTTGGTCCGATTTGCCGAGCTATTTCTGCAAGCCTTGGGTCGGGATGATGCAGTGGGGGCGCAACAATGTGTTGGATTCGGAGTAGACTATATTGGGGTGATGAGCATGGTGGCCTTACGGTGCCGTGACCCGCGGATTCGACGAGAGGCCGCTGACGTGGTACGTCGAGGCTACGCAATCACAAAACACCCAGCTCATTTGTACGTGCCCGAACTTTGCGGCTACCTCACCAAGCTGGAGGAAATGAAAGCGACAGTACCTTCCCCACAGCATTGTTCTCAGATCCCCAACACTGCTCGAGTGCACATCGTCAGTTCAAATCTATTCATTTGGGATGAGGCTAATCAGACGTACGACATGTAAGTGTATCTATATGGCCGGCGAGGATGCTGACGGTCCATACTAATGGGTGAATAAACAGTTGTCACGACCTTATGGAGGCGACGATGGTTAAGATCCGTGTCATTCGCTCAGGCATTGACCCAGCCACGCAAGAGTTGGAAACTCACTGGTTTGATAGGCTGTCTGAGAACATTGTCGTGCATTCGGACAGTAACAAGATGCCTAAGGTTGTACTAGGTTTTTTTCCACAAACCATTGGAAAAGATTCGAAACTATGGAGGGTCCTTGGAGGCACTGGGTTTCCAGTCTATTTGGAGAAGGCCGATGTGATTCATCTTTGTCGATGCCAGACTTGTACTGTCAAGCCTGCATTGCTGCAAGATGCTGAGGTGTAAGGTACAACGAGTATGAATTATATTCACTGTCACGTGCATTTTAGAATACGACAATTAGAAGCGAGTAAATACTTCACCGTAAACTGCAGACCATAAGTACGTGTACTGTGGCATACACCGCCGGATATTTAGATACTTCCTAAAGCGGTTTAGTGTTTGACGCCAGGATCGCCTCGAGAACATGACTAGCTAGACTTTCTCACAGACCACATCCTAATACCACGCATGAGTATTTCCAAATTGTCTCACATAGTTCGACAGGGACTGGATCTGTTGGACCGTTCATTGATCGTTCACTGATGAGTTGTTCAAAACTACAAACGATTCGTGGAAGTACGCGTAGTCAGGCGCACGCCTCATTCCCAGCCTCGCAATGAGGAACACGAGGAGGCTGGGAAAGGCAACTCCCAACGCCTCCTGACAAAATATTGCCTCTCAAAGCAATGTAGGTTGACAGCTGTTTCACACAGGACTTTCAGAGTCTCCATCATCGAAAAAGACCATTCTTCACACTTGCTAGGCATATCTGACCTACCTGATTATTGTTTGACATATCCACTCTAAACTGCGATCGTCCCACCACTGTGACAGAGGATTTTCGCTCACTTACATTATACTACACCACAACCAAGTCAGCCCGACACTGAATCAACTGTCCAACACTCGAACATCGCCATGCCTACAGTTCTCACCCCTCAGGGCTGGGTCAAGGTCGCCGCAACCGCACCAAGACGACGAACCGTGGCCATCGACCCCGTCGAAGCTCTGAAAGGACCACTCGCCTACTTTTCATGCCGAGCATCTCCAAAAGGCACTCCCGGCGCTGTTATTGGAAGATCAGGAGCTAAAAAGTCACCAGAGGCATACCCTTATGACCTCGACGCAAGTCCCGAGCGATTGAGAGCGCAGGGTCGAGCACGCAGTGGCGGTAATGCACAGATTCGAATTGGGGGTAAGAATAGAACGGTGTCGGCACCGGTACTAGTGCCGGAAATGGAGATGGATGAAGAAATAGAGGAGCCATTCGACAGACACATCCATTCTCATAGGGGGACTTCGTCATCTCCGAAGAAGAAGCGACATGCCTCCTCGCATACACATTCATCTAGCGGCGGCGGTCGATATGATGATGCCTCTAGTCTTTCCTATGGATCGTCGTTGGGGTCATCTTCGTCTCTTGGCTCGTCAAGCACACGGTCGCACGATCACCATCGTCGTCATCATCACTCCTCGCGTCCGGTGGACCCAACTCCAACGCCCACGTCGATGTATACGCCTCATTCTTCATCTCATCGATCACCGGCTCCTCAGCAACCATATCGTCGGTCGGGCTATTACGACAACTATACGCGTCCTCCCTCACAACCTGCGCCTCCAAGCTCGACTAGTGGGAGGGGTATGAGTTATAATTGGTATAATGCAACGACGCCATTGAACATTTAGTTTCTAGGTTTGGATTTGGCCAACTTTGATTCTTGTCATGTATATCTCTCGGTGGTTTGGATAGGGGGTAGGGAAGCGGGGATTGTTGATTTGAATATCTAGTTCACTTCTAGTCAGCGGTTTGTGGAAAGCTTCCCGAATGATTTGAAGATGCCGAGCTTTGATTCTCATCTGTAACATAAATACTATGAACTCGTGACACTACAATCCCATCCCATATATACTATTCGTAGTCCCATATCCAACCAAGAGTTCGTACTCATCATCAGCTCCCCGACCCTCATATCCCTTGATCATTGCGATCCCCCATTGCGTGTCTGTTGTTCATCTGTACATGCATAATTCTCATAAACACCTGTTATTTCCAAATTAAACCACACCACCACATCCATATACACATGTCAAAGCTGGCGACAGACCCAGGCTCACACAACCACAATTCTCTCCTTGCGCGAGGTCACGCGCCTGGTCTCTTTGATTGGAGGTGGCGGCCTGGGGGCAGGCCTCGACAGCATGACGTTTGGAGGGGGACGGACGAAGTAACGGGAACTTTGGGTCATGACGACTTTTGTTTCCCTGCGATTGCCACCACCAACAAAGGTCAAGTTGGCCTGGGGTCGATTAGGATACGGGTTGTGAGGCCGAGGTCTCCGACGGCGCGGCGACGGAGATGAGGCAGGTGAAAGGTCGTCATATCGTCGTCTTGATCGAGCGGCGCGGCAACAGAATATGCAAAGGAGGATCAGGAGGACCAAGCCAAAGAAGGCACCGATGACAATCCCACCGACCACACCGGGGGCAAGCCCAGAATCATCATGATTGGGGGGTGGGAGGACCGCGGCCGCGGATGTAGTAGTGTGAGGATATTTGGTGGTCGTCCATGTTGGGTAGAAGCATTCACAGGACTTGGTTACGGTCTCAAAGGTAGTTTTGGACTTTGAATCATAGTTGGCCCAGGTCGACGTGTCCAAGAAGGATGTAGGAGTCGGTGGAATCAAGGGTGGGTACACTGATCCCTCGCCTGGAGACCGGGCTTGTATTGACATAGGAAAGAGGAAAAGAAGAAGAAATGAAAATGGATTTTGGCGTTGGAGTTACGTTATCATGTCGCAAGAAGGGTTGATGCGTGCAACGAAATGCGCTTGGTAGGTACCTAGTTATGTAGTGTTGCGAAATAGAAGAGAGAGAAGAAAGCAGAAGACTTACAGAGTCGGAATCGGGGCCCAAGAGGAAGGTGCGTATGCGAAGAGGCAATATTAGAAGGCATTTGGCGCCGCGCCTGATGGAGAGAATAACGCCGGGTATGTCATTTTGACAGTGTTTTCATATCCAACCTCTTTGATTTCCATATTTCGGGAGCGGCATGTTGGTGGAAGTGAGGTGTAAAAAGGCAGCGGCTGGAAAAAGGTAGACCAAGGACGCCAGGCACGCCATGATAAGTAAAGCCTTGGTGGGGAAATGGGATACGAGGGTGGAGAAGACCGAGGCACCAAAGTCGTCAATTATTGGCATTTTGTTAGTGAGTGAAGGGGGTCTCCAAGTGCCTGGATCTCTGGGAGTTAGGCTAGATGAGTAAGGTGTGAGGGGGGCCGAGGGGCCTTTTGGCGGTTTCTTAGGGACTGGAGTTACCTATGTGCTGACCAGTCATAGCCCTGATATCTTTAAGCATCCGCCAATACAATGGGCATCATTACCCAGGCTCTCTAAACTGCGCTAGCGATAAGACACCAAAGGACCCCTCGAACACTCAGCTTACTACCTAGGTAGGTAGATAACCCTATTTGCCCCTCAGAACAGTCGTTTCGTTACATTCCACTTGAACCCATGGGTCCTTTTGGTTCGTCTCGACGATACTACCCTACAAGCACAATGTGAATTGACTGCCCGATATGATAAAAAATCTCACCTGATCATAGTGACAGGGCTCTGGTATTTGTCTTGACTCTTCTGACTTTGATGTCCTCTTCCCCTTCAATTCACATACTCTATCCAGTCCAGAGCCTCTAACCCTCCTGAACAAAACATGGCACCTTCTCGAGTTTCGCCAGAGCCTACTCCCAGCGAGCCTCCTGCCGGCCTTACCCAAAAACAAATCGCATCCTTCTGGCGAGACGGATACCTGATCATTCCATCGTACTTGAGCAAAGGAACTTGCGATAGCCTTCTGTCCAGGACCAGCCAACTCCTCCATGAATTCCCTCTCCAGGATCATCCCATGACCCGCTTCAGCACGGGCACCGCGTCCGGCAACACTGCCTCAGCGAAGCATGTCGGTGACGACTATTTTCTGTCATCTGGGGACAAAGTACGCTTCTTTTTTGAAGAAGATGCCTTTGATCCCGACACTGGCAAGCTGACCAAGCCCAAAGAGCGGGCAATCAATAAGATCGGACACAACCTGCACGGGCTGGAACCTGAGTTTGGGCAAATTTCACACCAAGGGGAGATTGGGCGACGCAACGCAGCCATTGCGCGAGATCTGGGTTATCGCGACCCACGATTGCTGCAGAGCATGGTGATTTGCAAACAGCCAGAGATTGGCGGTGCTGTCCCACCCCATCAGGACTCGACCTTTTTATACACGGACCGTCCATCTGCAGTTGGGTTTTGGATTGCCCTAGAGGATGCCACGGTCGAGAATGGCTGTCTAAGCTTTGCGCCAGGAAGCCACCGTAGGGCCCCCATCAAGGAGAGGTTTGTCCGGGACAAGGATGGAAACGGCACGACCTTTGAGCCAACACCTGAAGATGCAAGATGGCCGCGTGGGTTACAGGTGGAGGATCCAGCAGAACCCCCGAAGCAGGAGGAGTACGCTCTGGGTGAGGTCACGGCGGGGACGCTGGTACTGATCCATGGAAATATCCTACACAAATCCGAGAAGAATCTCAGCCAAAAGGGGAGGATCATTTACACATTTCACCTGATTGAGGGCGAGGAACACTACGACGACAAGAACTGGTTACAAATCCCTGGGGGACCAGCTCAATTCACCAAGTTGGACGGCAAATCATAAGAGTCATGTAGACCATATCATCCACCGAGTCAACTTGGGAAGTGTGACTGCAAGATATGATGAGAGTAGTTTCTTGACATTCGGATGTAATCCACTACTATATTATCACAAGTCAATGACCATTTCATGTATCTTCATCTCAACCTTCTCATCACAGACAGTTATGCAATCCGAATAATTCGCTTTATATTTGTCGCTCGAGGTAAGTAACCTCGCTGCCTCGTTCAAATTCTAGGGATCTACTTGAGTGATCAACTCACCTTGCCTCATGAAGCAAAGACATCCCAAGAGCCGAGCAACGCCATCGGAAATATAAACCGTGACCAGTAAGCAAGCAGCATATTACCCCAAAGTCCACTACGCATTGCTTGGGCAAAGTAGTTTTATGGACAGACTTATAATAGGATATATCCAGTCGGCTAATTATTCAGTGACGTAGTGATCAATACTGAGGCTTGCAATTGACAAGGATCTCAATTCAAGATTTTCAATGACAATTCAGATGGGCAAAATCCAGAGATGATACTCGGTACTCGAGCATCACCCACTCACTCACTGACTACTGACTGTGGATGGACCCTGATCACCTCCTTTCTACTTACTGTATTCACTACCCCTTACGTGCATGGCTTGCGTTTTGTATTCACATTTGATCACTCGTCTCTAAGCAACGACGACACCTTCGGCTCTTTTTCCCGGTCTTGTGTCATTATTAGGTAGTACCTACCTAACGTATTCCCTCCCAAACAAACACCAACATCATCGTCCCCTCCCCTGCATCATGTCACGTCCAGGGCTGTTGCATCGACCTTCATCGATTGCTGCGGCCAACAAGACCATCATCCTTGTTACTGGAGCAAATACTGGCATTGGGCTTGCAATCGTCAAGGCGTTGGCAATGGCCAGTCCTCAGAATCATGTGCTATTAGGATGTCGCGACACTCTCAAGGGAGAGGACGCTGCTGCCAGTATTGGAGCTCTGATCAACGTCAATCCTATTCAGCTGGATATTGAAGACGACAAGTCGGTGGAACATGCTTTCTTAACCATTAATCAGTATTTTGGGAAACTTGATGTTTTGATCAACAATGCAGGTACTGCAGGTAATCATCTCCCAAAGGGTTCTACGCTACGTCAACTGTTTGACCACACCTTGTCAGTCAATGTGACTTCACAGGCTGTCTTGACACATTCTTTGACTCCATTATTGGAAAAGTCTCAAAAGCCAAAGGTCATCTTTCTGTCATCCTCACTCGGCAGTGTGCAGAAGACACTGGAGAGCTCCTCCAAGCCCTGGGAAGGATTGTGGTATACATCGAGTAAGACTGCGGTCGGTGGATTGACGGCCTGGTATGCAAAGACGTTTCCCAGATGGAGAGTCAATGCCGTCTGTCCTGGTCTCCGGGCTACCGCCTTGCACAAGAATGATGTCTCAGGGGACGAGACGGATCCCAAGTTTGGAGCGGTCAGGGTAGTTGAGTTGGTTCAGGAAGGGCCAAATGGCGTGACTGGCACGTTTTCGAGTAAAGACGGCCCTGTACCGTGGTAATTGAATTGACGGAACTCGCACCAAGCATAGCATTGAAACCTATCACTCAGTGTGGAAGAAGAGCGCTACGCTCGTCAGAACCATGGCCAGCTGGTCGCGCCCCTCGACGAGTGAGACGCGAGGCATGATGAGGAAGGGAATAGCTCCAGTGACAGCACATGCCACCCAAAAAACCAATAGCATCATTCTTGAACCCAATCAGCAGCCCTGCCGTAACAAGCATGATAGTCCACCTTTGTTTGCTTTCCTCGGTTGATAGCTCAACGCGCTGCCGGCCTAGAATACCGTCCTTGTGTAGATCGTGAGCGCGTTCGGTGTTGAGGCTTTCACCTACGCTGGCCAGCTCTAGGCCAGCGGCGATAATCATGACCGAAAGAAGGCCGAGGGGGAATTGGTGAAAGAGGTCCGTCAGACTCTCACCGAACAAGAGTCCCAAGACCAATTTGATGGTACCAAGAAAAATCACGCTGGCTCCAGACCTAGCTCCAAACCGATATTGGGCCGCTAGACCACCAGAGCCGTGACATGCTGGCATTGCTCCAAACCAGCAGCCGATAAGGTTCATCGCTGCAACACTAATTCCTATCGCCGTGACAGATGGTGTCTCAACATTTGGAAGTAGGTCAGCGGCCAGATGAGTCACGGCAATGATCGAGTTGAGCGTCGTCAATGGGAGTTGGCCGATTCCGGCGTCGAGAATTCCAGTCTTCCAGTCCCTCAGAGATGGGACATGAGCTGAAGGATGCCAAACATGTAATCCTGGGAGATGGTGGTGGTGGCTGGTGGCAACTTGGATCAGGGCAAGAACGAGACCGACCAGAACCAGAATGAGGGCGTAGGGAATGCGAGGGCGGGCATTGATGGCGAAAAGAATAATAAAGGCAGCGATCAACCAAATGTTGTTGTCTGCCCACGATGGCCTTGTCCAGGATAACGAAGCGAGCACCTTAGACCCGGCGGCGATGATCAAGCTCAATCCTGCCCCAACCTGAATCCCTTTAACGACTGGGATGGGAATGACTCGGGTAAACCAAGCCAAAAGTCCGCTGACACTAAAGATCAAAATGCAGATGGCAACAAACAGTCCCGCGGCAGCAGTCTCCCTGGCGGACAGGGATTTCAATATGGCGACGGCTGCAATGGCCTTCATCGGCTGCACTGGCAGAGGAATGCCAAAGACCACGCCGGTGATGATATTGAAGATTCCAGTAAATATCAAGGTGGAGGTCAAGGATATCTGATGGCCCTCGGCGAGAGCAATAACAATAGGAAGAAATGTTCCCAGATCGCCGAGCGAGCCTGATATCTCACCCCAGGCATTGTGCCGGGCAGTCGAGATATTGTGACGGGAGTGACGGTCAAGTCGATTGGACATGGCGCAGGAGGCTGTACCAAATCGGTTTCAAGATCTATTGTCCAAGTCGTATCGAGTCTTCGGTACTTTTTTTCCTGTTATCGTGTTTGCACCTGAGCGGAGTCGGACAGTGTAGGATAGACGAGGTCGTTGAGACAAAAGACTATCGTTGTGGGGGAGGATGGTGTGAATTCTCCTTGGCTTGTGCTTCCAAGACGAGATGATGATAAAGTGTTATACAGACAAAACTTGATGCCAGTGAAAAGAAGATGGTCATAACCATGCAAATGGACGACCTTGTCGTTAAAAGTGTCAACAAGGTCAAAGATGACAACGATAAGGCAGAACAAAAGAAAAGATGTTGGAAAGAGCAGGAAATGCCTAAACGATAAAGCGAGTCCTTAGTTGTTGGGCCAAGCAGCGCCGTTTGAGTTACACAAAAAACTAGACTTCCACGAGTTCAAGTAGTATGACATCAGTCGAGGGGTTCTCGATTTCATTACTTCAAGCGGATAATACTGTACGTATATGAAGACCTGAGAAGATCGGTTCCACGATTCCCATTCACAAAGAACCAGAATCTGGACAGGCCACGACAAGGGTCCTTCTATCTGGACTGTCTTTAGCGAGGTGGCCTGGGTTTGAAGGACAAAAAGTACTCCGTAGAGGTCCTTAGGCAGCTCCAGCACAGAATTTTAGTGCCTTATAGGGGACTCAAGCCTTCTAGCGCATCCAAACGTGGCCTGTGCCAGACCCAAGGCTTACCTGAACCATGCTAAAAGACATCGCTAAAGCTTCCCCCTCCCGGCGGGGCGAGCTTACCAGACTACTCGACCGTGCTTACCAAAGCTATCGTCGTTATCGTCACAACCCAAACAAACGGCGGCCAATCAGATGAGGGAACTGCGCCTCTACCATCCCAATAACAACAGACCATTCGACATACTTTTCATGTATACCAGCACAATTCAGACGAAGGATCCAGATACAATGATATTGCAATGGCCGTAGAGCTGTAAACATAAGTGAAACAATCATTGCCATGTCGGGACCAATGGTCTTTGCTCCTGACACCCATCACCGTCAGGATTCCCAGCCATTGAACCCACCACACACGTAAATTCCCGTGGCTGGCGCCTTGTCCACTCTCAAGCGTCAACATTCAACGTTGTTACTCTTACTTTCCACCACAACTGCTTATTCCCGTGCAGTTCCTTTCTTCAACTCGTCGTACAGCATTCTCGGTCATTTATTTCTTGACAGTTTGTTCCTTCCTTCCGTAATGCGTCGTTAATGCACCGAACCGTATCCTCCAGTGCACCACTGGATTCGAATGCCGCAGTCTCCCGCCTGCGCCCTTGACTCGGTCTCAACCAACTCAACTCTGTTTCTGGTCTGCACTACCGGCTCTCTATCCTACACCAACAATGGCGACTAGGTCGAGGGGTCCCGTCAATGCGGCCCATACAGCCGGCATCTTTGCCGACAGTAGTTTTGACGGTCCAGAAATCGGCACTCTGGTAGCGGTTGTTGATCGAGCCAAGAACCTCCCAAACCGAAAAACAATGGGTAAACAAGATCCTTATTGTGCTATGAGACTGGGAAAAGAAGCAAAAAAGACAGAAACCGATAGAAGAGGTGGACAGACTCCTAGATGGTAAGCCTTGTCTGCCCATCAGCCACCCAAATGACCGAGCCACTGACTCTGCTCTAGGGACCAGGAACTGCGATTCACCGTTCACGAATCCCCAGACTACTTCAAACTCAAGTGCTCTATCTTCAACGATGACAAAAAGACGGACTTGATCGGCGAGGCTTGGATGGACCTGCACGATGTCATCGTTCCTGGAGGTGGAAAGAATGACTTGTGGCATCAATTGAATTTCAAGGGAAAATATGCTGGTGATATCCGAGTCGAACTCACCTACTACGACACCCGGCCCAGGCCCGAGACGCCCTCAACATCAGAGAAAAAGCGACAAAGACTTCGAGAAAAGTCCCTACAATCCACCGGTGATACTGGTCTAAACAACGCTCCCGGTGCGAGACAGTTGGGACCCAGAGAGATTACAAGACGACCGCTACCACCCGGCCCAGGAGGTGCTTCATCACCTGTCAACCTTCCCCACACTCCAGAACAACAGCCTTCACCTATCCAGACCGACTATCCGCCCGATGTTTGGGTTCCTGAGAGGAGCAACAACACCAATGCCATGCTACATCCGCGGAAACACGCGGTCATGCCTGAAACTCCAGACGATATCGGCTTTGATATGCCAAACCAATACCCTCCACAGCCCTACGATCAATCTCCTTCACACCAATACGACCCATCAGTAGATACCCGGCCTTCTCATCATTCACACCAGAAGAGAAATTCCCAACAGCAGTACTCTCCCTACTCAGAATCAAACGTGCAAGCCAGCCCTCGACGCGACGATTTCCGCAGAAGCCAGGGCTATGGCCCTGATCGATATGGCAATTATGATGCTTACGCTGCAGAACAAAGTGACCCCCTCCCTCACGACCACTCATCCAGAAATTCCATCGGTCGTCCTCCAAGCAATTTCGACTCCACGACACCCCCCCAATCTCCCCAAGCACCCATAAATACCTCTCCTTACCACTCATCTCCCCCTCACAGAACTTCTCCACAACCTCCTGCTCTGACAAATGCACAATCACAGTCATGGCAGAGAAGAGGGAGTGCTTCGCCAACCAAACACGCCCCATACCGAGACAGCCCCTTACGCCAATCCATCAGCCAATACGAAGTACCACATCAGAGACATGACCAGGTTGCAGCCGAGAGCGGAGAGGATGAAGCTCCGCCTCCGCCTCCTGCTCATGGTGGTCAGATGGTCAGAATTCCAGACGGCTTCAGCTCTCCTCAGAGACCGAGCCCCAACTATGCTCCCCACACACCAACCAAGCGAGGCTCTGTCGAAGATAGAAGTCCTCTGCAGCGACTAGAGCATCATCCTTATCCTGACCAAGGCTTAGATGATCAAACCCAAGACAGACGCCAGTCACCAATGCAACCATTATTCCTCACCTCATCCAATGATTATGAACCTTATCGACCAGATGTCGTACAGGACGCATATCATCAGCGGCCAATACAACATACTTTGTCCAATAACATGACTTATGACGGCCCTGAGCCTTCCTACCATCGGCCGACATCAAGACAGAGCCCAAGTGAACCTAGGGGCCTGCCACGTCCGGCTGACTATGGGCAGTATAGCCCATATTCTCCGTCAAGATCACGCACCACTCTTGATGGTAATGAATCTGCAGATGAAAACCGGGTTCACAGGTCAGATCCTGTGATTGTCCGACCTCGGGCGATTAGTCCAAATACTGGATATCACATCCCAAGGAAATCCATTACGCCCACTCCCTCTACTCCCGAGATTCATTCCTTGGGGAGTACTCCATATGGACCGGACTCGTATGATGTCTTGAACCCGGTAACGAGTCCCATGTACGAAGATGATCCATTCGCTACTCCGGAACAAAGGCAGGAGCTGGCTCGACAGCGAGAAGTCGAAAAGCTACGAGACCAAGGACCCATCATTGGCAACGATGGCCGCGTCATTGACCCTTCTGACCATCTGCCCTCTGACACTTGGGCGCCAGAACCGGAAAGAAAGAATCGAAAGCCAGAGCATGTGATCAAGATTCGGACGCGAGAAGAAGCTCGAATGCACCAACGGACGGGTTCATCACCTTCGTCGGTCCAGCCTCTGTCTATCTCAACGTCTCCTAGTCAAGCCTCACCGCAGAATCCATTCACTTCTCAACCTCAAATTGGCCCAACCCCGCCAGCCAAAGTCCCATTGTCACCACAAGGTGATTCACCAAGTGGGCGAAATAGACTGAAGAAGTCCCAACCGGCCCGTCCTTTACCAGTCCAACCATACCCACAAGCTCAGACCAGCCCAGCAGTCATGACTGTCTCTGCCAAAAGTGCGACTCCTAATCGCCCGAGTCCAACCACTCATGCATACACGGTGGGGTCATCGCCGTCCGCGGGGCAAATGCCACGGCCGTCATCAAGAGACTACCAAATCCCAACTGTGGACCATCGAGCTTCAAGAGAATTGCGAAGTCGGCCGGCGTATTCGAGCTCGCCCACGAAGCCGTCATATCCACCGGCACCTTATGCAACCGACTATGATAAGTACGGCGAGGACTCCCTGGCGCTGGAGCTTAGTACCATTGATATTGGGCCATCACGAGGCGGCAGGACCGCATTGAGACCCCATCGCGGGTATCCTGGATATTAATTGATAATCAAGGAAGAATGCCACTATAGAGCATGTACCATAGAGATGCATTTGGAAATGCTTGTAACATGATGCATAATACCCCTGACCTCTAGCGATAATACATGAATGGACAAGATCATGAAGAAGAACCCTTGAATCGTAACACATTCTTTTGTGCATTCACAAATCTTGAACCTTGCGTATCCTGATCGGCCCACGAACATCATCCAATTGGCAATCGCTGCTGACGAGCTCACCTCTCTGCAAAATCTCGATCTCGCCTCGATCCCGGGCTTGAAAGGACATTTGTCGCAGTTGAGGCATGAGATCCCGCCATGATGCGACCTTGAGCGTTTCGAGTTCGGAAGTCGAGAATGACCGTGCCACTTCGGATGGACAGAGGGTTTGGGGATGCTCTCGTTTCTGTAGGAGTTGACTGAAGCGATCGGTGAGGATGGTATTGGTCGGACTCGTCATTCGTAGGTATGTAAATAGCTCCTTCTGTGGATGGCATGCGGCAGTATATTCAGTTGACAAGGGATAGAATAAGTGTGCAAAGAGTTGAGTATGTCGTTCTCTTTGTACTCCGTAGAAGAACCTCAACCCCTCCACTGCTCCTGCCCAGACTCAGCCTTGCAGGTGTTGTCACATGACCAGTCCCTATTTTGACGTCACATGTTCTTGGCAGGATATGTCTTTGATGTTGTTGTTGACCCCCTTTCAAAGACAACAACAGCTATACCCACAATCACCTACACCCCACCTAGGACCTGAATCCAGCATATGATGCATACAACTTGTACGACTTATACTCAATATCGATAAACCTTTCCTATATTTTCCCTCTTTTCCCTCCCAATGTCATCCATCCGAAACGTCATTTCTCAACTCCCTCTCATTTCGCACTTATTCACCTCCCAACTTCCATCTCAATCAACCATATCAACCACCCAACACTGTCCCAACCCTAGCCTTTCATGTCCCATCAACCCGCCTAAAGTCATTGACACATGCTGCATCAACCATCCTTCAGGCCATTTCCTCCAGACCCAATTCTGGGATTCTTCGCCAGCCACTGGGTCTAATGTATCATGGACGATCCATGGATTATGGCCTGATCTATGTACAGGTGGGTTTGACCAATTCTGCGACACGACAAGGTCCGAATATCATATTCGAGCAATCTTGCAGACTCTGAATGGTGGAAATGCCGCTCTTTTGGATTTCATGGATGCCAATTGGTTGACTCTTGATGGAAATCCGGAGCAGTTGTGGGCTCATGAGTGGAATAAGCATGGCACGTGTATCTCAACCATTGAGCCAACGTGTTACCAGAGGGATGATGAGCAGGATGGCGCCGCCACTAGTGGAAGTAGCACCAGCAAATCTACCCTCCACGCAGATCTTCTCGATTACTTCGTCCAGACAACTAGTCTATTTCGCACGCTCGACACATTCGCCATCTTCGCCGAAAGTGGAATTGTACCCAGCTACGACCGTCACTATGACTTGACTGAACTGCAAGATGCGATCGAAGCATCACCTCATGGATTTCCAGTCACATTCCGATGCCGGAATGGCGAACTTAATGAAATCTGGTACCATTTCTCAGTGCGCGGCTCATTACGACACGCCATCCCTGGTTCGACGATGGGATCTTCTACATCTGAGGTGTCGCCTTTCCTCAATTTTTCTACCGTGCGCGATCATTTCATCCCTGCTATCCCTGACGGCGCGAAATCCGATTGTCCCATCCGTGGTATCAAGTATCTACCCAAGGTCCCTGCCGGACACAAGCCTCCGCCTGTTCGGCCCACACATACCGCTACAACTCGGACGTCCAACCCCAGTGCTACTAGCACTCCATTTTCTGGGAAAGGTCACCTCGCAGTCCACGTCGTGCCTTCTTCAGCCTCCGAATCCTCTGCAGAAACAACTGGCTGTTTGATACGCCATGGCGAATGGTACACCTCCGGCACCTGTGCTACATACCTTGCACAGTCTGACGTGGTTGATCCCGGCCATGCGCCGCTCTTCTCATTGTCGTCATCCTTCTCGCCGTGTTTGGTCAACCCCCGCACCGCAAAGTTCGAGTGTACCAAAGCTTCTTCCGCTCAAGGAATTTTTTCTTCGGCGTCAAACCATACAACCGTCTTGACCTACAAGGATAGTGATCGGTTCTATGCCGAAAAAATCCCTGGGAAGTTTGGCAAGGTAGACATTTACGCTGATGATGGGGGTGGGAAGAGACCTGTCGAGTTACGGATCCACTGGGTTCCTGTTTGAATGTCACAGATAGTCAAAGCATTGCATCTGGGTGTTTCATTCTCTTGGCTTAGTCCTGCTATTGCTAACGAAAAGATACTTTCGAGGAAGCCTGCTCCGTTCTTGTTGGCTTTACAACATCTCTAACAAGATCGAACGTCTTTTGGAGCTCCGTTCAGGTGATCCCGCCACTAACCCTTCGACTCATCTTTTTCATCTCCCGGATTCCTGCGCCGAAGAAGCTTTTGACCATTTCTCCACTGAATTGACGCTCCGACTTCCGACCCAATCCTGGCCCCTTCGGTACTTGGGTGTCGATCTCTGACCCACTGAGCCTTGCCTCGTCTTTCGAACCCGCGGCCGTAGATCGTACATGGTCGATCCTAACATTAGGACTTTCTAGTGATTGGGTTGATACAAGGATAAAGCTGGACACCCGGCGATGCTTTATAGTAGCTCCTCTTGTTCTTGACGTTGCAGTTACATCACCTGATCTATCACTGCCAGTGCACTTTGAGTCTCGCCATGTACCAGAATGAATCAAATCTTCGGCTACCGGCTTACTCAACCGTTCTTCGCGGTTGTTCGGGGCCTTCTCGTTGGGCCCAGGAGAATAGCCAACAGTGGAGACTGGACTTTTATGGCTATTCGATTGCGCATCTTGCTCACTGTGCGCAAAGCCTGCTGTCAATGCCACTGCTTTTCTGTGAATCATAGGGAGTAAGGAGGCCAGGTTGCCAGTTGTCTTGCTTTTTGCCAGTGTCCCTTGGCCATAGAATTTTGCTTCGCAGCTCACATCCAAGCTTGACGCGTCACTGCTCACTGGAGATATGAGATTCGGAGATTGCAGCATTGCCCTGAATTTCCTCAGCTTGTTGGGCTTTCCGCCCTGGAATGCTGCGTCACCTTGCCTCTCAGGCGTCACGCGGCTGGTCGCATGATTCAATGTTCGACCGAGGTCCGTTTTGTTGCGGAACTCGAGCTCGAAAGTTTCGAAACTTCGAAGTGCGTCCGAGGTTTGGCAGCAACGTCTCAGAACGTTCAGTGCATTGCACATTCTTGTCTTGTCCTGTGCGTCCAGACGGTTATCTTCATCGTTGTTTGAGACGAGTGGACGTTTCTCATTTTGCTCGCATTCAGTGGCCCGCAATTTGTCACAAATGGCCACAAAACGGCCTGCCCAATATGGTACGCCTTCTGCTTTAGTCACCTGCGAATGTGTCAATTTCTTCCCTTGTTTGAATGGAAGCCCTAGACGCACATTCTCCGAACTGCCTTGAGGAAGATTGGTGATATTCTTGTTGGTTTTCCACAGACTGAACGGTAAACAATCCTTTTCCAACTGAGGCTTTGTTGAAAGCGGAAAATTAATGGAAAGCTTTCGTCTTCTATCTTGCTGCTGGACGTTTTGTCCTTCAACGGGCATACCCATTGTGGGGCAAGGAGATCTGACGAGGGACTCATCCACCTCACCAGGAATTGTTTGAGTATTCTGGAGAACTGGATACGCCGACTTACCATGTGGCTGAGCAGTAATGTTGTTCCTGAGTCGCCTCCTCTGTATCGCTGCCTCTCGTTGTACCTGTGACACTTCCTCTGTAGCTGTATCTATCTTCTGACTTTTCTTCAGCTCCGTGGCGGTATCAAGGAAGGTCTCGGGCCCAGTACGTCGCCGTAGGGCTTTTAGCTGTGATGGGTCTGGCGCTCTCGGAGAAGGCGTGGCAATATTTCCGTTCAAGCAAGACATGCTCCCGAGTGTCTGACTTCGAGGGAGTGGGGGCCCAAGTGGCTGAAGGAGACTCCTTCTTGGTGCAGTATCTCTGGTCGAGCTCAACAGACTTTCCATGGTGGTAGATCGGGGAAGATTTCTTCCAGCTTTGACGGCATACGGAGGCTGCATCAGTTCAAATTCGGTGAGGTCGGGGTTCGAATGAGCAGATATGGTGGTATTGTGCGGCAGATTTTGAGGTCTGGAAATATTTGCAGAGTGTTGGCCACGAGACATAGTAGCCTCCACTGAGGCCATAGAGAGATGAGAAGATCCCATTGTGAATGATGAAGGAGGAGCACCTTCGTTAGGATGCCATGATTTTCGGCTTCTCTTTTCCCTCCTCTTATCATCCGCAGCAGGATTGAAAATGTGATACTTAGTTGGCGTGGCGCGGCGAGAAGACCCTGATATTGGACGTGGGATGGATGTGGTGGTAGATCGATGCGATGGGGCTACAGTCCATGGAGGACCTTCGATTGGCGTGGATGGTTTCGCCATATTCACAATCTGAGAGACGAGAAGAGCGACATCCGAGCCGGAGAAGATCAGGATGAGCAAGATGACTCACAAAGTTGAAGATTGGGATGCATTCCGCAGTCAAAAACAGTTTGGGAGGTGAAGGAAACAATGTCGGTGATACTGTCTCTATCACTGGCAAGCGCATGACTGCACTTTCCATTTTTTCTACGTCTTGTTGGCATGTTCGCATCTACCGCGGGCCAGGAGAAAAGGAGATCTGGATATTTCGACTATATCCTGCGCCGGATACAGCCCATACTCCGTTCCAAGACTCGTAGAATATGACCTGACTGATGGGATGTATACTCGCACAATCACATACTAGCTGTTTTGACAATGCCAAAGCACAGAGATCAAGGGTATTGAGCAGCAAACAAAAGAGTATCGTGAACATTACCTTGCAAGATCTTTGAAAAGGCCCTTCTCTCATATCCACGTTTTCGATCTTCGAGAGCTCATATAACACAACTTGGAAACTTCATCATATATGTCTATCAGCGTCGCAATTGAGAATACTCACAGAGTTTGATGGAGATAGTCGGAGACAGCCTCCGTCTTGGCGTGATGTAAACAGAACGTGATATACACAGCATTATGGGCACATTGAGAATCAGAGTTTGTAGACATGTGTTTATGTCGAATCATGTGTATCATATAGCGGGCGAGGAAAATGATGTTGCAATGTCGTCATGGTCCACAAAGTGATGGATGTTTTGGAATTTTCTCAATAGGTCGACTTCACCTTTATATCTCCATTGCATCACTCAAAGCAATTTCAAAGAATCGAAACTCGAGACTTCATAAACCATGTCGAAAGAATACAAAGGCCAAGATCTGCGCGACATCGCTGCCAAAGCCGAGCAAGATCTCGCATCGAACCAATTGAAATTTGGCGCAGCAAACACCGGGTTTGGTGGCAAGTCGGGCAAAGGGGGTAGCCTAAGCAGTACGTCGAAATGGCCCACCGTCATGTATACTCGTAACTTCATACTGACCGACCATGGTCAGCCGTCGAGTCTGGCATCGACCAATCTGTGACCAACAAGTTCCCAGGCAGTACAGCTGAGTATGGGAGCAAGGTCTCTGGAGCGGGAGATAATCGCGAAATCCCAGTTGAAGAGGGAGGTGGAATCCAGCGAGGCACGGGCCGAGTCACGAAGGCGGGTGACTTCGAACAAGGAGAAGCAGGTGATGGTCCTGAAGACATTTCTGCAAAGTATGCACAGGAACAAGGTGGTAATGACGATGTGAGGTCCAACATCAAAAATGCCCAGGCTTGAGAGCGAGAACATGATATCCCAACATCACGAGGGGTGCCCAGTTCGTTGATACCTAACCGCCACATTTCCATGAAGCCCCAAGCAAGTAGCCTTTTGTGGCAGATCTCAGTTGAGGACTGTATCTATCAATTGGAAGAAAGATGTTGTCAACTCTTGCTGAAGGTGCTTGGCGTCCTATTTCCCAACGCCGGTGCTAATCATACAATTTCCATCTTCTTGTTGTCGTATCTCACAGACTTTGCACAGATTGGAAGAACCGATTGGCCATTAGCTTCTCGTCCTGCTTGACCAGCGTCCGCATGAGTGTGAGCTTTTCATCCTTGGTCATATTCTGCCCTTCAATTTGCTGTTTCCATCTCTTGAGAGCTTCCTTCAAGAGTCGGCTGCCCTCCTCTGCTTCTTCTTTGGTGAGATTCTTTCTTGCATGATCCTCCGTAACACTGGTGAAATCTTCCAGCTCTTCTGCCTTCTGCCTTGCCATATTGACCACCTTCTCCGGAAATCGTACAAGTTCTGCCACGTGGATGCCAAAGCTCTGGTCACTGACACCAGGTTCGACGCGATACAGTAAAGTGACTTCTCTGCGTTTTGACTTGGGGTCAGCCTCAGCATCCCCCCTTGTTTGCTGATCTCCAACAAACGCAACGACGTGCAGGTTTTTGACAGAGTTCGGAAACTTCTCAGCAAGTGCTGTCAGTTCATGGAAGTGAGTGGCAAAACAACCAAACGCTCCAATCTTGTTCACGATCTCTTCGCTTATGGCCCATGCGAGACCAAACCCATCGTAGGTACTGGTTCCTCGTCCTAATTCATCAATGATGATCAATGAATCTCTAGTGGCACTCTTAAGTATGTTCGCCGTTTCAAGCATCTCAGCCATGAACGTCGAGACCCCTTTAAGTTGAGAGTCAGATGCACCTACCCGAGCTAGGATACAGTCAAAGATGGTTAGCTCGGCTTCAGAGCAAGGAACGAAACATCCAATTTGGGCCATCAGTGCGATGCACCCGATCGTCCGGATATAGGTTGACTTGCCACCCATGTTGGGACCGGTAATGATGAGGAATCGCGACTTCTCGCGCCTGAGTTCTACATCATTCGTGATGAAACTGATGTCGTCCTGCGCCTCCATGCACGGATGTCTCGCCTCTTTCAACACAGTGTCTCCCTGGCCACGGGCGTGCATCTTGGGTCGTACATACGCAGTCGGCGCGTGAACAGAGACATGTGCCAGGCTCACCACGACATCAAGGTGTGCAATAATTCCAGCGAGCTGCTCAATAACTGGGACGTACGAAGCTGCAACTGTGACAACCTCGGAGACTAGATTTGTCTGAGTCCTGTTGTACGTCGAGGAAAGCTGGTCATGCTCTCGCCTCAGGCTTTGCAGTGTGTCAGTGGTAAAGTAAACTCCATTCTTCTGAGTCGAAATTTCTTTGTATTTGGGCTTGTTTCGGATACAGCTAGCTTCTGTTCGTGTCAGTCGAAAGCAGTAGCCGTGCACTCGATGATTTTCCAGAAAGAGCTTCTTCTCCAGATCCTGGTTCAAGTCTTTGCCGGCTCGCCGATGTTCAACATCCATTTGGTGCCTAACATCATCAAGCTTGGCCCTGATGACCCGGAGTCCATCATCGAATTCTGGTTTGATAATGAATTCGTGCCGGTCGAGTGCATCCAGATCAACTGTCGTTTCCACCATCTCGGCCAGCTTGCCTAGGAAGTTCGATAGTTCCTTGAACTTGGATGTATATGACGATTCTAGGGGAATCTGATATTGTTCATCAACCACGGTCTCGAGTGCTTCAATGAATCCCGGCAAGCGAATGACAACTTGATATGTGCGAACAACATCTTCGAGGTTGGCGAGTTTGCGTTGAAATTTCTTTGCAAGCCGATAGAGGTCGGGTATAGACCGCAGATGCTCTTCCTGCATGGTTTGTCTAAGCTCGGTGTCTGTGACGAATGCCTCGACCAGCTGCTGTCGCTTTTCAATCTCCTCCAGACTCATCAAAGGTTGCTTGAGCCACTGTGAGAGGAGACGGCCACCTATCGGTGTTTTGCAGTGGTTGAGAAGTCCAAAAAGGCTCATGTTCTTGGAGCCATCTCTTGGTCCCGGCATGAGGTTGAGTGCCCTGAGGGCGGCGGCATCTAGTTTCATGTACTGGCTGAGGTCGTGCTGATACAGATTATACTGACCAAAATTGCTTGGATCAGTCAAAACACCTAGGTATTTGATCAATGCTGCAGCACTGCCCATTGCCAGTTTGAATTCTGCGTGGGGAAGAAGGCCCATGGCATTTTCACCTTTGAGAAGTCTGGCGAGGTCCTGTTCAATGTCTTTGGCAGCGAAATCGGCCAAAGACCTCTCGGTGATGGCTATGCCACATGCATCTGCGATTTGTCGCAGCTTTGCGAGCTCTGGGTCCTTGGATTTTTGATTGTCGCTTGCCAAAACGCACTCGCGCACCCCAAGCTGAATCAAGAGACTTTCGAAGTTTGAGTAGAGATCGTTGTCGAGAAACTCGCTGACTCCAAGCTCTCGAACGCTAGCATCTGCGAAGCAGACACCTACACTGCGCGCTTCCCCTGCCTTTGCCCTCACTTTGACGGCGAGAATGATGGGAGCACTGTCGCCCTGGCTGTCAAGACCTGTACCTAGCTCTTCTTCGACTGCTTGAAGATTGCCCGGACTAGCTTGCCGTGCAAGCTTCCAGTTCCCCTTTCCTTGGTTGTCCCATATCTCGACTCTCTTTCCAAGTTTGAAAAGTGCTTCACGAAGGAGGTTACGAAAGACGGTGGTTGATAATGTAACACTGGGAAGGGAGTTGTCTGATCGTCCAAGATTTCTGATTACGGCGGTGGTTTTGTATACAGTGCGTGCAATGAAATCGGCATCATCGCCATGTGCTGAGTAATAGTCACCTCGGTCAAATACTCTGATGGTGCTGGAACCCTCAGGACTGGCGGGTAAGGAGCGAAAGGTGCGGATGAAGCCAGTCTCATCGTCAACCTATTCAAACATTGGAGTCAATGAAGGTTCCTGCCAGATTGGGCTTGCACAAACCTTCAAGTCAGGCCGAGATGCCATTGCTTATGCTGAGATTCTAGTATTGTGTGACATGAGGTTTCGACAGTAGGTGACGATGAGAATAGTTCGTTGTCATTGATGGTGTCGCGATGTCCAGGGCGTGTCGCGTCTGACGCGACTCGCGTAAAGTGGTTTGGAGGGAGCAGGCGCAGCCTTGGCAGTTGGAGCCAAACCCTTTCATAAAGCACACAGCAAGCACAGTGACCCCAAGTAGCCTAAGTAGACCCAGCCAGGGCCGCCGACCTCCAATGCCATCAGATTTCTCCTCCTTACCAGGCACAGTTCTGACTGTACGGTATGTAGAGAGCTTACTATGTATGAGTGTATACTTACATACGAGAGGATGTCCTGGTTGACATCGCCCGTGGGGTTTTGCTCCGTTGGTTTTGATTTCCCTGATTCGTTGGGCGGTGCTGCCCAACCTACTACATGATATCTGGGTAAGACCTCACTTGGTTCTCGAGCAGGCAACCGCAGAACAAGCCTGATGCAGATCACCGCAAGGTCCGTCGAAATCAAGGAAGGAAGACATCGCCTCTAATGGGCAGTTCCTTGTGGCTATGCCGCCTTCTACTGCCTGGTAGCTATTTCCAGCCATGGACCTGACTTGCAAGTCACATTGCATCCCTCGTCAGATGATCTCAAACCTCAGGTCTGATTTGCTCATGTGTTGACAATCTCCATTGGAGGTCATCCCCATTCTGTCGAGGTGAGAGAGCTGCACTTCATCGGATGATCACTTCCAACTGGCAGCATAGCAAATTTTTCATCCTGTGATCTCCGAGTCCTGCCTTCCTGATAATGTTGAATTAGTGAGACCATCGCGCTTGCCCTGGTGCTTGTGTGCCTCCTGCCAAAATCTCATGTCCCTCTCTGACCTTCCTCAAACCCTGCTGTGTTTCTCAGCTAGCAGCAGACTCTTTCTCGTGTACCGCTTCTGGGCCTTCTGCCTATTCTTGATACGATCCATATCATTATCACAGGACGACGTCACGAGCTATTTGCTTTGCGAATCCGCTATAATCACAAGCCACATAAGACAACCTGCCACCATGCCTCACTCTCATTCCAAGAACAAATCGTCATGCAAGCGGGCTGTTCCAGAGCGGGCGGCTCAAAAGCTGCATGAGACCCCTCTGGAATCTGAATCTCGCAAGGAAGCCAATTTCCAGGAAATCGAAGACCAGCTCCCCAAGCGCTTCACCAGGTCCGACATGAACTTCATCGACAAAGGCACCAGTAAGTCTCCCCAGATTCTGCAATGCGCCAACTCACCTCAAATGAAGGTATCCTTGGAGCGAACAACATCTTTGCAAAGAAGGCCGACCCCAAACACAACGAAGTCTGGGTGCTTGACAACCTTGCATTCAGGCCTACTGCGGAGGGCGAAACCGACCCTCAACCCTGGGAGGCAGAATTCGTTGCTTGCTTCTTCCGTACTGGCCGAAAAGATATCACTAGAACTGTGAGCAATATTGCTGATCTTATCGGACTGGATGGAATTTCTGGCAATGATCCAGAGGCTAGGGCCAGGATTGAAGAACGGCTGATGCCTTTTGTCCAAGCTATCGCTCCAGCACGAACCGTTGACATCAATCTTTCTTGGCCAGACCCAGCTCGCTTGTCTCATACAAGACTCCTTGGGCCTTCAAATATGAACGGTATCAGCAGCCAACTTCTTTTGGCCGGTGGCGGAGATGACATGGATGGACAAACCGCCACGGGCACGAGCACAGAATTCCCAGAGGTACAGTTCAAGACACGTTATGCTGGTCCTGAAGGTTGGGCTATCATCTCTGATGTCGACGATACCATCAAGCTTACTCAGACATCAAACCCTCTTGGTATCTTACAATCAACGTTCGCAGATGTCCCGCAGCCTGTCCCTGGGATGTCGGAGTTGTACACAATCCTGCAAGAGGCACTGGTGTCTCCTGCTTGGCTTTACCTATCAGCGTCTCCCTACAATCTATATCCCTTCCTCTCCAAGTTTATCTCGCAGCATTATCCTGCAGGAACACTTATCTTACGACCTGCATCTTGGATGTATCTTGGAGGCTTACTTCAGTCGTTGACAGAAGGCGTGCAAGCATACAAGACTGATCGCATGGAGAAGATTCACTCCTGGTTGCCCAAACGGAAAGTCGTCTGCATTGGTGACTCGACCCAGGCAGACCCTGAGTCATATGCTCAGATGTATGCCAAGTATCCCGAATGGATCAAAGCTATCTACATCAGGAAGGTCACGGACATTCCTCATATGGAGAACAAGAACAAAAACCAGAGATTCATCGAAGCTTTCAAGGATGTGCCCGACCACGTATGGAGAGTTTTTGTCAACCCACAGGAATTGGCGGATCACATTAAGCACCTTTCCGGACAGGCTCATTCAGGGATCGTCGGTGCGATGCTGGGTGTGTGGTGCGGAACCCACCAGGACATGAAACAGGCTCACACCCCTTCAAAGTCCCAAAGTCAAACTTCACTTCGTCATACGCCTGAAGCTGCAACACCACGAGCACCCAGCCCTCAGCCCCAGGAAAAACAGACAGTGCCATAGAAATTTGAGATGTGACATCGGGGACCAAGTCATGGGACTGGGAAACAAGGAAACACAGAGCAGTCCAAAGATTAGAATCGAAACGCTGACAGGGGGCTGTGAGGTGGGAAGAAGATGACAAACTGAGATGAGGCCGGATCAAGAGAAGGTCTGGACAGGAGCAGATTGCATGCATTATCACTACTGGCATTGCCATGGACTCGACAGCCTGCCCCTAATTGAGTATCAGCGTAAAATCGAACAATGGCTCGAACTTCTGAGACCATAGCATAGCGTACACCTCGTATCAGTAGACAGTCTTTCTTAGGAACATTAACATCAACACAGTAAGACAAGGACTCCAAGACGGAGCGACTCCAAGAAGCCACCCAATGTATCAAGTGAGACTCACGACTATGCGTGGGTTAGACAGGGTGGTAGAACATCGTGCTCAATCTCATGAGGCTTGCACGAGGACATGTGACAAAGTCTTGGCGACAAGATACGGTCACGTGAACCTGCGATTTCGGTGTTCAATTCCACACCAACGGCGGATCAATGTCAAAAAATCGAGTTTCGAAAACCCAAAGCCCGAACGAACGCTCTACTGCGCAGACAACTTTTACGCGACCACAACCCCCCCAACGAATAGCCACATCGCAGAATCAAGATGCCGCATGCATTCGACAAGTGTAAGGAGCGCCCTGCACATATCGACGAGATCCTCAACGGACTCAATCGCTATAACCCGGAGACGACGACCATCTTCCAAGAATATGTGAATCAACAATGCGAAGAGAAATTCTTTGATACATACGCCTCGTTGGCTCTCTTGAAACTGTGAGACTCCCACTCTCTTTCGACCATGGCAGCGCATTAGATGATGAAGAGACACTGTATACCACGTTTCCTATTACCTGACAAGTCCATCGGATATCATGGAGATTGGATTTATTAGCTCTATCTGAATATTTGCGCCATCTGTCACAGTGTTGCACCAGCTCTCGTGGAAGATGTGGCTAATTTGTTGACTAGTTACCAATTCAACCCTCAATTGCTCCATCCCGAAACCGTCACCAACATTCTAGTCAAGGCACTGACCGTCTTCCCATCTCCTTCCTTTTCTCTCGCGCTCGCTCTTCTTCCTCCGTCAACGATACCCTACAACTCCGGCAATACCTCGATCCCCACAACAGACCTCACCGAGTCGATTCAAAAGTTGACCAGACTGAACACACTGCTCGAGTCCGCACAATACGATGCATTTTGGTCAACTTTGGAGTCGGATGATCTATATGCAGATCTGTACGCAGACGTTGCAGGGTTCGAGGACCTGATCCGCATTCGGATAGCTGGGGAGGTGGGCAAAACGTTCAGACAAATCGACCTTGCTGTGTTGAGCGGATGGTTAGACCTCAGAGGCGATGCTTTGACAAAGTTTGCTCAGACCGCCTGTGGATGGAGAGTCAATGGGTCACAGGTGGACATTCCTGCAAATGCAGAAAACGAAGCCAAGAGCGAAATCAAAGGCGAGAGGGTTGGCGTGGATATGTTCGGCCGTGTCTTTAGAAGAGGCTACGAGGCCCCTGCATGATCCACACAGACATGTTTACCTAACGATAAACGGGTCTGTAATGGGCTCATGCAATGCCGCTGAAATGCTTGTTTGAAGTGGCTCGATGCAAAACGTCAGTCATGACCAAACTCCCAGAAGAGTTGAAGTTCGAGCAAGATTCGAGGAAGCGTTTGAAACCTCGCATATGGTGCACTTGAAGGCGACCTTCACGCTGAGCATCCAGCGAGCGTGAAAACAACAAGCAGAAACGAATGTTAAGGTCATGCCAGGCGCAGTACATGGAGCTGGCGAAATCCTCTGAGGTGCAGCCAAACTGGCGAAGAATTGAAGAATGCTGTTACGACATGTCATTATCCTCAGTTGTTAAGAGAGTTGCATATGCGAAAGCACCGATCTTGGACTGTTTCACAGTCGAGCCGGATGAGCATCACAATGGGACCTACCTAGGTGGACACCAGGATTACAATACCTATTAGGTAGACTTGATGCTGTAACTTCAAAACTAGATTGCCAAGACCTGCATGCTCGCCCTTTCTTTGCTCTGATTTCACTATCCGTCCATCAGGCATTAGGCGATCTCCTACCGACGGCCACAGTGAGCACAGTGCCGCTATCTTATGCAGGGGAGAAGATCCAGAACCCACGCGGTGGTCGATACCGCTGCACTTGTTACTTAAGCGGTTGGGTGGAAGCAGAGTTTCGCTTAGCTTGATGAAAGTGTCTCGTCAAAATGAATCTGGGGCGGGGGAAAAGTTGGCGGCCAAAAGAAATGGCGAAAGGCATGGAGATGGGCGTCAGATTAATTGGTGTTTACAAACGAATAGGCTTAGAAGCCAAAGCAGCTCTTATCAACACGTCGTCAGGTTTCTCATTTTGTGACTGACCAATATTCGCATAATCAAGTGTCGAGCGTGACTTGGAGGCCATCTTCCAAGGTCTCTGAGTCTCGGCCCCCAGCTCGAATGACATTAAAACGGTAAGACAGTGCGGGATGGTCATGGTTGCACATAGCCCAAGAATTTGAGGTGAGGCGACGGGTTGTCACACGGTGCACCGTCGAGACTGGTTCGAGACTGGTTGCTCTGGGTCCCAGCAGTTCTCTCAACCAAGTCTGACCCGAGGCCCCCTCGGCCTGTCCCAGGCGATGTGATTAGGGCTGAGGGGCGTTGAGGTCCAACTAGAGTGAACCTTGATGATGGTCCCTCGGTCCCCCGAATGCCACCCCCAAGTAATACTTTTAAGCTATTTCATCCGTTTAATCTCGATACGGCCCCCCCGGGTTTCGGTCCACAAGTTCCAGTGTTTTGCAGTACTCCGTAGTGGTAACCGAGTAGTAGGATCCCACGCTCCTCTTAGGAGTGACGCTTCTTCCACATGACATGACATGGCGCGTCTCCGCTGACTTCATCAGACATACGAGTCCGTGCTTGATTGCTGGTCACGCTGGTCTATCATCATCCCTCACCCTCACAACCTCATCCCTTGTATCTCTGATTTCTTGGATTGACATCATCATCGCCATCTCTCGCCATCAAATTAATCCCATATCTTCGTTTCAACCTTTTACCCTTCACTCTTTGACTACCATTTTCCCACTCGATGCCATATCTCTAAACTCCAGGTCACCCGGCCCCGGACCTTGTGACACCCAGGCTTGGGTCGCGAGCAACCCTCATCATGATTGCCTCAACACCACTTTCGCTCCTCCTCCTCAATCTACCAGACGAAGTCCTCATCACCATCTTCGGCTTTCTCGACATCCGCACTTTGTATAATGCCACCCTCGTCTGCAAGCACTTTTGCGACTTGTCGGAACCCTTTCTGTATCACACAATCCAGATCCTGAACGGCCGTCAAGCCACTGCTCTCTCCGCCAGCTTTCAGACAAGTCCCTTTCGCACAACATGGGTCCGCTCTCTTCTCATCTCCACTAAGTTTGGCGATGATCAAGGCCTCTGTACGCTCCCGCCATATATTAGTCGTATGCGGAACCTGCAGACCCTCTGTCTCGAAACCCCAGACTGCAATGCCAAGTTTCCCGAAGAGCGAGTTTCCTGGGTCAGCCTGCAGGACAGGTATGAAAGAATCTTTGAAAGCGCCTCTGCCGTTGTTCCAGAGTCCTTTGGCCGAGTTCTTCCCAATCTCAAACAATGTAAGTTGCTTGTAGTTGGTGGACGTCTTCCCTTTCCTCCTCTCCCTCTAATCGTCTCTTCTCATAGGCACTCTCCACTTCGTCGACGGACAGAAGGAAATCTATTCAATGACCAAATATGCCATGCTTTTCTTACACCCCAGTCTCAGGTCTCTCACCATGTCTTGTGCGAGTACAGATTTTGTCGACAAGCTATTGACGCCCTTCCAAAATGACCAATCCCTTTTGAAGTCAACTCGACTAGAACATTTGCATCTCGAGGAATGTGACATCTTCTCACCATCTCTCGGCATTCTGCTGAGCTTCCCCAAAGCTCTGAAATCCCTCAAGATCAGTGAAGGTGTTCGGTATGACGGCATCTTCACGGCAAGAAATAGTCGATTGCATGGTAACGTGTCTCCCGGTCCATTTGTCGATGCAATTTCCCAGCAGTGTGCGTCGTCGTTGGAATATCTTTCCCTGAGCCTTGGCTATGCCAGACAAGGTTTTCAGCACATCAATCATCCAGGCCAGCACTTGAACCTTTCCGGATTCCATGCACTCAAACAGCTGGATCTCGATGTTCGAACCATCAATCTCATCAGAGTCCGAGCTAATTGCGACCATGCCACCTGGCGACGACTACCTCCCCACCTCGACACGCTCAAGGTCTTTGGCATTCCTCTGGGCGAGCGCCCACCATTCCAGGCTCGCAGGCGAGTTTGGTTTCCGCTGGATACTTGTATAATCACAGACAAGGCCAAGCATGGCGTTCGACTTTTGCGAAATGTGATTTATTCATACGAATACTACCGTGAGGACGAAGAAGTGCCAACACCAAGCGGCTCAGAAGACGGCGACAGCATCGAAGACATTAGCCAGGTCTCAATCGCGCACGATCGCATGATGACAAGATGCAAGGAACTCCAACATCTCTTTGTCAAGGCTGGTGTGAGGCTAGAGATTGAGGTGGTTGCCCTGCCCAATGGCTTCATACCTCCCTACCTGTTCCCCGAAGACAAACCCCGGGCTTTCATGCTCTGGGAGTCGGAACCAAGATCTCCTTGATGTTATCGGCCCTCCAGTGTTGTTGAACTAATGGGCACGTCTTGATATTTTGCCACAGTATCGATTCGTACGATATAGTTGAGTATCATGTTTTGGGACACCATTCAATCTGGCGGAGCTTATTCACAACTGCAACTGCACCACCTCCTAAGCGCTATAGCAGCGTTCGTTCCACGCCCCCCCGAACCTCCACACCTACCGGCCGACGTTACGGCCGTGAGCACAGTTGACGCAGAATTACTCAGTTCCCAACCCCATTCCAAATACGACAAACTGCAAAGTCAGCATGGAACCGAAATCACGCCAGACATGCTCAACTGCACTGTTACAAGGCTGGCTTGCTCTTGAGCAACAGCGGACTCCGTAACTTTGGCCTTCAAGCACGCCTGACTCATCGTTGTTGGCCATCTTCTACGCCTCGTTGCCCATCGGATGTATGACAGTCAGACTTGGCAAACAGCCTGACTCAGCAGTGCCTCTTGCCAAAAGCTCCGTCTGAGGCCACGTGACCTTAACGAGCGAATCCTCGTTCAAGGAACCTTGGTCGTAAGAAGCCAAGTGTGAATATGCAGAATTGGGCATCGGCATTCTTTTGAACTTTCATAATCCAGATACCCTGGTCCCTTTTCTACTATGGCTACCCTGGCCATACCACTAGCATCTAAACACGACTGGACATTGAAAATGTCAGGATTAGCAGAGTGAGCTATCTCCCAATGACAGTTCCTCATGCCGCCTTAAATCGTATACAGTATGGCTATCGGTTATACAGACACATGACAACGTGCTTTGCAGCTCCCGTTTACGGCCTCAACCCGAAACACCACTATCGTGGCAAGGATGATACTCCAGCCTGTTCCCGGTGGAAATTTCGACCGGTTCATCGTCTTTTTTTCAAGTCCTTGCAGTATAAGAGCAATGCAAAGCCAATGAGTATGGTTCTATGTCCTTGAATACAAGTTAGCCTGACCAGACGTTCGATTCTTTCTCTGAACCTCCACAGTTTCTCTCTCGATAGTGCATTGTCTATCCCCTCCATTTCCTGTTGCGCGTACCGCCATGGCTGACCTTTTGCGGGATGCGCCGTTTGGGCAGTTGGTTCGGCTCATCACCAGGAACGGGTTTCTCGCCTACCCCGACGAGCGTCCAGGCTTCCAGGATGACTGGAATCAAATCGTCTCTAATGTTGCTGAGAAGAAACCCGCGGCGTCTGGCGCTACTGCCAACACACCTCAAGACGCAGGGGTCGCGGACGCCACTCCGCCAGACAAAGAAGACCTTGAGGCTGATCTCCGCCTATCCATCATCCCGACTGCCAGATCTTCTGATGGATCAGTGCGAATCTCCACCAGAACCATCACTCGTGAAGCGACCCGTCCGTTCTCCCGAGAAAGACTCGAAGTCGAACAACAGGAGGCTGCTCAGCGTCAAGAAAGCAGTATCATCATACCCCAAACCACGGAAGAAGGGCTCATACTCGTTACCTGGTATACCACTGACGATCCGGAGAATCCACAGAACTGGAGCAGCAGAAAAAAGGTCTTTGTAGCAACCATTCTCTGCGTCTACACTTTTGCCGTATACGCAGCGAGCGCAATCTACATCTCCGCCATTCCACAGATCATGGAGAAGTTTGTCGTTGGCCAAACGAAAGCTTCCTTGGGTTTGGCCATCTACGTGTTGGGATATGGCCTTGGTCCAATGGTAAGTCGAATCTACACTCAAGAAATGGCAGTATTGATTCAGATTCTCTCACTCATAGATCTTCTCGCCACTGTCGGAGGTCCCTGCTATTGGCCGAAACTTGCCATACATCATCACCTTTGGCTTTTTTGTCATCCTTTGTGTGCCTACAGCACTGGCAAACAGTTATGGTAGTCTGATTGCACTTCGATTCTTGACAGGCTTCGTTGGGAGCCCTGCTTTGGCCACTGGCGGTGCGACAATGAGTGACATGGTATGTTTTCATCACTCTTTGTCTTCTTGGACAGTCACTGATTCGATGTCTTCAGTACGGCCTCTTGAAGCTTCCCTACGCAATGACTGCATGGGTAAGTGCGGCCTTTTCTGGCCCCGCCTTAGGTCCCCTTCTATCCGGCTTCTCCGTCGTCGTCAAAGGATGGCGATGGGCCCTTTGGGAAGTTCTCTGGATGTCTGCCCCCGTCTTTGTTGTCATGTTCCTCCTCATGCCTGAAACCAACGCCGACAACATCCTGTACCGACGTGCTCAACGTCTCCGAAAACTTACGGGAAATGATAACCTCAGATCTCAAGGCGAGATCAACCAAAGGAATACAACAGTCTCCAAAATGATCATTGAACAACTTTGGCTACCAACCGAGATCGCCATTAAAGACCCTGCAATCTTCTTCACAAATCTATACACCAGCCTCATTTACGCAAGATATTACTCGTTCTTCGAGGCTTTCCCCATTGTGTATATCGGCATTTACGGCTTCAACCTGGGCCAGCTGGCGCTCATCTTCCTTTGTATCACGGTTGGAACCGTTCTGGGAATCGCAATCTACTGTGCGTATGTCTATTGGTATCTGGAGCCGGACATCAAAAAGCATGGTCTTCGGGCGCAAGAGCACCGACTTGTCCCTGCCCTCGTCGCCGTCTTTCTTCTTCCCGTAGGCCTCTTTTGGTATGGATGGACTCAAAGAGCCAGCATCCACTGGTTTGTGGGGCTCCCGGGCTTGACTCTCTTCCCCTTGGGATCATTTGTTCTGTAAGTACGCTCCCGACAATATGCGTCTGACATTGCTTGCGGGATTGGATTTTGGTGGTGCCCAAGGCCCAATCCTAATCAATCTTTATCACGGTTCTTACTGACTCGCCAATAGGTTCCAATGCATCTTTATGTATCTACCTCTCTCATACCCTCAGTACTCTGCCTCGCTCTTCGCCGCCAATGATCTCTGTCGTTCCGCCCTCGCCGCCGGAGCTGTCCTCTTCGGCCATCCTCTCTACGTCAACCTGGGGGTTCCCAAAGGCATCAGCGTTCTTGGAGGTCTGACGGTCGCTGGTGTCATAGGTATTTGGGCTATCTGGTACTATGGAGCCGATCTGAGAGCAAGGAGCCGATTTGCACAGAAGTGAAAAAGCATTGCAACTGGCGAAAAACATCATAGCCTCCCCTTCTTCCCACAGAACGTGGGGATACTTCCATTGACTGAGAAGGGAGTTGATCGTGAGATTCAATGAGACGGAAGAAGTATAATGTATAATTTCAGTGTGTAAAGACTATCCACAACCAGTGGGAAAATCTACATGATTCGCTCTATTTTCCAGTCGCTGAGCTCTCAGAGCCAGACCTTTTGCCCACTTTAGTACTTTTCTGTACACGTATCCTCTTGATGAGAGTGGCCTTGTTACAGGAACCCAGACCTGTTGCCCACTTTAGTACTGTTCTGTACACGTATCCTCTTGATGAGAGTGCCCTTCTTGTGGTCACTCTTTTCCCCGATCTGCGAGAATTGGGTAGCCTTATCATGGTGCCCGGGAGGCTTTCCACCCGCATTGCCCACTTTGGTACTGTTCTTTACACGTATCCCCTTGAAGAGAGTGCCTTTCTTGTGGTCACCCTTTTCCTCGATCTGCGAGAGTTTGATAACCTTATCATGGTACCCGGGAGGCTTTCCCCCCGCATTCTGGGGAGTGTAATCATACGTCCGAACAAGATCTGCTGCATGAGCAACCCTAGTGACCCACAATTGGTTGGCTGGCTTCTCAAGGAAGGCACTCACGTCTGCATCGCTGGGCCAGCCCAACGGTTGGCACAGCTGGCGAGCAGTGTCGATTTGCTCCCGAGTTGTAGGAAGAGGTGTTGTAAACCACAGGGCGTCAGGATCCTGCGGTGGAGCGCCTTCGCTACCTTCGAGGAAAAGCCGGATCATGCAAAGCAATTCATGCACCCTAGAAAGATATTCCATCGAAGGGAGACCTTCGTCCGGGGCAGGAGTAATCAAAGGATGGGTCTTTGGACCACCCTGAAATATGTCCATGTTGTCGTTGAGCCATTTCAGCACGGATATCAGGTCTGGGACATCATTTGCAGAGATGATGGCCTGCACCAGTGATTTGAGATCCCTGACCTCGGGCACGAGCAATGGTGGCTTCGAATTCAACTGCGTGAAATCATGTCCGCAGATGGCATGTGCAAAGAGGATCTTTAATGATCGGATGACAGACAGAATTTTCCCAGAATATGTTTCCGGACGCAAAGTAAGCTCGACAATGTTCGCAGCCAATCTGAAGGTGTCAATGTCTGGCTGAATAGTCGAGTTCTGCATCGATGAAAATGTAAACATCCTCGTAAAATTTCGTAAAACCCTGAGTTTGATTTCAAAGTGAGAAAATTTCCCGGCGTTCGCGCTCATATTCGTGATAGCGATTAGGTCATGGACTCCCCGGAGAAAACCATTCCACACAATGGTATCGGGTTTATCTGCCAGCCGTAACAACTCTTCTGCGTATGTAATGGGATAGCAGGACTTCAGTTGCCCCGACTCCCAACGCTGAAGCTTGTACTCGGTCGGTCCGATTGCGCTGGCTGGTAGTCGAAGAACAGGATGGTCACTCAGCGCAAACCTGCACAAGAGGCGCATGAAGGAGGCCCAGAGTTGGGGTCTCAGGTTGTGGAGCATTTGTGCAAGAGACTGTCGGGGGTATTTCTCGGCGTGAAGTAGCATATCGCTGATAACTTCACTCAAAGCAGAATCTTGAATATACCTGAAACCGGCCTCGAGGCTATCGGCGTAGTCCAGCAAGTCACAGAGCATTCCTCCGGCAGGTTTGATACCTTCCCTCAACATTTCCTCGTAGAACTCGTCCGCCGTCGGGATCTTGCGCTCCACATAAACCATTTGATTGAAGTCTGGGGGCTCTTCGAAAGTCTCCAACAGATCGCCTGGAAAGTGTTTCCGAGCCTCGTCAGAGTCGGTCAGGACCGTTCTGGTCATCAGCTTGCCCAGCATGGCATAGTAAAGCTTCCTCTGCCGGCCTCCAGGGTTAGAGTTTTTCAGATAGGCACAAAATGCTGCCCATGCTTCCAACCTCGTTCGGGTTGCCTGAATACGAGCATACCATAAGTCATGTTCAGGTTGTACTTCATCTTTCTTTGTTTTCATCGGAGGTGACAATAGCCATGGAAAGGGTGGCCTTCGCAGAACAGCTCGAGTCTGGATAGTTGGGCTTTTATCAGTATCCCAACCTGCTAGCGCTGAAGCAGTTTGTTCCCAAGAGGCATGAGAATATCCAGCTTCCGACATACGGCGCAAGAGTTTGCTAGTCCGGCTCTCTTGCCCGGGGTACTCAAGATCCTCTTCTATACCAAGCTTGTCCTCTCGCCAAGGGGGCCAAGACAAAGATTTCGCCCCTGCCCATGCCCGTTCTTCTGGAGTTTTCTTGTGGAGTAGTTGAACCTTAATCAAGGCTCGGAAGCCTTCTCTCGTCACAGGTAGTGAAGGTTGAAAAGAGAGCATCATTCGAACAAGCGCAAGCTGTGCGTTCTGCTGCAACAGATATGAGTTGAAAGCATTTCTCCTGGGAACAAGTGAAAGAAGAGTGAGGAAACGGTTGAAAACGTGCGTCAGTCTTCTCACCTCATGCTTGCCGGCATCTCGTCCCTTGTAGTGGTATGAAAAGAGATGTCCAATGATGAAAACGATATCGGGGATCTGTTCTGGAGACACATGACGAGCATGACGTAGAAGTCGAACAACAAGGCAAACTCTCGTCACCCATGAGAAGCCACGGTAACTAAGAAGCTCTGCACGTAATGTGTCGCAAAGTTGCCGGAGGCCTAAGGGACTGATTGACCCTGCTCTGAGCATTTGCAGAAGTACCAACTTTGAAATTCGTCTCCCCTCACCACGCTCACGAAAATCCTTGTGTAATGCAGCATACCTATTGATTGCGATGTCTATCGAGGAAGCGGACAATATCCAAGACCAACACGCGACGTCGCAAGCATCGAACCGAGCTTCTGCCAGCCTCTCAACGGCGGTATTGTCAAAGGTCTGTTGTATTGCCTTTGAAAGGAGGGCCTGCTGGTGGGGGGTTTCGTCTTGGTCTAAGAGCGGCTGCACATTTTGCATGTATGAGATTAAGACGCTCCGAGTGCGACTGTCAGATCGAAAGGAGGTTGAAGCGGGAGTTGTCGATGTAGTGTCAAGAAGGTTTACTTCCCAACGAAGTACATTGGTGTAAGACAAGTCAATCTTTCGAGGATTCTCCCGAACGGAAAACAGATTTATGTCAGTGTGTTGCTTGGACCGCCGCCGGCGTCGGGTTGCATTATGATCTCGATCATCAAAGCCTGGAAGGTCTTCCAAGTCGACCTCTGTGGCTTCGTATGTCTCACGGACGTCTTCTGCGATTTCGTCTAGCTCGCGATCGATTGGCCCCTCAGAGCTCTGTCGTACTACTGAGGAGACGGGTTGTTTCAAGAATGAGAGAAATGAAGCATCGTCAGAGCCCTCACGTCGGATGCTTAAAGGATCGTGGACGGGAGGAAGGTGGTTGGTTCTAGATTTTTTGGTCGATGATGAACTAGGTCGCGATGTGCATGGTTGCAGACCAGGAGGGCCGCCCGATATACATGGCCGCTGTGCCAGTTGCGGCATGTCAGTCAAAGAGTCACCCAAACCCAAGTGGACTGTACTGACCTCACGAGTTCTGCTCAACACATGCTGTGGAGAGCGACCTAGCCGTCTTATAGAAAATGCCCTGACTCTGATCATCCATCGAAGTGAGTAAGTGAACAACGATCACCAAGTGCGCCGGCAGGGCATCTCCGGGCCTGAGTCAATGAACGAGAAAGTAAAGGAGGCTGTCAAGAGCTCATCAAGAAATTAAATATGCCTGCGATGGGTTTGCGTCGAAGGAGGAAATACTCCTAGGACCCCAATGCGGATTTATATTTATCCGTGACCCCCGAAACGCCAAGACGTTAATATGAAGGAATTGATCCCTTAGCGCATTGCTAGCGTCACTGGCGGCTCTAAATGGTCATCCTGGCCATCTCCGTCGTGTGGACTTCAAACTCGGCTTCTGTCCCATTCAGTTCTCAAGTTCTTGTCGCGACCAGATTCAAAATACACAAGTCGCCATCGAGCCATAATTTCCGATCACTGCCTGTACACATCACAGTCAGACGATTCCTCTCAGAGCTTTTTCTAAGTACGGCAACGATCCAGCCTATTCTCTTCTTCTCTGCCTCATTCAGCTGCGCGTCTTGAACAACATTCGCAGTGCCCGCAGTTAACCCTTCGCTTCCTGATCGCCCAAGTATTTCCCCCAGATCCGAGTACCCACAACCCGAGCACCTCAGCATACTCTTCGTGGATGACAACCTCTTGGTGGTGTACCAAGGACAAATGTATACATTGCACCAAAAACGTCGCCAGCTTTGCAGACCTTGACGATCCATCTCCGGCTGCGTCACCTGTTCGATATCATTAATCCACTAGTCGGCACGTAGAGTCAACGCGCACCTACGCGTGGCGCAAGTCACCATGGCTCAAGTCAACGGATTCTCCCCCGACGACGACACGGTGGCAGTCGTCACTTCCCATTTAGGCAAGCGAAAAAGAACAGTGTCTCCTGAACCGAACCCTGCACATGAGAAACAAACAGATTCTTCGCTTCAGAGTGCTTTACAAAGCATTCTACAAGTGTTTCGCGAGTGAGTCTGCCCTATTTATCATGCCGATCCTGTCCATCCTAACTTCTTGACAGAAATGACACCACCCCATCACTCTTGAAACATCCACTTCATACCCCTGTGGCCGATAGTCCCGACACGAAAAGAACCCGTTTGAATGCCAAAGACTCGGGTGACAGTATTGAGAGTCGCATCCTAGCTGGGTCTTACTCTTCACTCGACTCCCTGACCAAGGATGTGAAGATCGTCCAGGCGGCAATTCTGGAGACAATCTCGGCTTCTCCTGTGAACGGCGATGAGCAATACCATGTATCTCGTCACCCAGACACCAAGGACAAACTCTCCAATCTGGTACAACTACTTGAAATATTCACACAGCAACCTTCGAAGCTCGTAAATGGCAAGGCTGTCGAGGCTGTCGAAGATGAATGGTCCAACCAAGACAACTCTAGTGGTCGAATGGGCCAGATACTGTCTCTACGAACGCAAATCAACGGTCGACCACATTTCCTATATTCAGGTCTTGCATCTGATCAAACAGCCGAGTCTCCCTCGCTTGATACAACCCCCCAGATCAAGGATACTGGGCTTCCCAATGGACTGGAGGTGACAGACTTTGCATTGTTAAAGGCTGCTCGGACATCTGGAAAGATCATGAAGCGCAAGTTTGGCGAGGTGTTTCATTCTAATCATATTGGCACAATGTCTCGGAAATTTGATTCTCCAAAAGCAACTGGCTTACGAACCAACACTTTACGATTTTCAACTCGACCTAGATACTGGGATCAGAATCCTAACCCTGGCGACTACAAGGACACCAAACTGGAGACTGGCTCATGGTTGTCTTATGGTTCCAACAGCTCGATCTATCAATCCAAAACAACAGGTGGTGATTTACAGCCCGCCAATGGCATTCCGAATGAATCATTGTGGACTCCATCAGGCACTGACGACCTCTTCACTTCTGCCTATTCGTCTTTTGCGCCTGCATCTGACAATTCGCTCTCGGTTCCCTCGTTGCGTGAACGTGGCCAGGCTTGGTGGCGCGAACATGGCAATGAAAGATTATCAACTATATTTTCAGCGGACAAAGGACCAGGACAGTCACTAAGAGAATCATCTGAAAAGGGCGAAGAATCCTCGGATGTGGATGAGTTTGCGGACCTTGTTGCCGAGTTCACTTCAATGGAAGACGAGGATCTGGCTGAGACGACCGAAGAGGCTAGCGACATCGACACAGTATTACAGGAATTGTCCGAGTTGATTGAAATCTTGGCGTCACACCAAAAAGCGCGAGCTCTTAATCCTCCCAGCAAACTCTCCTCGCCAACGCAGCCGTCAGAAGTTGAAGTTGGTGTATACGAGATGCTTCGGGGTCAACTCAGCATACTGGTGGGAACCTTACCTCCCTATGCGGTGGCCAAGCTCAATGGAGATCAGCTCGCGGAGCTCAACATATCCACCAAAATGCCAGTTGAGGTACCGGCCTATGCAGGTACTGGACAGGTTGATGACTTCGTCCTGAAACGGCAGAGGGCGTCATTGGCGGCAACCTCGGCAGCCAGCCGCTCAGGTGCAGCATCGCACCCTCGACAAGGATATACACAGGGTCAGACTGTCACAAATCCGTACAATGGGCAAACTCGAAATTATAACCCGTCAATTCCAGCTAGTGCTGGGTACGGAGCGAGGAACACGACCAACTACCAGACTCCGACAGCACCACGACCTGGCTTTAATCAAACGCCGTATCAAGCGCAGACTGTGCCATATAGTAATAGGCCGACGATACAACAATTCCAGCGGCCAATCCAGCAAAATGGATATGTCAGCAACGCGAATGGACCTCCGGCGTCGTATGCGCAGGCTCAACCGCCCGGATTTGCTCAGCGGCCAAGTCAGCCAGGGTATCAACAACGTGCTCAACAAGGTGCCATTACGAGTGCAGGGCGATCTGCATCACCGCAGAAGCCTCTGACCAATGGACAAATATATCCAGCCAGAGGAGGCCCATCAAATCAGTATCTTTTCCCACGTCAAGCCTCTGGTACACCAAGCACACCCGCTGGGGTCGTTCAAGCACCGAACAGTGATGCAAGTGGACATAACATCTCTGCAGCGATGGCCAAAACAGCGCAACAGTCACTGTCTCCGGGGGTCAATCTTTCTCAAACGGTGGAAGTCTCGCGATGAAATGGGGAAGGCGACATGTTTTTGCAAAAGTTTGAGACGCTGTAACATTATTGATTTCTGCTGCTTATCCAAGCTATCATTACTAGACCTGTTTTTAACAACGATGATTGAAGCTTGGGTTGCATTGCATAACATATTGCTGCAAGTATCAAGGAATCTTCTTTTTTTCATCATGTCGGTTGAATGTGTATATTGCAAAGCACTCGAATAATTTCTAGGACAGCCAATTCATGTGGCAATACGGAGATGAAGTGGCGTATAGCGTCTTATCAATTAATACACGTGATTGGACTGTGTGAGGCGACCTTGTGAGACAGACGTTGACAGACAAAATGCGCCTAAGTATCTAAACGAGTGTCTAAAGTGCAAATATTACGTCAAGAAGCCTGCGCCATCGGGAGTCTCTGGGAGGCATCCTTGTCTTGCTCACAAACAAGAGATACGGGCACTACGGGGCAACGATCTCTGTAGATAGGTGGTATGCACATGTATGTCAGGCGGTAGCGAGGTTGGGATCAAGGTGATATCTTGGATCACCCTTGTATACGGATCAGGTTCGCCTAGCGAGACAAAGAGCATGAATATTACCTTTTATTAGCTCCAACACCTAGGGTAAGATTGGCCCAGTCGATTGTATCTTGCCCAGCCACCCCAGGCGAACGGGATGATGTCGTCCAAGTCTTGCAGCGAGGCATAATCAAGGAAATGTGGATGAATCCACTTCTGCAGCACAGTCAGGGTGCTGGTGCCCTTCCTGCCCTTCCTGACCAGGTTGTGTGTTTTTGTATATGAAGCATCCGTTTAGGCTGACCGTGAGACGAGTGTCAGGAACTTTGTGCTCGTCTCGTGTCGTGAAAGATATCAAGTCGGTGGTGAGTGCCACTTGACCGGTCGTCGGCTATCTCTTTGTGCCCTGTTCCACCTTGCTGGTGTTCGCCTAGTTCAGTCATCTGACTTCTCTGTTGGGAGCCTCAAATTGCCTTTTCCGAGATTGGAGGCGACATATATTCTCGATCGCCGTCTTGAGGGAATTTAATCGCCTCAGAGGGAAACCCCAGTTTCTACAGCTTCGTATCCTAAAGCCAAGATACACCAGCGGTCGCACATCAACCACAAAAGATTTAAGCACGAGTATCCTCAAATTTGAAGCATCCGCACGCAATCAACATGTGTTTTGGGGGATATAGAGATGACGACCGGGTGATTATTCGACGACGAGAGTACCGTCCATCACACTCAAGGTCGCGTGAATATGTGTCGCGGCCAGAAGTGGCGACATACCGACGAGAAACGGTGACGCGCCGATCGACATCGGCGCATCGACCCAGCCATGATCATCATCGGCACCACCACAACGATCATTTTGATCACCACCATGATCACCACGATCATCACCATGACTCGCCGCGACGCAGTGGGAGCCGAACACGCATTGTGAGGGAGGAGCGAAGGAGCCGACAATACAGCTGATGAGTGACGATTCACGACGATGATGATGAGAATGATAATGATGATGTGATGGAGACTTTGAGATTTCTCGACGCCATGTTTACTGATGAGACATGAGTCCGGTCCTTGTATCTACAGCAGATATTTTGGCTTCTTTGTTTGTATAAGGAGAAAATGTGATACTTGAGAGATTATGAACAGACATGCATCTAAGAATAAGTGCCTCTAGTACCTATGGACAAGAATCTTGAAAATGATGTTGATGATGGGGGACGACGATGGTTTGGTGTTGGTAGGCAAGCAACCAACTGTTGGGGCTGAGATGCCTTCAGTTAAAGGGTTCTACTTAGGTGTGTCGACTGCCTTCAAACAGGCACGAATTAGGTCAGGATATACTTATTAAGTTACCTAAGTAGAGAATACTTACAGCCACCTACGACCTTTAACTACCGACCCTATGAAACCGCCCGAGGGCCCTCAACCACCCTCAATAGCCCTCTACCCCTCCATATCTGCCAATGATGACTGCGGGGACACGAAAAAGTCCCCTCCACCTCATCTCATCTACCAAAGAATCTGCACTCCGCATGTGCATCTTGGGACCCTCGACCTTCCAGTGTCTGAAGAGTCCAAGCTCCCCTAGCACATTCCACATACGTCATGGGCTTTTGCATTCCACCACGACTTCGATAGCTTGCCACGACTTGCTTGGGTGCCATCATCCTCCTTGTGGAACCCAATCCGGGCTCGAGCTGGCTATGTCTAGTCCATGCTTTCCACCTCTCCCCCAAACCTGAGAGCTTGCGACTTTTGTCTTGGACATCACACCTTTTGATTGCTGTGTTGAATTCGTCTCCCAGCAGTATTTTCCAATTCTTCGTATCAGACTTTATACAATCGATTACTCTACTGATTGCCTCGAGCAGACTTGAAGTTGACCTTCAATTCCGGCGTGCCACCTCAACCCCACATTGACAAGCTCATACCCAGCTACCTCCCGCGAGCCATCATGAACCGCGCACTTTCCATCCGCTCTCGCAAGAAGGATGACCATGCGAAAGCAGCATCCAAACATACCTTCTCCATCTCGACTCTCCGCGGTACCACACAGGCCGAGCTGTCCAAGAAACTCTACAAGTTGATCAAGACTGAGAATCATGCCATTACCGCTTACGAGACTGCCGGCCGTGAGCGGCTCTCGATTGCTTCGCAGCTGTCTGATTGGGGTGAGTCGACCAACGACGACTCCGTTTCCGACATCAGCGACAAGATCGGTGTCATTCTTTCCGAGATTGGCGAGCAAGAAGATCTCTTTGTCCAGAACCTCGAGGACTATCGCGCCATCCTAAAACAAATCAGGAACATTGAGAGCAGCGTCCAACCCAGCCGTGACCAAAAGGCCAAGATTAGTGATGAGATTCAAAAACTCAAGTACAAGGAGCCATCCAGCCCCAAGCTGGTCACCCTCGAGCAGGAGCTTGTTAGAGCCGAAGCACAGAACTTGGTTGCAGAGGCTCAACTCACAAACATTGTAAGTTACACCAGCCATCATCAAACAATCATGTAAGCGCTCGCTCACTAATTCTACCCACTCCACAGACTCGTCAAAAAATCAAGGAAGCTTACGACGTACACTTTGCCGCCACCATCGAACGTGCTGAGAAGCAGATTATCCTAGCCCGATACGGCCGACGCCTGCTCAACCTACTTGACGACACCCCGGTGGTTCCAGGCGACGTGCGCCAGCCATTCCCCCATCCCGCGGAAGCCCGCCAAATTCTTACCGACGCCGAACAGGAACTCCAATCCTGGCAGCCCAACCTCGAACCCATTCAGACCAACGCGAGCGGCCTGGGCTCCAACCTGATGCCCACCGAGGACCTGAGCACCCGTGCCACTAGCGACGCCGGGACAGAGCAACCCGATGTCACCAGCCCAGGAGCCACCTCGATTCACAACCAGTCCACTGAGCCACAAGGTCAAGGCGCGAGACTGGAGCAGGCCGCCGCTTAGGAGACGGATCGTTGGAAGAGGCACAGCAACGCGAGCGCCACCAGTGCGACCAGTGTGGAGAGTACGTGGAGACACGTGGGAGATGACGTGCACAGCTGGAGGCAGGGCACAAAGTACGAGTTCAGGAAATAGGTTTCCGGGTGGGCGCCCAAGATGGTGTAGCCAACGGTGCGGACGACGAGGTTGCCAGAGGCAGCGTGGTACGATGTGACACTGTGTGCTAGGGAATTCCAGTCAGTGGTTCTCAGCGCATTGTGTCGAACTGTGTTGGGTCTGGATTTTGTGTTTCAAGTCATGTTTGAGGAATTCGGCCAGGTCTCAGGACTATAGGTGAACTCAGCACCCATATGGGTGGCAGTGAGTGTAAGTCTGCATGCGTCGATGATACCTTGCTGTAGAGGAAGGGGAAGAGCAAAATGCATACGAAAAGAGGTTGAGGGTTATGAAGTGTTAGAAGTCCAGAATATATTGCGCGTAGTCTCGCTATCAGTTTTGCTTTTGTCTCGTATTTGCACAATTGGACTATTGTGGCATCTATCCTTCCTGTTCATCGCTCGCTATATCATGCGTATCAGTTTCCAAGTGAGAATTATCCAATGTCGCATGTCTATGACGTACTTAGTGGCGCTGGCATTTTGAAGGTGCGGGACAAATTCGACCCACCGGTTAGTACCTACATACCTAGCTACGAGTATTATTTCATTAAATGATTGTTGATTGGATTAATTCCAGAGATGTTTGACAAGTATGTATTCTAATAAGTTCTAGGGGTCTCAGTCTCACTTGGACATGGTTGATGCCTCTGTTCCGCAGAAAAAGGGTTTACTCCTCTTCTCGAAACTTATGCCTGAACCATGGGTATGGAAGGTCGATCTCTAAATATTCATCGTATTTAATATTTTATCGTCATCGTTGTTGTTGAAGGCTCAGCGGGTGGACAGGATGTACGGTTGATTCACTGGTGTTTGCTTGTAGCCCACACACCTCCAGTACAATCTGTAAACTCCAATTCAAAATCCAATCTGCATCAATATCCGTCCGGGCCAGGATAGAAAGATCTAACAGGCGAGCGAGACCATTAAGTACAACACAAAGAGAGTCTGAGGTGATTGTTACTCTTGTTCACGGAAGTGGCAGAGCCCGAGAAACTGTTACTGTTCTGGCACCAAGTAACTACCTTAGGCGAGAACCTCCCCGATCACCCATCCCTCGCTCCCCTGCTCCCTCCCCACGCCAGCACTAGACAAGGATCTCTAGGGGAAGATGAACCATTAAAATGTGGTCGGCACATCGCCCACCCGTGCCCTACCAGACTTGCCAGGTGTTCCAGGTTACTACTATGTACCTCATAGAAGTCTCGGAAGCTATTTGGATTACTTCGCTTCGATCTACTTAGTCTACTGTTAATAACGAAGAATGGGGCTCTACTACTTAGGAGGATCGATCTCCTCGGCTCGATGCTTGGTTATCAGCGTCACCTTGCGGTTAGAAGGGAAGGATTTCCCAGCATATCCGTAGGCGAGACCCCCTAACTGGCCTCCCCTGCCGTAGCGCATCCCCCGCCACAGTGGGCATTTGGTAGAGAAGCAGAGGAAGCTTCTACCGCCGTACATACCTTACACTCTTGGAACGGTCTGGTGAACCAACACGCAATGTGTAGGCTGTAGAGTAGGAGTAGGTACGTACATGCTCGTATGTCTAGGTACGCATATGGTATGCATGTAATTAAAAAATAGTGCACGAATCAGACCTTATCAATAACTCTCCCGCAAACTAAAGGTTAGATCTCACGTCAGGGTCAAAGTCAAGACCTCGCTTGCACGATGACCACATACCCATAAAAGCGCCCGGCCGTTTTCGTGCAGAATCCTATACTCCGTAATCCTTGATGGATCATACTATTCTCCATTTCTATGATAAGTACGAGCTCGACATCCCATTATTACAAGTTTTTGGGATCTAACCGCCGAATTCCTTTCTAACTTGGGTGGGTGGAAGTCTTGTCTGTCCATACAACTTAATTAGACTATTCTTTCCTTATTCAAAGGTCAGAAATCTCGTTTCCCTGCACGCGGTTTCATCATTTGCCCCTTCGGTTTGTGGTTGACCCTGGGAGCCAGTATCCCGACTCTTCACGTCTCAGAGCCACCACCAGTCTGGCAGACATAATCCCAAAAAAGGGCTCAACGCAAATCGACTTAAAATTCGCGAGATGCACCATTGATTTGCTTTGACTTGCTCAGCCCACCGGATTCGTCACCAGAGACGTCCAACACCACTTCGGCCGTCATCGTCACCATGAGACACCTGATCCTGCTGGCCGTCGCCGCCTTGGTCGTCCATTATATCGTCAACTATGCCCTTTGTTTCCGCCGCAACTTGAACAAGGCGAAACGGTCGGGCATTCCTTATATCATCGCTCCAGTCTATGCTATCAATTCGTTCTGGCTGGTCACCAATCGTCTATGGTTGCCCCTCTTAGCCAAACTGCCACGGAAGTGGACAAAGTCAATCGATTACTGTCTGCCAGACTTTCCATTTCGCTGCAGCATCGAGATCTTCCAGAGGACAGGATATGAAACTTTTCTCGTCGTCTCCCCCGGAGGAAATATCTTGCATACGGCTGAGCCGGCGGTTATCAGTCAAATCACCACTCGGAGAACCGATTTCCCAAAGCCAATCCATATCTACCGTGCGCTGGATGTGTATGGGAAGAACGTGGTCTCGACCGAGGGCGGAACCTGGCGTCGGCACCGCAAGGCCACCAGCCCACCCTTCACCGAGAAGAACAACCATCTCGTCTGGGCCGAAACGATCGATCAAGCCAGCAACATGCTTGCTTCATGGTTGGGTCCGGACGGCAAAGGAAACCAGACCGTACATCGGGTCATGGATGACACTATGCGTCTGAGCCTTTACGTCATCAGTCGAGCTGGCTTCGGCAGGAAATTGAAATGGCCAGCGGCAGACTCCAAGGTCGACGTCGATGACAACTACGTAGACCTCTCCAAGATCCAGAACCACCAGGATGACATGGATGCGGGCCACTCGATGAGTTACACATATGCCCTGCACTGTTTGCTGGACAACATTCTATTGCAACTGGTGATGCCGCGCTGGTTGATGGCACGATTGCCCGTCAAGGCAGTCAGAAAGGCCAACGAGGCCTATACAGAATGGGGGAATTATATGAAAGAGGCCGTGTCGTCCAAAAAGGCCTCGCTCAAGAAGTCAGACGGGGGCAAAGAATCGATGGACATCCTTGGTCAGTTGGTCAAGGGCCAAGTGGCCTCAGAGGGCGTTAAGAATGCCAAAGATCACACTCTGACTGACACGGACATTGAAGCAAATGTTTTCATATTAATTCTAGCTGGACATGAGACTGCTGCCAATTCAATACACTTTGCATTGGTCTACCTTGCGCTCCATCCACAGTATCAGGTCGGCGTGCACAAGGACCTTGATCGAATCTTTCAGGGGAGAGCGCCATCTGAATGGGATTATGATCGCGATCTCCCCGGGCTCTTTGGTGGTATGGTTGGTGCGGTACTTGCTGAAGAACTGCGACTGGTCCCTCCTGTGGTTGGGATTCCCAAGTCGACTATGGGAGTTGGAGAGCAAACCCTGACCGTGGACGGCAAGACCTGTACGGTGCCGAGTGATACTTACATCAACCTTGCCATCACAGCTTCTCAAAGAAACCCTAAATACTGGCCTGCTGGCAAGCCCATTTTCCCTGGAGGGAGGCCTGTCCACCCCAAGTCTAATTTGGACAACGATTTGGAAGAATTCAGGCCAGATCGGTGGTTACTCGACGAGAACAGAGATGCCCAAACGACGTCGCAAACAGCAACGCCACAGGGCAAGGAGATGCCTGATGAAGTCGTCGCAGGTGATGGCTTAGGTATCAATGAAGCAGCAGATACGTCGGAGCACCTGTTCCGCCCGGTCAGAGGGTCGTACCTGCCGTTTAGTGATGGCTATCGTGCGTGTTTAGGAAGGCGCTTTGCTCAAGTGGAAGTCCTGACCGCTCTTGCCGTGTTGTTACAGAATCACTCGGTCGAACTTGCCGTAGACGATTGGGCCAGCGACGAAGAAGTAATTGAGATGGATCAAGATGCTCGAGCAGAAGTCTGGCAGAAGGCGGCATCCCACGCCCGGAACCTGATGCTCAATGGCCTCGCCGTCATCATTTCTCTGCAAATGCGCACAGGACATGTTGCCATGCGATTTGTGCCTCGAGGGCAGGAGAAGTTCCCTAATAATGTCGATGAGATCTGGAAGAGCAATCACCCCGAATTGCAAACACTCCATGAACCCAACCAGGACTGGGTTTATTGGACCGAGGGACGACCCTCACGCTCTGGCCGGGTGGTTAAGCGGGACAAGTAGATGGTAGACGTGACGTTTGCTTTTTTTTTTTAACTCAGTACCAAGGTACCAGCTACCTACCTACTGTACAGTACCATGTCTTAGGAGGTAGAGCCCCGTGATCCCTCTATCTCTTCACGTCTCAAACATGATCCATGTCCAATATCTACATAGGCGTGTTACCAAGGTCTGGCCAGACATGAAGCTTCTTCTTGGTCCGAATTAGTGTGCAGGTGCCATGCCTAAGCGGGATTTGTTGGCCTGATCTGAGTCGCTGCCTCATCTGACCATTTTGGGATTTAATGCATGCCGCCAACCACCAACCCGTCGTGCCCTTGTGCCGTCAAAGTCTGTCTCGTTGTCTTTTTCTGCTCGGACAAGTGATCGACTGGAAATCAGCTGTCCACTCTGACATGAGCCACATTCTTTCCTGGCGCGAGATTCTAGCAATTGGGGGTCCTGCTGCTCACACGCTGCTGCACCCGTCTTGTGCCATCTCCAGTGCCAGACCCAAGGCCAAATCAACCCTCGCTTTCATTTGTCCAACCCTCTTTCTTTCCGCCCTCCCCGTTGTCCCCGATGTCTCGCTCTACTGTACGTACACCGATCGCAACTGATTACCAGGTGGCGACAGTAGTGACATTCCTAACTGACCCGCGAAGCCTCTTCCTGGCCAAGCACCATGTACCTCAAGGTTGGGCACAAGTCCCGATATGTTGACGAGACTTGCTCTCCAATAAAACCTCCCTCTCGCCTCCGACTGATCTGTTTCTCTATCTCTGCCAATGTCAGGTGTGGCAATTCAACTCCTATTCAGCCTCTGCGAGTCTTCCATCTCGTGGACTGCCATCCCTGCTCTGTGCACTGCGAGTCAATTGGGCCATTCTTTGGCTGCAGAACCTTGCTCCGCTGCTGCGTGCAAGCCTGTTTGAGCAGGCAAGCCTACGTGTGACACGTTTGTGCCCCTCCAACTGTCGACGCCAGTTGCTCTGGTCCACCCCTTTCCTCCGCATTCTCCTAACGAGAGAGAAAGAGAGAGAGAACGCATGATGATCCATCAACGACGTCTACCCCAGTTGGTCAGATTGTGATATGCACTCTTCCTGGTTGGCGTATGCAACAGAGCATGGAGCCTTCAGACCCTGACACTGTTCCAAACTCTGTTTCGTCAAGCACGCCTCTTTTCATCCAACACCCTCGATTGCCTGAATCTGCAGGTTGCTCTGAAAAGGCCTCGGCCACCCCCATCATCTCCGTGTCACTGCATGTTCATCTCGGTGCGAGAACAAGGCCGTCGACGGCGCAGCAACTACCTCGGCGTTAGCAAAACGGCTCGTTCTTCCAAGCTCTCACTCCTTTCGGCAATCACAGGCTTTTCTCATGGATCCAACGACAGTGGCGCAACGGTGACGCAGAAGTCGTACGAGAAATCATCCTCGCGATCCAGAAAGCCCACAAGGACATCCAAGAAGAAAACGCACAAAACTCCCCCCGCCCAACCTCTCACCAAACCCCAAACGTCGTCAATGAAGCCGAGTATGGCAAGGAGCTCTGTCGACGTATTTCAATTCTTGGTGGATGATAATGAGGAGGACAAGCAGTCAAGGCCACCAGACCAAAGCCACTCGCTGGTCAAGGAGGTCACCTTCACCCCGGTACATACTGACGAATCTGATAATGAGAGCAGTGCAGTCAGGAGCCTTCACAGCGATTCCGGGGTATCAATGGCTTCGGTGTCTGTCGTAACGCCGAGCGTGCGCGGAGGGGTGGACGATCGCTTACCGACTGTGATCGAAACACCACAGGAGAAGACTGTGAACAACGCTGTATCCAAGGACCGGGAGAGTCAGGCTACAAGGTTGAGGCTGACATATCCGGACATACCGCAGGCAACACACCGGCGGCATGATCGCACTTCACCTCCACAGTCACCCCGGGCAGAATTCACACCAAGGCGAACTCCACGTTCGGAGAAGTATCTAGACCCAGACTTCGATTTTCCCCGTGTTGCACCCCTTTCTGGCTATGACCTTGTTGCCGATACCCTTGCACAAGGGCGACTCCCTCCTGTATTTCGTCGCTTCCAGAGGGTCAATTTTCGGATCTTGCTCCAATTGCAAGACGAGATCATCGAGATGGAGGAACAGCTTGCGTCTTTGGATGTTGCCGATACAAGGAGCCGCCTGAGACCTGATGGGAGTGCAATACCCGCTTCACGGAGGCTTCAATGGCAACGTGCTCAGTCAGACTTACCCGGCCAACGCTTGGAGGTCCTGGGACGCCTTTATATCAAACTTGAACAGTACTGTAGGTGATATTTCTCCAAGGCGGGATGGCTGGCTCACCTACGAACAGATCAAGCTCTCGACGCCGCACAAAAAGTCTCTAAGGCTTGTTTTCCTGCTGTACCAGCCGAAATTGAGAGTTTCCGGACGTGGCTGCGAGACAACAAACCATTGACGCCGGCCGAGTCCAAGTTTCTGGACGAAGACGAAGATCTGATTGTGCTGAATGACACAACATCGTCGACGACACGCACCGCCAGATCTACAACCCCTGATTTGATCCCGCTTTGCATTTTGTCAACAACACTATTTCCATTGATTTGCTTCAAGCTCACTTCTGGCGTCCTCAACAGATTAATTGTGCTCTTTGCGGTGTTGGTGGCCGGTTTGGGAAGCTTGGAGAAGCTGGACAATTCTCGGGCCCACGAGCATAAGCAATTACTCGTTGCATGTTTCGGTGTCTCTTTTTTGGTTGCTTTGATTTTCTAACGAATACCCTTGTGCGGTGGATCAATCGCATGGCCCGGCATATATGATATAGTATCAGCGTGGAGTTTATGAGTCTGGAACCTGATGGGCTATTTTGTGTGTGAGTACCGAGGACATGACAGCTTTATGAGATATAGATCACACCTAGATTAATGTCTTTGGCTGATCGATCGGCTGAAAGACTGTGTCATGAGCAAATATGGACTCTGGAATGCAAATTCAGATGCAGGATATCACTTACCAGCTGGTTTGTTGATACATAAAACGACCATACTCTGGCTCCAACAAGTTCAGGGCTTCGTCAGTTAAGTACTAGATTGGGTCTGGTTAAGTCCAGGGGCCGTGGGGGTCCCCTCGGGCATTCAGCCTTGTCCCTCCCCTAGTATTTGGCTGGCGAACTAGGGCCTGGAATGCCTAAGGACGACCCAAGGGTCGAGGATCGCGGGGGAGCTGAGTTACTCCAGGAGTAAGTCCCTACTGTACCTATAGTGTCCAGTCTCCCATAGCGTCCGACGTCACCCCCTCACGCGCACGGACCCTGGCCCGTCAACAACATCATCCACGCGGCGAAGGCGAATCGTGACATGCCACCCCAGTCAATCTCCGTGTCTGTCTTTATTCACACATCTCCCTGTTCAACACCTGACCTCACTAGTACTTGTTTACGGACTATAGTCAGAGTCCGTCCTTCCATTCATCCTCCTGATGTACTTTGTTTGAAGCGGCCTCAGTTTGGTTCCCCGATTGACCCCGAAATATCCATTCTCCCCACCCTCAATCGACCGTCTCTGCCTGCGGCAAGCCTGGCATGTGCCTAACCTACGGACTCTGCACCTGCAGGAACAAAAGCATCATTTCGACAGTCATGTCGTAGTTCTCTCAACTTTCTCTCACATCTCGTGCAAGACTCCTGAGGCTTTGTTGCTGGCCCATCATCCGCTCTCCTTGCGATTCCCTCTGTTCCTCATCTCATCATGACCTCCAACTTCATCTCCCGCTTCACTGGTTCTCAAAATAACACCTCGGCCTCCATTTACGAGACAATTCGAGAGCATGATCAAGATTCTGGCGATTCAGACCTTGAAGAGAGGGCAGGTCTTGTGTCAAATCTCCCGCCGTACACCGATGGCTTTCAAGACCTCGAGTCCCCGAGACTCTCCACCAACCAGTCTCAAACTCGTCCTAGCGGAGCCTCCCAGCCGAGGAAAGACAAGGGCAAAGGGTCCGCCAGGCCGCGGTGGGCATACAAGAACCATAAGCTTTTGGACGTGGAAGAGGCCGACGATGATGTTCCCGCCTCCTTGTTGATCGAGGATGGCGTGGGAGGCCGCACCTCCATCTCATTACCTCCGCCACCAAGCCATGTCCCAGATGAATTACCACGGCTTTTCCCCGACAACGCATCTTCAGCGCAGACTTCTGACCGACAACGACGAGGTCGCTCGACTTCCGGTCAATACAATCAAGCAACTCCGACGGCTCGAAACATCTGGGGCAGCTTTGCCAATCAAGACCCGAGGGAAAAGGCCATGTTTCGTTGGGTAAATGTACTCAACTTGGATAACTTCCTGCTTGATGTTTACAACTACTACATCTGCCATGGGTTCTGGTCGACTGTCTTGATGCGTGTTTTCAACATTGTCACCATTGGCTTCATCGTTGGCTTTTCCTTGTTTCTGACCCAGTGCATCGACTATCGTAAACTCAAAGGCAGCAACAAGATGTCCGATATCCGAATACACAATTGTTCCAGCAAGATGGGTTTCGTTCCAAATGCTCTCCTTTGGATCACCACCTTCATTTGGTTGTGGAAGTCGGTCAGCTACATCATAGACATTCCTCGGCTGCGGCATATGCACGATTTTTACCTCCACCTCTTGAACATCCCAGAGGATGAAATCCAGTCCATATCGTGGCAGGAAGTCGTCAGCCGTCTCATGGCCCTGCGAGATTCCAATCCAAACACAGCAGCTGCAGCAGGTCGACGTCAAAGTGCCTGGATCAGGACTCAGAGTAAACAGCGGATGGATGCTCATGACATTGCGAGCAGACTGATGCGACGGCAGAATTATATGATCGCCATGATCAACAAAGACATCCTCGACCTGACCCTGCCCATCCCATTTCTGCGTAACCGAAGACTCTTCACTCGGACTCTGGAATGGAGTATCGATCTGTGCATCATGGATTTTGTCTTCAACGAAAGAGGCCAAATCAAATCTCTATTTCTCAAAGACACCCATAGGACAGCCCTATCAACAGCCCTCCGCAATCGCTTTTTCATGACTGGAGTTGCCAGCCTGATCTTCTCCCCCTTTTTGGCAGCCTTCTTCGTCATCAAGCATGTTTTTCTAAACTTCAATGAATACCAGAAGAACCCTGCCAAGATAGGATCCAGAGAATACAACCCGTATGCAGAGTGGAAGTTCCGCGAGTTCAATGAGCTCTACCATCTATTCCAGCGACGCATCAACATGTCATATCCGTTTGCCAGCAGATATATAAACCAGTTCCCAAAAGATAAGACTGTGCAGGCGGCCCAATTGGTCACTTTGGTCTCAGGAGCTGTGGTTAGTGTTTTGGGTTTGGCGACAATTTTGGACCAAGAGAACTTTCTCAATTTTGAGATTACTCCTGGTCGCACCACCATTTTCTACCTCGGCTTGTTTGGAGGTATCTGGGCGGTCGCGCGTGGCCTTCTGCCAGATGACAACATGGTGTACGACACGGCCAACTCGCTGCAAGAGGTGATTGATTTTACCCATTACCAACCGGAGCACTGGAAGGGACGCCTGCACAGTACCGATGTCAAACAAGAGTTCTCCCAGCTCTATCAGATGAAACTGGTGATTTTCGTCGAAGAAGTCCTAAGCATGATCTTTACACCTTTTGTCTTGTGCTTCAGTCTTCCGAAGTGCAGTGATCGCATCATCGACTTCTTCCGAGAGTTTACGATTCATGTGGATGGCATAGGATACGTCTGCTCATTCGCAGAGTTTGGTTTCAATAATCAAGGCGCACAGCAGCCCGCAAATGTTCCGGCTAAGGATACGCGAGAACAGTACTTTTCTTCCAAAGACAACAAACTGGAAAATAGTTACTGGGGCTTTATCAATGACTACGCGCGCAATCCAAAGACCGACATCAGGTATAACTATCAATCGTCTAAGAGACGATTCAACATGCCTCCTCCTGGCCCCGGACTACTGTCACCCAACTTTGCACCTACGTTCGAGCGGGAACATACCTTTGGCAGTGCGGCGAACCGTCAGAGCATGTTCTCTCCGCCTCATCGTGCAAATTCAGGGACACCAAAGTTTGCTTCTCAACAACCCCCAGTCGGGTCGCCTCTTCAGTCTCTTTTGTTGGACCCCCATCATCAGCCGTCTGCCACTGGATTTGGTACTTCACCTCAGCCGGGGCGAAATGCCCGCGGCGGACAGGCTTCAGTTCTTGCGCGACGGCGACGAGCTCGGCCTTCCAACGTGACAGAAGAAGAACCATCAGGCCATGCTGACAGAATGACAAACCAATCTCATGGAGTGGCGGAGACCATATCTGGCACGACGGAACAGCCTCGAAAAGGCCGATCGAATGGAGCTGAAGCGGGCCTAGCAAGTGTTAGTCCTGGAGTCCCTGAGACCCAGGCTGCGGAGGGGGAGCTAGGATCGTGGAAGTACGAAAACGAGTCTGAAGATGATGACCACAGCAATGGCAGTGACGAGGAGGAAGATAACCTGAAAAACGTCACTGGAGGGGGTCCGCTGAATCTCATCAGACAGTTCCAGAAGGCCCACCAAGGCGAGGCCAGAAACACATCAGGCCTCCCAGGAATCTGACCGCTGGGCTGCCGGAAGCGACATGTGCGTGATAGTCATGTTTCGGCGATCGGGGTATTCCCATGACTGCGGACTCACACGGTATTGCAACATGTACGGCATATATAAAAAAACCTTGTTTGCATTGGTAACGGGGTCCGTGATCAGCATAGTTACAGGCATAGTCGCGGACCCATCCAGACTGTGTGAAAGGCCGAGGGGGCTCATTCGTAGGAAGGCATGCATGATTTAGAGGCAGGCAAGGATAGATACCTAGATATCAGCTCGAAACAGATCGGTGTTTGTGTTACTTTGATGTTGGATGGCGTGCGATCTGAAAATCCTGATGACCATGGGGTTAGAATTCAGAAGTCTGGCTTGTGTTGAGGACATGAGTGACTTGGACGTTCTGGACATGCAAAAGCCAAAGGCGATGGAGTATGGTCACGTGTGAGACCACCTGGGGGTTTGTTGAGGAACAGGGGAAAACCCCCATCATGCTCTGCGCATCTCTTGGTCCTAGATAAATCAGGTAAAGACAGCGAGGCTCTTGATACGTTACAACGTTCGTCAACATGCAGAAAGGAGATCGGCAGTTGGCAGTTACAACTCACAACTCACCTCGCTGCTAAGCGGTAGTGTATCAAAGGTATGGAGTTTCATGATGACGAAGACGATGCGACAGAACAATCAGAAGGGGCCAGACTCATGGGACCGAATCTAGGTACTCAATAGGCAGTTTCCTATTGTATCATGGATGGTTGGGGCGAGTTGATCCGTAAAGAGAGCGGCTGAAACGCGTCAGATGGTGATGTGATGGTGTATATGTCAGCCGGTCTGAAGGGCGTGAATAAAATTTGGTTGGCCCTTTGCTTGATGTTCGTGTTTGTTGTGTTGTTTTGCTATAAGCGAGCGAGCCATCCACCATCATGATCCTTGTCGACGACAGACCGACTGAGCAACAGACGAACCTCGACTGATCAATTTCACCGAGCAAGTATGCAGCGACTAGGGAAATGTCTGGGACGGTCAAGTTCGTGGGGGTCGTGTTCCACCTCGTTCGTGACCTTGCCGTGCCTTGGCAGCTGGACGTGAGTTCGTTCTTCATCTTGGGGCGGTACCTGTAGGCACACTCGAACAGCACAGCAGAGTAATATCCACGTGGGTGAATAAAAACGCCAGGCGGCTGGATTGACAATTATTGCTTGCGGCCACATGGCCATACGCCCAGACGGCAAGTTTGGGCCTGAAATGCCACCCAGCCGTTGCAATAGTCATGGCGGCTGAAGTAGTAAATGGCCAAGTGGTGGAGAGGTTCAACATGTTTATTCAAAAGACTGTTTCTTTATTTAGGCTTGATCCGGGGTCGAAGATCAGGTAAGCAATATCTAACAGGGGGCTAATTGTCTATTGGTATTTCTATTGGTACTTGTTGGTGCCACTGAGCGAATATGGTTTTTACGGGTACAGTAGTCGGGCTGAACCATGTCGACGAGGATCTGGTAGTCGCTTGCGGCTGATGCCAAGAAATCCACATGGATTTTCTGTCTCTATCTAGTACCTCCCTAGGTAATCTCATACGTACGGAGTATGTAGCGTCGTCTTGTGTCGGTGAAGGTTTGAAGTCGGGGTTACATGGATGACTACCTTGTAAGGTCTGATGGCCATGTAACCGCCTCTCCTGCATGTATCACGGCAGTTCCCGGTGTTTCTAGTCGCAATTTGTTCTATAACTTTTGCCTTTTTGTACAGGAAGGATTCAAATACGTAAGCACCTAAAACTTGCCGGGAAAGATGCGACGTACCAGTACCAGTACAGTAGTGGCTATAGGTACTCCAGATTCTCTCGATGTAGCTAGCTACTTTAAGACGAATACTGTAAGCACAGACGTAGATGGCGGGACACTGGATGACCCTGGTGATATTTCCGTCCAGTGGAAAAGAATGCTTTCAATACTGCTTCAGTACTTAAGTGTCATGTTGAATGCATATTGCCAACGTCGTCAACCGTGGCCGGATCTGTAGTTGACATCATGGAGTCTCCAGAATTGCTCGCAGGAGGAATTGTCTAATAGCTAGAGCCTAGATGCCCTAAAGGTTGCGCCACACTAAACGCAATTCAATTTTGATCTTGTGCCGTTGGTCCAAAGTCTACACCTGTGTAGGTGGACAGCTGGGTTCAAGGGCATAAAGATAGAAGCCAGGCTCGTTCGTTCGCTCGTTCGTTCGTTCCCAGATGAAGGTTGCATGACGGGAAGCATGTTATAATACTACTACATTAACAATCTAGCGTGTCGTTGCATGTATAGTATTCAAACTGTCGGCTGTGGAAACCAAACTAGGAAACTTGGGGCCAGTATCAATATGATTTTGCTGACCTTGTAAGGATTCAAGACGCCGGTGAAGCGGATGCTGGCGCCGTGAAGCGAAAGTGTGCGTAATAACAAGCAATGTGTCAATATGCAAGCCTGCCAATTCTCCTCCTAGGCTACCTTACCGTAGATCCTTCTGGGTGGTAGGTACCTAACAAATGTGCGTAAGGTACTTACCTACTCCGTAGGTAGGTAGGGAGGGGTAGGCATGCATGCATACGGCATAACTTGGTCATTCTCTACTGCAGAGCCTTGAGCAGTCCAGGGGCCATTGGCTGCATAATTCATGATTCTCCAGTGACAACTGAGAGTAGAACAGCTTGGCACCAACGAACCCCCAGTCTTGAGTGAGTTTCGTTCTGTTCTGGTTTTCTTCGACAATCCGTGGCATCTTCTTGTACGGTAAGTAGTACCTACCTGCCTAACCTTAGTAGTCATAATCTTGAGCGCTCCTTTTCAAAGGTCCTATGGCCTGCTTGACGTTCATCAACTTCTATCTGATCGGGGCCCAGGGTCCCCACCGCTGTCCCTGGCTGGGTTTATCGCCCCATACTCCGTAGTCATCAAGCCGTTCATGTCAAAGACCACCACGACCGCCTAGACCTTTTGGTCTTGATCGGGCGTGGAAAGGCACAAAAAGGGCTACAGGGGCTGTCGTTCTCCAGATCCCTTTCGGGCTCGACCAGGGAGCCACTGGAGCTTCTCGGTTGAACACTCAGGAGCAATCACGATAGCAAGGCATCAAGTGGCAAGCCCATCACATTCCACCCTCCCCTATCGCCCGAGACGGCTATTAAACATTCTAAAATATACGGTAAGCACAATCTTAACCTGGTCTAAACAGTCAGCCAGGTTAGGGCCAAGACCTCTGGTCTGACAGCTGCCGACATCTCGTGGCTTCAAACTGTTCCACCTGCATGGGATGGCACTGGACAGCACCGCTGAATCGCCTTCGACAAATCCCACCCTGGACTTTCCTCCACCCCATCCGCCCTACCCTAACAGGTTGCTGACCGTCGACAATCCTCTTGCTCCTCTCTGGCTTCTCGTATCCCACGCTGGAAACCCATCGTACCCTGCACATTGGCTGTGATGGCCACTGCCACTGGGCACGGCGCAGTGCGATCCCACCAGCCGCGCCCCGTCGCCAACAAACCCCCTGCAAGCCTCCCTCCTCCTGGCCATCCAACGTCTGGGCTACTCGTTTGCCATGCATTTCAATGAACCTGCATCTCAATTATCGCCCGCCACGACCCTAGTACTTCAAGGTATATACAATATCGTATCCATTACATCCACCCAGGTCAAGACAGTCCTTTACTTTTCTCAATCGCGTTACTCTATATCAATATCTACGGATTTGTCCCTCCCTCTCCTCCTCATACATTTGCATTCGACCTGTCCTTGACCTGGTCCACTGTGATCGATAACTCTTCATAACTCTTCATTTCATACCTCTAGCAGCATGACTACCCCGTCCAGGTGAGTTTGGCATTCGACATCTCAGAAATTGCCATTGACAGGCAGCAAGGGTTCCAGAAACATCGGCCGAGACCAGGCTTGAGCGATCTGTATCCTCGACGCCCAGATCCTCGTCATCTCCTCCAGCCACATCCAGCACCAATGGCAGCAGTAGCAGCAGCGCATCGACTGCCCCTGCTGCGTCCAAAAATGCCAAACCGATTAAACTGAGAGCAGCATGCAATCACTGCTTCTCCGCAAAGGTACCATCTCCGCCTCGGACCCATTGTTGTCATTCTCTGACAGGCATGCTCGACAGGTGCGGTGTGATGGGAATAAGCAAGGCTGCTGTCGATGTCTGGAGAAGCGGCTATCTTGCGTCTATAGCGAATCTCGGGTAGGTAAAGTTGTCGGAAAGCGACGAAAACGGCCCATCGACGACTCCATCGGCAATATCAATTCAAAATCTTGGGTCGTGACCACGATCCCAATCCAGTCGATTCCCTCTCCAGCCACCACTCAGACTTCTGAAGACCATTCCAAACGGCAGTCCAGCCAACCTCCGTGGACTACATTCATCCCTACTCCAGGGGAACCTGGTTTTCTCACATTTGACGAACCTATCGACTCACTGCACGCTGTTGATATGACTGACCACAGAAGTCTGTCCATGGCGAGTGAGTTTGCCTTTTTCAACAATAGCGGGCTTCCCACCCCTGCTCTCAGCCCTCCAAATTTGGCTAGATATCTGTCTCCCGCCCAGCTTGACTCGCACCCGTCTTTGAAAGGGGTGTCTACGCCCTCTGTTGCCAGCAGGTTGTCGGTGACCCGGACTATCAGTACACCCATTATCCAGAAAAGTGACACATTACGAGAAGACCAAGAAATGGTCTGCATTAAACTACTAGCACACCTCAAGAAACATGGTAGCGACCAAAACCAACCTCGGGAGGCGCAGTTGGAGTTGTTGAGAAAGAGCAACGCGGCTGTATCAAGGATTTTAGGCAGTAGAACAATTCGGTCGGAATACAGTTGTCACCTACTTCTATCCAGCATCGTCATCCAACTCGTACGGATCTGCGAGAGGCTCTGCCAGGGAAGCCCAGAAGAGAACCTCAATACTGACTCACAATTTCTCCAAGATCAGATGCATTTTGTCGACGCCATGCCTGGATATTTTGACCACGGAGTGGCGCAGACCACGAACAGGGCGGAATACGAGTACTTGGCCATGTTAGTCCAGGAAGTTATGGCAATCGTGTCAACAGTGGGGGACTTGTTGAAGAAGAAACCACTACAGCCATTCCAATACCTGGGCAGACACGAGACCTTGCACGTCGAACTGGAGTGTCGACTGAGAGAAGCCTCGATGTTGCTGCACTGACGCCACACGGCCGAGTGTGGGTAAAGGAGACTCAATGGACTTACCGCCGTGGATGAGAAAAGGACTAATGAACGTGATAATGGGCAAGTCCCTGCCGTAGAAATTGATATCACAGAGATCAATACGATGATCAAAGCATCCAGACACCAGGGCATGTTGTACACCAGGAGCTGGTCGCACAACATTACCATATCCTGATTCCTCTCGAACCCCTTATTCTCACCTACGGAGTAAGTAATTGCATTATGTGTGCATAAGTTACACCCAAGTGGATGGCATCAAAACGCCAAGGCGGCCACGCTGATCCAGGGGCCATTTTAGTGGATTCGGGAGGAGCAAGTTCACCCGTCATATCCTTCCCAAGCCAACAGTCGTGACAGTCAAGCCTTGTAGGCGTCTGCGTAATGCGGAGCCTAATCCTGGCACGCTAGCCCACGCACTGCTAGCGTTGCCCGTATCCTCCAAATCATCGATTCCATTGCGGGTTCCATGTGGCTCGGTGTCGTAAGCCTCATCAAATAGCCAAAGTACGGAGTACTGTGGTACTGCGTTCTGTAAAAAAGAACAGGACCATGACTTCCACCAACATGCACTCCCGCCCTGTCGTGCATGTGTAATTCCAATCCTCATTCCAACCTACCTCCATCCAAACTTTGACCTTTGATTTTGGATTACATCGAGTCTCAACCTCTCTGCGCCTCTTTCAATTGCCAGACCCATGAGGTGACTGTCGCTCTTTCCCAACAACCACACCCTCGCAAACACGCTTCGCTTGTTGGATTACGTCGATGCAGTTCGTGACCCTTACACCACCATCCCTCCCCGTTCACTCAGCACGGTTGCTATCATCATGACGCGCCTCCGTCGCTACCGGGTTTTTTTGATTGTCGCCGTCATTTCCACCTTCACACTATGGCACCTGAGTCGACTGAGTGACTGGACCGTCTCGACACTAGGAGGAGCTGTCGGTTTCCGACCCAAGCCTGAAGACCTTCCTCCCCCAATCGACTACACCGAACCCATACCTCTCCCGATTCCTGAACCCCAAGAACCACCCGTCAATGCGCCCACCCCCGTCATACATCCTGTGACTCCCACTCCCTCTCCTAAAACACCCGCCGAGTCTCCCTCTACCTCTACCTCTACCTCTCCCTCTCCCTCGCCCTCGCCCTCGCCCGATCTACGCCCTACAGTGACTGGGGAGGAATTGCTAGCCAAACCAGACAGCGCCCTCGATGATTTTGGTGAACGTGGACAAGGTCGTCTGGAGGTTCAGCCCCGCCCGCATGAGCAGCCAAAGGCATACTGGAAGCAACAGGAGGAACATTTCCCTGTTCCTCCCCGCAGCCTCAAGACATTACCCACCGCAAAGGCCAAGACTTTGCCCAAGATTCAATATCCCTTTGGAAAGGAGTCGGCCGCAAAAAAGAACGAGAGACAGCGGAGGCAGACCACCATCCGTGAATCCTTCAAGCATGCATGGTATGGTTACACCAACTTTTCTCTCGGTCACGACGAGCTCAAGCCCTTGAGCGGAGGTTCCGGTAACCCCTTCAATGGTTGGGGCGCCACCTTGGTCGACTCGTTGGACACATTGTGGATCATGGGTCTTTATGATGAATTTGATCGCGCTGTCTCCTTGGTCAAAGACATTGATTTCAAAACCTCGACCAGGAAAGACATTCCACTTTTTGAGACCACCATCCGTTACCTCGGTGGTCTTCTCGGAGCCTATGATATTAGTAATGGGAAATATCAAATTCTTCTTACCAAAGCTGTTGAACTTGCCGAGGTTCTCATGGGAGCATTCGATACCCCCAACAGAATGCCCATCGGCTACTACAATTGGGCACCCTCATACGCATCGCAGCCTCACCGAGCAAGCACCCATATGGTCCTTGCCGAGCTTGGATCCTTGTCCGTCGAATTTACCAGACTGGCGCAGATCACAAAGGAAGACAAATACTATGACGCCATTGCACGGATCACGGATGCTCTGGAGAAATGGCAGATGAAAACGACTCTCCCTGGGCTGTGGCCATTGAAACTCGACGCATCAGGCTGCAAGAAGCCTGAAATTGTTCGCGACTCTTCTATTACACAAACATCTCTTCCAGTCTTCACCGATGATGACTCTGTAGGCAAGCAACCCCCAAAAGGGGAAGTGCCCCCATCTCCACCTTCGCATATCGACGATGATTCCCCCCACCACAAGCGAGAGGTATCCGACGAAGCACCTCCCCTCCCTAAAGAGGAGAAGAAGGACGACGAACCTAAGGAAGCACGGGTTGCAAACCCGCTGTCGACTCCAGATTTTGATGAAATTGATTGCGAGCCACAAGGTCTCAGCACTGAACCCCATTCTGATGCCCACCGGTATGGGATTGGAGCGCTCGCTGACTCGACCTATGAGTACCTGCCGAAAGAGTACGCCCTGCTGGGAGGGGTCAATGACCAATACAAAACAATGTATGAGCATGCCATGAAAGTGGTCCGGGAGGAATTACTCTTCCGGCCTATGATCAAGGAAGACCGTGATATTCTGTTTGTTTCCAAACAGAGCATATCTCCCCGCGAGGAAATTGAATCTAAACGGAAGGTGACCAAATACGAGGGGTCCCACCTCGGTTGTTTCGCCGGCGGCATGTTTGCCTTGGGGTCCAAGATGTTTGATATCCCCGAGGATATGACCCTCGCCAGAAAGCTGACAGAAGGCTGTGTATGGGCATATGAATCAATGCCCGTGGGAATCATGGCTGAATCTTTCGAGTTGGTTCCTTGTGAGAGTATGACGGCCTGTCCATGGGATGAGAAGAAGTGGCACAAGGCGCTTGACCCCTATCTGAACGAACGATTCAAGGCCGTGGACAACCTCAATCGAGAACAAGAGCGACTACACGAGGAAGCCCTTGCGAACGCCGCAAAGAAAGCGGAGTTGAGCGAAGCGGAGTTGAGTGAAGCGGAGTTGAGTGAAGCGGAGTTGAGTGAAGCGGAGTTGAGTGGAGCGGAGTTGAGTGAAGCAGATGATGATGCTACTCCCTTCTCCGACAGTGGAACGAAAAGGAAGCGCAATGCCGAGGGCCATGCAGAGACTGAACAGAACAGCGAAGCCGAGCTGCCCTCCAGGACCGTGGATGTTAAAGACGGGGACACTGCTGAAGACACCGATCATGAAGTTGTCCCATCATTTGTGCCCCGAGTGGCGCTGTCACATGACAAGTACGTGGCGGCGAGAATATCAGAAGAGCGGCTGAGACCAGGTTACACCAACATCGGCGAACGCGACTATCGGTTAAGGCCCGAGGCCATTGAATCCATCTTTATCATGTACCGCATTACTGGTGACGAGTCATGGATGGAGAAGGGGTGGAAAATGTTTTTGGCCGTGGACCAGGCCACCAAGTCTGAAGTCGCCCACGCTGTGGTGCGAGACGTCACCAGTCTGCTCAACTACCAAGACGACACCATGGAGTCGTTCTGGCTTGCCGAGACACTGAAATATTATTATCTCCTGTTTAGCGAGCCTAGTCTGGTCAGCCTGGATGATTATGTTCTGTAAGTACTCGAACATGCCGCACAGTCCCCTTTCCACCGACTAACCACTTCCCACAGGAATACTGAAGCACATCCTTTCAAACGACCTGTGTCCTGAAGGATTTGGACGATGAAGGGTAAAATGGATTTGGTACCAACAACGGATTTGGATGTGGGAGCATGATTTGATATGTACAAGACCCCAACTAACGGGCATTGTTGGCGTTGCACAGAAAGTTGCAGATGACAATGATGCCAGGATATATAGATACTACCAGGCGGAGTCAGCCTAGCAATTGAAGATATTTTTCTCCGACCAGCACACCGCCGAGCCTGGTCTGCAGTGTTCAATGCGCCGACACGAATAAGTAATGTACGCCTTAGATGTCAGCACGGTATTTAGACCTGATGTAGGACGGCCATATAACGCGGGGGCTAGATGCCTTTTATTTCTATGATTCAGCCGAGGGGCGGAAAAGACGAGGCGTACCACAGAGTTAAGAAGTAATAGACGATCGTGGCAATTAGAAGTGGCACTCTTCAATAATGAGGTATAGCGAACGGCATAGGAGTATGCCCACTACCTACAGTATATGCCTTCTTCTATACTCAAACCCATGGAAGTACTGGAACTGCTTGCATCTAACCCATGCTTTGAACAACTGCAGCCACACGTCATCGTCTGCCATCGCGGGTCAACTTGACACACTGCCGCCGCTAACGACCTTTAGGCTTGGATTAGGCTGATCTTTCAAGCCCGAGAGCCCCTTGGCCCCAAACCACCTGCAAACGTCTGTCACTCACTGCCCCCCAGGCGCGTGCTTGATGGGCGGTCACCAGGGTTGTTAGGCCCCTCGGGCTAACCACACAGTTTGCTCATCGCCCGGAACTGTCCTCCCACGCCTCCCACAGGCTCATCCCTCCACCTTCCTCACTCCCTCCACCACGTAAGAGAAGGAGTAATCGGCATTGCCATGGCTCCATCTCTCCATCTCTCCACTTTCCCTTCCCACTCGAAGCCATGGTCTCCGCCACCTCAAGAAACCAACTACTTCCCATCATCCATGATTTCTCCAAACCTCCCGTCGCTTGTTGACTTGGTTTCGACAATCACCATCCTCCACGTCCCCATACACATGCGCTCTCCAGTTGTCTACCGCCCAGAAATCCCACCTCTTTGCTCCGGAGTGATCCTCCTCCCTATGAGACACCGCGCTCTTTCCGCGACGACATGAAGCTGTCCAGAGAATGGAACCCGAGCCTACCCATGACTTTGAACACGAGGACCAGTTCTGGGGTGGTAAGAACCTTCGAATACGCCCCATATGCTCGTGTACCCTCCCGCTGACCACTGGCCCTTGCCTGCTCTTCTAGCTCTTGACAAGGCTCTCTCCCAAGAATGTCACACCCATAGCGATATCGACGACGTCTTGCGATCCTACCTGAACCTTATCCACGAATGTCGCGGTACGTCCATTTCTCCGTTGAACAGCAAGACAAGACTTCCAGACTAAGACTCAACCACAGATCAATTCCTGCAGACGGACAACGACCTGGGTCGATGCGCTTTGTGGTTACAGGATTCGTCCTTGTTCAGTACACATGCCGACTATATCCGTCGTCAATTCGTTCAATGCCTGCTTGAGGTGAGATTCTTCCGGCTCCTGGGCCCACTCGGCCATTCTGCACATGAGTCTCACGCGGAATGTTATGCTAGGACGATGAGCCACATGTCATCCTTATCGCCACCACCTTCCTCATCGCCGATGCACGTTCCCACGATCGCACATACGAGCTGCTCAATGAACAGGGCGCTTTTTGCCGACTTGTGGACTTGATCCTAAGCCCCAGACGATATGGCCATGAAGATATCCATCGCCTTCTCATGGAGCTGTTGTATGAGATGTCGCGCATTCAGAAAATCAAGCCAAGCGATTTGGGTATGCCGCCGTCTCCTCCCCGCCATCCTTTGGATCATCGTGACCATGGTTGACTTTTGGTGTCCTTCAAGCCCATATCAGCGACGACTTTATCAAGATGCTGTTTGAGATCATCGAACAAGTCTCTGACGACGTTAACGACCCCTATCATTATCCCACCATTCGCGTCCTGGTGAGCACCTTTGGTTGCATCCCTCCTTGGGTTTCCCTTCTGACCGCCCACTAGCTTGTACTTAACGAACAATTCATGGTGGCTGCACATGGCCCCTCGAGTGACCAAACCGGCGTTCCATTGACGAATAAAGTCATCAAAGTCTTGTCAGCATATGGAAGCGCCTATAAGACTTTTGGCGAGAACATCATCTTACTGTTAAACCGCGAAGGCATGCCATTTCCGACTCCAGATCCTCCCATTCGCTGACTTTGAATATCAGATGAGACATCTTTGCAACTACTCACACTGAAACTTCTGTATCTACTTTTCACCACTCCTTCCACTTACGAGTACTTCTATACGAATGATGTCCATGTATTGGTTGATATACTAATCCGAAACCTTTTGGACTTGCCAGAGGAGGCCTCCTCTTTGCGACACACTTATCTTCGTGTGTTGTACCCACTTCTCGAACACACACAGCTCCAACACCCGCCGCATTACAAGCGAGACGAGCTTAGAAAGCTATTGATTGTGCTGTCTGGCGGACACTTGAACGGTACTGTCCCCGATCAAGAAGGCGTACATTCCTGGGGCCACTTCGATGCCGTCGACGAGACTACCAAACGTTTGGTGAAACGATGCCAGGGAGTCACGTGGCTCTTTGAGCCTGAAGGAGAGCAGATCGAACAGACTGAAAGTCCAACCAGTGAAAACGCTTCTAATCCAGTTTCTCCCACATCACCGACAAAGTCTATCCCACCAGCGTTGCCTGCTCCTCGCAAATTGAGAAAACGAATCTCATCAAAGGGCTCCACTCTCACCATAGGCCAGTACTTGACCCCACAGCTAGAAGGCGCTCGACATTCAAGTCTAAGTATGATGGAAGTTGCTGCACAAAAAGAAAAGCCAGGCGTCATCACTCCGAGCCGAAATCCCGCCTTGAAGCAGAATCTTCGTGCCGCTATAATGCACGAGAAGAAAGAACGACCTCCACTCCCTCAAGCCAGACGATCAGGCTGGTTGCGGACGAGGGCTGAATCACAGATGGGAGACCACCCGCCTCCGCCGGCCGAAAATGCAGAGCCAGAAGGTAACATCGAAGCTATCCAAGTCGACAGTTTAAACACGGTCGAAACCCCACCCCAACATGAACTTCCTACTATCGTGCAACAACATGAAGAGGATGCTGTTCGATCGCCAGAAGATCCCGTCAACAAGGTAGCCAACAAGGGAAGCACACCTCCAGAACTGCCTGCGCCCCGCGGGAGCCACCACCACCACCATATAAGACCTCACTTCAAAAAACCGCCTCCCACCCCCAAGGCGCGACGTTGGCGTGGCAAAGGCAAAAATGAAGACGAAGGCCCAGGCGCTCGAGAACCCGGAAGGTTCAACCCCTCTCTTCCATCCATCATCACAACTACCACATCCGGCCACAAGATTCCGGCTCCCTCGCCCTTCTCGCCTCTTCGCAAGGTGCAGGAGAATTCAGAATCCCTATCCCCCGAGGGACGTCACAGCACGTCAAGCGTATCTGAAGCTTTGTCTCAGGCGCAAGCTAGGGCAGTTGAAGAGGTTACAGAAGCGATGGATCAGGTGGAACTCGGTGAAGAGAAAGTGCCGTCGGAGGGACAACTTCCCGACGAGCTCAACCAGAAGGCAAAGAACAACGAGCCGTTTCATGATGCTGCGTCGCTCAAGGGATCGCTGCACAAGACCGGGTCCATTGTAGAAGAAGACGAGGCTCCGCAACAGTTCCATGATGCAGTCCACACTCAACCGGAACGACAACCAAGTCCGATCCCTCCACCGCTGCCACTGACGAGACCACCGACATCACGATCCTTGTCGGCGAGTAAAATGTTGAGCCAGAGAGCAGGCGCAGAAACCTCGACCACACCGCAGGTAGAGCCAGCGGCGTTACCGTCGAAGCCCAGGGTGGTTCTCACTCCTCCAGGCCAAGAACCGTCACGCGGGGTGCCAGGTCCGCAATACGCCCTCGAGCGTAGCCCGTTCCTAACGGATGACGAGATCGAGGCTGAGGTTGAGAACGACTCCTGAACCAATCTTGACTCGGGACTTGAGCTTTCCTAACTCGCTAGTCGGATCAGATGTCTTGATTGATGTATCGATATTCCAACAATATGACATGATACCATGTATGATTTCCATTTGGCTCCTTTTCTGAGGGACACATTGCTGCTATTTAAGGAACTAGGCGCTATGGATACCTCTCTCTGCATCATATATTCGTTCGCTTTTTTGGATTCATCCAGCGCGGCCACAGTGAACAGACACTCGGATTAGCCTAGAGGTGGATTGCCTGCCTTATTTACAGCCGTAAGTCAAGGCTAAGAGTCGGAATTGGGTCTAGAGCTGGAGCAGGAAATGGGAAATGGGAATGAACAAGATATTGGAATCGGGTGCATTAAGTAGTCATGCCGGTCGAGCGATACGATCCATGCTCGACACAAATGGTTCACAGACCCTGCCTGTCAACCCCGACGTGTTTTCATGCCATAAATGACAGAAACGTCATCAAAAGGTCTTCTCTGGTTCGGTGCTTAATGATACGAATCCAATATCCTCCTATCCTTTTTTCTCGCTGTGATCCATTTCTACGACTGGGGTGCCCCAAGATCTCCCGCCAACCTGCCTGCCCTTGACCCCTTCGTATGTACCTTGTCATCGGGCGTGCTAGGTGCTTAAATGAATAAACGAGACTGACGGCAGAATCCAGTTCAAGCAGGCAGCGGGAGATTTGCTCAAATGCAGACCAACGAACAAGATAAGTTCACAGTGCCGACTCGTTTCCGAAATTAGCTCTTGTGTTTGATGGCTTCCTCGTTCACTGGTGAAGATCGAGCTCGGGAAAGTGACGGCGAGAATGATTCGACAACAAGGTGATCCTTTGCTTCTCAATGCATCAGTCCAGTCGGCGATATTGATAAAGTTAGGGACGCCGACCTAACAACGGACATGGCAGGAGGTGAAATACTTGGAAATGAGAAAAAAGTACCAAGTGATGGATGGAACGTAGGATGAGGGAACCCTAGATGTATAAGGTGGTGTTTGATGTGACGCCGACGCTATGCATGTATAACTTTGAGGAAAGGATTCCAATGGTTATCGAATGAACAGATGGTTTGTCGTGACTTGATTCAAGAGGCATCGAGACAGGCATAAAGAAGCCGAATGATGGGAAAACTGCCGGCATTTTCTGTTTGATGAAGACAACACATGGTAACATGATTGCTAGATTTGATTGGAATCCGGTTGAAATGATTCATGGCCTAACTGCCATAGATGCCGAAATATGGCTCGACACCTAGGTGGCCAGGGGCCTTGTAGCTTGCATCGTAGGCCTGGAAGAGGAACAGCGGGATAGAGCTGCCCGCAAAGGCAGCACGAAGGCTGGCAATAGCGGTTTGCTGGTTCTCTCTTGATGGGATGGCTTTGCCATTGGACTGGCCCTGCCAAGGCCAGCCTGATTCTGTGACGACGATCTGTTTTCCATTGGCAATTTTCTGGACCATTCCGATGGCAGTGTTGAGGACAAAGTTGCCAGCGTCTGCTGCAGCAGTGTTCGCGTCAAAGAATGCGTAAGCGTTGACAGCGCAATAATCTGAGGCAGCACAGAGTTCGGGGTGGCCGGCGTGTGCGATGAAGGTGTCGACTGTGACGATATGTCCGTTGAAGCCGGCAGCGGAGAGAACTGACCGTGCCGTGCTTAGACCAGCAACAACGGCACCGGCCAAGCCAGGATTGTTATTCACGACTTCGTTGCCGATCACAATGGTGTCGACGACGGACCAGTAGTTGCTCAACATGCCGACCAGCTTGGCGAGATCTCCAGCGACATTACCGACTGTGTTGAGACCAGCGATTAGAGAAAGGCCTTGTTGAGAAGCGGCAGCAGCAACGTCGCCAAGAGGACAGCCAATGTCATAGACGCGGACTCTGCTGAAACCCTGGCTCTTTAAGAAGGCAAACTCCGAGTTGAGGACAGATGAAGATTTGCATTTGACCGCGCCATCAATCAACTCGTAGCACACGCCAAGGCCACCCATATTTCCAACATCCTTATTGCCACCGGGGACGCTGGTAGTGGTGGGAGCGGCAGAAGTTGGTTCAGCGCTGGAAGGCTCGAGATCGGTGACTGGAGGCTCATCTGAAGTGTAAGTCTCGGTCGGCTCGGGCCAGGTGGAGCTTTCAATGACCGAACTAGGTTCATCGTCGATTGTTTCCGAGGTCGTTGACTCGGAGGTTGTGGAGGAGGATGGAGCAGTAGTCGTCGTGGTCGTGGGATGGTAGGTAGGGATAAACCCGGGGAAATCGGTCGAGAGAACGTTGCCATGTTGATCGACCCATACGACGGCGTTCGAGGCGGTTACAGTGACGATTTCGGTATGAATGACATGTGCGGTCTCGAGGGCACGAGCAGGGTGTCGATGCTGATGGTGGTCTTGACGTGGTAAGTTTGGATAACGAGATCGGTGGCTTTGGAACCTACCATGTGGAACTGCAAGAGCGAGATGAACGCACAAGGCGAGAGCCCAAGGTAGTGGTTTCATCTTGTGAGAGAATGGATTGGTTTAGGCGGGTTCAGACAGTTGTAAAGAACGTGTGAGGTGGACTCTTAAGAGTGCACAAAGACCTGTGAAGTTGAAAGAGAGAAGTGAGCGTTTGCATCGACGACACCGTCCGGCGGTCTGAAGAAAGAAAGGATAGTCTTGCTGGTAAGACTGGAGAAGGAGGGAAAGCGAGTGACTTGAAGACAAACGAAGGACCAAGGTCGAAGGAGGGCATTGGCCAGCGAGGTCGGCAGGGAGACAAAGTGGTCAAGAGTAGGAGAGAAGGAAATAAAGAGATTGGGAGTGGATGCAGTGCTGGTCAATGCACGCGTGGACGGGAGTTGAGGCGCGATCGAATTGGGTGTCATGGTGGCTTTGTTGACATGAGTCGAGACAGAGGACAATGCACGGACCGTGACGATGACGGCCGCTTCCAGAGTAACCGTGGCTTGGACAACGTGGACATGGTCGTGCAGGTGAGCCGGGCACCGCATGTTGCGACGATGAGGTGAAGGACGGTGGTAGAATGAGGCAGGAGAGGCAAGAGCGATGGGGGCTTGAACGTACCGAATGTTGTGAGAGAGCGGCAGGTCTGTGTTGCGTAAGGATTGACTGGGTGAGTGGTGGAACGAGTGAACTGGACCAAAAGAGTGACTGAATGAAGGTGCGCAGGAAACAAAGAATGACGAGGTGCTACAAAAGAGCGTGGTGTTGTTGGAACCCAACCATGAGGAATGTGTTGATGGGGAAGGATGAGGTTGGCAAAGGCAGTCAATAGATGAGAGAGAGGCAGGTTGTGAGTTGTGAGTACGGAGTAGTAACAGGGCGAGCCTGACTCGTGGGAGGAAGCAAGGAAGCAAGGAATCTGAGGAAGCATCGCTCATTGGTCGGATGGGTTGGTCGCTAAGGGTCGAAGCAATTTCGCCTTCCATTCTAAAGATTGTTCACCTTGGCGGCTAACCACCAGTCCACCACCATCTTTGCCAGTTGAAACCAACGCAGTTTCGTGCAAGCAATAATTGACAATAATCATCATTTGTGAGAGGATCACAAAGTCCACAAGATATCCTGCCATAGCCAGGATGTGGCAGATCGCAGCATTGCAACAACATGAGATGGAATGTGAGACATCAGATGGAGAAAGAGTGAGAGAGAAGGAGACAGGCAGGTGTCATGAATGTTGGATTGCCCCTGCCAAAATGATTCGGCACCATCTTGGGCCCAGTGTTGTTGTTGGTCGACCTTTTTTTCAATCATGCTCGTTTGGCGATGGTGACAAAAACCACTCATTGATGGCGACGAGGTATATTTCACGGCAATCTTTGAGTCAAGAGAGGTAAACTCCAAGTCCTCGTTGCCTTGTTTTGTCTTTCCATACACTAGTAGCCTGTAGATCCTGAGCAAACCACTTGTTGGTCCAAGGTCAGAAGCTCTTCGCAATCCTGTCAGTTCTGTCAGTTGTGATAAGACATCAGCCACACCCGCCAACGACGTCCCAGGGGTGACGCCTCTAGCGTCAGGTACGCACGCGTCTGACTCCTCGCCAGGACAAACGCAGTTAGCCCTGCCGCACACCATGCATTGATCAATTTCCCGGGAGGCATTCGTATGCAAACTCACACATTTCTCTCAATCCGTTTTTGACTTGTCCAAGGCCGTCCAAGGAACCTAGAACTGTAGGAGGCGACAGTCACCTGCCTGCCGCGACGGCCACAAGGCACCCGGCAGCTCCGTTTTTGACAAAATCTGCATGCGGAGTACGTACATACGTACTGCGTATGTTGTTGATCGAAGAGGATGACGTTTTGTCAGTTTTTGGGATCGAATCTACGGAGTATGCGCTCAAGCTGACTTTTCCTTTCAAAACCAAGGCCCCCACCGCTAAACACACTCGTCGTCCCATTATTGATCTGCTGCTAGTGTTGTTGATCGATGTTGTACAGCATGACGTAAATCACACGTGACTAGTCCGGGCAAATCTAGGCAGCTTTCAACAAACAGAAGTAGGTGCCCATGATCCTGTAAACAACTACACCACTACTGCAAGTGATCGCGACATGACGCTTTTGATCCCCATAATAACCTCCGAAATACAGTACATGACTACGAAGTAACTCTGACCACAGGCTGCCTTCCAAACCCAACGTCTACCATTACCCTGGTCATTCCCATGATGAAGAGCATTTCGACACAGACAAGCTCACAAGGCTTATTTGCTTTTATTATATCTGGTCATCAATTCGTGAGCTCCTTGGTCGGGCCCATGATGTCGTTCAGCGTGTGTTTCCATCCCAGTCCATCCTCATCGAGCGCGTCAGTGCTGGCGCTTGCTGTACATGACCTTAACCAGGACTTTCGTCTGATGACAATTATTCGCTCCACCCAGCCTGCAGCATCTCAAAGAGACGGCCATACCCAAATCTATGCAGCCCATCCGTTCATCAATCAAGTAAGATTTTGTGTTACACATTATTCCTTGGGCTTTCAATCATCCTCCCCTTTCGCCAAAGTCTCTCGCCCACTGTTCAAATTCTTCCAGACCTTTCTTGCTCACACTCGGGCGGATGCTCTCAAGACTGGCCTCAAAGTCCTCCATGCAGATCGGTCGGATCTGGTCCATGGGAGTATACAACAACGCCTCGCCCAAATGCCGTAGCGGTCCCATGGCCGCGTCCTTCGCCAACGCCGTTATGTCTGACCCCGAGTAACCTACATGCCACTATATTAGTCCCTTCTCCTGTCGTCCAAAACCTGCATCATAGTAGACTTACCTTCTGTCATCTCCACAAGACGTTTAATGTCTTCTTCACTGAGGTCATGTTTCTGGTGGCCAAGTAGCGTTCGGATCTGTGTCTCTCTCGTCTCCATCTCCGGGAGAGGGATGTATTGTCTTCGTACAAATCGTCGTCTGGCAGCCTCGTCGATGTCCCATGGACAATTCGTTGCCGCCAGGACGAGCACCCGGCTGGCGTCCCCAATCGTCGTGTCCTTCCCAGCCGCGGCTCGTTGCAGATCCGACCATTGTATCAAGAACTCGGTCTTGCTGCGTCGGGATGCTTCATGCTCGCTTGACCCACTTCTCGCGCTCAACAACGAGTCGATTTCGTCCACGAAAATGATGCTGGGTGCCAGAGCCTTGGCCAGGGCAAACAGTGCCCTAACCAACTTTTCTGACTCTCCGTGCCATTTGCTTGTCAAGCTGCTTGCACTGATAGCGAAAAAAGTGCTTTTACTTTCCGTAGCCACTGCCCTTGCGAGCATCGTCTTCCCCGTCCCCGGAGGCCCAAACAACAACATTCCTCGGGCCGGTTCACGCAGTCCCATAAACAGGTCTGGACGCAGGAAAGGATACACCACGGCCTCTTTCAATGCCTTCTTTGCCCCCTCCAGTCCGGCAACATCATCCCAGTGGACCTCATCCCCTTTGACCACGATCTCATTGAGGATCTGCTTGGCCGCGTTCGCGTCGAGGCCTTTGGGCAAGTCCTTCAGCACCTTCGCCATTTTCTTCTCCGATGCCGCTTCTGGGCTGTCCTCGGCTGATTCTGCATCAGTAGACGGTGGCGTGATCGTTTTTGTGCTCTCCGTCCGCTCAGCCTTCGGCCGCTTCGCTTTGGTGACAGTGACTTTTGCTGCCTCTTCTTCGCTGTCGGAGATTTGCGATCGAGAAGGAGATGATCGGCCCCTCACTTCGAGGGTAGCGCTTGAATTAGCTACCGGTTTGCGAGAAATACTCGAACCGGCTCTGTCATTCTTCTGGTAGGCCTTGTTCAGTATGTTGTTGGCAAGAGCTGGGGGGACCCGAGATTGTGGCGTTGGATACTCGTTGCGGTACGAGATCTGTGGTGCCTTGGGAATTTGGACTGGAGACTTAGCCCCCATCCTTGGTAGTGGAGGGGTTGGTTCCAAGACATGGGGAGGAACTGGAGGTGGAAGGTCTGACACGTCAGGCTCCAAGTCTATCAGATTTGGCACGGTCATGTTGTTCTTTGTTTCCGTCAGCTGGATGCTCTCCATAGACTTTTGCATCGAAGATCGTGAGGACGACACGTAAGGCGCATCTCGCCAACTATACAGTGACGCGGCGTCAGCGGCGCTGGGTCCAGATTTCCGACGCTCTTCATTTCTTGCAGCGGCGTCTTGATCTATACTGCGCCTAGCAGCCGTCGCACTCAGCCTGGCTTCTATCGAGGGATCGGACTCCGGTCGACTACTCGACGCTGAAGTCAGTCGCGGCTGTGTCTCCCACGCCAAACTTGCCGCCTGTAGAGTATTGGTTGTTCTGTTCGTATTGGGTGCGGATCGGTATTTCCTGAAGCCCTTTCTCTCGGGTCGCAGTGTCGTTCTCATGCCCTTTCTCCCAGTGTCAGGACTTGGACTTCTGGAGATCTTGGTCGTCGGCACGGGCAATGAGGGAGCGGGGCTGAGGGACGATTGGCTGCGGGGCTGGGATGGGTTGTATGTTCGTTTGGTCGAATTGTCACTCGACCTAGCGACGAGAGGTGGTCGGCTTGACAAAGACAAAGCAGGCGACGCTGCAGGCAATTCTGACATCTGCATCGGGGGGACAGTCTCATCACCAAGCCACAAGCCCGAGCCAGGCTTATCAGGCGTATGTGCATTTTCTAGACCTCCTCTTGACTTGCCCAGTCGACGTCTTCCTGAATCAGTTTTCTTCTCCTCGGTGGCATCAGGCGGGAGATCCTGTCGACTGATCCTGAGAGTCTCTAGCAAATCGACTCGCTCTCTACATTGCATCTCTAACTGCCGGATCGAATCATAGAGGGCTTTCTCTGTCTCGGTCTTTGGTGTGTAGTTGAAAGGAAGTTTATATGCTTTAAAGTAGGTGATTCCATCGAGGGCTGCTTTCCAAGATCGAAGAGCCTCTGGCTCGTCGCCCTGTGATCCACGAATGTCAGTAATGTTGAACAAGATCGAAGGCGGACTAGATGGTATCAAATACCTTGCCCTCGAAAAAGACTGCTGTAGAACAGTGCAAGTAGGATTCATCGTAGATCTTCTGCATGGAAGACGAAGGCTTGCTCCGCATCATGGTTGCTCTCTGTGGTCTAGCAGTGACATGCTCGTGTCAACAGGAAGGAAGATGGAGGACAGATGTTCAAGGATGAGAATCTGGATCAACCGACTGTCGAACGGTGGGTCTTGGGGGTGTACAAATGAATCGTCTGAGCCTCGTTGTGAAGTGGATTGGCCGATGGCAGTGATGGGAAGGCAGACTTGCATGGCGGACCTGCAACCACCAGTCACAGAAGACTACACAGTGTTGGCCACATCAGCGCAGGGCTCGGACGGAGAGTGCAACAACTTTGGTCCGCCAAAGTTGACACCAACGAGTAGCAGTGGCACCCCAGTGCACCCCTACGGCTATGGCTATACGTATTTCACCTACGTGGGCTACGTCACTAAGTACCTGTACTTTTACTCACTTGAACCGCGGCTGCCCCTCTGCTCCGTCCAACTTGGACACCTTTCGACTGATGATTGAACGCCATCCCAAGCCCGAAGGCCGCCGCTCTCGTGAGGTCTCCGGTTATGAGGGAGACGATCTCGAACCACCAGGCCAAGAAGAATCTTCCCAGCATTGATGTCCATTTCATATAAATGTTCGGCACTATTTCAATTCATCGTCTGGTTTGAGCGTCGTCGCACCTGTTCACGTGATTCAATACCAATAAGAACCACAACGATGGAGCAATAGTCGAGATAGCCGAAAATGTCACAATAATGTACAATAATTAACACATTATCATCGATTGTATGGAGCCACACCGCCACTGTCGTGGTATATTTTAGGCAGACAGCCAACATACGATAGGTGGCGCAAGGCACCCAACGCCGACCGTCGGCCAAGGGGCCGCCTCGACCCTGTTACGTCCACATTGCTGTCCACCTATCTATCACGCACGGTGGATGCTCACCCGCACCCAATCCGACCTGCTTTTTGATAAATGTACACAGGCGTTATCCAGAAAAAAAGAAGCTCCGGCTTTTCCACCAGAGGGACATGGCAAGCCATCTATTAACATGACCAGCATCGATGAAACCCGTCTTCACCAATATGGAAGACACAGTTCTTGTCCCGTTCGAGGCGGGAAAACGCCCCATTCGCCATGCAAAAAGGCCCGCCGACACATCCGCAGAATAGCAGCGTGTGGAGTCCTTAAAAGACTTAATCGCTGGCATTGCTCTCCTAGAGCATATAGTCCTTTGCTCAAACCGTCCAGTTTGCAAGATGGAACTGATCAAGGCTGAGCAACAAGCAACCTCGATCGCTTTGACGAGCATTTGATTGTTGACAACAGACTCCGCCCGGTTCCAAAATGGCGGGCCACCTCATGTATCTTGCTCTTCGACGGTTTACTGTTTCAAAGTTTTCCAACTGAAGCATTGTGCTCGTCTCGTAATGTTCGCCTAAAGTAGGCTTTGGCCATTTCGTACGACGACCTATCCGGAATTTAGCATTTCTCACCCAGATCTCGATGTTTTTCGGCTGAAGCCTTACCAGCAAATTGCAGTGCTAGGCATAGTGGTGATGATCCGAGGCCGCCAACCTCTCATGAAACCGACCCAGCCAAATTCTTTCTTGATGATTGCTGCGGCATGAAACAATCCCCGAACGTTACGAATCTCGTCCTGTTGGCTTAAGCCTCGTGTCTGTAATAGTGTCTTGATCACGTCGAGCGGAGTGGTGATTCCAGCAGCAAAGGCGCCCGCAAGGCCTCCGGCAACGCAGTGTGTGATGGGGTCATACTCTTTCCGAGGATTCATCATCTGAGACACAGACTCGTATGCCATGAATTGTGTTGCGGTGAAGGGCACAGTCATGCATAATGTGGTTGGATACGAGACGTAGAACGCCGAGAGGCCTTCAGCGCGGAACACTGTCCTCGCGCAGTCGGCCAGTGATCGATAGGTAGAACCATGAACTTGCATTCGTTGCTTGATCACTGCGAAAATTAGTACACCACCAACGGACTGGAAGGAAATGGAAGATTGAGCGCACCATCGAAAGGGTTCATGAGAGCATCGCTCGCGATTGTGGCGCAGGCTCCACTCGTTGCTGCAATTCATTAGCATCTGGCATGATCTCTATCGGTACACGACCACATACCGGCTGCCAATGGGTGGTGTTTTCCATCCGCCTTGTTACCACCAGCAAGGTCTTTGACAACCTCATAAGTGCCGAAATAGACGGCATGAGCCGGACCTGGAATCGATCAGAACACATCCTCCATAACTGCCATTGTTTTCTCCGGTGGAGTCGGCTCAGCTCCCATACCTGCACCAACAATCACACTAGTCATTCCTCTCCATAACGTTCGGAGTCCTTCTATTCGATATATCGTGGAGACTGCGTGGGATAATCCGGTATAGAGGCCGCCGGCGGAAGGATTTATGATTTGCATGCGTGTCTGTTTGGAAGAAAAACATACGTCAGCCAAATCAAGTCAAACAGGCCTGACGGAAGTGCGGCGGATGATCGGGGGTTGTGCTCACCTTCATCAAATCGACAGGATACATCACCGTGTGTTCCTAGAGAGAAAAAATGTCAATGGCTTGATCTTGTGCAAGAATTGTCAAGGTTGAGAGCTTTCATACGGCGATTCCAGCAAATGCGCCGGCAAGCATGTTGTGGGATAGTCCATAGTTGGGCGGTAGAGCTTCGTAGCTAATTATCCACAGTCAGCATTTCCCTCACAATTTCGCAACCAAGTGGACACGGCATTGCAAGATGGATGTAAACTTACTCAAAATCGTCATCCGGGAGTGTAGTTGGGCCGTTCGACACTGACATGTTCTCCGCGGTCAAGGCCGCTGGGAACTTGACTGCAGTCGCCAGATTGCACTCGTCTTTGGGGTGGATGGAGGGTTTCTGAGGGGAAACAGTGGTAAGAACCAATGCCTGGGGAGAAGGAAATCCGTGCCAGATACAGCAGCCTCGCTGTCCAATACGTAGAGAAAAGTCAATTGAATGGAAGGTTGATGAAGGTGAGAGACCTAGACAGATGGCAGCAAGGTGCGGCGACAGAAAGTGATGGAGGCAAATAATATATGATCCAGATCCAGAGGAAAGTCTATGCACCGAATAATGGAGTTTGGGTGTCTTGGGTGTAGGGGCGATCCGCCCAAAAGGTGGTCGAGGGATGTTACTCCCCCCAAGAAAGCCAAACAATTTTTCTCGGGGTCAAGATTGACTATTAGGTAAGGGTCCTAACTCTCTGGGGGCAGGACTCTTTTTTTTCCAGATCAATGCCCCAAACGTCTAATTCAATCACTTTTACTTAGGTAGGTAGGTCGCCTGAAGCTGTGCTTTGGTTGATACCTTCTTGCCTGCAAGCTATTCTCCGCGGATAAGTAGTATGGTGTTCCAACGGTCTTGTCACATTCTATCTCTTTGTCACAGAATTCTAATCCAACATGACTGTTCGTTCGATTGTGCTCCGAAACGAGTGACTTTCATACCTTCGAGAACACTACATCATGTCTGTTATTAGTGTCAAATCCCATCGGTCATCGATACGACCGAACGGCTCAGAGACACGTAGCACTAAAGGTACTAACGAGCCTTCTAGGTAGTGGTAGGTTTCTGACTTGTTCGGTTGTCCTGGGGCAGGCGCGGCTGGCTCACAGTAGCCTCCGATATTCGCTGCATTATTCCAGATGCGGGCTAGCTTCAATTTCTCGCGGTTCTCCTCCTTTCTTGGTCTGGCTTCCCATGCTTGCCACAGGCCCCCACCTCTGGCCGATTCTACACCTCCGCGGTTCGTGGTCCTCTGAATTCCGTAGTAGTACTTTTACAAGCGTCTTATCTACCAAAAGAAAGAAACAAGAGTTGATGGGATTGACGTTCAAATGGTTTGGAAAAGCAAGTCAGAACTCTGATACGAGGGAGCGCAACCAATCACACAAAACGCATCGCAAAGAAATGAATCACTTTTGTCAAGATTTAGCCAGCGCCACGTTTTCTACTTTTGTATCCTGGAATAAAATTACTCTGTTTCCAAAGAGTCCATGATCCTAGGTTTTGAACCATTTGCATCATTTCGACACCTTAATTCACTGGCGTTGCGACAGCGGTTCAACAGACCCTGGAGTCATGTGATTTGTGTCCAGGCCTCTAGGATACACTGCTCTACTCTTTTGACTTAAATTTGTAGCGTCTAATGCTGGTTCCTCGTTGCTCGGGCCTCACTCGGACGTCACTCGGGCATTCGGCTTGAGTATCGAAGCCTGGGGGATACTAGGCTGACTGGGACAAGGGGTAGGACCAGGGCTCGCAGCAAGCTTGTGGCATATGGCTGAAAAGTAATTCAACATAAAATACCTCTACCGCACTCATCGCCTTTGTGCGTTCACTCTGATACAAGACGCTCAACCTTGCGAGCATCGATGCTTCATTCACATCATGAAACTCCCAACAATACCTGTATACTCAATGCATGGGTAGCCGGACCGCCCTGGTTGCTGTTGACAAGATGCCCAAAGTTCATGTCGCGCCACCGAGCCTCACTATGTTCCTGCGATGCTTGAGCTCATCAAAATGCACATCCTCGGGGATTCCCCGGCACGAAAACGCCTCGCTTCAACGTAAAATGTCAAGGATCATGACATCAACACCAATCTCTTTGTTCCAAGTCACACCTCTCGTGTCTGTTTCATAGATCAACGTTGAACTTCCATTGCTCTGCACCACTGGTCAGCATCTGTTCGTACAAAAGTAAGCACGCAAAACATCAAGACATACCTTTCTTGAGGCTTTCAGCCGTTACGCTCAGCAGTATCTCCCGGCGCTGATTGCAGTAGGTGGTCTTGTCAAGAATGTCCACTTTCAGGACTTCTAGCTCCTGGACAGGCCGCTCAAACATCTGACTGAGATTCTCCACAGCCATTTCGAGGTCTTTCTGATTGTCTTCAAACATCTCCGTCATGTTGTTTCGTTGCAGGTAGAAGGCGAATGCATACGTCCATTTCAGGGTCTGCCGACAGGCCTGAAGTGCTTTCGAGGCTGTATCCAGAAACTGAACTTCTATCCAGGACATGTTGGTGTGTGACTGCAGACTAGTCATCTTCTTTTCCGTCTTCAACCACAGATCCTTGTCCAATTTGGCAGATTGCTCATGATTTGCATAGCGATTGTAGTAATGAAGATATCGCTCTAGAGAGTGACGTGATCGAGCCTGGGCGTCACGAGCATCGGCCCCGGACTTTTCCTCGAATCGATTGCAGTTGTACCAGCTGGTGCCGTGCTCGGACCACGGACCCATACACATCCAGCAGAATTCATGCTTGCATTTCCGACATGTCATGTGGTTGCAACCGCCGTTCTTCTCGATTGTGGAGTTGCACTTGGGGCACTCCTTGGTGTTGGCCGAAATCCAATTGGATGTTTCGCTATCGTCTTCGCATTTCTTAAGCCATTTCTTCACCAGCGCACAGGGAGCAGGTCGATGGTCTGCCAATGTGCAACCGAAACAGAAGCTGTGGTCGTTTGAGCAACGGACGGTGGGAACGACTCTGTGAAGATCTCGCTTCTTAACTGCGCAGTCCACGGCATAGTCACAATCCGGAGCGGGACACCATTTGAGGTTGTCTTTGTCGTCGACATATGTCCTGGTGAGGAGGACTTGATAACGATCCTGCACGTCTCGATCGACAAGAACTTTCAATGTCTTGGAATCCACAATTCGCTGACAGCCATCGAATGGACACTGGATTCTAGCTGCTTCTCCCTCCTCTTTGACCTTTTGGGTGAGGTAGTGAGTGTAGCAATCGACACAGAAGCGATGATCACATTTCATTGCATAGGTCAGTAACGAAGGGCCATCCTCGTAGCATATATCACATATGAAGCCTTTGACCGTCTTGGGTTTGGGGTACTCTGTAAAGCTGGATCCCAGACCTGCCGATTCGAGCACCTTTTCTTGATTGTCCATGTAAGATTCAATCAGTCGTTCCTTGTTCCAACGCATGAAGCGGAGCAGTATGGCCACCTGCTCAACAGGGAGTTCTATTATGGACGAAACTTCTTCAAACTGTCGTTGTTGCTGAGACTGGATGTCTGGAGGGCTGAGAATTTTGTATTCGACTTCGTAGGGTTTTTGAGGGTTTGTAAAGATGTCCTTTTCGTAAGCAAAGCCGCCATCTTGGTCTTGATCAAAGTCTGAGAATTCGAGTTAGAAAGGCCGGTGCCCATGAAAGTTTCTCAGCATAAAACGTACCGCCCCCAATACTTCCTAGCTCACTGTCTTGTGTGCCTTCATCGAAATCAAGATCATCCCCGCTGGGAGGGTCTGACATGAAGTCGTCCTCTGAATCCATGGCGGGCAAGGATGGGGAGCCTTGTTCGGTGATGGGAGTCGTCGGGCCCTGGACCTGGAGAGTGGTGGTTCGGGGTGTTTTGGTGGGATGATTGCTCGACGCGTCTGTGACGCACTCCTCAGCCTTCCTCTTCTTGAGTTGAGGTGGCGTGGTGGCTCTTGTTGAAGCAGCTGTGTCTCCAGTCGAGACGACAGGCTGCTCGAGTGGGGGAAGGATGGGTAAGCGATGGGCGCAGGCTCAGGCGTCGAATGGGGAAACGAGAGATGGTGCAAGTGAGAGTTGAGCAGCCGAACGGTGGAAGGCAGTAGAGGCTCACAGATTGGAATGAAATTCAATGACTGAGGCACGAGAAGACTCTACTTTCATGGGATATCGGGAGAACAGACCAAACGATCGAGACGAGGACAGTGAGGTTAATGGGCAAAGGTGACAAGCCAACAGTTGAAAGTTGGGTGCAAGTGCCACCTTGATAGGTAACTGCCCGGGACCCGAGGCCTTATTGGTGGATTATTGCCAGTGCGGGCCGTGGCTACCGAACACTTCTGTACTGGCAGTAGAGTTTTGTCAAGGACTCGCGGGATGACATGCACTCTTCGGAATGACGCCCAGGTCTGATGACTTGTCGTGCTTGTTAATAATTAAGGTACCTAGGGTGTTAGGGTGGCACGGTGGCCACGGTGGCGCCCGCCACTGCCACGACTGATAAGTACCGTACCTAAGGTGCTTGAATTACTTAGTCTGTTAAACCTGAGTCTCGGGACTGTGTATCACAACCCAAGGCATTACTACCCATACTAAGAGTGGCCAGTCCCAACCAAAGATTCAGCACTTTGACTCCTTGAGCCAGTGGGAGCCTTGCAGGAAGACACTGTCAGCAGTGCTTATGGTCAACTGAACTGAATGTATGACTCATGAAATAGGCATCACGGATGCACTTGTTGTAGTACTTTAGTTGTTCCTTCTGATTCACCTGCTGTTAAGGGAACTAACATGACTAATATCACGTGATCATGTTACTCTCGAGAGTTACGAGCCAAAACTAAAAGGAATGATGACCGCAGGACAATATACGAGAGAATTCTTTAAGCATCATCCTCTTCGTCGTCGTCGTCATCATCATCATCCGTCTCGCTCTCTTCACTCTCGCTCTCGCTCTCAGCATTCGCTAGCCAATCGATAAACTGCGAACTCTGCTGTTTTGTCGCAATCATCTCTGCATCACTGTTGGACCTCGAGTCCTCCCACCAGCCCGTAAAAGCCTCTTCGCCAAAGACTTCAAGGTCATATAAATCTTTGACTACAAACAGCAACACTTTTCCTCCCTCCTTTCGCCTCGTCAAGTCTCTTTGGGCATCCAGGAGGAAGGAAATCTGTTCTTGTGTTGCTTGGGATGCGCCCTTGCGTCTGATCAAAGTGTTGTATGCCTCGAGTGTGTTTCGTGATGCCTCTGCCGGCGTTCGTCCTGAGTCAACAATGCTGTGAATGTGTTTCATGAGAGCAATCGCCACCGCTCGACGCACTTGAGTTTCGTCTGCTCCTCCGCTGAATCGAAGACCCATCAGTTCACTCAACATGTCATCGGCCATCTTGCCTTCTTGCATTCGCTGCACAAGGATTGCCACTGTATCATGCTGGAAGCGGTCGCTGAGATCATCCTCGGATTGCGCAAAGCTCTGACTTCTTGAGCCTTCGTACGATGAAATATCGTCTTCTGACAAATCTGATCCCAGGCTTGATATTGACTCGGCATAATTCACCTTGTCGAAGACGAGACGAGAGACGCTAGATCCAAACTGATCATCTTCATCGTCAACATATGCCCGGCCTTCTCCTGCCTCACCATCCACTAAAGCGTCACTGGTCCGATCGCCGTGGCTGGCTGCTTGTGATTTGCAAATTCTCGACCCCGCTGGTACGACGGTGCCTGGTGCTATTTTGACGCCATATGAAATAAGGGCACCTTCCTCAACTGTGGAGTCGTCGCCGATGAAAACCTCGTTGCCGATGATTGCACGAGTCACCCTAACGTTCTTGCCAATCGTAACATCGTCCCATATATAAGAGGCCTCGAGGCTGGTGTTCTTTCCAATATGACATCGTTGCCCCACGATACTATTTCGGAGAGTCACACCGCTTGCCAAACTAGTGTCGGCACCAATTATCGAGCCGGTGTCGAGTTGAATGGGTCTCTTTGTAATGACCGATTGTGACTTTGTATACCCAGCTGGTGATTTGACATATTGGCTTTTGCCAAAGAGATTGTTTTCCACCGCGATCGAATTGACAATTCCTCTCTTCAGATCCTGGGAGATGGAGTTATAGGCCCAGAAGTCCGCAGCTCTTGATGCATAATCATCTTGCACAATGTAGGTATGAATGGTCTTGCCGTTCAGCTCCCAGTCCTTCAAGACTCCAAAGAGAAAGTCTTTGCGTGGAGACTGGTTGTCGAAATTGTCCGACCAGAGGCTCAGTACATCTGGGGTGCAGATGTCGATTCTGCAATCAACTAGGTCTTCTCTAATATCTAACTCAGGTGATTTCAAAACCTCTGGGTCAATCTGTGATGTGAACTGGGTAGCAGGCAGAGATTCTTCGTAGTGGAGAATTCTATCCTTCGTAGGGTCGAGGACAAAGGTGGGGACGATACCCCCAATGTGTTCGTGCACACCGGCGTCTGACTCTCGCAGTAACAATGTCATGATGGCGTTCTTGTCCTTCTCTCGTCGGAGCTTGTGCTGTCTCAAGGCCTTGCCCAAGGGGAAATTTGAGACAATGTCTCCACTGACCACGACAAAGTCACCGGTCATCAAATGCTTTTGATCCAGGTCACGCATCACATCTCCGACGCATGTGGCGACACATCTAAGAAAGATTAGGTCCGAGAATGGGGAGGTGGAAGCGTGCCATCGGGAGGCCTGGATGTAAGTTTCGACCTGGTCAACGTGAGGTCCGGCGTAGATGTACACAGTCTCTACTCCAGCACTTGCTAGATACTCGAGTGTGTACTCTATCAAAGGAGTATTGGCCAGTGGGAGAAGACACCGGGGTCGTTCCAGGGTGAAGGGCGCGAATCGTGTTTCGAATGTGTCGGCGATGACTACCGCGAGGAGCGGATCGTCCTTAGCATCGTCCCCAGACCGACCTTTGGGGCCAGAGCTTCTCTGATTCTTAGGCGGCATGTTGGCGTGACGCTGGAAACAGATATGGTTGGGCTGCTTTCAATTGACCAAAGAACGTGAAAATCCGCGAGATCTTGCCTCAAACCAGGCCACGGCAAATGTAAGAAACTTTGATCGGATGGGCCGTACTTTGCATTGCTGGAATCCTGGGATTTGCGTTGACGGAATTGGGTGACTAAGATTGTAATGGTGGTTGTAATCGCTTCCAAAGAATAAGATCGAGAATGTGAGTCGAAGTAGCCTTGTGCCTCTGAGTCACGTTGACTGACTGGAGGTTTTCCACGAAGAAGTCACCAAAGTCCATCCACATTCCCAACCTGTGCAAATCATTTGATGCCAAGCATTATTGGAGAGTCATTTCAAAATTGTCTGACAGTCTTTTCTGCGAATCACGTGCCATGACAACCTTGCCCGTGGCAGCCATTCTTTACGTAGTGCGTCATAGAAGCCAGGGCCCAGAAGTCCGGGAAACACAAGGACAAGGTCTTGGTGCTTGGGTTTCTGCTAGACGCCTAACAATACGCCTCTAGGCATGGAATTAGGATTGATTAGGCACCATTGGTATCCCACAGACGGACAGAAGCGTACTGCGGGGCGGTGTTTGCCAATTTCTCATCCCTATTCCACAATAATAATAGGTAATAGCACTTAGACTCACCACCCGTGCCACTACACACTGCACTCTGTTGCCTTGCAGTCCAATCCATCCACTATCTGCACGTCCTCACAGCCCGTGCTCTTCTTTATCAACATCAACAGCGCCTTCAACAATCCAATCTCTTGTTTGCGTAGACGGCCCCTTCCTTACTCTCGCTCGCATACCTATCCCCATCCGATTCCTTCTTGGTCCATTCGTCTCATCCTTGCTCTAACTGCATCTTGAACGTCGGTTACCTCACTGAAATCCGTGCCTTCCAGCATCTACTCTCCTCTCTTCCTACCCCTTCCTCTTGCCATCAACGATTATAGTTACCTCGTCCGACATCATGTCGAGAACCTCGAAAGAATCCACTCACAATTCTTCCAAAAAAGACATCGAGCTCGACCCCAAGTACGATCACTATGAGTTCCCTACCATCGCCCCCGGCAATCAACCTGGTCATCCAGGAAGCACCACCAAAGAGCAGGATGCTCAAGTATTTCAGCTGAGAGCCATGTTAGAACAGGAGGGCTACTCTACCAGGCTGGACACTTTAACTCTCCTCCGCTTTTTGCGGGCACGCAAATTCAATGTTCAGGCTAGCAAACAAATGTGCGCCCCTTTCTACCTGCTTACATAGGATCTGCCATTTACGTGGACACTAGGTTCGTCAACAACGAGAAGTGGCGAAAGGAATTCGGAACCGACGATCTCGTTCGAACTTTCAAATACACCGAGAAGCCACAGATGTTTGAATACTACCCCCAGTACTACCACAAGACTGACAAGGTGAGCTGGTCGATCCCCCCGCCACTTGCAGCGTCTGACTCATTGGACACAGGATGGTCGACCTGTTTATATTGAACAGTACGCCAAAATTGACCTCAACGCCATGTACAAGATCTCCACCGCAGACAGAATGGTGCAAAACTTGGTGGTCGAGTACGAGAAAATGGCAGATCCTAGGCTCCCTGCATGCTCTCGAAAATCTGGCCACTTGCTTGAGACCTCCTGTACTATCATGGATATGAAGGGCGTCGGAGTTGGCAAAATTTCCTCGGTCTACGGCTACCTGAAACTCGTCAGTTCCATCTCCCAGGACAACTATCCTGAGCGATTGGGGAAGCTCTACATCATCAATGCGCCTTGGGGTTTCAGCAGTGTCTTCAGCTTTATCAAGGGATTCCTTGATCCTGTCACTGTTGCCAAAATCCATGTGCTTGGGTCGGGCTATCTCACCGAGCTGCTTCAGCAAATTCCGGCCGAGAACTTGCCCAAAACCCTTGGGGGCAAATGCGAGTGTGAAGGAGGATGCGAGTACAGCGACGAGGGCCCTTGGAATGATCCTGAATGGGCCAAACCACCAAAATGGGCACAGGAACCGACGCAGGAGGAGAATGTGGTCAAGCCAGCTCCGATTGATGGCGCCCAAGACCCTCTCGAGCAAAAGACTGATCCTACTCCGGCTACTGCTTCATCAGAGATCGAAAATCCACCTCAGGAGCCCTCCAAGATTCAACAATAGTGCTCTGTGATATCACAGGATATACTGGCCTAGTAAACATTGGTCTGCGGGGGGAGTCGTGCGGCATCAGCGACATGTACAGATCTTGTCACTGGTTCATCAATCCTCCTACGAATTTGACATTGGGGTGAGTGAGCGTTGAGCACTGGAAATATTCTACACAGCTCCGCCACGCCGACGGGTTTATTTGTTCTGTTTAGAGCGAGAGGACTTGGAGATGCAGTTGCAGCACTTTGTAGTGGTATCAAAAATGGTCATGCTATACAGGCACGATCAGCAGCCTACTTGTAGATCTTCTCACTCAAATTCCATGGCCACAGTCCTTGCACGTTCAACCTTGCCCACCGTTCCCGTGAGACTGGGACCAGCACGCCAGCGTTCTGTGGCCGTGGTTTCTGGATCATTCTTTACTCCGGCCAGCCCTGCCAACTCTCCTACTGCACGTGAATAATTTGTTTGCACATCGTCTTGCCAACCGTTTCTTAACGGCTTCAAGCCAAGCACATTCCACACATCATTTTGGTTGAGCATCTCGTTCTTTGAAGGCCCTGTATCAGTTGAATCACGCTGGGCTTCGTACTCGGCTTCGTCCTTGTCAGTTTCCGCCCTCAGTGCCATAGCATAGGCATTTGCGCCCTGCGCTGGCGCCGTCCTCCGTAATTTGCTGACCTGCGCGGTCAACAACTCCAGCTCCCCGTACAGACTGGCGAGTTTCAACTGAGACCGGCTGTCGTATGACTCGTATGTAAAATCAATACCTTCCCGCTCAGGCGCTGGAGCGGAAGACTCTTTGGCAGTACCGGTGCCCTGCGTCAGGGTGCTCTGGGATGGTGAAACAGGTAGTTCCGCATCTAACCCGTTCACAGTCACGTTCTGCGCTGCCGACGTCCATGTGCGGAAGATGAAGGCGTCAACTAACGATTTGACTCGGGCGCGGAGTGGGTCGTGTTCTGCATCATCTTCCTCTCCAGTGTCTTCTTGGTTTCGTTTTCGTTTGCGATCGGACTCGGGGCTGCTGGTGACGGGGTTGGTAGGATTGCTATTATCCGAGATATTGGGGGGCCGCACGCCGTCGAGAGATATGAATGTTGCTGGTTGTGATTTTGTTTGCGAGCGATATGCCGAAGGGGGGAAGTGGAGGTCGAGTTTCTGACGCGCAGAGGCGCAGAGGTTTTGTTGTAGATATGTAAGATCTTGAATTGACTGGAGCTCGATCTTGCGATGGTGAGGATTGGGCGAGGGTTGAGGATGAATGCCCGGTGAAACTTCCATCTTTGATTCAGAACGTGGCTAAATGGTTTTCCGACAGCCTGATTGAATTGTATGGAGAAAAACACGTTAGGAATATCTGGGATCGCGAATTGTACGCTGGTCATGACCAGAGTATGTGAGGGATTGAGACACACATAAACAAAGACATCTGCGACCCGCGGTGAAGCGTGAAGCGGCTTATCGGTGATCCGCGGTATGATAAGTTCGGTGGGGCACAGAGACCGCGTCGGCAAAAAGCAAAGCCCGGGTGCCTGGTCAGTTGAACCACCTTTGAGCAAAATTAAATAGGTCCATGTCACTTCAAAATCTGGGTGCATATAATCACAAACGACGGGATTACTATAATTGACTTGTTCAAGGATTTTGGTATTGGCATTTGCTACATGGAGCCAAAGCGGAGTAAGTTGATGTCTATGGAAGAATGCAAGCTTGAGCGTGCAACGATACGTCGCACGCAAGATCTTGCCAGTTGCATCCTATACATCTGTGATCCGATTGAACTGTTTACTTGGACTCGTCAAAGACGTATGTCAAGTGGCATCGACCACAATATTGACGGTTCTGCATGGCGGCCATGAAGACACCAGCACCGCACTCGGCGGTTGGGCATTCACGTCGCAGGCGTTCGATCTTTCCATCACCATCAACCTTGTAGTATTTGAGCACAGCCAATTTGGTCTTCTTGCGCTTGTGCTTGATCTTCTTGGGGGTGGTGTAGACCTTCTTCTTGCGCTTCTTGGCGCCACCACGAAGACGAAGGACCAAGTGCAGGGTCGACTCCTTCTGGATGTTGTAGTCAGACAGGGTTCGGCCGTCCTCGAGTTGCTTGCCGGCGAAGATCAGACGTTGCTGGTCAGGTGGGATGCCCTCCTTGTCTAGAAGGAATGTCAGTACCGACTATGGTAGAAAGAATTTTGGATAAGAAAATACCTTGAATCTTGGACTTGACATTGTCGATGGTATCGGACGACTCCACCTCGAGGGTGATAGTCTTACCCGTGAGGGTTTTGACAAAGATCTGCATGTTGAAGATCTAAAACGAAGACGAGTAAGTGGATGTTCAACGCTTACGGCAAGTAAGTTCGTCGAAGAGGCGCTCTTACCTAGACAAGATTTGTCTTCCTCAATCTCCTTGGTGCAGAAGTGGTTGTTTGAGAGAAAGAAGAGGCGTGCAAGGCACAGAATAGCGAAATTCGAACTTTGCGTGTGGACAAGTCTTGGCAGACTAGTGGCAAGATCTTATCTAATCACTCCGTGTGGCGCATGGTTCTTCTGATTGGTTGTGGCGTTGCGGCGCAAAGGGCAGCACAACCCGCCGTTGCGGCTTCCGTTGCTGGGCGACGGTGTTGACAACAAGTGACTGCTTGCTCGCAGCTCCCTCGCACCTCTGCTCAGGTGACGTCCGCAGACAAGATAGGCCTGATAGACCTTCCCATCAAATCTCTCATACCTTCTCAACTGCTTCATACTACCATATACCACTTATCACACAAACTACACACACACGAGAAACCAAAAGCCCTCAAAGAAAGCCAATCGAGAAGCCTCTCAGGATTCAGTTCTGATTTCCCATTCTTCTGCCCTGGGAGGGCCCCTTTCGATAAGAAAAATAGTCGTCAGCTTACCCTGCGACTGCTGAAGTCGCCGTAAACAAACCGCTGCCCGGTCCGCGGCCACTTGTGCTGCGTGAGGTGAGCTTGCTCTTGAATTCGAGCAACCGGAGTGTCAATAGCTTACATCGAATGCTTCCAGTCTCGAACATATAGAAGGATCCCATCCGGACGACAAATTAACCCACCTTCGACAAGCACCATTTCGAACTCATCTCGCTCATGATGATGTCCAACCCTCCTTCATCTCTTCACAATCAACAGAGGATGCATCGTAGACAACAATCGACACCGATTGCATCCTTAGAAGCCATGAAGTTGAGCACCACCTTGCCTCCACAACGACAGATGTACCACCGGCGGGGCCAATCGTTTGATCAACAACGAAGCCCTATCCGAAAACATCATCCAGGCAATGCGGTAAGTATGACTAACTTAGGACAATTCCATGGACAACAGATTTTGCGAGAAGCGCAGCAGCAAAGAATATCAAGACCGGGCCAGCAACAACAGAACATGAACATTGAAATGCCAATTTCTCCCGCATGTGGCATTTACTCGGCGTCCCCCAACTCAATGCCTGGGTCGCCGTTTGACAATATGACAATGAATGAAATCATGCACCAAGGACCTCAGAGCATGGATTACTCACATTCACAGCAGTACTTCTCTGACATCAACATGCCAGTCCAGAGTGGGCTCCCAAATTTAGGAATGATGGACGAGAATACTCCTCGTTATTTCCAAGATATGGCGAATCTGAGCCCTCACCTCGGCACTGGCATGCCTTTTGATGATCGAAGACCGTCTCAGCCTGATCTGCGGGTTCAGACACAGCTGAGACCTCACACGCCTTCACATCAAATCCAGACTGGTAAGTAGTCCTCATCCTAGCTAAAGACGCCCTCTTGTGCTGACTATTACTAGCACAATACCCGTTAACACCTCCTTTCACTCAACATACTCCAGCGATGCAATACTCGAGGTCTCTTCAGACATCTCCAGCCCTGCAGTCTCCTTTCCCGGTCCCAATGATGAGAGGGAGATCACTGCAAGGCATCGTAGAGAATGAGGAATTTCGACAAGATTTCACAGTCACACCTACAGGCCCTGCATTTGACATGGCTGACATGCCTGTCCCAGAACCTCGGACGGGATCCCAGGCCTCACCGCATCAGAAGCAGCCAGATCCAGTAAAAGTCAAGCTAGAATTCAAAGGTGACATGACCGATTCAATCAAGGCTAACAACAAGCCGTCACCTCTGACCCTCAAGGACAAGCCCGCTCCAATCCTCACTTCTGTGGAAAGTAGACCAGGCAGCCTGTCACCCACTCGGCCCGCGCTTTCACCGCGTAGAATGTCGATATCAGACTTGAACCTCGAACCTGGAATTGAAGCATCCATCGAAGAAACCAATGTGACTCTCGATGACATTGCACAATACATTGATGGCCCCGATCCAATTGACAACAAGTGGGTTTGCAAGTTTGATGACTGCAACAAGAAGTTCGGTCGCAAGGAAAACATCAAATCCCATGTGCAAACTCATCTCGGGGATCGGCAGTTTCGGTGTGACCATTGCAGAAAGTGTTTTGTTCGAGGACATGACCTGAAGCGCCACGCAAAGATTCACACAGGCACAAAGCCATACCCATGCTTGTGTGGTAATTCATTCGCACGACATGATGCTCTTACTCGCCATCGACAACGCGGGATGTGCATTGGGGCGTTCGACGGAGTCGTCAAGAAGGTCATCAAACGAGGGAGGCCGAGGAAACATCGACCGGAAATGGATGAGCGCCTCGACAAAGCCAGCCGCACAAGACAAAAGGCCGCTGAACACGATTACTACACTTCGTCTGCCTCAAGCTGCTCAGTATCAAGCTATGGGTCTCCGCCGACCGACAACCTGGAGAACTTGAGCATCAGAGGTAGTTCGCCCTTTGACAACTTGCCCTTGTTTGTGGTCGCGCCACAAGGCACCTTGGATCCCATGATGAGCTTTCCGCCTGACAACTTCTCGTTCACACCACCCACTAGCCCGGGGTACTCTACAGGTAACAGACCAAGTCCGTGCTACAGAGAGCTCAGCCCGGCCGACTTTGTTGATGGGACTGAATTCCAGCATGGTGGCTCGTCACAAATGCTGCCCGAGCTGCCAACAATTGACGAAGGAGTGCCAATGATGCCCATGGACAGGGTTCCAGTGCAAGACTCGGGCCACAGCCTGCCCAGCCTATCACATTCCTGCTCGTCCCCGGCAGCCGACGTGGTGGTATTTGACTTCTCAGACATGGCAGTTAATGATTCGTCTTCCGTGGTGGACTCGTCTCAGCTGCCGTTGAAGATGAACACAGAGAGGAACGACTTTGACAATTTCCTTGACTATGGTTCCATGGACATGGGAATGGATGCATCCAGCCACGACTTCTTTGTCAACCTCTAATGACCATTGTCAGCCGCTCGAGGCATGACGTCGATCAACTCATGATCAACGAAGACTATGTACCAACCTTGACCAATGGACGAGTATTTTGATGATGATGCGAAGGCTGAAACGCCGGCGTTGGACACGATGACGGAAATGGCTGGGATCGGCTTGTTTGTGGGAGGATGGTTGCTACGGGTTTATGTATTGCAACACTCGGGACTGTACATTTCCATTCCTTCGAATGACTTGAGCGTTGGCGCCGGACAAGGTCTTTGTTATGCCTCGACCATTCAGGCCATGATCGATGCTTGAAACTTGTGAGGCAGACTCACAAACTCCAAAGATGGGCTGGCGCTAAAACCACATTCACTATTTGATTTCACGTCGGGGTAGCCATATGAAGCGGGACTTCTTTTAAAGTATGGGAGATGAAGTTGGATTTGGAGTCGATCCGGGCAAGAGGGTGTTCACATGTTTTGTTGATGTCGAACACTGTATCTTTTGATGAAAGTGTACCCCAAGCTGAGGCAAAGCTCGACCTTGTATAATGGGTAATATGACGGATGAGGACACCACAGTCAAACTACGGGGCACAGGCAGACACAGGCAGACACAAAGCGCTTAGTACAATAAACCGGTACAGTCCTGATATAGATAGAGCCTTCGTTATTCTGAGCATCCAGTGAAGCAGCCCCCAGTTCTCCAGAAAACCTGGAGCAGGAGCAAGATGAGTGAGTCGTCGCAGTCGAACGAATAGAAGGGCCGAGACCACCAGTCAATCCTTGTTTATAGGTAGACAGGGATAGGGTCATAGAGACCTGCAAGATGGTAGGTAGGTGGGCCAAAAGTGAGGCTGCGTAGACAGGCAGGGAATGGGCCTTGGGCTTGAACCCTTCCTTGGACGGAGTGAGGCCTGGATTTTGGCTTGGATTGGTGCCATGACTGTACGGGGCCCAGAATGGCCCAGTCACACCAGTTGAATGCTTGTTAGAAGCGACAACTGGTGGCGACTGTCGAGACCAACCCCGAGCTAGGGGAGGTACCTGCTGCAGGGACTATGTGTACTGTACGTACATACAGTAGTGAAGATGGGAGGAAGTCCCTGGCATGAGATCTCCGGGTTTATGTGCATACTGTATGAGAAGCAGTATGCCGATCATTCTCGTACATAGAGTAGACACTCGTGGCACTACTGGAGCCCCAAAACTCATCGATCTTGATGCAGTCGTACAGAATCAAGCCCCATGGCGGCAGAGCCTCAGTTGAATGCGGCTCGAGGCAAACTTTCATCGGTAGTCAAGAGAAAGGAGAACCAATTGAAAAAGTGCTCGATAAGATTCTGCACAGTGTGTAAAGGTTTTGTTCCCATCAGGTGTCCGCTAGTCCTGACATTCCGCTGACCTTGGTGCCTCCTTACCGGAACTTTGAACTGTGTATCATCCGTCGGTCAAACCAAGCAAAGTGGCATTGTTCTTCGAGGTGTGATGTGCTTGCTAAGCTAGGAACGACTTCGGTAGTTTGCACACTCTCTTCATTCCTTCCAGGGCCTGGCAACGGTTCAGACTGCAGTGACTGCGAATTGAGAGTTTCGCTGGGCAGAGGAACAACCCTCGGTTTCAGGCAACGAGCTAAGTCTTGGTGATGGTTATCTTCGATGACATTTTGGGCACTAGTACATCATGCGGTACTGGAAGGATATTGGCAGATATCCATGTCCTGGGGAGGCCCACAGCACTGGTTCCTGGGTCTTTCTTCTGAACTTTCTAGACGAATAGTCCATCCAAGACCAGAGACCTCGGTAGCATGTTGGCGGCCAATGATGGGCCATTGTTGAACAGTTCTGTTCCATTCTCGGAAAATGAGGCTTGCGATTGCAGTCTAGATTCCGAGATATATACCTTGGCGCTAGGTTCTTTCGGTAGATCCTCAAGATCGAACAAGAGGGCAAAGCGACACTAGCATGGCATGCATGGTCCACATGGACCTTCATCCAAAAGCATTGGTGTCGCAAACTGTTTGGGGCGGATAGTACTGTCGATCTGCCGCCATAAAAACTGGGCATTACCTCGACACCCAATTATGGGAATTAAACAACTATGATTATGGATGGAATAGGAGCCTGATATTGTATCGTTGGAGGGACGATCTGCAGATTGAGGCAACTTGGCAAGGCAAGCGAGACCCGAGTTGGTATCGTAAGGCTGATCAGGATTCCCAGCCCAGTCCCTGCAGAAAATGGCAGCATATACCATGGTCAAAAGACAGTGGAAAATCTTGAGAACGAGCCCAAATGGATCAGGGTGCTATGGTAGCGTGCTAACTTCGATTGGTCATTATTCGACCGATGTATCGATTTCTAGGACTTCCAAGACCACGATTGATGTCCGACAAGGGGCAATTACCACTGGCGACATATGGTACTAACAACCCGTGGGAAGACACCTACGTCTGGAGAGTTCATTTGCGTCCAAGCGAACCGATCATCAAGCCCCAGCGAGGGGATGGATGGATAATTGAGAAAAATGGAGCTCGCATCCTTCCAGCAGAAGTGACGGTACACCTCACTGCGTGAAAAGAGTCCAAATGCTGGTTGACTCGCCGCCGTGCTCGCATGCCGATGCCTCCCACCAGTGAATCGGCTCAACTCTTGAGCGAACTTCTGGTTCAGGCCGAGCTCCGCCTGGTGGGGTAGATAAATACAAGCTCGTCCATGCTGGTCTGAACAGGTACAGTGTGTCACTCAAGCGTGGCGCTTACTCTGCTTGAATATGGCGGTGAACAACGTGTGTGCATGATAATTCCTCAAGCTGCGGCATTCTTCGAGGCTATGTATGCATGAGCGTACTTGACTTGGATTGGAGGCTGTGGTTGCAGAACATGGCCCCGCGTTGGATATATCTTCACGTCGATCCAACGTCATGATCTTCTCCGAGCAAGACGTCGTGCTTGCTTGTGATTTCTGTACCCTCTTGTGGCGTGTCACCATGCATTTGAGCATGACTGGGACGACTGTTCAAACAGCGACGTGTAATAAGATGATGAAATACGGACAGTGTTGGTTGAATCAGCTGCTGAGGCAAGTAGACATGCATTACTCGAAGCCGGAGGAGTCTAATGGCTTCATGATTGGTGTTTGCAAACTTTCGATGTAGGTGATAGTAGTACGTGGAGACATCTTGAGCGAGTCTCAAAGTGAGGCGACATCGCGCGATATTATTGGTCGACTGTGAGACTTTTGGGAATGAGAGTGTCATGGGTAAGGCAGCCGACCCATGGGACATCGCTCTGAGGGCCATAGGCTCTTCGAGTCGGACGTTGTTGTGGCCGAGTGTGAAGTCGACCTAGTCCCAGAGGTGCAAAAAAGGCTGGTTGAGGGACTTCTTGTATATAAGCCATCAAGTTGGATAAGTACGTATCTCTTCCAAAGGAAATCAATTAGAATTGGACTCTAGCCTTGAAAGCGCTCCACCGAAGCACGGCTCACCATTTGGTGGAAGTTGGTCGAACGATCCCTTCAATGTCTCATGCTGCTACGCAAGATGGGCAGTACTGGCTGCCAGGTTTTCAGCTTTCCCGTCACATTGTTCTTCGGCAACTGCAATACTTTCTGGGGCCTTCGGCGACGGTGAGACCATACTCGTTACACGTGAGCAAGCTTCCCTTTCGGATTTTCAAGAGGCCATGAACTTATCTCATCCAGGGTCGCGAAGGTTATCTGATCAAGGGCGCAGCTCTTACCAAGGTATGACTGTCAATTGTCCGAGGCTGTAGAGGCTGACTGAAATATCACAGGAGCAAATTGAGGATCTGCGCCACCAATCGCAAGAGTATGAAAGACAGCAAACCATGAGGATGAATGGTCGTGCTGCGGCAAGTTCGGCAGACCTCGACATCAACGAGCCGGTGATGGTCAGAATCAACAGGCGGAGTAGCCCTGGGCGGCGCGAAGAGTCCAGAGGGGATAGCCAACGGGAACGGACGAGAAACAACAACGACAGAGACAGGAGCTCGTCCTACTCGTGGAGTGCCCGGTATCGGTGACACCGGCTTCTTGGGCCATATGTAATAAAACGTTTACCTGTCACGGTCGTACTCGGCTTCATATCACTAGCTGGGCACGACACAGTTTGGTTTCGGTTTCGGTTTTCATTTGACGCACTGAGTGATGTTTTATGCTGGTAGCGGTTCTGTGAGGGATCCAGTGTCAGCAACGGCGGCGAGCTCCCTGAACACCCTTTTCGAGGAACTTGGCCAGAGCACGAGGCTGAGGCGAAAGTTGACCATGATGTTGGTTTCAATCACTACCGAGTGCATAGGATGAATAATGAGTTTGATATTGGTGATGCAGTTGGGAACATGGCCTTTTTTGATTCCTGGAAAACACTCAAGATCCTCTGTAGGTGGTATACGTCCAAGGTCCAACCAGGACCGGGACATGGTAATGTCTTTCTCCCTTCTTGACGTAGAATTTGACCTCGACTTCTGGCCAGAAGCTCTCAACGCCTTGTCTATCATACCACTCTCCGATTTCAAACTTGATACTCCAAGGAACGCGCTCGCCGGTCGCGAATTGTTCCAGCGTGTCGAACAGGCTTTTGTCCGCAGTCGAAGTCCAATCCTTGACCCGTCCGTCCTCATTTGTTAAAGCAGTAAAGGACACAGGAGATTGGCCGACAGAGTTTGAGTCTGAAGCCGATAGCAAGGTCAAAGTGGCATTGAGGCCCGCAGCGGGTGTACCAGAGAGGGTATTGAGGACGTGACAGGTAATCGGAGATGCCATGGCTGTTTCTTTGGCTTGCTATTGCAATTGGGCAAGGTTCAGCGGAATTAGAAGGGCAGTGATTGCCTCGTTCTATCGCATCAATATGCTGGAGATTTGGGAGAACGAGTGAGGATGGCGGTGGAGGAGAGGAAAAAGGAAAAAAGCAATTGATGGAAATGGAATTGAGTACCAAATCTCGGTCGCTCCTTCCTGTGGCTAATCCTTATCGCTACCGTCAACAATGGTGGTGGAGCACCTTCCCGCCAAGCCCTTGTTTCATCGTATGACGTCGTCAATCTACCCTCAAAATTCCTCAACAGGTAGGCACCGTAAGTAATACGTGCGTACCAACTTGTACACGTTGATACAAGGTCCATTAAGATACATACCTAGGTACCTTATCTAGGTGTCTATCTTACTGAAGAATGCCTCGTTGCCAGAGTGCCCGGCAAGGAAGATATAAACATGTAGTCCGTCTCCAAGCCGTTGATGATTGTCTTCTCAAGGCCATGAACCTAGTCTTGTTCTAATTCATCCTGGTCTAGCTGACGATACTCACCACTAGCCTCAAGCGGTCGCAGTTCAGCATGCTGATCTCTCAACAGGTACCGCTTCCACAACCATGGCAAAAACGAGGTGACTTGATGGCGAATGAAAGTCCGAGATGAAATCGCAAACACATTGTCTAGCTCATCAAGAGTCTTCAGTCGTGTCTCCGGAACAAAGAGAAAGACCAGTATGAGCGCGACCACGTTGAGGATAGCATACAAGGCAAACGCGCCTGATGCCTGGAATGTACTCAGGATCCGTGGAAATGTGATTGAAAGCACAGCCGCCCAGAAATTGGCTGTAGACACTGCCATGGACATGCCCACTTCTCGATGACTCAGAGGGAATACTTCTGCGGAGTAAGTGTTTGGCACTGGCCTGATAGTTAAAGTTAGCATGCTAACAATACGAGCAAAGATTGGTATTCATACCCCATTCCAGGAGAATACAATGCACAGAATAGATAGATCAATGTTGCGAGAAGGCCAAAGTGGGCTGAAGTACCGGCTGGCAACGCAAAGCTCAAGCTAGCCGCTAGCATTGTTAATGCCATCAGAGGTAATGTTAGCAACAGAAGCCATCTGCGTCCAAAACTATCCATGCTCCATACGGCTGGGAATGCCCCGACAAAGTTGACAAAGCCAAAGACACAGGATGCTACTAGAGCCCCAAATGTGGAAAATCCAGCATCGGAGAAGATCTAGAAAGGTACAGTACCAGTTAGTGGCCCTTACAAAAAGAAAAGGAATAGATGATAAGCAATTGTGCACGGGTGACCCAGGGCCTTACAGTAGAAGAGTAGAAAGCGATAATGTTGATACCACACAATTGTTGAGACAACATGACGACGTAGGATGCGGTGGCCGCCCGGCGGATTCGAGGCACAGTGACAAGATCATAGAGCCTGGCCCAGAAAGATAGGTCCTGGCCCTGTGATTTCACCTTGATCTGATCTTGTTGAGACGACGAATAGATCTCCTTGGCCGCGACGAGGTCCGTGGTTCGAAGGGCTCTCAAGGACTGAAATGCACGGTCATATCTTTTCCCGTGTTTGATGTGCCACGCGGGTGATTCTGGGCACGTGTAGATCATGCAGAGAAGAGGCACTGTAGGGAGAAAAGGAGCTGCCACTTGCCATCTCCAGGCGTCGTCGCCGAACTGTTCCCAAATCAGTCACTCAGTCGCATCACGACACGCGTCCACCCACGTTGTAAAAAGCCGTATTTGCCACAAAGCCCAGGAAAATGCCAAACGCAGTCCACATCTGCCATTGAACAGCCAGCCCGCCACGGATCTGCGCAGGGGCGCATTCCGCCTGGAAAACGGAGACCGTGCTTGCATTCAGTCCCAGACCGACGCCGAGGATCATCCGGAAACACAAAAGTTGTTTCCATGTGGAGCTCATTCCTGCACCAAGATTGGAGATGAGGCACAGGCATGCCCCAAGCATGATAGTCCCCCTTCGAGCGAGTCGATTGTTGATGAAATCCGAAGACCACGCACCACTATTCCTGATCAGCGCGGGTGCAGTTCGCAAGGGGCACCAGGGCACACTTACACCAATCCCGTGCTAAGATAGATTCCGCTGTTGATGAATCCGACTATGAATGTGTCGCGTCTGGTCTGTGAGTCGATGCCAAACGCCTTGGGAAAGGTGAGGTTAGCGCCATTCATTCCGGTCTGAGCCCAGCCCTGCTCAACTGCGCCCAGAGAACAAACTAGGACAGTGAAATAGAGCATTTTGGGTTGTCGCCATTTTCGACCTCGTTCGTCTTGCAGCGATTGTCTTTCACCCTGCGACAGTTGGGGAATCTCGTCCAGAGTCAGTTCGCCTCGAGGAACCAAGGCTGCCTTACGAAACACATCGACATGGCTTGAAAGGTTGTGCTCATCGACAAAGTGTTGAACCTCATCGAAAGCAGGAAATGGGCCAGAAGTGGTTTGTTCCACTAGTTCATGAGGTTCGGAGGTTGTCACTAGGACTGAGCTCGTGGAGTCAATGTCATCCGATTCCACGTGGTGAGCCCGAGATTTTGGCATTGTCGAATGGACTATTGACCTAACATCGAGGCCTCTTCTACAGATCAGTAGTTACTCCCACAGCAATAAGAAGTCAGCGACAGCAGTGTGTTTGGTTCGGATGGCACGTTCGTCCAGGGACAATGTCTTGGCGGCGTGACTTGATATCGGGCAGATACATGTGTATATGTGATGATCACGTGCTTTATTTATTCTCTCCATCACGGCCTTTCTGAGGCTGTACACCAGACAAGCGGGCTACACGTGTAGACCATTGTCAGTGTCATTAGGGATAGACTCCCAATTGACATAGTGAGGTAGGGGAAGGTCAAAGCTCTCGCTCAAGGTTGATACTCTTCTCACATTGCTAGTATGTTAGCCAAGCTCCGTCAAAATAGAGACTCTCCTTAAACATTTCGCAACCGGCAGCTAGGTATGATGTATTTGGTGCCATTCTATGAGGAAGTAAGTGATTGGTAAACTCTTGATTCTGAATAAAATCAAAAGTCAGTCTCCCAAGGACATGTTGCTTATGACTTGCACCATTATAAGTTAGCAAACATCTATATGTGGTACTGTGGGCAGGTAATGAGGATCAAGAAATCGCCTGGGCCGAGGGTCTCCACCGCTTATCCCCATTCCCGCCAACTTTTGTCAGCGCACTGGAAACCAAGTATCCAGCCCGCACCGGCTGCAGGGTGTTGGGCCCAAGACGACTAAGATCGGGCTTTTGTTCCACGGAGCTCGGGAGAGCATTCATATGACCTTGGCGAAAGATGAACTAAAAGTCGCTTATACTCCGTACTTCCAAAGCTGGGGCCCCTCATGATAACTCCTCAGCATCCACTGTCAATGCTCTGGCTATGGCCCTATGCTTACTTTGAGAGGAGACGCAGTTTCCACTGTGTTTCACTTGACCTCTGAACACCACTTACTTGACGGCTTTTGGTGAGTTGTCATGGAGCAACCGCGAACTCGCAACACTAGAGTCTGCATAGACTGTCATTCTCGCAAAGTATTTATACCCACGCACAGTGTCGCCACCTCGAACCACGGATGACTGACACTGGACAGGTCAAATGCGACCTACAAGATCGCGCCGAGGGACCATGTCGCAATTGTCGCAAAGCAAATAAGATATGCAGGCATGTTTCTTGTGTCACAACAGTATCAATTTATGTGCGCTGACTCGGAAACTCCAGGCCTCGTCTAGGGATTCGACAACGTCACCGAGATCAGTGTTGGACTGGGGCCACTCAGACCCAACAGTCTTCGTTGCAGGCCTCTTCGCCCGGATCCGTGGGCTATCTTGGAGAGGAGAGCCTGTACCCAATCCCCAGCATTCCCCGGTATGTTGACGACACCATCGCCGAAACGGCAGAGTTTTATGAGAAACTCCTCGAAGGAACAGATGTAACAGAGGTTCCGCCACCAATGTTGGTTAGTGCAATGGCCGACAACTACTTCGACCACGTCTATCCCTTAGAGCCTATCATCGACCGTTGTGACCTATCGCGTCATGGATCCTCTCCGCTGTTGGTCCTGGCCATATGTATGAGCGGTACATCTTTTGGTCACTTACGAGGCTCAACGAAACAAATCATGGCGTCCAACAAGTACTACCTAAAAGTGAAAACATTGGTCAACATAGACTACGAGAAGAATAGCGTCATAGTCTTGAAAGCACTGTGCATGTTGGGCTGTCGAGGGGCGAAAATACCAACTCAGATTAGCATGGATAGCGCCTGGCACTGGATGGGAGTTTCCGTTCGGTATGCTATCCACATGGGATTGCACAAGGAAGCCACTTATCATGGTAAAGAGACGGGTGGCACCTGTCGAAGAATGTGGTGGCACCTTTTCGTACGTTTTCAGTCGACAGCCCGTCGTCCTCGCCCTTCCAAACTGACTAATATTTTGCTGCAGAATCAGGACAAGTTGTTATTTTTTTGCTATGGACGGCCCTCATCGATCAATATGCAGGACACCGACGTGCGGCTCCCAACAATGGACGACTTTCCCGTCAGCCATCCCGACAACAACATTTTCATTCAGAAGTCAAAACTTTGCATGATCCTCGGCCGACTTGCACAAATGCGACAAAATCCCAGTACTAGCTATAGCGATCTAGCGGTCCTCGGGGAGTCTTTTGAAGAATGGTGTGGCGATTTGCCTGAGGAACTCAAACTTCGTGAAGAATACAATCCCCAACCACATCGGCGGATCGTTTCGGAATTGCACATTTTATACCATGCCTCCTACATAATCTACCTACAGGCTCTCACCAAACTTGATACAGAGGTCCATTCGACAAGGGCAGCTTTCGAACAGTGCGTTCGACGATCATCGCGGATGACACGACTGTTTGAAGCAATTCTTTATCGGAACGAGGTCGCATACATACGCCCCATTAACAACTGGTTTTGCCTGGTAGCAGGGTTGATACAAATTCGAGCTCTCGCCACGTTTACAGAAGACCGGGCACTGTACAATGACGAGCTGACCATCATAAAAACCGTACTACAAGACATGATCCCTTCCTCGGCAAGTGCAGCCTTGGTCCTCAGAAATCTTCAACACTGTGAGACCTCGGTCGAAACCGTGTCCAAGCCAGCCCGGAGTACTTCGAATCATACTGCCACCAACGATCCGCTGAATCTCTCAATGGATGACCATCGAGAAGGAGGAATAGACCCACTGTTTCCTTCGCAAGGCCATTCAGATATGAACCTGCAGCCTGATCTTGCTCCAAGGCTTCCGAATATGGGCCCCAATGGCATTGATGACTATTTCCTGGTTGACAGCTTTGACATGGCCTTTAGCAACCTGCAATCTAGCCCAGGCATGCTTGAAGACTGGTCTTTATCGTAGGAGAAACTCATGGCACGTGTCAATGGCCTTTTTCACGTCGCAAACAAACCCTCCAGGAATCATGTCATGTAAAGATCAAAAATCAAAAATCAGGATCGAACGGGACTAATTAATCAAGAGTAGGTGGGAATCAGTAGCTACCATAAAATTGAGCGTTAAAACCATGTTTCGGTTCTCAGGTATCGGCCCTCTCCTGTCCACTGACACCTCGGCAACCTCCTCAATTCCCCTCGCAACCTGGTAGTTTGAATACTCTCGGTCCCAGTCCATGTGGCTCCGGCTATGATGTCGGCAGAAGTGGAGTCATTTCGGCAGTCGATGCCGATAGGGCTGCAGATCATCCATTATTACCCCGTGCCGTTAGTTGGTTTTCAGCAATATTATCCTGCACTGGACGATTCTCGCGGTAGGTCTGAGAGGTTTGGCCTCGTTCCAGAGCGCAAGATTGAGTAGCCGGCGCTGACTGAATGAAATTATCGTTTATAAGATACACTTCGTTCATGTCTGATCTGAAAGTCCACGGTGAGAAGAGACTCAAGATAAGGTTTATTATTATTGTACGTTTAACGTGATCCCCGCATCTCAGAATAAACTAGATGATCAACTTCCGGCTCAGAGATTTGTTGTCTTTTTGTGTCAATCAAGCAACTCATGAGGAGCAATCGACTTCAGGCTTCAAGACTGAAGATAGTGCCGAGGGCTAGGCAACCTGTACTCCACCTTGCTTCACGACCCTAGATTGGTGGGACAAGCATGAAATACGATACCACCGTCGTTCTCTCGGCGTTGTGAATCCCCCCACCATCGAAACCTGTGTCTAGCACATTGATGTTCATCACCTGGCAGCTGGCTCTCGGCCCATGCCAAAACATACCGGGTGCCGAACTTTGGTGAAAGCTCGCCAGGAGCCAAGATTGCTGCTCATGGCAAGTCGCCAAATGCTTTGAATTTAAGTCTCCCAGATGCCGTGACGACCGACCTTGTGAATCACAATCACAAGACTATTGCCTTGACTTCAGCTTCCGACTTACCGTATCAACCACATTAGAAGCCAGTCCCCCGACAAATCAACAACGCACAGCGACTAGTCCGAACACTTCTCCATAGCAACATGTCGTCAACCACAGAAGTCCAACAGGAGGACCGCCTCGCAATCGGCAAGCAAATGGCAGAGCAGTTCCTGGGCAAGAAGTTCTATGCGTCGATACTGTCACGAATGGTGGGTAAAAGATGAAACCAGTTCCATGGCCGGTTCACACATGACTAATTGCACTGTCATTAACAGAAAGACGACATCTTCACCAAGACAAGTATGGAGTATATCTGGGAGACGTGCTTCTACAGCTATGCGCGGCCAGGGCTGGAATATCGCGAGAGATCGCTGATGAATTTGGCCATGCTGATAGCTCTCAACCGAGGACCTGAGCTGAGAATCCACATCCGAGCTGCTGTCAACAACGGCTTGACCGAAGACCAGATCTGCGAAGCTTGCAGACATGCCATGATTTATTGCGGTGTCCCAGCTGGGCGTGATGCCCTGATAACCGCCAGTGAGGTTTTCTCTCAAATGAAAGAAGCCGGCGAGTATCCTCCGAAATAGATTAGCTATCAAGATAGACCTTTCCAGCCACGAGAATGGTATAGAGCATGACTGAAATAGTTTTGGTTCACCCATGCAAATCAATCAGGAGATAGGTCCCACTGTATGGCTATACTAATACCCATCTCAGCGGATAGACTTCAAGCATGTACTGTAGTGAAGCTATTCCATTCTGAAGGCCCGCCGTCGCCTCTCTTTCCCAACTTCCAGACCACACACCAGTGTCGAGCTAAGACGACGTGAATGCCTCTTCCAATGAGGGTTGAGAAAGCACTTCGGGGCTTTGGCGGGACGAGCTCGGATCGAGGATTGCCAGACTTCTGCCGCCGTGCATGCCGGACTTTCGGTTACAACTTCGGCTCCAGGGATTCGATGAGTGCTCTATTCAGGAGTGAAACAGGAGCAAATTCCGAGGAGACAACACTTGGGCAAGTTAAGTCAAATGGATATTACAATCTTCTGCCAGTGTATGCTAGAGGAATCTCTAAGCAACTAGAAAGCGAGTTGAACGAGAACTTCCGATAAATACACAGTGTGACCTTTTCAAGTTTTTTCGCCCTGCCTGTGCTGCAATTTGTCACAATCTCCAAGTGAATCAAGTGACAATGGCTGCGACAAACGGAACATCCAAGCGGGAAACCGTGGGCTTTATAGGGCTTGGGGTTATGGGTAGGTCAATAAACCTCTAACAGTCTTGATTAGTCTCGATCGTATCACTCAGTTGCTGACCACGTCTATGTGGACGCCCTAGGTCATTTCATGGCACGGAATCTCCTCCTGCAATATCCTCGTCCTGGACTTACTCTAGTCGTCTACGACGCTGATAAGTCTTGCATCACCAGGTTCGTCGATGAAATAAGACAGATTGATGAGGCTGCAGCGTCGAGAATCGTTCCCGCTGGCAGCGTGTCCGCCGTGGCGATGAAAGCGTCTACCACGGTGACAGCATTGCCCAACCCGAAGATTGTGCTGGACGTTGTAAATGAGCTTTCCAAATCTCTGAGCGCGGACCCGGCTCGTCTGATCCTTGACTGCTCCACAATAGACCCATCGACGTCGCAAGAATGTGCGCGACTACTGTCACAAGACCAGCGAGGACGGTTCATCGACGCGCCCATGTCAGGGGGATCCATGGGCGCTGCGGCCGGTACCCTGACGTTCATGATCGGCTACCCTCCAGAGTCAGCCTGCACAACTGAGCAAGAGCAATTCGCACAGACGCGGATCATGCCAGTTCTTGAAGCCATGGGGAAAAAAATCTGGAGAATGGGCGAGGTGGGCAACGGAGAAGCAGCCAAACTGACCAACAACTACATCTCGGCCATATCGAACATCGCCACCTGTGAAGCCTTCAACCTCGGCATCCGTCTGGGCCTGAACCCCTCGACGATCCGAGACGTTGTCAGCAGCAGTACTGGCATGAATTGGGTTGTTCAACACTCGCCGCCCGTTGCGGGCTCGATACCCGGCAAGTCAACCTCCGCAGATAGGGACTACGCCTTGGGCTTCTCCAATGAATTGATGAAAAAAGATGTCCAACTGGCCGTCAAAGCTGCCGCTGGAGCCGGCGCTCGTTTAGAACTTGGCCAAAGTGTCGTCGATGTCTACGCAAAGACCAGCTCACAGTTTCCCAATAGAGACATCGGCGTTGTGTACAAAATGCTGAACCAATCTATAGATAAAGAATAAATAGACCACGGCCAACATACCTTTGTTTCTCACTCGTCACAATGCCACGCCATCAGGAGTCATAAAATGAATTGTTGTACAAGACTAGGGACATCTGAAGGGGTAAGATCATTGATGGTCCCTAGTCGTGCAATCGGATCCGCACTCTCGTAGCAAGCAATCAGACTAGTCTTTCATTATACCTTTCATCAAAGCACGCAAGGCTATGCTCCATCTTCTCGGGCTATCGAGTGCGGAAGTTGACCTCATATTTTGATGCAAACGATCCTTCAATAAGATGCGTGTCGTTTCTATTAAAGGGCTTGAGAACCTTTACACCTGGCTCAACTGTGGTCTTGGAGAATGGGACGATTACGCTTGTCCATCAAATTTCTCACGTCTACAAGATAACATTCGCCGCATCTTGTTCAGGCAGATCTGGAGCGCTGAAACTGGGCCTTGAAAGATCGGTGCCTTCTCAAAAGAGGTTTGTGGGCGGCATTGCGAAGTGCGCATGATCACTGTAAATCACTCGAAAGGGTCATTCTAGTTCAAATTTCGAGGCTTTTTGCTATGAAGGTTTCTAGATGAGTCACTCCCAGTATGCTCGAGTGAATTACATGGTCATCAATGTCCTCTTACTCGCCCTCGTCCTCGGATCTTCCTGATTGACTCAACAGCGACGACACTTAATTATTGATGCTGCCACCTTGCCATGTGACATGACGCCACTGGGCCGTCGATATGACACACCTGGTCGAGTGGGTTGCTATTCTTCTTTTAGATCGTGAAGCGAAAGTCGGGCTCTCCAAAGATGACTCGCTTTCCCTGTTGTGCCTGCTTGTTCGCAATCTTGAAATAGACGATCATAGCAGTTGAAGCGGCAAGAGTTGCTAGTGTAATGGCTAGCGTTGCAATAACGCCAGGTCGGTAGTTTGGTGCATCCTGCGGAAGAGGTCAGCACTGTTTAGTAAGTGTCAGAATGTGGATGTTACCTGTTGTCTGAATACTAAAGCAGAGTAAATACCGCCAATCGAAGACCAGGAGACGACCCAGGCGGCATAGACGCTTCTTTGAGCATCACCTCTGACATTGTTCATACCCCAGCTATTGGCTGTAATCAGCATGCCATTGACGCCGGCCTGCCCAAAGAAGGCACCAGCATAGCGCACTGGCGCTGCGTCAACAAATGCAATCATGCATAGGCCAATAGTAGTCAGGATACAGTGCAGGACGATGAATGGTCCTCGAAGCCCTGTTTTGTCTGAGATGAATGCAACTCCAAATGCATATATGGCCGTAAATGCGGCAGGGGGTGCCGTCAAGAGGAATGACAGCTGCAACGAGAATTCGAGGCCCCGTCGGAGGATAATGGGAAGGAAAAGGAGAAAGCTGTAAGTACCAGCTGCTCCTGTTAGAGAGATGAGGGCGCTATTGAAGTCAGTTCATGCTTGCTCGCCTAGGTCATGCCAAAGATCACTCACAGGCCCCACATATGTGGTGGTTTCACTGTATCCCGGATGACTTTCCAAGTGATCTTGCCTTCTTCAAAAGCGCCAGTATCGCCTCCAAGTCTCTTCCTCACCAGATCCTTCTCTTCCGGGCTCAGCCATTTGTTTTTCTTGTCGTCGTAAGGCAAATCAGGAATAATGAACCAACAGAGGACAGCGTAGGCAACGGTGATTGCACCTTCGACGATGAAGATCCATTTCCAGCCATCACGCTCGGGGTCGGACGCAATTTGTGTCAGGCCATACGCTAAGATATTGGCGAAGGATGAGCAGAAACTTCCCATTAAGAAGTACACGGCGGCTCTGTACAAATCTTAGCGCAATTTCGTGCTGTTATGGTACATTTCTGGCCAACCTTTTCTGGTACTCATACCTGCGGTACCAGGCAGACAAGAGATAAATACATCCAGGAAACATGCCCTTATCAGCATCAGTTGAGCTCGGAAATTCAAGAAGGATATTGTCGTACCGCTTCAAAGACGCCCAGGAGGACTCTCAAGACCGCAAGCACCTGCCAACTGCGTACAAAGCCAATACAGAGGGTCGTAATGCCCCAACCAAAGCAGAGGAACGACAGCCATCGATGTGGTCCGAATTTTTGAAGCAACATGTTGCTAGGGAGCTCAAAGATGATGTAGCCGATGAAGAAAACAAGTACTGATTGTGATGATAAGCGCAGTACACGACTTCTCGCAGGTTTCACATACTGACAATGGACGCCCGATTGCCGACCGAAAGGCCCGTAGCCTCATCAATGCCAGCAATACGGGCTCCACCTAGGTTGGTTCGATCAATCAAACACCAAACGTAGAGTCCACCTAGGATTGGAACGATGCGTATATCGATCTTCCATCTAAAGTCAAGTGGTCAGCGGCGAGTGTTCGTGGACAATGGAAGAGACATACAGAAGCCTGTTCATTCGGGCCTGTTCAACGGGGTCGTCGGCGGAGATAGAGCCTGCCTCCATGCCTTTTAGGTCCATGGCGATATCCAGATGCTCTGCTCGGGTATCTCCCGTCTTCTCAGGGGTAGAAGGTCGACGAGTAGGGTCCATTTTTACAAGGTGTGAAAACTGAGTCTATAGTAGGGAAACCAGTGGTTTGTGAGAGAAAGACGAACTCCCTTGAGAAGCCATAGGGGGCAGGTTAATATAGACAAGGCAGCTGATCGCACTAGAGAAGGTCCGAGGGAAGAACCTGGTTGTATCGTGTCGAATCTTTGGCGAACCTACCACCGTCTTGAAGATAACCATTCAAAGCCTTGCTTGGCAAATGTCAATTCCCGCTATGTGAAGTCAATAACTGACCTGACCGAAGGAGACAGCCTCTGGCGAGACAACGAGCCCAAGCCCGAGCACCACATGCATCCAACTCCGGGGAAAAAACTTGGCCTGGAGTTTCTGGCTTTACAAAGTCGGCCGCTTAACCGTTGCAGTACGGCTATTGTGGAGATGAGGGGGCCGAGATCCCCACAACATCAGAACAATGTTCCCTGCCGTCACTACGCCACTTCCTCTTGGTCATACGGAGTATGGTCCTGACTTCACAGGTTTAGGACCTTAGATTATATGCTTGGGACGTTCGTTGACAGCAACATCTTGCACGCTACAAGGGAAGAGGGGAATACACTCTACTGTGCCTCTCACGGACGCCACACCCAGAAGCTCTTGGTAGAGTAGATCGTAGTATGGAGGGCTAAAGCGTGGTGCAATTGCGCCGGTTGTTGTCAGATCACGTGCAAGAATGGCTCTCATAGGTGCTACAGCTGCCAGGTTGCGAAATAGAGCTCAGGTTGCAGACCAAGTTAACAATCTGTCCCGCTGATCTTACCACTGGCTGTATTAATGAAACCCATCTGCGGCTATTGTATCAGATCCCCGGATCCGGGAGGATCTGGGTTTTTGATGTGCAGCTGGGGTAGTCTTGGGGATCCCTCAATGTCAAAGAGACCAGTATCGCCTGGACGCACACCTATGGCCTGCACGATTTCGTGGCAGAGTCAGCCTGACAGAACACTCTACTACCACAACACCTTCACTTGGGGCGATAGGGGTCAAGGGCCGGAGAACCCCTCGGCCCGCGGCGGCCCCTCGGAATAACCTGAGACTACCCCGGAGTTCCACCTATTAGAGTCATCGCCTAGAGTGTAGTGTCCTATGATGTCCCTCTCGCGCACCTTGCTAATTTGAATTAAAGCCTCTTACAATAGAAATGACAGTCCAAATAGGGTGACTGCGATGAGGGCTGATAAATTGCGATGGCTCGGACCTTTTGGGGATTGTACCTGACATTCAAGTGATCGGAAGGAAGCTGTAAAGACAATTGAATGCCCCAGCAGCCAGTGAGAGCTGTCAGCTGGTTTCCAAAACAGGAGTAGAACCAACTTACTCCCAGAAGACAGAGGACAAAAAGCGAAACGCAGTCATCGATGGTTGCTGGAAGTGGCGTTGAACGAGCGAGGACGATGGCAAGAGCAATACCCAGGAGTGTCTGGCAAGAAGCGTCCAGAAAATATAGTATAGGAGCGAGACGCTTCAATTTCAACTTCCTCGAAGCCTCCACGAGAAACCGTATGGTGACGAAGATCTTGACAAGTCTGCAAATTCATACTGGCTAGGATCTGACATGATGCGGCACCGTCAATGAGAATGAATAGAGGTGTAGAAAAAAGGCAACCAGGCAACACCAGACGTACAGAAAAAGGGATATCATCTGCTGGGCATGCTGCCGCACATGAAGAGGAGCCGGGTGCTCCAACTGCCCTCCTCTCCGAAAAGGGGCTCCGGTTTTTGCGACGTATCATGCCCAATGTCTAACCCCCTTTTGACAAGACTGAGATAGATACTTTGGATGTGAAAACAAAAATGCATATAGATACCAAGGTTGTCCATAGGTCCAAGGGACTGTATAAAGACTAAAACAAACAACACATAAATAGACTATGGTAAAGATCCAAACTCACATGACGCCCATTGCCTCTTGTGACCTCTGGTCAAGAAGCATTGCCCCATTTCTGATCGAGCTGGTGACCCCAGACCAACGTGGCCAGAGTCGCGGGACATATATCAGGCACTCAATGAGGCATTCTGACACCTGGCTAATGGCCAATAGAATCTATGCCAAAGAGACCACGAGGCTGAAGGGTCATCTTTCGGCGCGAGCCAGGATGGCGCATCCGAACGCTTGATGTTTCACCGGACTTTCCTGATGGCATCCAAAAAGCTCTCATTTCCGTATTGGCGCATAAATACTATCGAGACTGTGATTGATGAAACGTGTGTAGTCAGAGGCCTACTAGTAAGTTCAAAGTTGATTGTGACACTTTGATAGTATTGGCCAAGTCCAAGAGATCAATACTCCAGCCAATCTACAGCCGGCCTCTTTCACGCCCTTTCTTTCCCAGCTCCACATTTTTCCAACAAAGAATACAGAACACGCAGGCTGCATATAGACATAGAGCTGTGATGAGCATGTAACGTAGCGATGCTGAATATGCCATATTGATGGCGTC